ATTAACAGCTAATTTAACATGAATAACACCCATCATATTAAAGATTATTATTATCCTCGCAAATAGTATTAATATCCTTAACTAAAGTTCCATTATCACATACTTAAATGCATTTTTAAATTGATGATAATAATTTATATCCATCAATGCAAACACTACACAAACCTTTATTACATTCTAAGCAATTTTATTCACATACATATTAACATTAATTACAAAGTCTAGTAAGATTAGTATTATTGTCACATTCTTCAACTTCATGAACAGTTATATTATCTCCACATACACTTTAACAAGTTCCATTTGATTGTAAATACCATCCATTTAATTCATCACATTGTTGACAGACCCCAAATTAGCAATCTATGCAATATATAGAACATTAAAATTTGCAATTAAAGCATCCATCATATTATGTTATATTTCCATCTTCACATTATTCAGGATATACTAGAATTTAATCTTAACATTTAGCAAAACATCTATTCTCAATTAATTAATAACCATTTTAACAAGATAGACACTCTGATTTAATACAAGTAAGACAATAACTATCGCATTAAAATTCACAAAAATTACATCCATCAAATGGAATAGAATTACCATCATCACATCTTTCAGTTAAATTAACTATTATTCCATCACCACAAATAGAATTGCATGTTCCATCCATTTAAGCATACCATCCAGCATTTTCATTACATTAAAGACATATTCCAAAATGGCAATCAATACAATTAATTGAGCATTCATATTAACAATTCACACAATTTCTAATATTCTCATTGCATTATTATAACAAAGTAAGAGATTTGTTTTAACAAATAGAACGACAGTCACCACTATGTAATTCATATCCACTTTTACATGCATAACATCTCCCATTAAAGCAAATATCACATGCAAAGTTACAAGCAAATTTACAATTATGACAACCATCAAACGGATTATAATTACCATCATCACAATCTTCTTAATCTACTACAATTTAATCTCCACATATCGGAAGACAGGGCAGATCAATTCCATCATCATAATATCCAGGTTAACATAAACATTAATTTTTTTAAATAGCTCTATGATAATCTTCAACACAAGTAAGACAATTATACTTAGAATTTCCATAACAATTTTCACAATACTTATTACATTAAACACAAGTATTCACTTAATAAAATGTAAATGGTTTGCATAAGCAAATTCCATTTTATAAATAAAATTGAGTATTTAAACATTAAGTGCATATTTCAGCACTTGTACAAGTACTACATCCAGGTTGATTACAATCTTTACAACTATAAATTTCAGTTGTTGAATTAAAATACAAATATTAACTTACTCCACAATTTAAAGTAGTGCCTGTACATACATTCAAACTTGTGCAACTTGAACAAAATGGACGACACTATATTATAATAAAATATTACATAATGAACAACTATGAAATATTCAGATATTGCACAAAACTCTTTTGTTATGTTAGCTGTACCAACATCACATTTAAATTCAATATATAAATTATTATTCTAAAAGTTAGGTAAACTCTAATTAAAATAAACTGTTTTCTCTTTAAATGTACGACCAACCAAATTTGATCCTCCTCCAGGATAATTAAAAGGGCCTTGAAATGAATCACTAGAAGAACCAATTTTATATTTAAATTAACCTGAATATTCATCTCCGTAAGTAATATTAAAATAAACTGTCACAGCATAATGGGGGTCTGATATTGTCCATGTCTTTTTATATGATCCATCATTCCAGACTAAAATTCCACCTAATACTATTTTTTTGTTTAAAAAAGAAAATTTTTATCCAGTAGCATAATTTTTAGATGAATCAGTTGCATCATCATAAAAAGTATCTATATCATCTATTGTCATATTCAAATCGTAGAATCCTTTTACAAGATATCTAGAATCTAAAATTTATTAATAATTTATACATGGAATAAGATCTTCATAATCAACACAATTAGTTGAATATACAGGACATGTTTAAACACACATATTTTTATATATTTTATATCCAGTATTACATTATGAACATTTAGAAAAGTCAGAACAAACTAAACAATTTTCTTAACAAAATCCTGTGTCTACTGTTATATTTCTAAGTCCCCAAGATTCATAATCAAATTATAATTGACCTTAAATAGTAAGTACTGGTTTAGTGTCATAGAGTTAAAAAATCATTTCAATTCTTATTAGAGTATAACTATCTATACAATTTCCATTTTCTTAAAATATTGGTATCAAATTTTCAAATTAGAAATTTGATGAATCTTTTATTATTCTAGATTATTATTAACCATTATATAAGATTTCAATTTTGCTTTGATCTTAAAAATCAAAAAAATAAAAAGTCATTCGAATTCTTAAAAATTTTGCTACATTTTCTAAACTCATTTAATAAATCATTCCTTCACTAAATTACAATTTCCCTATGAAACTAATCCCATTACAATTTTCATAAATTAAATCTGTGTTTTTTGTATGAAATTTATCTTCTAGAAATTCTAGAGGTGAATATCTGTAATAATTTGATTATGGGATATTATTATTTTCAAACAGGGTAAATTTTGATTTTATTCTTTTGTCTTCTACACAAATTTTATCATAACGAGCTATTGAATTATCTCTTTCACATTCTTATCGACAACCTAAATAAGTTTCAGAAAATTATTAATTCGAGATACATTTGCATTTACCTCCTGATAAACTTTAAGCATTAAAACATGTTTAACAATTAGTTTCCAATGGACCATTGCATGTTAAACAAGTTGGATGGCAAGTGTTAGCAAAGATTAAAATATTTCTAATTCCTAATCTCATGTAATCCTTTTCAGGATCAACACATATTTTTATTGTAAAACTATTAGTATTTGAATTTCCAATAGTACTTACAATAGTTTTCAATTCAAATCTACTTGTACTTGAAGTGTCATTACAAATTCGAATACTATTTTAAGTTAGATCGTCATCTTTATAATCTCTTTTATAAAGTTATTATTCATTTTCTGATGCTATATTGCTATCATACAAAACTTTTATCCATGAATTTTTATCATTATCTGCAAAACCAAAAAAGACATCAAGAATTACTTAAACTTAATAGCTCTTATAGTTAAATGATTTTAACAACTATTTCCTACTTTTCTACAAACTAACATAAGACAATTAATTTTATCCACATGTTTCTTATAAAAATGAAGAGTCAGAAGAACTGCCACAACCATCTCTCATTTTCCAATTGTTTTCAAATATATCATCCTCTGTAAAACTGTAATCTACAAGTCTCCAATTTGAAACAACTTGGTGAACAAGAACAATCAAGAGAATGCAAGATTTTAAATACAAAATCATTAAATGATGGTTAATCTAAAAAAAAAATCTATATATACTTTGAAGTTACGTAATCAAATAAAATAAATCATATAAAAAATACTCATTCATTATTGTTTTATTTGATTAACAAATATTAGATATTGAAAATATTTATTTAATCAAACTTATATTAAATAACCAATTCTTCATATATCAGATATTAATCTTTCATAAACATTATTTGTAATAATAAACTCATTAATGTAGCATAAATTATTATAGATTATATCAAAAGTCATACATAATATTCAATATTTTTTAATCAAGATTAAGTATTTTTAGACAAAATCAATTTATTCTTATTATTTATTTAGTTCTATTTTTAGAACTAATAAATTATATAACTATATTTTGCTAAACATCTAATCTTTGAAGACTAAAAATAATAAATAAGAAGATAAATAATAACAATATAATATTGAATAGAAAATCTCATTTTTTTAAGCATTTTTTGATATATTTAAAATTGTTTAAATATAAATGAACAAACTTTTTAAGTCTAATAATTCTATATGACATTTATTATTTATTATTAATTATTAAACAATCTCATTTTAATATATAAAAATCCAAATTTATTTTTCTTAATAATAAATATTTATAAAAAATTTCCAAATCGCAGGATTGAACTTAAAAAATATTAGGAATTTATCGATAATCTATAGATATTTTTGAGAAAGCATCTTTCTCCTGTTTCAATCTCTGCCTTTTATATTGCAAAATTTTTTTAATAATGAGGGTAAAATCTTCCTTTGCATTTAGAAATTTAAAAATAGCAAAAAAGTTAATATTATATATTCAATTTAATACTAAATCAGATAAACTACAATTGCCTTTGATTTACAATAGAAAAACAATAACTTTCTTGAGTTTTTGATCTTAATTTGTTTATTAATAATAGAAAGCAAGTTTCTAGTGAAGTTTTTTTCTTTATTTAGAGTGATTCTGTTTTGTTTTTGTAAATTTACACTACCTTAAATAATTTATTATTCATTAAATAAAGGAAGATAATATCATTTGCGCCATTTTTAAATATCTTATTGAATTTGTAATTAAAAATTTTTCTATCACTCTCTTTATACTATTATAAAATTCATAAAATTACTCAGATTTTTAAAGAAAGAAATTGTAAAACTGTTCAATAAAGAGAATTTTTTATTTTTGATAGTTTAGTTTCTTATCAAAGTAGTCTAACTCGTCATATTATTAATGGTATTTTTTTATAAGCATTAATTACTATAATTTATTAATAATTCAATGTATTGCTGTTCTAAGCATGATAAGTCTTCAATTAGTTATTATTAATTATTATTAGATAATATTCACAATGATTTACCTATATTTTGAAAATCAAATGATTAAAGAAAATAATACATTCGCCTAAATAAATAAATAATATAAAATATTAATATTAATGCAATCTAAAGCCAGCCATATCATTAGAATTAAGCAAAAATTTTCATATCTAATATTTTCTTAATTCCTAATTATTTATATTCAGATTTCAAAGGAAAAGATGTTTTACTTTAACATTCCTATAAATTTATAGATTTCATTATATATATATATATCAAAAGTATTATAATGATCTTATTATTAATTAATATTAGAATAATGAAATTTGTTTGGCTTCAAATATTATTAGCTATTTCCTTGATTGTTTGTCAAAGCTAAGTTTGTAAAGTAAAATGATATTTAACATAGCTACAATAAAATTATCAAAATCTCTTACAAATGAATGAGAAAGAAACCTATCTCTTATACCTATAAGATTATTTTTATGGGGATGGACTAACATACAGTTTAAATGATAATACACACTACTTTTAACCCAATAATCCTGAAAATTTAGGTGGCATTAAAGGAGAAGCCATAAGTTTAATAATAAAACCTAAGAAAGTTGCTTAATAAAAGGAATTTTTATTATTATTAAACGTAAATGAAGGAAATTAAGAAACATATGAAATTCATAGTTTAAAGAATTTTTCTAAAAAAAACAAATTTTCTGCAAGTGTGTTTATTGCTAGATTTAATTCTGATCATTGTTATAATATGAATTAGATTGATGATTTTTTTATAATCACATGTTTAGACTTTGGATAGTAATAAATAACTTACTTAACTTTTAATTCTGATTATCATCTAATTAACACCTTTGATGTTAATATAGATTATGCACAAAAAGAGTCTAAAATAATTACAAAATCAGCTGGAAAATATTTATGCACATTAATGAACAATGGAGAGTATTAAGAAGGTGAATATGTCTCACATAATTCAAACTTAATCATTTTTTAGTTTGAGAAGACATAAAATTTTGAAGATTCAAAAATATTAATAAATTTAGTTTAATTAAACTAAATCCAGATTTCAAATGACTTTATAACAGGTTTTGATATTGTAAAAGAAGGACATCGTAAATATTATTTATAATTTAGTCTTTATTACATATTTTAATTAGGGAATTTACATACATCTTCTAAATTAAGAAAAATAGTATTAATTAGATATTTCATTAAAAAAAAGAATTCTAGGTATAAGTGCTCAGAAAATATCATATGGATTTTATGAATATAATATTGTATGTTGGGATGAATAGAAGTTATCTAATTTTTTGTATGATCCATCTAAAAATAAAATTGTAATGAATTAAAATTATTAAGATTTCAAAAGAGAAACTAATCTAAACTACTCAAATAAATTTATTACTTAATTTTGTTACTAATGTCTTTATCAATGAAAAGTATATAGTAGTATCAAATCTTAATGGTATAAGCATATATCCAACAATTATAAATGATGTTAATTAAGGCAGATTATTGTACTATTATCCATCGAAATCAAAAATAAGTTACTTCATAAATATTATAGATTATTTAATTTCTATTGAGGAACAATCATTAATTTTATATATGATTAATGATCCAATAATTAAATTAAAAAATATAGAAGTTAAAAAAACTCCCTAGATCTTTTAAATTAGAGCAATATCAAACTAATTTGATAAACCTTAAGTAGAATGCCCAACTGTTATTCTATATTTTTAAGTTTAAAATGAATAATTTTGGAAAAATGTAACAGAATAATATTTTGATTCTCCTTACGAGGTATCCTAAACGAATTTTTTAAGGGGATTGTATTAAGATGATAATTAACATCCTAGTAATATAAAAATAAATATTAAGTGTGATAAAATATAGCAAATTAAATTAAATTAAATGATCATAAGGAACTAGTTGGAGATTCAACCTAAATTTAAAAATCTTTAAAATTTTGATATTAAAGTTGATAAAATTTATTCAGAATTTAGGACTAAGGAAAAAAATTATTATCTGAGTGATGTGGCTTATTTGAAATAATAATTGCTTTATCAATATGATGATAATTATAGATTTAAAGAGAAACTTTATCTTCTTACTTAATAATACTTTAAAATTCAATTAATGGAATGTCTTGTTGAAGATTTCAAAAATTGTGTAATTTTGCATACTCAAAATATAGAAGTTTCAAATAGAATAGAATAGTTTATATTTAATATTCATAATGATTAAGTTTATTTAGGTTTTGCTTAAGTATTTGGATGGAAAGGTTATGATAATTTAGATGAATTCAATATTAAGGTTTCAAATGTAGTAATATTTAGTTATAAATTGAATGAAAAGAATCGTATTGTTAAAAAATATTAGATTTCCCATTTTTAACATAAGGTCTTATAATTAGAAATCATAGATGATAGAATATATATGCTCTATGAAATCAAAAAATATACTTATATTTTTACTTCTAAAATTAGTGACATCTATGAAACTATGGATATTCTTGAATTAAGTCACAAAGTAGATTATTGCAGAGTTTTTTCTTTTAATATAGAATTTTATGGATATTTTTTATATTATTTTACAATGAATATAGAATAATAGTTTACTTACTTGAATATAATTAATATTGAAGATGGGAAATTTGAATTAATAAATAAGATTAAATTTAAAGATGATTAATAATAAATACGAAGATTAGCTCATTATAGTCGTTTCACAAAAAATGGAGCTTATATTTCTATTGCATACGAATCGTTTTTATATTTTACTAGACACGATTTTTTTAAAATGGTATTTACTTAATCTAGTGAAAAAAGTTATGAAAATTTTGTAAAGAACTAAATAAAATTACCATTCAATTTTGGTGAATCTGAAGAAATTTATAGTTTTACTTATACCTCTAGCGAAAAATATTATTATATATTATAAACAGATTTTGCAGGCGATTATAAAATTTATATTTACAATATAAAATCTACAATTCTTAATTGTATTCATTATGTTATATCTAAAGAGATTTTTGATTTTCGTAGAAAAATAATTAGTTCATAAAAATATGATATTTTTTCACTAAATTAACTAGAAAATGGCATTTGGAGGTTGAGAGCTTCATAAATTTAATACATAAAACATGAACCTTTAATTACTATTAATTGCTTATAAGCTAAGGTAATAAGAAACCTCAAATCTATCAAAATTCCATTTGTGATATAAACAGAAAATCTGAAACCTGAATAATATCCAATATATAATTTTATTATAGATCTTGAATTTGATGATGAAGACTAAACAAACAATCAAGAAAGTTAAATAGATTCTACTTTGAGAAAAATATTTGATATGATAAACTAGAAATTAGATTGAATCTATCTTTATCAAATTCAGTACATTTTTATATTTTTAAAAAGATATATATTTTATTATAAATTTATATAATAATAATACAATTCATTAATATAATATTTCATAAGTTTCATATTTGCTATTCTTGCCTCCCCAATATGTTAAATATTATCCATTACTTGTTATTGCTCCATAACAACCTTAATTTTAATTATCCAATTCTTAAATACTTATCAATTTGCCATCATTTTGTTCTTTGAGTATACAAATATGGAATACATGTCTTAAACATATAAGATTTTTATCTTTATTATAAATAATAGGGAAGAATGCCCAATTTATTAATCCTTTATTATCTTTTTTAAATTAAACTCTCTTCTCTTTATTTTCTTAATAAACACCATTTGTATATTCAAATACACAAACATAATTACTCTTATATGCTACCCAAATGAATTAATTTTCTTTTAAAAACTTAACATGCCTTCCTTATTCTTATATTGTATTAATAACAACCTACTAAAACTCCCACTAATCATGAATACTTTTTTGCCAAATTATCATTGTCCCATCATACCCACAAGAAACTAATACATTTCCTGATTAATTTAAACTTAAGGACACAATAGGAGTAGTATGTTTTTCTAAAGAATAGAGAAATTACAATTCATTATTATTATAATCTACCCTCCATACTTTAATTGATGTATCATTACTACCAGAAACTAGTTAATCCTCTTTTTCTGTTATGGTCATACAATAGATAAAATCTTAATGTTGATAGCATGGTTTAGAACTTTACCATTTATTAATACCATCTAATTATTTCCATAATCTAATTGAATTATCATAAGATCCAGAAAAAAAACAATTCTTAAACTTACTATATATTAAACAATAAACATTCCCTTAGTGTCCTTCAAGTGTATCTGTTAAAGTGATTTATCCATGATCAAAATTCCATATTTTAATCTCATTATCACTTGTTGAAACCATTATTTTCCCTGTTGGATCAAATGCAATAGCTCTGCATTTTTCTTTTTATTCTTTAGAATCATTAATAAATTCTAATTATTTTGGACTTAATTAAAATTATTATTGAATTAACTTTTAAGATTCCTCTATTCTATTCAATATTTCAATACAATTTTGATACTATGGAAATTTTTCGAATTATGTTAACCAAAGTTTACTTTTATTGCTCCTAGCATTGTTTAATGATGTAATCTAATTAGATAAATCTAACTTATCATTTTTAATTGAATATTAATTTAGTATTATTGAATCTAATTCTTTGAAGAAGCTATAATTTGAGTATTATAAAACTATAGATTATAAGTTATCTATCCAATCCTTTGTATTTCTTAGTAATTGATCTAATTATAAAACTAGTTAAGACTTCAAGTTGATGATTTGATTTTTTAATGATTCAACATTTATGATTTCTATATTAATCATATTTTCTAAGAATTCCTAAAATTCTTAACGATTTTTCTCAATCATTTCAATAGCTTTCTAAAATCCAATAGTGCTTGATTTCTGTTTCATAAATGTAATGCATTCTTAACACAAAAGCTTTTAATTTAATATTAAACTAGGATCTAAATCAATCATTAAAACAGGTTATGAATGGTTATTTTAACAAAAAAGATCTTTTTCATTTTCTATCATTCTTTGTTTTTACATTATAATAAAATTGAAATTTGAATAAAATTATCTAATTTTTACAAAATTATGATACAATTTATAATGAAAAAACAATTAATGAGTGAGTTCAACAATCTTATTAAATATAATTTAAGATGTACATAAAATAAAATATTCAAATAAATAAACTTAATCTATTTATATTTAGTTTTTAGGGCTCTATTTGAACTAAATATTAACTCATTTTTTATAAGCTAAAATCAATAAATTAAAATTTTCATTAGTTAGAGCTATATATGAATTGAAAATTAATCAAATTTGTTTAAAAAGGTCTGATTACTTAATATATAATAATACTATCAATATAATAAATTTAATTCCAATTATAACTAAAAAGTCATTGATTTCATTTAATAACCCAAAATAATGAAGTTCTCTTATATGATCTTTTAAGAAAATTGAATTTTTGGTTCCATAATTAATAATACAATGCCTTAAAATACATTCCATAATTTATAATGTACAATTTTTATTTTGAATTCTAATTAAAATGAGATTTTATTGTTTTTATATATATTCAATAATATAAATAATAATGTCAACTTAGTCATAGTTAACTTTTCAAATACTAATAATTGGATCTTCTGGGTAACTTTATTTAATTATTTTTACATAGTGTTGGCAAAACAGCTATAGTAAAACAATACATTGATTCTAATATTAATAATATATCATCTACAATAGGAAGTGAATGGAATAAAAAGGATGTAATTATTAATAATAAAATTGTGACACTTTCAGTAAAAATTGATACTAACTTTAGTTATGGCAATTAAATAATTTTAGTTTTAGAAGATAAATAATAATTGCCAAGAGAGCAGATTGCTGTATCATAGTATTTGATATTAATGATATTGAGCCAACATAAACTTTGGAATTATGGAAAAACTTATATTAATAAGAGTGCCCATTTGAAAATCCAGAAAATAGTATTATTTTCATCATCTAAAATGATTTTGTTGAGAATAATGAAATAATCAAGAGTCATCTTGTTGAATAGTGGTGTAAATAAAATAGAATTAAATAATTTTTCAAAATATCTGCTAATGACAATCTGATTGTTAATGAAACATTCTTAGAGATTACAAAGATCTTATTAAGAGAAAAGTAAAATTTTATGAACAAGAGTAGCTAAGCAATTAATCAAAAAGATGATTCTTCGAATGTAAAATCATTTGAAAATATGATGGTGAAATAATAATTAAAATGCAATATGTAAGAAAAAATTGATTCTTTTAAATGTTATAATCAACATGATAGCCCACCAATCATAGTACTACTTGATGATAATCTTAAAGGAGCCTAAAGATTAATCTGTTCTCAATGCATAATTGATATAAGAGGACGTTTTAATGGAATTAATATTGATGAAGCAATTTTCTAAATAGAAGACCGTAAAAATAATTTCCTTAATGAAATATCAGATTTTAACCAAAAGATTCTAAACATTTTAAATTCTTTCAAAGATTAAATTCTGTAAAATAAAAATGAAATTATCTAAACTATGGATTAAATGATAAATTAAGTTGATAATTGGATGGGTGATATATAATAATTTGAGTAGAAGTAATGCTCTTACAAGTTTTTAGATGAAATAGATAAATTAAATCACTTTATTGAACAAGTATAAAATAATTAAATTAATGAATTTAAAAAAGTTATATTCACCATTAACTAAGCCTATGAAAAAAAAATCTAACTTTCAAAACTATTATTACATGAGTAATTGCTTTTGGCTTAAAATAATTTAAGATTACATTCATCTAATGTTTCATTTAAGCGATTGAATTCAGAAGTAACAAAAGATGATGTAGAAACAAAAACATATAACTAGATATAATACTAATTAGTTTAAGAAGTTAAATAAAAAGATTGGTGCCATGCATTAGCATTCAATTATGATGAATCCATAATGGCAGGGAGTATTGGTAAAAGCATTAAACTATGGAAATTTTAATAAGGATAATTGTAGGATAATAATATAGTCTTAGATGGTCATGAAAAGCTGATTAAATGTATTGTATTCAGTTAAAAAAATAATTGGTTTTTCTCTGGAAGTGAAGATAACACGATTAGAAGTTGGAAAGAAAAATAGGGTTGGTTTTCTTCTAGTAAATGGGAGAGTGTTAAAGCTATTAAAGCACATTAAGACTGGGTAATTTAATTAATATTAAATGAATAAAAAAATGAATTGATATCATGCAGTGTAGATAAGACAATTAAAATATGGAAAGTTTCTTATGATTCAAATTCAATTAAATTTTTAGAGTCTCTTGAAAAACATTAAGAATAAATATTATCAATTAGTTTAAATTAATCTAAATAATAATTAATTTCTTGGGGAGAAGACAAATATGTAATTTTATGGGAAAAGAATTAATAATAAAAATGGTAATTTAAAAATAACATCTTATTATCAATCCAAGAAATAAATAGAGGTGCTAGATTTCTTATGGATAATTAAATTATATGTAAAACATCAAAAGGATAAATAGAAAACTATATATTAGAAAAAGATAAATATCAAAAAAAGCAGGTATTGGATTTTAATGTTGAAAATCCAGATTTGAATCCATAAGAATTTTAAATTATTTTTAATATTTAAACATAATTAATAGTAATGAAACATCATAAATATTTTTATTTTTTTAGAAATAATTTGGATAAATGTAAATTTGAATAAGTTTGCTAACCTATGGAATGTCAAAAAGAAGTTTGTTTTTTTAACATTACAAATGATGGCAAATACTTAGTTGTGTGGATTTGGTATCCTATATTAAGATTTAAAATATATGAATTGATTTATAGTAATAAGTATTGATGATAATAAAATGATATTTTTATCTAAATATTTATCAAAAGCATTCCCGAATAGACATAAAAACTTAAAAATTTTAATAATAAATAGTCTAAGTTAAAAGCTTTCATTTCAATAATAATTATACATTGATTTATTCTATATTGTAAAAGAGAGATAAATTTAGAAATTTATTCATTTGTGAATTCAATATATATAACATCAACTAAACTATAATAAATTTAGAGAGTATAATTATTCAGATGAATGTTGTTACAAATAATTAATAAAATTATTATTCCATAATAAATTTAATAATTAATTAAATTTTAAGAATGGATACATATTTCAACACTTAATTCTCAATTAATTATAAAAAACATAATCTATTTATATCTTATTAAATATAAATATTTACATATATTATACTTTTATTCAAAAATATAAGTTCTATATTTTTTAATATGAATCTAAAATAAAAGAATAAATACTTTACAAACTATAATTTTGTCATTGGCCATAATCTAATCAATTCATATTTATTTTAATCTATAATTAAATCTATAAAGTAAACAGTTTGATATAAATTATAACTTTTTCATTTTGATTTCAATTACACATAAAATAATATTGTTCAATTAAATCCAGGATTTAAAAAAGTATGCAAAATTTGGATTATATGAGGGAAAATCCACTTTGAATTTAATTATTTCTATTTGCAAGGATTATTTCTTTCAGTTAATTTAGATTGCTATTTAACAAGAACACCGAGATAACTCTAAAATACTTAGTCATTGCCTAATATTTTATTTACACTTATACACAAGAAACTTTAGACATTTGGGATATTTAAGAACATTATTTTTCCTAATTATTAGATTCATTTATCATATTATTAAGAGTATTGATCACTTGGGATTATAATCAAAGATATATACACACATGGTCTGTATCTAATTAATTTGATAAGATATTGTTTATTATATATATGTAGATTTATATTTAATATATAAGTAATAATTTTAATCATAAAATACAAAATATAATGTCTTATTCATCTTTTATTAGATTCATATTCTTCAACATTATTAAAAAATACTTTTTCAACTCCAATTCTACTTGATTTTGTACTTAAAATTCTTGAACTTTGTGGGGATATTATTTATCTATAAGTAATATTTGTTAATATTTACCTTGAATTTCTCAATTATACTTTTGATAAAAAGATTAAATGGTTCTTCAATTTGGCAATGTTACTCTTAAGTTTGTTTTATCTTAATTTTTCTTTTTCCAAAAACTTTCCTAAAATTATTGCGAAATAGAAATTAGGTACTTTCAAATTAAGAAAGAAATGTAATTTATTCAAATAAAAGAATTGATACTTTTTAAAATAGTTTCTTGCAATTCCAAAAACAAAAGGGTAACAAAGTTTGATAAAGCATCCAATAATAAACATTTGAATCAGAATAGAAGGCAATATATAATTTTTCTATTCACAAATACTTTTAGTAAGTGCTAAAAATATAGAAATTGAGCAAATTTGGGCTGTTTATAAATCTAAAGAATTATATTTTTAAATAGTAAATGGTTTATTGAAAATTGCCAATATTTAATATATTAATAAACCCAATCCTAATAATGATGCTTTTAAAACTATTTCAGTTTCAAAATTTGTCATAATAAAAATAATAATTGATTTTTTAAATAATTTGATTAATTCCCAATAATATCTTTCTTATTTATATTCATTTAATAAATAACAAATATGTTTCCTTAATTTAATTTTATCTAACTTATTTTTGTTTAACATCAATAGAATATATATAAAAATAGGTATAAATACACCAATTATAAATATACCAGGAATAATAAAATAATACATCCACTTTTAATGAATTTATGAACCATATTACAAGGATACATCTCCCTAAATGTAATTGTGATTTGATACTTCTCGTTTCGAAAGCGCAGATGAAAACCTTTTCATTTTAAATATTATACATTTTAATCAATCCTGCATAATTAAATACATACAAATAAAGTGCAGTGTTTGAAAAGATACTTATATCATGCTTTTGTTTAGTTATTAAAGTATGTAAATATGCTCCTGCAATAACTAGATTAAATAGTATAATCATTAAGATTAACATTGTGAATATTTTTAAATATAAAATATGAACACTTTAAATAGAAGATATATAACAGTCTAAATCCTTGGCTATGAAATATGAAGTATCACTTGTTTATTCAATAAAAAGAAGAGAAAATGAAAATCTAATATTAAATGTAAAAATGACTGAATAAATCCACAAATAATTGATCAACATTTTTAATTATATGCTTTATTGATCTAATGTAATTTTATTAAATATTATTTACCTTAATTTAATTTAAATAATATTTTGCTAAATCTTTAAGCAATTATTAGTTATGAATATAATTAATTAGATTTAGAGATACTTCTTAATGACATTGATATAGATATAAAAGTCCTATCATTAATAAAAAACAATATACCAAAGACTTATTAGCATAAATGGAAATATACTGCTCCAATCAAATTAACATTTTCTACAATTTTAATCCCATTAGTTTTTATAAAAATTACCTAATCCTCTTATGTTATACATATCACACTCTTCACATAAAGCACCTATATGTCCAAAACTACATGTCTAATCACCAACCTACCATCCTCCAATACAAAATAATGGATTTTTGAAACAAGGTTCTATATAATCAGAAAAATTATTAGGTCTCCAAAATCCAGGGAGTAATTTAATCATATTTGAAGTAATATCAGAGTATTTACTTTTATCAAATATAGAACACTTTGTTGCATTGTATGTAACTGAATAATAACCTTAATTATGTTAACATATTTGACATCCATTATTAACATAAAATTCACCAAGTTAACATTTCAGACTCTTTGTATATATTCTATATTTTAAAGTATTATTTGATTCTTTTAATTAACAACTTATATCAATTTATAAATAATTGAACTCTTATTTATATGGATCTAAACTAAATGATAGTGATCCAAAATCAAAAGAATTTGTTAAAATATCAAAAATTAAAATCTGACTAACTTGTTTGTCTACTATTTCTTATTTGTCTTTTGTTATTATTTTATTCTAAACCGTACAAGATGAATTGATATACTTATGCATTGCTTCATTTCTACTGTTTTTATAAGATAAAACAATATCTTTTATAAAAGGTTTATATTTTGATTAATGAATGTCAAAAATTTAAAAAGTTTTTATAATCTAATTACTTGGAATTAATAAATCTTTCATAAAAATTTAAGTACCTTATTCAATCATTCTGTATGTTTTTAAATGTAATATATTTATTTACTAATTGTTTATATTAACAAATTGTGAAGGATTCTCCATATAATTAATGTAAAAAGCTAAATGAGTTGGAATCTCTATGATATTATTCCCATATTCTTAAGCAATATTGAAAAGTAATAAGGATGATAAAAAATTATTATTATTTAGATTGCAGTTACCATCTAAATATATACCACCTCCTATTCTAGCTATATTTCCTATAATGATTGTTCTATTAACAATAAAATCACAAGATTCAATTTACATATATAAACCTCCTCCCAAATCCTCAGCACTATTGTTAATTAATTTGCATTATTTAATTTTTAGACTCACTTTTTATGAAAATATACCAATACCTTGAGTGCCATTATTAAATAGGAAATTAGAATTCTCAATTAAGATTTTTTATTTAAGATATGTATTAGATGAGAAATGTAAGCATCCAAACATTTTAATTTAATTATAATTGCAATTGAATTTCTCAAATTTAATAAATTTAAAATCTGATAATTCAAAAAAGATTAGACCGTTTTAACATTATTAGCAATCATTATGTTCAAATGTAACATCTCGAAAATAGAATCCATTCAAATTAGAAATACTTTATATATAAATGAGTGAACTTTCTTTATCATTATTTTATTGAAAAGAACTAACAATAGTCTAAAAATAATCTCGTTAATATTTTTCAATATATTATTAAACTATTTTACATCCTCTTATGTTATAAGTTTGTTATTAATAAGTTGATTATTAAATCAAATTATTTTAATAAAGTGAAATATTTTTTATACTTAGATTATCAATTGCAATAATTGATTATAATTATTAAAGTTAAATTACTTAAATTAGATTGAATGAATATAATACTTATATTTTATCTAATTTAATATTATATAGTTATAATTTGGGTATATTTGCAAATTGAAAGACAGAATTAATAATGAGCCCTTCTATAACAAATTCCTTAATCAAGACAATACAATTTTGAAATGAAATTAAAGAATTTTAATTATTTATAGTATCTGTTATTTCTTAAATGTATAAATCTCTAATTTTAGCAAAATAATCTATCCATACTTAATAATTTTAAATTATTTTCATATTTTTAATTGTAATAATATTTTTATTAGCTATTAATGATGAAAATTATACATTCATTATTTAATTGACTAATGAAAGACAATTTAATATATTAGTATCTTATAATAAAATAATATTAGATTATTTTGAAGGTATAATAGTGAATATAGAAGAAGCCATCCTATTTAAAATATTTGATAAAAAAGCATTTACTAATCTAAGATTTAATTTACTGTTTGATGAATAAATGCTAAAACATCCTGTGCCTTTTTCAGTTGATAATAGATTATTTTCTACTTGATTTATTGTAATATTTTATAAATCTATAAAACCTTCTTCTGTAGTTGTAATCTCAAAAATTAAGCTTTACATAGCAAGAATTTTAGAAAATGTACAATTAAAACAAGATAAATTTTAAACTAAAAATTATCCTACTCCTCCAGTATTCTTTATTTATAAAATTTAGAAAACGATTTCATTTAAATTATCTTAATTCAGATTGTCATTGAATTAAAGTTCATAATATTTAACCCACAATTATTATGATAAATAGTTATGGTTACATATTGTAAAATTAGATAGGATTAAATTAAATGACATTACTGTAATAAATGAATTTGTAGAATTGGTGAGTGCATTATTCTTACTAAGAAAATTCTATATTTTTAGTTAACTTAATGAAGACTAAATGTATAATAAACTAATAGTTGTCCTTATTGCACTACTAGAATATGAATGTAAAAAGTTTTCTTCATATTTGATATTTTCTAGTAGTATGTTTACTCTATTATCTTATTCAATTATTAATAAAGAGATGTAATTATTTAAAGTTGATTAGATGAGAATATTTTCAGCAAATGTAAGATTAATAATCTCTATCTAATTCATATCATATGATAAATTTTAGTAACTTGGATTAATCTATATTATAGGTTCATCAACACTGATAATTTTTAAGATATATACATTCTCAATATAAATATTAGTAAATCCAAAAACTTAAAGTAATTTGTTTTTTTTATTTTTTGTTAAACAAGTTTATGATAAAGGAATTTTAAAATTTTGAATAGAGTGTTAATATATAATATTTACAATAGTTATATTCTTATTTTCAGACAATTAAAATATTATTAGATCATCATTATCATTAATTAAGAAATTTGATATATGAATTTCTTTACTATTCATGCAAAACAATTGACTTTTACCATTATCATTATTGGAACATGACTTTTTTTATTTAATTTCTTTTTTTAGAATCTAATTAAAAATATTTGCTTAGCTGTAGAATATTTGCTATTATTATTAATTGAAAAGTGTGAAAATTTAATTATAAGAAAATTAGTTGATAAGGTTGAAAATATCAAAATTAAACTTGATGTCTAAAATTGATTTTGATTAGCTTCAAAATCAATAATATTACATAGAATTTCATTCTTTAATAATATCTAATTAATTGAAAGGAATTATGAAAAAGTAAATACATTTTAATATATACTTATCATATTCATTTTAATATTATAGTTAACTGATATAATAATAGATGTATCTATAAGATTTGAATATAATTGAAAATCTTATAAATTTACTTATATTAAATATGTACTATTTATTAAATAAGAGTTATAGAATTTATTTTTTTTTATAATGGTATTTAATCCATTTAAAATTCTTAATTATGGATAACTAGTGTAAAAGGTAAAAATTGATGAGTTTATTAAATTAGATTTATCTATAATAAGATATTTATAAGATAATAAGGATTCAATTTAGGATAATTTAAATAATGCTGATTCTATAAATGTACAATTTTTAATTTATAAATTTATTATATTAATTGATCCTCGCATTTAAAACGATTATGAATTAAAAATTGAGGAATTAATAAGGGTAGTGTTTATTATGGTAAAATTATTTAGAGTTATATTCCCAAATTATTCTGTTTTAAATAGTGAATCAATATTTTATAATATACTCTATGTTATAGTAAAATTTGTAAGTATTAAATGAATTTTAGTATTACTATTATAAAAGATAAAATGTTAGTTTGAGTCTATTACAAATCCTAAATTACTAATTTCTACTTAATCAAAATTATAAAAAGGTTTAAAATTAAATGAAATGATATCTAAATATTATGATGATGAAAATTTGAGGTTGACTTTTTTTAAGTTTATAAGTTTTTATTTTAATTCTGTTTGAATATTGAATGGAAGAATTAGAAAACATTATTAATTTGAGATCTTAAGAACGAAATTAATTGTCAAATTTTCAATTCCAATTTGATTGCAATATTGAGTATTAATTTTTGACTCATAATATCTATTAAATCTTGTAAAATCACATGATTCATATGAAACATCAAAAACAAATTGATCTTTACAATCTTTAGTAAAACAATACCTTACATATTATGAATAAGGATCATAAGAAAAGGAAGGATCAAAGTATGGTTTAATACATTGTTTAGTATAAATTTAGTTTTGATCATTAACAATGAAAAGTGGATAGTCTCGCTATTCATAATATTTTATTTTTTTACTTGAATATCTTTATTCAAACGATGCAAGCATACTTAACACAATGGATGACAATAAGTACACTTATTGCTTGATTCTGTTATAATTTATTTTTTGTAATAATTTAATGGACATAATTTACAATAAGAACTTATTTAATCACATAAAATGCATGAAGGATCACATTCTGTAACTTTTTTTTAATTTAAAAACTTATTGTATACATATTATTTCAATTATGGAACAAATTAAAGAATAAAACTTTGAATCTTATTTTGTAAATTATAGATTAAGTTTTTCTATACATCTAATTCTTCATTTTAATAACATTAATCATTTTCAATAATGAAATTACTTTAACAAACTATGCATTTGATTTATAGATCTAAATTTAGAGAACATATTAGACAATTTACAATATATTTCTAACAATTAGATATCTCTGGTGCAATAGAAAAGTCATCATTCATAGATGAAACACATTATTCCTAATTTTAAAAATTTATATAAGATCTTTGACAATTCATAATTTCAGGGATTTATCTTAAGCATAATTCTAAAGTAAAATCAAAAATGTAGTTTTCTTCACAAAGTGCACAACCTATTTTGAAATTTTGCCTTAAATTCAAATTCAAACTAGGTAACTTAACTAAAGAGCAGTAATTTTAATTAGTTGTAGAGTATTCAAAACAGTATATGCAATTTTTGATTTTACAAATTTTACAATAATTATCAAAGGAATAATAATATGGTGGTAAACAAATAAGTTCAAATTTAGCTTTTACTGAAGGTTAAAATATACATTAATCATTTATTAATTTATAATCACCATAACATTTTACACATATAAAAGTAGTAGGAGTTACTTAACAAATTTAACAACTTTTTATGAAACATTCATAACAAATGAATTAATCAGTATCAACAAAATCCATTTATTAACAAAATTGTCTAAAATAATTTTAAGACAAATAAAATTCTTTATAAATGCCTGTAGTATTTGTAATTAAGGTTTCATAAGAAAATGAATATGTGTTATGAATAGAATTAAGTTATATTCCATCAAAATAATATTAAACATCACCAAATAGAAGTAATGCCTCATAATAAGATGTATTTGGTTTGATAACTAATACTCTTTGGCAAATTGGATATTCAAACCATGATTTAGGGTTATTAAGACATTCTAGGCAACTAATAAAATCATCCTTAATAATAGAAGGACTAAATTTTAATTATTTTTTTACCATTATATACAATTCCCATCAAATTCAAAAAATCCATATTAACAATTCTAATTATTATTAAGATTTTAATCTTCAATCAATCTAAGGTTTGAATCTACGTATGTTTAACATTTATTTTAATTATCTATTGTATTATATGGACAAATGCAGACTTTATGTTCTTAAATATAGATTCTTTAAGATTCAATGGAACAAGACAAACAATTCTAATTGGTTGGACCATCACATTCATAACAACTGTAATGACAATTTTATGTTGTAATTTCTTTATAACAATTAAAAAACTCTAAATTTTTTATTTAGATGTTTAAATAATTCATTTATGTTTATTAACAATTACCATATTAGAGTTTAAATAAACAATTATGAAAGTGATGAACTTCAAATTAAGCATCATAATAGAATATTTCTTAACCTTCATAAAATGTAATTTCTACAATTAACTTATTATCTAATAATTCAACTTTGAGATAATGCCATAAATTGATCATATTTTTAATTAATAATATTTTCTTTATTAGGAAAGGATTATCTTAAAAATCAATAGAAACATCAGGAAAGGTATAACTATACGTAATGATTTCTATTTCATTTTATAATGATGTTATATGATAAAATAATTAAAAGGGCGATAAATTTTGATTTTAAAATATTGGGTTCTGTAAATTTGGTGAAATTTTCATTAATTAATAATTGAGTATTCCAGATGGATTAATAATCTCTTTAATTTTAATCCAACCTATTAATACAAATGATTCACAATTTAAATTATCAGAAAAATAGATGTCATATTCTTATTATTTAAAATCCTTATCTCCAATCAAGAATTTCTCATTTGGTTAACAAATACATTAATCAAATTATTTATATGCTTAATTTGCAATATCAATAAAAGCAAAATCAAGTGTTAAACTTTAAATTGAAAATTCTTACAAAATAATAGTGCCTGGAAAATAAGAGAATATTTCACCATTTTTAATTTCATGTATCTTTGAATTATGTACTCTAAAATTACCTCCAAATGATAGGATTAAGTTTTCATCATTAAATGGATATTTCATTGACTTTATAGTTTAAAATAAAACTTCCTACCTTTTAATAAATATCAATTTAAATATATTCTAAGATGGATAAGCTATTAATTGTAAGTAATACCAAGTGTTTTCATAATCAAATGAATCAATTTCTATTTAAAGTCTAACCTATTCATCTAAATTATTAATAAATAGGATTTTTTTAATTATTTTTCTTGAAACAGAGTCTAAGCAATCATAATAAATAAGATTTAAACTTTATGAATTCTATTCAATTGCATTATGTAAATGAAAGCAGTGACTATCGAATAATCCATACATTCCTACCTATGTAATTGTACTTAATGGATTATACTTTGACCATAATCCATAAGTCAAACAAGTATTAGTTGTATATTCATTTTCTGTTAATTAAATAAATTTCCTTTGATATTGATAAGCTGGATTCATTTTGATGGTCTCAAAACCATTCAACATCTTTGTACTTAATACCAAGAAACTTATTAATATCATAAGAATAGAGTGTGTAAAACTTTATATAATTAATATATTTTATAAAGTTTATTCTTATATTTGAATTTCTTATTATAGGTAATAATAAAAAATATATTATTTTTAAATAATTCAACCATCTTTTTAAATTTAAATTTTAAGCTTCATTAACATATATTTTAATGCTTTATTAATTGACATTATTAACAATTATTGTTCATTCATAATAAAAACATTATCATCTTTTGTTTCTAAAAAAATATTGTTAATGATTAGAATTTACAAAATATTATTCAAGATTTTATGAATTATTATTGAATATATATTTATATTAATATTTTATACTTATTTATTATTTTACATATTAAAAAGTAACAAATTTAATAATATTATATGTAATTTCTTTTAATTCATTTCCATCCTTAAATAGTTGAAATACCTTTGTAAAAGAACATTAATGTTTTGTTACTCAGCACAATTATATCAAAAATACTTTTTGTTATTCTAAATTATATATTATCAAATGCAATTTAATTAATATCAGTCAATTAAAAATTAAATAGAAAGAAAGTTTAAATAGTTTCATTAATTAATATGATGTTGTTATCTAATCATATACATATAAATACTTGAATAAAGAAAGTATTAATTTAATAAATAAAGAAAAGTATATTATTCAATCAAAAAATGTACTTAATTATTTTTAAATTAGAGCACAATCTTGGTTATCAATTAAGACTGGTGTTTCTTATCTGAAAAAATACAGAAACATAGTTTAATGTTCATATTTTGAATGAAACTTAAATTTAAATTTTAATTCTTACCCAACCTTAAATAGGAATACTGGCTTCATAAATTCCACTTCCTTATATGCAATTGTTTCTAAATTCACCAACATATCTAGTATTGTCATTAAAAATAAGTTCTCCATTGCCATGCATCTTTCCCTTATACACATTCCCCTTATATACACACCCATTAGCAAATTCAAATTTACCTTAACCATGAATTTTGCCATCTTAAAATTGTCCCACATAAATTGTTCCATTTTTTCTTATTTCTGTACCTTCTCCAATCAATTTATTATTAAGCCAAAATCCTCTCACTTCTTTACGAGAATTCACAAATTTGCCTATACCATTAGCTACATTATTGACAAAATTCCCATCAAAACTAAACAAATATAAATTGTTTATAANATATTTTATAAAGTTTATTCTTATATTTGAATTTCTTATTATAGGTAATAATAAAAAATATATTATTTTTAAATATAATTCAACCATCTTTTTAAATTTAAATTTTAAGCTTCATTAACATATATTTTAATGCTTTATTAATTGACATTATTAACAATTATTGTTCATTCATAATAAAAACATTATCATCTTTTGTTTCTAAAAAAATATTGTTAATGATTAGAATTTACAAAATATTATTCAAGATTTTATGAATTATTATTGAATATATATTTATATTAATATTTTATACTTATTTATTATTTTACATATTAAAAAGTAACAAATTTAATAATATTATATGTAATTTCTTTTAATTCATTTCCATCCTTAAATAGTTGAAATACCTTTGTAAAAGAACATTAATGTTTTGTTACTCAGCACAATTATATCAAAAATACTTTTTGTTATTCTAAATTATATATTATCAAATGCAATTTAATTAATATCAGTCAATTAAAAATTAAATAGAAAGAAAGTTTAAATAGTTTCATTAATTAATATGATGTTGTTATCTAATCATATACATATAAATACTTGAATAAAGAAAGTATTAATTTAATAAATAAAGAAAAGTATATTATTCAATCAAAAAATGTACTTAATTATTTTTAAATTAGAGCACAATCTTGGTTATCAATTAAGACTGGTGTTTCTTATCTGAAAAAATACAGAAACATAGTTTAATGTTCATATTTTGAATGAAACTTAAATTTAAATTTTAATTCTTACCCAACCTTAAATAGGAATACTGGCTTCATAAATTCCACTTCCTTATATGCAATTGTTTCTAAATTCACCAACATATCTAGTATTGTCATTAAAAATAAGTTCTCCATTGCCATGCATCTTTCCCTTATACACATTCCCCTTATATACACACCCATTAGCAAATTCAAATTTACCTTAACCATGAATTTTGCCATCTTAAAATTGTCCCACATAAATTGTTCCATTTTTTCTTATTTCTGTACCTTCTCCAATCAATTTATTATTAAGCCAAAATCCTCTCACTTCTTTACGAGAATTCACAAATTTGCCTATACCATTAGCTACATTATTGACAAAATTCCCATCAAAACTAAACAAATATAAATTGTTTATAATACTAATCCCCATTTGGATAAATCATCCTAGCTCTTCCATTTAGTTGATTATCGATCCAAGTTCTTTAAATATTAGAATATAGATTTTACCCTTCTAAAAAGTTTCCTTCTTTCTACCAGTGCTATTTTCCTTAACCATTTCTCTTTCCATTTAGTGTTTATCCAAAAAATATACTTTGATCCGGCATCATGATATACTGGCCCTATAGATTTGGGAATAAATCTCCCAATTCTTAATGCACTAGTTAAACTTTAGGATGTAGCTCTCCTATACTGCTTAAGTTCATTCCAATTTGTAAATAATAATCTTAAGAGTCAGATAAATCTAAATCTGTCTAAAGTGTTGTTTGATTGACTAAATTAATGTAATAGCAATGTACTTGAATCTGGTAATTTGATATTGAATTGTTATTGTGGCTAATCTTTACTTGATACACAACCCATTGTTTAATATTTTCAATTTAGATAATTTTAATTGATACTAAATTCGAATACACAAACATAAATCAACTCTTAAAAATTCAGAATTTAATATTCAAGATCAACATACTTAAAATATCATTTAATATGCAATGAATAAATTTATGCGTAATTTCTAATTACATTTTTTAATATGATTTACAAAAAGAACATGTTTCATAAAATGATAATTTTTTTTATATTATATTATTATTCTCATTACAAAAATGCTAATGGAACTAAGAGGGATATTATGCTTATTTGAAATTTACTTTATTATTTTATTACTATATTATAATGAATGAAGAATTTAATTGGAATAATATATTTAAAATATATAATTTCAATGAGTTTATCTAGGAATGGATCTAAGTTTTCAAGACATGATCGCATTGCAAATTCTTAGATAATAGATTTAAAGAAGAATAAAATGTATCCATCTTCAAGCAAGAACTCTGATTAACCAGGTGGATTTTTTCTTAGTTTAGCTAATATGAAAGCACCAGATTATGGATAAGCACAATTATTAAATAATGATACATTGAAAAACAAAATAAAAGAGAAAAGAAATTAAAAATCAATGGATAATGATTCTATGTTGAATAAATTTGTTACTAAAGTTGAAACTAAATTGATTTCATCACCATTAAAAAAAAAAGTAATTGCCATTGATCCAAAAACTGATATGCCTACTTAAATCAAACCATATTCACTCACTCCTTAATCTCGATTATAATCATTTCGTATAGCAAGTCCTTCATAAAAACCTAGATCATAAAGTTAAAATAAAAGAAATGAAATCTATTATCTAAGTAAACTATAAAGGGCTTTTGATGCTAATGGTTCTGATTATTTCTCTCGCATGTATCGTGAACATTTTCATTAAACTTATTAAGGATTAAATTGTAGATTTTAACCTCAAAATAATAATGACTATAATAGGTCTCATAAATTACCAAAAAAACATTAAAGTATATTACATCATAACAAAATAAGGATAACTCACTTTGTTTTTTGATTTAGATGAAACATTGGTTCATTGTAATGAAACACCCTCTATTCCTTGTGATGTAATTTTAGAAATCAATGTCTCTAAACATCAAATAGTAAAAGCAGGAATTAATGTAAGACCATATGCAAAAGAAATGTTAAAAAATCTATCAAACTATTTTGAAATAATAGTCTTTACTGCCTCACATAGTTGTTATGCAGAAAAGGTAATAAGAATATTTGATTAGGTTTGCAATCATTTAGACCCTGATTCTACCATTATAAGTCATCGATTATTTAGAGAAAGTTGTACTTAAACTAATACTTCCTTATATACTAAAGATTTAAGAATATTTTGTGATAATACAAATAGATAATTAAGTTAAGTTGCTTTGATTGACAATGCCTCATATTCTTATGCATGGTAAATAGACAATGGAATACCAATACTTCCATTCTATGATAATAAAGAGGATAGAGAATTAATAGAATTGGAGAAATATTTGAAAAACATGATAGGAACATCTGATATAAGAGAATATAATAGAAATAATTTAAAATTACATTTGTTTGTAGATTAACGTGGACCTTATAAAGTATTAGAAAATCTATTTGGTAAACCACAATAACTTTTATGAGTATTAGAAGTTTATCAATAAATTCATTCAATGCTTTTTTCTTAATTTAGCATCAGCTCTTTATGCTTCTTCTAATTTAGTCTTCATTTTCATAGCTAAATCAAAATTTCCAGTCTTCCATGCAATCAAATCTTCTCTAAAATTAGAATCAGATGGTAAGGGATGACTAATAATAATTATTAATAATAATAATAATACTCTTCATCTTCTAATACATAAGGTTCTGTATTAATATTCCATATTTCTTAATTATCTATAAACATATTTTTATGCCATATTCCATTAATTTTTGAAATTTCCCTTATAATTTCATTTTATTTCAATTCTTTAAATTTCAAATATCCATCTTTTTAAAATCTTCTAACAAATTCTTCATTCACTTCATAGATGAAACCTTCAAAATAATCATCTAAATGTTCTCTCCTTTTTTTCCATAATGAACCTGGATAAGGATTCATTTTAATTTCAGCAACTAATCTATGTTTCAAATTAATAACATGAAATTTCCCCACCATTTAGAATAATTTATCACCATACAATGTACCTGTATAAAGTCCAGAACAAGGTAAGAAAATGAGTTCATTTTTAGATTCATAGAAATAAACTTTCGTATATCCTTAATTAATTCCACTAACTGAATTAGCTGAAATACTTGCTACAGTACATAAACGATGATTTACTCTAATATATATAATAAAACAATTCTATACCTATATCCTTTTCCATAAATCAATAAATTACTAATAGGTGGATGATGTGATACTTATTCTGCATAAATAGGACAGCCATTAATAAATCCTGAGTATGTTTCTCCAAGTATAGGATTAAATGGCTTCCACATATTCAAATATAAAATAACTGTACCATATCCATATGGCAAAAAGTTTTTAAATTGAAATAGATGATCTTTTGATACTGCCCCATCTAAATATTATAAGTAAGTTAATGAATTAGCATATCTCTAGAGATTACTTTATTTTTCAAAGACATAAACAGGTAAACTTATACTCATTATAGACTTTCCAGCAGCTAAATTTGTTCCTATTTAAGACAGTAAATATGAAAATACTTTCTTTTATTCTTTTAATCCAACCTAATCAACATATAATAAACCACCTTAATTTTAATCTATTTTCCAATTATTTTTTAATAAGAAATGTCCCTCTAATGTAGATTTAAGGAATTTTGGTTCTACTTCAATAGGTTCTAATTGAAATTCATTATTTAAACAAACATTCCAGTGTTTATTCTATTAAACAAATTCTAAAAGTTCCATTAAATTATTAGGTATCTTACTTCCTAAATCTATTGATTAATCAAATTTTTCAGTTATAAAATCATCAGAATGATTAGATAAAGACATAGTAGTTTATAGTTATTATTATTATTCAAAATGTAAATCTCTAAAATTAATAACATAATCAATATGATCTGATAAACAATGATATTATTCCATAAATGCTATATTTTAAGTATCAAAAAAGACATTATCATTTAATTAACATATAATCTAAACTATTGTTTATTGAGTCATTAAATCATTTGAATAATTTTGATTTCTTTTTTAAATTCCATTAAATGAATATTTTTAAATAGATTTTCTGAATAATTTAGCAATTGAATATATTGGATTTGTTGAATTAAGTTATTTTTCTATAATACAATCTGAAGATTTGTATCTCATGATATATAATTATGTTTCTCTCTAATATCCAAATATGGATTAAATTCTAGTTTACTCTACTACCTTATAATCCTAATAATCAAACATTGTCCATTCAGCTCCTATAAATTTATTAAATCCAAAACCCTCATACAGAAAATGTTTAACAACTTCAATATCATGTTCTAATATAACTTATACTTAGTACAATCCTCTCTTAGATACACTTTTATAAACATTATTTCCTACTCTATTAAATTCTCCTTACCTAAATTTATCCACAGTTATATCAGTTAAATATAAAGGAAGATTTGATACTTTAGGTATTGTTTCTACTATATTATGTGGAGTGAATGCATGTAATTATTATTTCTCTTCTTAATTGAAACAAGTAAAAGTCTCTTATTAAGTCTTTTTTTAATTATCTGGAGATTCTGGTTATTCTGATATTTTTTACATATCTTTATTGGATGGTTTAGAGAATAGCCAACTCTCATTATAATTGTCACTTTTACTCAAATCCAATTGATCAGATTTATTCAAAGGAGGAGAGGAGGCTGTTTATTTTGCAAATTCAACACTCATCCTTCTTGGTTAGATTGGTTTAGTATCACAAATTGGACTCAAAAGATTAAACCATTTTTTAGCATATTCTTCATCATCTGATCCTAAAATCAATTACTTATAATGATCATATATTGCTTGATTATGTGCAATTAAAATAAAACAATAATGCAAACTTTTACTCTTCTTTTAACCTATCCACATTATTCCATATTTTGATAATTACATTTCTACATTACCTTCTTTTCTAGGTACAATTAGTTTTTTATGTGTTAAATTCAATTCTAATTTTTTTGTTCTCCAAATTCCAAGTGTCTCTCCTTTTACATGTAATTCTCCTAAAATCTTTGAATCATCCTCCAATTCTAAACTCTTAAACACTGAACAGAACATACTCTTTTGAGCCTCGATTGGTAAATTAAATAATCCCTAAATTTCATCCACTTCCAGATCAGGATAATTTTCAGGATTTATTTCAATTTCATTGTTTGCATGATTCTTAATAGAAAATATCAAAAAGTTTAACTTCTGTCTTTGAGCTTCAGGGACATTTGATCCCAATATCAGATACTTCTAATAATATTCTTCAAACATATATTTAGAATAGAGATAAATTATATTATTAATTTTTTACACAATTATGTTACTATCATTACAATTTGATGACAAGTGTGAAATTATTCTGCTTAGATAATATTATTTAATAAAATATAATTTAATTGTTGGTTGATATTCATTTTCTTCAAATTTACAAAAATCAATAAAATATTATATATTATCTTCAAATTAAAGATTTTATATTTCCATTTAATAATCTCATTCTCAACAAATTAACCCTAAATGAATTAAAATTCGATACTAATACTAAGAATAAATGTACCTAATAGAATCTAAAATTAATAGAAAATATAGAATTTATATACAAACTGCCATTATCATTATATTAAAAGAAGAATGCTCAAATTTTAATACAACTTTAGAATATGATTTATCTTAAACTATACAACATTTGGCTGATAATAATTTCTAAATATTAGATTAATTAATACTTATTTATTATTAGAATGTATGAATTACAAATATTAAGTATATATTTATATTATAAATGAGTTAAATAAATTAAATGAGTTTAAAATGTTTACTTTCAAGACTCATTCAAATACAGAACTTGGTTAAGTAATTATTGTTTTGTTATTTTTTCATTTATAATAATTATAGATTACTATATTATATTATTTTATATATTAATTATATAGTATAAAATCAAAAATCCATCATTATTTGAGAAAGCCTTGTAAAATCTGATGTTTTAATTATATATTTATCATTATATCAATTCTTTTTTTATTGAATTAATATATCATTACAAAAAACTGATAAGAACTATTATTATTATTGTTTCGGTTTGTTTGCATATTTTTGTCAATAAAAAAAAAACATTATTTTAAACAGAGAAAAACAAAACCAAAATTTACTGATCACTTTTATTTGAAAACAAATGAATAAAAATGATTGTTAAATTTTATCAAGTCTTTATTTGAAGATTGATTTATTATATTTCTTTAAAATTTAATAATTTATGATTTTTTATTATTTTCCTACTTTGAATTTGCAAATAATGAAAGAAATACACACCTTATTAAATGAGAAAAGACGTTTATTTGTAGGCTGATATTATTGATTGAATTTATTTGAAAATAGTACCATTTCTTGATATGTAAATATAGTATTTTTTTTTGTCAGTTTTAAAATTAGAAATGAATATGATAATTGGAATTTGTAATGTGTTTGTCATTGCTTAAAATTTATCACTTGTTTTTAATATATAATTATTTATACATTTTTGAATATGATTAGATTCGTTTTATAGGAGGTCTTTTAGTTTTTATGAGACTTCATAGGAACATTTTGTGAGATTTGATTAATAGATTTGAAAAAATTTAAACGATTTATTTATTAAGCAATTCTTATTATGCAGCACAATTCGTTATTGTGATCAAAAATACAATTATTTTATATTCAAAAATATGGCAGAAGAATGGATTACTAAATAGATTGATAAATACATTATTGTTAATTAAAAGCTGGGAAGTGGAGCATTTGGTACTGTGTATAGGGGATTTAAAAAAAATGATGAAACTAAATAGGTTGCTGTTAAAGCAATATCAATTGCTGTAAGAAAATTAGAATAATGATTTTAGAGTATCAAAGACTCAGCAAAGATGGTGGAACACATTAAAAGAGAGATATCTATTTTATAATAGGCCAATAATCCTCATATTGTTAAATTGTATGATGTTGCTAGAACACCACACTATTTGTATCTATTTTTGGAATATTGTCATGATGGTGATTTAAAGAAATACTTATCAACAAAATATGGAAGGAGATTAAGTGAAGTACAATAATTTTATATATATATTTTAATTTCTTAGGTTGAGGCAGTCATCTTTCTGAAGCATTTAGTTGAAGGATTCCGAACACTTCATTAACTCAAAATTATACATAGAGATATCAAACCTGCTAATATATTGTTACATAAAGGCGTAGCTAAAATTACAGATTTTGGATTTGCTAGAGTGATTGACACTGGAATGAATGGTAAAATAAACAGTTTAATCAAATAGATCCTGCTTATTTTTCAAGAGTAGGATCTCCCTTATATATGGCACCTTAAATATTGGAGGGATAACCGTTTTCCTCTAAATGCGATGTCTGGTCAATGGGAGTGATGCTATTTGAAATGCTCTATGGAAAACCTCCTTGGGATGGAGACAATCAATACAATTTACTTTAGAATATCAAGAAAACTGTATTAATGATACCTGATGCTCCAGTAAGGAGTGATAAAATTAAGCAATTATTAAGACATATGTTGGTAGTACAAGAGAAAGTAAGGATATAGAAATTTACTATTTTATAGGATAGATATTCTTGGGAATAAATTTTTAATCATGAAATTATACAGATTTAAGAAGCTTAAATAAAGAATAATTTAGAATAGTTGATGAAAGAGAAGGATGAATTGTCACGATCTGAAAGTCTCAATAAATTATACTTAGAAATGAATTTGGTTGTTGGTTATTTAGATTAGCCTGAATAGATACTTTAAGAACCATCAACTCCTTAATTAACATAAGGAAGTGAAGAAAAACAATCTGTAGATGATATTAATCATGAAAAAGTATCTTTTTTACTTTATTATTTTATAGGGGTTAAAAATTATTAATTAATATGAGACTGAATAAAAACGTAGAAAAGCTATGTTAAAATATAATACTTACTTTTTGTTTGAAAGAAATATTGCTTTCTTCTTTAATTATGTGATTTAAAAAATAATTAAGATGTCACATTAAGGAATACTTAAATTGACCCAAGAATTATATTATTCAACAATTTTTTGTATCTCCAAAAATTAAAATGTACATCTTAAAAGGATGTATGATTAATTAATGTCTACTAATCCTGATAAATTTGATAGAGAAACTTGGGGTAGGTACTTAATAAGTTAAGAATATAAGAAAATATTAACTGTCACAAAAAATGATATTAAACATACAGAGGATTTTTATTTAGAAATTTATAAGAAGGAAAAGCAAATAATTGATAAAGAACTTACCTAACCTGATAACAAAAGAGCAACCAAAATAAAATAAGTATTGGATGTTAATTTTGATCAAAATAATTTCTTTTAATAACTCTATCAATCAGTTGTACAAGAAGGCTTAGACGTTATTAAAACTTCTATTAAATAAACTAAAGATTCTGATCCTGTATATAAAGATTTACTCTAATTAGGATGGTTTCTTGTAATCTGTTTGAATCCATACTTAGAATTTAAAGATATAAATATGGATTTTAATTAATTCTATGAAGAAATGCAAACACTCACAGAAACATAATTTTTAGAAAAAATTGGTAAACGTCTAGATTTATGAAATTTTTATATTTAAATTAATTCTATGAACTTTTATTCCTATAATTATAATTATAATATCATATTTTAAAATATTAATTTATATAATAATGTTTATAGTGTTACTAATCTTTTGAGATTTATGAAATTATCATTAATAATTACTATTTGAAACATATTAATAAATTGATTCTTAATTTATTAAGGGTATTTTTATAATAATAATATTACTTTGTTCTCCAGATATATTTAATTTATTATTATTTAATTAAATATAGTCTTTAGAGATATATTTTATATTTATAAAAGATTCAAATTGAGTGATCATTTGAATATCATTTGTTTTTAATAAACATATTTTAGTAATCATTCTAAATTTTTTTATCATATAGGAACAATTACAATGCTTTCTAAATATTTATATTAAATTAATTTAACAGAATTCATGATTTATTTTGAGGAAGAAATTTCCACAAAATTTAGAAATTATAATATAATTATTATTAAAATTTCCTGTTATTAGTAAAGTATATCAAATTTTGTTGATATTTAAATTGTGAACTTATCAGCATTGTTCTTATATATTTATTGCTTAAATCAACTTAAAATACACACTTTTGAGTTTTAATGAATACTTATTTAATCTTTTTATTAATTAAGTAATTTACAATTTTGATTGACATCTATTATTTTTAAAAGATCTATTATATTTTATTCATAATTAAGACAATCTTATATTCTCACTCTCTCTCAATATCTCATATTTATTAATAAAAAGGAATTTATAATTATTTTGATTATAATTAATATTTAATCATTTATTTTCTTTTTTAAAATGGGGGTCATCTTAAAGAGCACCAGAAATTTTGTTAACCATATCATGATTACAATCTTAAGAATGGTTTGAATGTTTCAAGAATTCTGTTACTAATTTATTTTACATTTGTTAGAATTTCTAACTATTAGAAGTTGGAATATTTAATTATTAATTAGATTGCTGATTTTGTGCTGCTTGTTAAGCACTTTTGAAATGCAATCTAAATACATCAGATAAACTTTCAGGAATATTCTCATCTACTTACAATTCTTCAATATATCCTGTTTCTACTCTTAATAACCATCCATGTACCATAACAGCTAAAAAAATTAAGTAAATAAGATACGATGTCCAATTTCCCAAGATTTCTATACTATTGGATTTTTCCACATATTAAGTACTTATTCTCTAACATTTAATCCAGACAAGCATGCTACTCGATCATTCTCATTCTCAAATTGATTTACAATATGTTGATTCTTCTCATATACATGTTTGATATTATTGAGCCAAAGATCTAATAAACCACCTACAGAGTCTTATTACATGGCTGCCTTTACACCTCCACAATATGTATGACCCATAATAATGATGTTATGAACTTTTAGATGTTCTACAGCATATTAGACTACACAATTTAACTAAAGATGACTTAAGAATGATTACATTTAAGTCTGTAATGTTGACAACATTAGCTATGTTACGATGAATGAAGATTTCACCTGGTTCGGTCTCTGTCAATTCATTTGGAGGAGCTCTAGAATCAGAACATCCAATTAATAGATATTTTGGACTCTAACCCTATGCTAACTTAGTGAAATAATTTGGATCTTATGCTAGCTTCTTTTAGACATAGTTTTTGTTTCCCAAAAGAGCTTTTGCATACTTCTATATTTCTGATATTCCTTTTTAAACGAATTTGTTTGACATTATAATTTATATATGTTTTGGATATTATGATTTAATATATAAAATTCATACGTTAAATCAAGCCTAATTAATTCTTACTTTTGTTATATATTAAAGTGCAACTGATTAATAGTAATTGCTTTTTAATTTAATATTTTATATAATCTATAAAAGAGGAATATCTCGAAATGCTTATCCAATATGACTTGAATGAGTGAAATGAACATGAAAATGATAAAAAGAAGGAAGATAATGAACAAAGACTTTTATAAATTTTTACTCTAATTTATATTTTTCCTATATTATTCTTAAACCTTCAGTATACATATCTTCCAACATACCTATATGATCCTAATTTAAATCCCGTAATGATTTTATATCTCTTTAAAATGGAAGTGCCAACAAATGTAAATCATCTAAGCTTTGAGAATTCACAAAAACATAATCTTTAAGAATTAAAAATGTTTGATTTTCAAATACAATATTTTCAACCTCTTTCTTCTTTTCTAATATATTATATACCCAATCTAATGGCATTTATATAATTTATTATTCTTTATACATATCATAGGTTTCTTCTATGATAATTGAATCAGATTTTGAATATTTATCAATATGAACCTAATTTGCAGGATATATCAATTCACAATCAATATCACTCAACATTTGACAATTGTATTTTGTATATATATCATTATGGAAATATTAAAGTGCTTAATCAAATGATAGTTGCTGAACTTTCTTTTCAAAAGGTTTCTTCTATAATATAAGAATTGCGCATTAATTATTCAAATTACCCAATAATATAAGCTTCTTTGTATTATCATCCCAATTGATCATTTATGAAGGTCTAAATTGTTGAAGTAATTCATTATTCATTTGATTAAGTATATATATATATATTTAATAATAATTTCCATATTCTTTTAATAAAACAACTAAATTTCATTAGAATAGTAATTAACACATATTTCAATGAATGATAATGATAAGAAGTATTCATTGCCTCCTCTTCGAATGTCTGAACTTCAAGACCTACTTAGATAATCTAATGAATAGCATAAAAAGGATGTTATTTATAGTTACAGGGATACAAAAAAGAAAAGACAAAAAGAAATTGCTGATTTAGATAAATATAAAACAATTGAGAGAAAAGGTGTAATTTTAAATCAAATTTAGTATTCAATTCTCAAAATAAATTGTAAGGGAGACCATTTGGAAAGGATTTAGATATCTTTTTATGCAAAGAACCATTGATTGATGATTTCCTTAAACGACATATTATTGCCCCTTAAAGAAATCTTGAAAAAGGTCTAAAAGACAGTATATTAAATAGTATTCTTTAGTAAAGACTGGAAAAAATTAGTTTTTGGATGGAAGATGTTTTGGAAATGTTCCTGAAAGCTAATTAAGTAAAAAAGAAAAGCAATTCAAGGAGTATTGGAAAGAGTACAATTAACAACTTTCTGAATAAAGATACAAAATGTTATTAGATTCTTAAACTGGTTTATAGAAGAAAATAAATTAATAAAAAAGGCTTAAAGCTTTAAAAATATTTGTGCCTAATAAGTATTCTCCTGGATATTTTAATGATCATCCATCATAAATTTTAAGTTTTACGTATAAATTATATTTTATTTTAGTGAAATGCATAAGCATTCATAACCTTAAATTTGGAGTCCTAATAGTTTCTATGGTGATTCATTTGATGAAAATTTAAAGTAATACTAATAAAAAAGTAATTCTAAACTCAGTAACTCTGTCTTAAAAGATCAAAGTAAAAACTCCATAAAAGTTAATTGAATTAAATAAGATAATTGTTATTTTCAATATGATAACTGATATATATTGTATACTTATTCTGAATCCATTTAGTGAATATCTCTAAAATATAATTACATAATGGTTGCATTAAATAAATATTATTTTCAATTTAAACATTATAATTGCCATATAGAAAAAGAATTTAAATAATTTTTGTTTGGCTACTTCATTAAGTGAAATACACAATAACTATTAACTTTGGGAGTATAGCTCAGTTGGGAGAGCGTAAGACTGAAGATCTTAATGTCATGGGTTCGATCCCCATTGTTCCCATTTTTTATATTTTAAATAATAATAACTATTTTTTAAGTTTCTATTTTAGTTTTGAGTTTTACATAAAAAAAAAACAATATACAATTATTTCAGAAACATAAAATAAGAGATAATAATTTAATATTATATATAGAGTTTATTATGAATTTTTACAATAATAAATGAACATCAACAAATGTTTCATTATTATTAATCTGCTTGTTCATCTTCAACTTCTTCTTCATAATACTCTTCTTCTTATCCTGTTTAGGATCTAAATTATGATAAAATTAATTATTATACTTCATCCAATTAATCATAGGTTCACTCAATTTTCTATAATGATTGTCCAATTATTCATTATATAAGAAATCTTGTTGTGCTTCATTTTTCCATTCTTCAGAATTCTCAAACCATTTAATTAAATATTATTCCTCAACATAAGAGTAATCATAAAATCCTTTTAATACTGTTCCAAAATATTTATCATCTATATTTCGTTTCTTCATCAAGTATTAAATATTTAAAATCATATGACATTATGCTAATTAAGGATCTAGATCATTAAAATAAGTAGTTAACAATTCATAATTTCTTTCAAAAGCTTTTGTTGGATTTTCATCAAACATGCTTTAAAATATTAAATAACAAACTCTATCTTTAAGATGTCTATCTAAATTGAATTTCTTTATATCTTGAGTTATCATCATATCAGCAACATCATTATCTATTTTTTCATTAACAACCAATCTATTATAAGTGTCTCTTATTTATATTAAAAATGTTTCTAGCAATTCAGAGTCCAATCCTACTTCTGCAGCCACAATTTTCTTCTTTTTTTATTTATCTTCTTTATTTCCACTTTATCCTTCACTATTAATCATCTGAACTTCATCCTATCCATTCTTTATTGATTAATTTCCACCAGGAGGATTCTTTAAAATATAACTTGCTAATCTATGTGTGTTATCCAAATCACTAACATGTCCACATGAGTCACATTGTCCATAAATTATCTTACCTCCTTTGATTTTCATATACATCTCTGGATATCTACATTTTTAACAAAGTATATATTTCTCAATGAATTTATCCAATTATTTTCTTATTTAATCATCTTAAAAGGCACCATTTATAATACAAGTCACATCGTTGTCATTTTTAAATTTATAAGAAGTTTAAGAACCAAACTCGAAACCTAAATATTTCAAAGGATCTAAGTTAAATAAATGTCAAAACATTGATCATGACAATTTAAAGCTTTTGCTATCTCATGCAAATTCATAATGTTAGTCTTTATACCATTTCCTCTACCTTCAATCTTAAGTTAAGGTTTTGGCATCTTATATCTATAATTAGAGTCTTCAATATATGAAGGTATATTCACATAGACTGTCTTAATCATTAATTAAATTGTTTAGAATTTTTATTTTTATTAAAAATCATTATTAAATAATATAAATACTCATATAATGTAATCTTCATAAGTTTAATATTAACAACTCAATTTCTTAACTAATTTAATCCATTTCACTTCATTTTTTTTAATATATGGATCAGATAATAAATCTTCAACATTAAAATTAAGATGTTAATCCAATTCAAATATCTCACAAACAGCTACTTAATTAAACTTATTAGGTATTAATGAAGATAAATTATGTAATAGTATATCATTTGAATCTTTAAAAGATTCTATAAAATCATCATGTAATTCTAGATTTGTTTTTTATATTGTAATTTACAAAGATTTTAAGTATTTAGCCATCAATATTAACTCTTACTATATATGTTCAGCATCTATTATAATATAATAATAATAAATTACTTTTTGTTGTAGATTTCTTTTATTTCCTCTTTTCTTTATCTTTTGCAATTTGTTTCAAATATTATATACTTTTTTATTTATTTCTTTTTGAATATATGGTGAATTAAAATGTTTATTTAACATTCCCATTCTATAAAAGACAGCAATCTTTGAATTGTTCACCCAACTTATTTAATGAAACTTTACTAATTAATGAAAAAAAGTTAATTGCTTCTAATTTCAATATATTTAATTCAAGAATACTTCTTGTAAGCTAATCAGTCAAAACTAGATATAAATTATTATAATCTTACTGAATTGTCCATTATTGTTAAGTATAGCTATACCAATATTATTTTAATTGCTTTATTATATATAATTTAAAAAGTTATTAGTATTAGAATTTGCATTCCTTTTTTCTTGTAATATTACTTATAAAATAGAATTAGTTTCATTTAGAATTTTAACTCTCTATTTATCATCTGTGACTGATTCCTTTATTTATTATGTTAAATTTATTAATGTATTAATTTCTATTTCATTCATTAAACTATGCTATTATAAATGTTATTATATGATATCTAATTCTAGACTGTTTTTTCTAAGTTCTAATAGTAAGTTTAGTGTGCTTATAAACATTTAATTCTTTTTAAATAATACTAAATTATCATCAAATTAGGAATTTATTTGCTGTCACTGAAAATGCTGAAGAAATAATTAATAATTATAATTAATAAATATATATTATCAATTAATTATTATTCACACATAATAAATATTCTAAAATCAGAAGCACATTAATTATTCTAAAAAGGTCATAAATATTAGATCATATATAAATTAAACTAATTTATTTCTTACAAATCCAGATTCATTACTCTAAATTAAAAATACACAAAAATAATGATATTAAGGATAATTCATCTCTTCTATTCATATACTTTATTATAATCAAATAAACCAATATAACATTTATATGTCTATTAATACCTCAAATTCTAATTCAAAGAATCTCTCAATATGTATATTTTTAAATAATTGTAAAATATAATTGTCTTCTGTATTTCAAAGTGCAATACTAAATTATATAATTTCAATAACATCAAATGTTAATTCTTATTAATATTATTATGTTGATACATATCGATATATTCATTCTTCATTTAAATTAAAGCGTTAATTAAAAAGAATCATAGAAAAAATAGAGTTTTAATTTTTAGATTTAATGATTTCTTAATACCTTTAAATAAATTAAAAATTGATTATGATTTCTCAAATTTCTTATCTTTATAAAAATAAACTATTAGTCATCTTGTTTAATTTTTTTATATATAATTAAATATATATATTTAAAAATTCATTTCTATAAGTAGTTTCATGAAATTGTTGATCTTTGAATGCTTAATTTAGGATTATAAAATTACATTTACTAAATGAAACATTTACTTTCTTGTATCAGTAATTCAGCTTTTGTATAGTTTTTGTCACAGATATTGAGGATAGTAGCAACATCTTCATCATTAGCCTAAGGAAAATATAGTTTTAACATTTCAAAGAGCTTCAAAACTATAATTAATGATAAATGGTACTTACATTAATCCTCATTCTTCTCATAAACTTTAATTAATCTTACTTTAACACTGGATTAGGGTATATCAAGTTATTATCTAGTTTTACTAATTTAGACTTATTTAATATATCGAAATGGTTTTTTTACAGGCTATCTCTTACATTTATGCTTTCTTTTCTTCTATTACTTGTATATAAGTTTTTGGGGTTTTTAAATAATTCGTTTTGGTAATGAAGGTAGAGATGAACTTTCACCATCATATAGCTTACCTTAAGATTCAAGATTATCCAAATCAAGCATTCTCACTATCTGTTTTTAAGTTTACAAACTTTGAACTGGTTAAGAAGAAGATTGTTGTGGTATTTCCTTTTTAGGTATGCTATCTTCATCATCTGAAATAGTGATATAATTTTATTGTTGAACAGGTTATGGTACTTAATGGAACACAGTTGGTTTAAATTAATGGATTTAGTTATGATATTGTAAATAAAAGGGATTGTACATAGTAGGGTATTAAAAATGAGTGTATGGATAAGGGTAATATGGAGGTTTATAGAAATGAGAATTTGAGTACATCAGAAATGGTAATGTGATTTTGGTTTATTAATTTATTTTAATCTGAAAAAAATTCAGGTAATTTGTTTAAAAATCTTATTTTAAAAATGAAATGAAATTGATTAAATTAATATCAGACATTTACAAGTTTTTATATTCAAAATTAGATCTTGGTTTCTAAATATTTTGAAAATCAATATAACTCTTTATTTATTGAAACATTATTAAAAATTAAAAAAGATCCTTGTATATTCAACAATATATTATAAAAAAAGCAATTCAAGTAAATAATGTATTGAAATTCAAAAATATTAATCTTTTTATATTATATGTCATATTCTTATATAGATTATGATTGAGAAAGACAATAATTTAAAATATACTAAGCCATTATATTTAATTGTATTAATTTATAAAATAATAATATTTTTGTGATTTCATTCAAGTAATATCACCATAAATTGTTTATATAATAAAAGTTTCTTATATATAATAAAAACTTGTCTCTATATATTTTTGATATATCAAAGTAGCTATTAACTACAAGAAGAACTTTATTTTTTGTAAATTGATTTTTCTTATTTCTATACTTCATAATAATATCATCAATTTGAGATTACATATATATGTATATGATATTCCAATAATAATAATAGACTAATTGATATGGTTTTTAAAATTTAATTAATATATTATAATCAAACTTAAGGTAATTCAGATTAACTTTTCTTTCTTAATTCTTGAGAATTACACATTTTAATATCTAAAACACTCATTTATTCATGATCTTCGAGTGATACTGACATTTGATTTTCAGAGAATAAAGGATTCTCAGATAACATTGGATTCTCACCAATTAGAGGATTTGCTAATTCATCATCATCTATATTTGGATTACTATTTAATTAAATTTCTGGAATATAGAAGGGAGCATAAATTTATTATAGAAGAATTCTAGGAGAACGATTTTATTTAGTAATAAGAGCTTATAAATGATCTATCTCTATTTTACTAAAATGTATATCTAATTGATTTAATATATCAAGATAAATCTATTTATAATATATTATTTATTACTTCAATTTTCATATATCCATTTGTAAATGTTTCTGGATATTTTTTCATTAATATTTCTTAAATTTCTTATTTTTTATTCATAATAGTAAAATTTATTGTATCTAATTATTAATGATTTAAAATGATATAATTTTCCATTAATGTTTTAAATATACTTCTAACTCTACTACTTGTAGTACTCTCATTTTCATCTTCAATATCAGCTAAGTAGCCTGCTAACATATGTATTTCATTTGAATCTTCTAAACCAAAAATACTTTAATGTAAATTTTCTTCTATTTAATTAAAAGTCAAATTATCACTTGTTAAAAGATACTTTTCTACATCATTTAATGACATTTTAAGACCAATCAATCTTAAACGTACTTTCTTTGCAATAGGTAAAACATCATTTTTATCTACTAATGTATTCTTTTTTATTTATATATCATTTTCATTATTCTTTTATTCCTATTCATCAAAAAATTAAGGATTTTTTAATACAACTGTTCTTCTCAAATATCTTTATTATTAAAATTATTATTGCATTTATTAGTATTATTACTTTTCTTATTCAAATTACAATTCTAAATTTGAAAGTTACTTTTAAAGTTCTTTATTTTTTTTTTCTAAATATATTATTTTTTCTTAATCTTCCAATAATTAACTATTATATTTATTCTCCCAATGTTTTATTTTCTATTGATAATTTCTTATATCAATTTTAGCTTATTCTAATTCAATTACTACTTTCTCATCCACCTTCTAAATGTCCCTTTATGAAGGTTTGTTATCATATAAAATATATTTTCTTCTTAAAATATCAATTTCTAAAAGTAATTATTGGTTTAACCCTCTTAGTTTCTAACATTAAACAGTTTGTGCATTCAATTTGATCGTCAATTTATTATTCATTTTCTAAAGTTGCTAGATTATATGCTTACTTAAAGCTCATCATTTTATTTCTCAATTTATTCCAATATTTTTGTAAGATGTACATTGTCATCAGACAATTACATACAATAAATGTCCATATTTTATTATTCAACAGGGTTTTTGAGTTATTTTAAATAATTTTGAGTCTAACCTAATTCCTCTTTCAATTTTTAGTTCTCTTCCTAAATAGACTATCCAATTAATACCTAAATTGAAGCTAATCTCTCTAAATAACTTTATTTTAATCTTGTATAATTATATGTTGGACTTGCTTCATCTCTTTAAAATTATGTTACTTCTTTCTTGAAATATTATAACTAAGATTGTTATTTGCGTATAGTTTAAATCAGATTATTCTTCTCCTGCTTAAGTTACTAAATTTCTTCAAACATCGTTTCCTTATCTTTGAGATAGATAGATTTTAATCTCTAATCTTCTAGAGTCAAGTTGCGTTTAAATATTGTTCCAAAATGCTTTGGACTATTTATAGATAAAGTCTTTTAAGTAGCTGAGTTTTGAATCATTAAATATTAAAATTGAATTAATAAAACAATTTAAAAGAAACAACATAATGTTAATCATGTTTTGTAAATTGTAATTCTTAAAAAATTATTAAGTCAATATAGAGAAGTATTTCTATCATTTACTTTTTTTAAAGGAATATCCATAATTAAAGATAATTTAATAATTTATGAGTTCAGAATATCCCATAATTTCATGGAAAGAATTGATAAAGCACTTTAAACGATCTTCTTTATGGGTTGTTATTGAAGGAATGGTCTATGATGTGACTACTTATTTGGATAAACATCCAGGAGGAGAGGAAATCTTAAGGAAATGTGGTGCCAAAGATGCTACAGAATAATTCTTAGAATATAATCATTCTAATTATGCTAGGTCTATTCTTGCATCTAGAATAGTTGGACAATTAACAGATGAACCACCACCTCATAATTATGCTCAGTTACTTAAATAGAGAAAATAGAGAGTAAAAGTAAATTCAAAATACAGATTAAAAATCCATACAAATAAATAACTTGGGAAGAATTAGAATTCCATAACACATCAGATGATGCTTGGATTGTAATTGATGATGATGTTTATGATGTTACTGATTTCATGGCTGAGCATCCTGGAGGAATGAAGTTGTTATTAGATTAAGCAGGAGATGATGCATCTAAATTCTTTCACAGAATCAATCATTCTTAATATGCTCATTAAATAATGAATGATTTATAAGTTGGTATGATAGTTGGTAAAAAATATATAATTAAATCAAAGGCATTAAACCAAAAAAAAAGGAAAAATAAGCACCAACTAATTATGTCTTAATAATGTTTATCATAATTGTATTGTTTATATTTATTTATTTATTTTTATTCTGATCATATTTATATTATATATTGTTGTAAATATATTTAGATATCAAGAAATTTTAAATTCATCAATCATTTAAGATTTTTATAAAGGATAATTAATATTTTGAAAATTTATATATATATATTAAGTTTGTTTAAGGCAGATATTTTTCATTTAATTATTATTATTAAAGGTTCATTACTTATTTCTATAAATAGTATATATATATAAAAATAAATGAATTATATTTAGATTAAGTCCAGTTGGTTAAAAATGGAATGAAATTTAAGAATCTTATTTATTTATTATATAATTGTATGTAATTGTTTATATGGAATAATAACTAGATTAGGAGGATTAAAATGATTGATGAAGTATTTTATTGTATATGTAATTAAATTATTAGTTTATTAGATAAGAAAACAATTATGTAGAGATTGAGTGTATGAATTTGTTTTGATTATATTAAAAATTTAAAATATTGAATTCTGATGAGTAGATAAGCGAATTCATAAGATTATGATTGGTTGGTTAAGGTTATTGTGATTGGAGATTCAGGAGTTGGTAAGACAAATATCTTGTCTTAATTTTGTGATGCAAAGTTTTCGATAACTCATATGGCCACTTTAGGAGTAGATTTTAAGATCAAGACTATTGATGTAGATGGGAAGAAGCTGAAATTGTAAATTTGGGACACTGCAGGTTAAGAGAGATTCAGAAATATAACAAAAACTTATTACAAGGGAGCTTAAGGAGTAGAAATAATTATTAAGTGTAGGTGATCTTATCATATAGTGTAATTGATAGACAATCGTTTTAGAATGTGGATGGATGGTTGAGGGTAAGAAAAAGTTAATTATGATAAAGTCAATACAAGAGAATACGAATTCGAGCGATGTACAATTGGTATTGGTTGGTAACAAGGCTGATATGTCTGCAGAAAGATAGGTTACATTAGAAGAAGGCAAGAAGTTGTCATAATAATTTAATATTCCATTCTTTGAGACTTCAGCTAAGAGCAACTTGAATATCAATGAAACTTTCCATAATTTGGCTTAGAGAATCATTTAAACTCTATCTAAGATGTAAGCTAATGATGACAAATAAAACCTCAATTTAAAGACACCTTAACCAAAAGATAAACCTAAAAATGAGGTATTATATAAAGATTTGATTAATAGAGCTGTTGCTGATATTATAAATTTATAAGACAAGATTTTTACATTTATTTTTTGTTGGACTTCCTTTATGTTATTATTCTTAATTTCAAGTTCTCTAAAATTTACATTCTTCATTAATTAATATGCAAGATAAATCGAATACAAATTCAAGTGTCCAAGAATCATATTCTCCTAAGAAGCCAGCTGATGGTGGAGAGAAAAAGAAGAGATCCAGAACTCGAAAGTACAGTGATGCTCAAAGAGAACACAAGTGTGAGTGCGGGAAGTCATACTTGAGTTATCCTGCACTCTACACACACATAAAATAGAAACATAATGGGGTTTTCAAATTACTTAATACTGTAGTAGTAATCTTTGAAGAACCTGGATGAACAAAGGTTGGAATCAACATTTTCAGAGTCACAAACATAAGACATCTTTGCCACTCTTGCCAATGCCTTAGGTAAGGATGAAGATAAACCACAGGCATCCTTAAATATTCAAGATATGTACGATCTAATTATGTGGGAAGTGTAGTTATAAATTATGGAGACTGAAAACAAGGAAATCAAATTTGATTACTATCATGAACTAATAAAATCTACACAACCTAATGATGTAACTACTCCTCAAGATGCTTTTATTAAGTTTATTCATGAAGTCAAAGGAGTCCTTAGTTTTGATTAGATGAAATTTATCTTTCTCTTTGTGTACTCCTTTCGAAAACTTCTACTTGATTGTCCAGAATGTCCTACTAGTGGATTAGTTGAAAAAGCTAACTAATTAATTTGTTCTCAATTGGATAAAGTACTCTAAAGTATACAATAACTATCAAATCGAAATTACATAGTACCTTTATGTAGATCAGCTAATCTAAGAGAAATAATGATCCAAATAGTACTTGGATTTTGTAATTGGTTATATGCTCGTCATTTAACTGATGATAAATTACTCTTGAAGAGCGATTCTGATTGATTTTTTATATCAAAAATAGAAATCATTCTTTAGAAGCAAATCTTTCTTTTCTGATATATTTTTCTTAATCTTCCAATAAATATGATGAGTCTTATAATTATTCGAAATGAGTAAACTAATTTTATCATATATATAATATAGATAGATCATTAATGTGATAACACTGGAGCTATAGATTCATCTTCAGGTTCATCTAATGGTTTATGCCACTTTACTTGGACTCCTTTTAATTTGCCCTATTAATCTATAACATTTAAATAATACATCAAATTTTTCAAATGAATCAAATTTTACAAAAGATAATTTGAAATTCTTTGGAACAACATGTCTTGAAACATTTGAAAACTCTTACACTCCCTTCTCACTTTTAACATAAAAACGAGTAATATCATCCTGATGACTTAGATACACAAATAACCATTATTCCATATCAATATCACAACTTTACCATATAGGCAATGCCTTCTTTCCAAATGAATAACTTCCAAAAGTTACTTAATTAGATTTGGCTAAAACCAATAAGGTATTAAAATTGAGATCAGTTGATAATCTCATTACTCCCTATAAAGAATCCAAAACACCTTCACTCTTTGAATATAACCATATCCAACCAGATATTGAATATACTGTTTATTCAGAATATGGAAACTCTTAAATTAATGATGCATCTTCATCAATTTATGTGTCACATCCTTCCCATTTGAATTCTTCAACCTTTAATTATACATCTGGTAAATGCATATGCAATTTATTGATCATAGTAGCTACTTTCTAAGTGTCATCTAAATATGCTCCTTCTCCTAAAAATAATCTTAAATCATATATTTATCCCTTAAATGATTAAAATCCAAATTCAGGTTTATTTATGATCAATTAAGCATATCCTAATATATCATGTTCAATGTCTCTAAGAATAGTATGTTCAGCTTTTTAAGATTGTTTATGAATGACTGCAGCATAGAGACTACCATCATTATAAGCAAAATATATATAATTCCATTCTCCTTCAATAAAATCATATGGTATTTATGTATTAATAGCAGTAAGCTTCTATTTTTTATTATATGAACTAAATTCATAATTTTTATTTGTAATATAGGAGAACAATACTCTATCACCTAATTATCCTTTATCTTCATATTATTTTCTACTTGTAAATCTAAAGATATTATGGAATTGAATTTATTTGCAATCATAGAATTCTGCCTCCCATCTTGTCCAAACTCCAATTGCATACTAATTAACTGCATTATGAAATTCAACAGTTGTTATGTCATCACTTTAAAACCATAATTCTCTTTGATTATTTTTGATATTGTAATAATTTGGTAATTTATCTTGATAGAATGGTTTGTTTAAATCAAAAATTGAGTTATAACCATATAAGAATTACCATTATTATTAAACACCATCAAAATTGATATTATCAATATCCTTACCAAATAGAATACCTAAATAATTTGTTTCCATATGCCATATATTATTTAGTATTCTAATTTCATCAGATTAGAATTGTTTCAATAGTATTTAAACATTTTATTCCAAATCATCATAACTCATATAAACATAATGCCAAATTACAGGTGAATCCATATCTATAATATTGTCAATTAATCTATGTTCATTAATACTTTAGATTTAATTTAAGGTATAAGTTTAGAATTTAATAAATTATTAATCACAAACTTAGATAAGCATAGTTCTATCACCTTAAATTAATTTGTCATTCAATTTTTCATTTTCATATAAACGTATCAATGTTTAACAAGATGTTTCTTATTCATATTTACTAAGAGGTGAATAATTTAATTTAAACCAACCACAAATTGAATAAGATCCTACATTATGAAAATCATGTTGATTAAATTCTTGATCTAATTCTATAATTCCATGTTTTTATTTATATAAGTATTCTAAAGTTTATTCTTCTGGTATTTGATACTAAATAATATAATCTAAGAGTGAAGATTCTAAAAATGATCCACTTTATCCAAAAGATCCACTACCTATCATAATTGCAATTTATAATAATTATCCATTAAATCCAATAACATGATCTTCTGATCCAAAAATAACTTTAATATAATCAATTAAAGGATCTTATAATAAATTTTAATTTTAATTTTATTTTTCATCTTTACCATCAAATACATAAAATTTAGCAATTTATAATTTACGTTTGTAACCAGCATATAAGAAATACCATCTATTTTCTTATCTATCTATTTATATAATACTATATTCATTTGGAGCATTATCATTAATATCATAAGTATTAAAACTAAATGAATCTTTTAATCCATAAGCACTTAATAATCTATCTTTTAATTCAATCTTCCCTTCAATCAATTATTCATTAGTAGTCATTCTGAATATTTAGAATTGTTCTGGTTTTCTATATCTCCTTTCAGAATAAGTGGAACTAAATTTACACCAAAATGATACAGCATATTCACTCATTGAATCAACTTCATTAAATATAAAAGTCTCAGAATCTTTTACATTTTCAAGTTCCTTTATGATTTTTGGCATTTATCTATTACCTGCAATAAATGATGATAATTTAATAAAGTTATCATCAGTAAAACTTCCTTATCCCAAAGTTAATTTAATATGTGAAATCATTGTATTTGAATGTTAATCATTAAAATCTTTCATTAAATAAAGCCATATTTAATCACTTATTGCATGAATTATATTATCTTTATGTTATTAACAAATATAATCATCTATTTTTAAATATGTTATCATCTTCTATTCTTATTTTGAATAACTTTAATATGAAAATGTCCACATATTTAAATGATATAATTCTATTTTGCATTATTAAGTAACTTAAGTATCTACTTCATCCATATTTAATAAATTGTATGTACTATATTCTACATTATCTATTTAAGTTTATAAATGAAATACACGATCTCCAATATATTTTTTATCACTTAAATGTTCATTTTGAGTAACCCTATATAAAAATTAATTCAAACTCATCTTAAACCACATTTACATTGAATATTAATTAGCACTACCTTCTATATGAATTGGATTATCTCCATTATAATTATCTGTTCTATCTTCCACAATAGTAATTACATTATCAATATAAATTTATGTAGGTTTTCTATTTAATTTAAGTATCATTTGTTTAAGTTATTCTTCATTAATCAATGCTCCATTTCCTAAATATAATCTAATTCCAGTTATTAAACCATTAAATTATATATAATTTTTTGATGCTCTACCAACTTAAAAATTGAGATGATCTCTAATTAATGGATGTAAAACACTTTATTTAATCTATCTAATACCATTATTATCAACTATAAATCCTATAGTCTCACCAACATCTTATTATAATCTTTAATAAGCATAATAAACAAATATCCATTCACTCTCATGATAAGCAGTATACTTTATTTATTCTGATATTTCTAAAGAAATAAATTAATAATTTCCAACATTCATTACAACACTCAATAAATGATCTATGTGTTATAATGATAATCTAGCTATTCCCATTAATTTAGGTTTTATTAGATTTATAGTACTAGCATAATGTTTAAATTGAATCCATAAACCATAACCATATTCATATAATCCATCTAATTATAATTCTTCACTTTATTGTAATTTTATCTATTGTGTTTGACAATCTAATACTTCTGGATGTTCTTTCATTTATTATGCCTATGTCAAATGATCTGTTCCTGCTAAATATCCAAAATGTACTTTGATACTCAATTATTCACTTTCATAACTACCTTCTCTATAAGCACCATTACCTACATTCAAAACCCATTATTTCAATGACCCTGTATATTAAAGATACTCTTTTCTCTATTATCCTAATAAAACAGAGAATATAGACATATAATAATGATTGACATCCTTAATAATAAATGAATTCTATGTAAACTTATATTCAATATAAGTATATGTCTAATAATTTTTATATCCAAAATAAATATATGTCCATTAATCCCAATATTCACCAAAACCACTCTCCTATTTCAAATATTTATCACATTCAATTTCACAAGTATATGTAACAAAAACATAATTAACATCATTTTTTAATATTTATAAAGTTGCCTATTCATCACTTTCCTCTAAAGTTCTTTAAGTTAATGTTATAATATGATATTATTCACCAGATTTCTCTTTTCCATTGAATTTTACCCATCCTGACACACTATATTCTGTTATACCTTAAAATTATTCAAATTCATATTTCTCATCTATTGGACTTTATTGAACAGCACCTATCAATTAAATTGTTTATTAATTCAAAGGAATTATATAAGGCAATCCTTGAGTATCTAATTCTGTTAATTCACTTTCCTATCTAAAAGAATGAGGACCAAATTGGAATTATATTCTTGCAAATTCTCCATTAAATAAAGGAGTATGATGTTTACCTACATAAAATTCAATTGAATCTAATATCAATTCATGTTAATCATGAAATTCAATAGATTAGAAATCCTTTCCCAATTTATTCACTACTCCTAAAGATCTATTTTCTAATCTATTATATCCAAAGTATAAATAAACCCAAAATCCTTCTAACTCTTAATATTCAATATTTTTCATCTCATCTAATGATTAAAATAAGTAAGATTATTTAGTTATTTAGATTTCTAATATGACTTATTTATATTATCTTTTTAAATGAGCAATTGAATGTATTTCTGCTCTCTTCTATAAATATATAGGATATGTGCGTATCCATCTACTCCACATTCCAAAACTATATTCACTCTACCCATTTACTTTTTCATCATCATACATCTGTGAAAACACTGGTTATATTTAATTGTATCTACTTGGTCTAATATCTTCTTCTTAAGAAACTAATTTAGATCTCAAATATAAATTTAATGCTCCTTCATCATCCATTAACATTTTATCATTAAATGATTTTGGTCCTACATTTAATTATATATAAGCAATCTTCCCATTAAAACTTGATATCTCATTATCTGCTCCTATAGTCAAGAATAATTTAGTCACTTATTTATGTTATACTTCATTAAATTCTAAACTCTATGCATAACCTGGATATATCAAGTATCCAAAAGCTCTTAAACTACCAATGTCATAACTAAATTATGCATAGGTCCAAACAAATTAATTAGATTTCAATTGTTTAGTAATTCTTTTTTATTCTTCAATTATGGAATAGGTACTGAAATATATTTAACTTTCTGATCCACCTCCAATAATCTAATGAATTTCTAAAGCTCTATCTCCAGTTTTATCACTCTTATCTTTATTACTCCTTAGATTAAAGATTTAGAATTGATTTAATTCTTCCACCAATATATTATCAACCCAACGAAACCATCCTTTCACTGAATATTGTGTTATAATGTATTCATTATCAAAGGGTTCCATTTATATTGTATCCTCTTTATTATTAGCTGAAAAATCTTTTGTTTCTTCAATTAATCTTATTGTAGTCTTTTTTAATAATTCTTAAGGCATATTACAATATTTCTATATTAATTTTATTACATCTTCATTTGTATTTATAAAAGCAGGTTCATCAAAATCAAAATAGATATTTGCAAATTGTCCAGGCATACTCAAATACTCAAATTCAGATCCACCAAATATTACTTTATAATATCTACTTGGTTTATGTCTACCATATTGTTCAAATCGCAATATATAATTTCCTCCAAATTTAACTAAAAAACCTACAATCTCTGATTTTTATTTTGAATAACATACAAAATACCAATTTCCATTAATATTCTCTTATAATTTGACTGGTCTCTCTTTTGATTTAAGATTCTCATCCAAATCATATGTAGCAAAAACAAACACATTCTTATACAAGAATACACTTAATGTTCTATCCCCATAATAAGTTAAATCTCCATGTTCTTTATTTGTAGTTAATCTACTTAGAAAATAATATTTCAAGGTGTCTTAATTTTCATTTTCAGAAAAACGAACCCAATATCCATAACCATATTCATCACTTGCTTCTAAGAGTTTATCTTCCATTTCAAAACTTTATGAAGGTTCTCCATCTTTTGACTCATAATACTTAGTATTCTAGACTTATTGCTTAATCATTTCCTATTGTTTTTTCATAGGCTTGTAATATGCAGGCTCTAAAGATAGCTCTTCAGAATTACTCATCCTGACTAAATAGAATAAAGTACTTACTAAGACTTGCACTAATGAAACCTAAACCGATGATGAATAACATAATTAACTTCATTCCGTTTTAAAAAAATAAATATAATAATATAAATTATTTCATACTTTGCAATGTAGAAACTATTAGTACCTTTAAAATCTTTCTCTAGAATCTATACTATAAGGATTAGTTGCAAGAACCTAATAGATATTGTTTAATTATTACTCTGTACTTATAATTTTGAAACCATTCTTTTTATTATATTAATTACATTCTGTATTTTTATAGATTCTCTGGTTATTCAAAATGTAATACTTTAGGTGGTTCAAATGGTATGGCTATATCATAATTCTACTATTGTATTTCCTATTACATTGATGGTTCCTCTGAAATTATTTTTATTTAATTGAAATAACTTTCATTATTGTTTGAAATCTGTTATTCTATCATATCATCATTGAGTTCTAATTCTCCTATTTTACTATAAAGTAAATATAATTATTCTAATGAATGCAATAATTCTGGTTGAGGATTAGTATCATTTATATTCTTTTCCATTTAATCTAATGTTTTTGATTTCTATTTTAATATTTATCTCCAACTATTTGATTTTTCTGTATCATCTGTAATTTTTATTTATTATTCTTTGATTTCTTATTTTAGTTTTTTAATTAAATCTTTTTTCATATTATTTTAATCAAATGATTATGCCATCTCTATTTATGATTTCAATTATTCAGAATCTATTAATAATTTTCTTCTCATTTATTTTATTTTCTCCTTATCAGTTTTATATAATTATTATTCTCTATTTAAAGTTACTCTTTCATCCAATAAAATTAATTTCCATTTACGCCTACAATTTTATTATAAAATATTAATTACATTTATACAGCATTCTCTTCAATTACAACACTTTAATTCATTGATAGATTATTTTATATATTAATTTCAGTTCCATAATTTTTATTAGGTCTAAATAGATTACTTTAAAATTTAGAATTATCACTACTTTAATTAAATGCTAATTATTCTCTTAATTCATTAACACTCTAAATCATATTTTACATTGTTTATTATTTTTATTAAAATTCTTAATGTTTTCTTATCATCTATTAATATTATTATTCTAATAACTCTAATTCCTTATCTGCTATTTTATCATCCTATTTATATTAATTTACTAAATATTATAAACGATCCAAATCAAATTTAATAACATCCTTTTATTTCAATTCATTTTATAAATCATATTTTGAAACAACAATATTCATACTTGATAATTTCTCTTCAGCTTCAATCTTCTTTCTTTTAAATTATTTTATTTCCTCTTTCAATTCATGTAATAAACTTCTTGTTTAATTTATTTCCATACATAAATCAATTTCTTTTCCATTTCCTAATATTTTACCTGTTTTCTTCTCAAAATCCTTTTATATCTTTTCTAATTTTAATCTTTATGTTTCTTCTAATTTTCTCTTCATTTCCTAATATTTCTCATTAGTTTATCTCTCTAAATTTATAACTTAATTTTAAAGTTATTAAATTAATTTTTCTTTTTATTAAGTAATCTTCTTAATATTTTCTTACTTTCTTGATTCTATATCTAAATTTTTATAATCATATATTTATGATTATAACATTTATGATTCACTTAATTCAATATTTTACAATTAATCACTAAAAATCTATTAAATTTAACTAAATTTTGGATCATATTAACTCTTCATCTCTTCCTTTATTGATCTCATCATTCTTTAATTCTCTTCTTATAAATCTACAATTTCAAATTTATATTCTCTCCTAACTTTATCAAATTCATTAATTAATTTTCTCTTTATAACTTCCTATTCTGTTCTTAACCTTTTTATATTCTCTTAATCTATTAATTATATCTTTTAATAAATTTCTTAAGTCAATTCCTTTTTGTATTTATTTAATTAATTCTCTACATTCTTTTTTTTCTCTTATATTTATTTCATCCATTTAGAATCAGAATCAGATAATTCTTTCTATCTTTGATTAATTCTTTTTATTATATCTTTTTATTGTCCCTATAATTCTTATTCCAAAATTCTTAATTTATTCTTAATAGTTTTCTCTTATTCATATTCATAATTCTCTAAATTACGTTCTAATTATTTTTATAAAACATTCTTCTAATTTATAATATTCTATTCCATTTCCTCTTCCACTTTTCTTTTTATTTTTCTTTTCTTCTCTTCTTCACTTTTAGACAAATTTTCTTTCTATCTTTCATATTCTTCCTTAAATTCAAATAATTCAGGATCTGCCTCATTCATCAATATCAATTCCATTTTATTCAATTTCTATTTGTTTTCCTCTTTCAACTTAATAACATCCTTCTTCTTTTCATCCTCATATTCTATAGCTTACTTTGCAAATTCTTAATCAACTTATGATAATAAATTCTAAGTTGCTGAAACTTAAATTGGATTCTACACTACATAACCTTGATTTTATCTATTCTCGTAATAAACATTAGAATCCACCATAAATGATTCAGCTTCTTCATTTCCATCTAAATAATTTGGTTCCCTATATTTTTCAATATCTTTTTTAAACTTATTAATCCCAGTCGATTTCTGGAATATAATATTCTAAATACTTTTTTCTTTTGATTTTGAAAATCAATCTACTTTGCTTCCTCATATTTCCTTTAATATATTAAATCACAAGGATGCTCATAAACTATTTCCTAAGTTTCCCTGTTCTTATAGAAAACTTACTCGTTCCCATTAATCCTCTTGGAACAAATCTTCCATTCATCAGGTAATTTTGCTTTTAGACCAGCTTTTGCAATATCTAAATATTAATTATCTTCAGGTAAATTCATTCCCAAATGAATTGCATATTCACGTATTTCTAAATATAACTTTTATTAAAAACCTTATTTCGTAGGTGAATAATCATCCATAACCTCCTCTTCCAAAGTTTAGGTTTCATCATTATCATCAAGACTCCTATTCATTTAATGATTCAAACCGTACATTTTAACTTAATTATTATATATAAATATTATATCATTTTAACAAATTCAAACTAAAATCCTCACTCCAATATCTTATTTTTATATTGTATTTTATACATACACTAATTTAATAAACTATTATTTAAAATACACTCTGCTTAACTACTTATTAAACTTTATAAATTTATTAAAATTTTATATACAATCTATATATTAACCACTAATCCCTTCATAATTATTTTCTAATTTTAATTTTAAATCTATATCAAAAATCTAATTTGATTATATAAATCATAATATTAGTTAAGATAAGAATTCTAAAAATGCTTATTTTATATACTTTCTTAATACTAGTTAATTGTTTTTAAGGTAAGAATATACATGTATTTTTATTATTAAATATAAAATTAATTCTGGTATGTTACCCTTCATATCAAGCTTAATTAGAAAAAAGGAATTTTAAGATTTTGCTGGAGTATGTAGAGGTATCTACAGAGTAATTGATGGAGTCAATTAACCTTAATTAATTAAAGATAATCTAATAGATCAATTCAAATAAGAGAAATAAATCTCTACATTAAATGTATAAAGAGAAACACTCAAAAAGGTAGATTAACAATAATAGTAATCTATTCAATAGCAAAACAATAAATTAGATCAATAAAATAAAGATCAAAATTAAAGGAAAAGTATAGAGTAAGATCAATAAAGCAATGATTAGTAATCTTAAATTCCTTCTCCATCTCCTATTAATAAATAATTTACTGAAAATAAAGTGCCTTAAACAGCAATTGGAAGGGTATATGAATTTGGATCTTTAGGAGTTAGTTTGGCAACTAATGCAATGAAAACTATGGTCACTCAAAAAAATGTATATATCTTTAATTGAGAATTATAGATTTCTTTTAGATAAGCATTAGTAAGTGAAGAAAATGCTTCAATTCTAGCCAAAGGTCTTTGCAAAATGAGAGGAGCCCCTTTGAAACTTGCTTAAGCATTAAGTATTTAAGAGGATGAAGTCATACCAAAACATATTCGATAAGCGTTTGAATAAGCTAGATAAAATGCTGATATAATGCCGTAAAAGTAATTAGAGAAAGTACAAGAAATATTGTTAAAGAATAGATGCTCAAATAAGAGTTAGGTAGTGATTGGATGAGTAAATTCAAAGAATTCGAACTCAAACCCTTTGCTGCTGCTTCAATTGGATAAGTTCATGAAGCTATTACAACATAAGGAAAACGTGTAGCTGTCAAAATTTAATATCCTGGTGTTAAGGAAGCTATCGATAGTGATTTAAATAATCTAAAAAGACTTATGGAATATACAAACTTATTCCCAAAAACAATGTTTTTAGATAAATTAATTGCCAATACAAGAAAAGAATTACATGAAGAATGTGATTATAAAATAGAAGCTGCAAAATAAATTAATTATAGAAAATTATTTGGTAATTAACCTGAATTTGCAATTCCTGAAGTTTTTAATGATTTATCAACAACAAGAATTTTAACTGCTGAATATTTATATGGAGACACAATTGATTTTGCAGCTGAAAATTATCCTTAACATTTAAGAAATGAAATTGGTAGAAGAGTAATGAGTCTTACACTTTAAGAATTATTTAAATTTAGAACTATGCAAACAGATCCAAATCCATCTAATTTTTATTTTGATAGAAATAATAATAAATTAATTTTACTTGATTTTGGAGCAGGTATGTAATTATATTATAATAATTCTAGTTCATGAATATACTAAACCATTTATGGACAATTATATTGGAGTTATATATGCTGCGATCATATAAGATAGAAAAGAGTGTTTATAACGATCTGTTGATTTAGGATTTTTAACAGGGGAAGAAAGTATAAGAATGAAAGAAGCCCATGTAGATTCTATTATTTGTGTTGGAGAACCATTTAGATATTAAGGAGAATTTGATTTTGGAGAATAATAGATGACTAAAAAGATTTATGAACTTATGCCAGTAATGCTTAAATATCGTATGAGACCTCCACCTCCTGAAATATATTCATTACATAGGAAATTATCTGGAGCATACTTAATGAATATGAGATTAAAAACAAAGGTTAATTGCAGAGATATATTTATGAATCTTTATGAATAATATATAAAACTATAATGAATCAATATAATAAGTTTTTGATTAAATTTACAATTAAATTTGACTACTTTGTATAAAATCTTAATTTCAAGTTCTTCTTTACATAAATACTGAAATTTTATTTATTTAATCTAATTTATGATATTGAATCTAAAAGAATTGTTTATTTTTCATCTTATGCAAATATTTCAAGTTTATCATTACTTAATACAATTTGACATCTTATTAATTTTTCATTTGAAATAGCTAATTTACAATTTTTATTTAAATAAACATATTCTGTTTAATTAATTTTAGTTTATATAGGTGAATGTATGAAAAAATAAGGTAATTTAACAACATCAGGTTCATTCTTTTTAGATTATAATAATTATAATGGATTAGGTAAATTTTATATTAATAATTAAATTGTTGGAATTTTAGTAATTAGAAATGCCAAATAAAAGGATACAATTTCTTATTTTAATTGATTTGGTTTGAATTTTCTCATTTTAATTTATTATTAAGGTAAAAGTAAATTATTAGTCATATTTATCATATTTGTTAATATATTAATTTCTAATGCTATTGGATCTATAATCATATTTAAAATAATAAAGGTAGGTTATATTAATTATTCCCATTAACATTTAGTAGATTATATTTATTATTATTATTCTTGTCTTAAAAATAAAGGATCTAATCTTAATAATTAAATTAATAACTTAATTGAATTAAGAAATTATTATTAAATATTTAATTTGATATCTTTTATTTTAAAGAAAATATTATTTATCATTATGATATTTAAATCATTTGATTTTGACATTTCTATTATTGAGAAACAATCAGTAATATTAATTACATTAATATTTTCAAATTAAAGTATAAAATTTTAAATTAAAATATCTAAATGAGTATCAGAGAAAAATCTTAAATTTAAATCAAAAAAGATATTAATCTCTTATCTATCACAAACTTAAATGTCTATTTTTACATTCGGAATAGATATTTTAAATTCTTTTCCTATAATCTTTTCTTCATTAATTATAATTTCTATAATATGAATATTTTAAATTTAAATTTTATTTACTTTAAGATTATGTTTAGTCATAGTTTCAGAATCTAATAATTACATTAATTCATAATCTTAATTAGTAACAAATATTCTATATTTATCCCCTTTTTATATATTGTATTCAAGACAATTATCTGAATATGGATAAATATGAATTCTTGATTTATTTTTCATTAAAATAAAATTAAATTAAGTTTTATTTTTTAATAATAAATATTTTATTTACTATTAATAAATGTTACGACAAATAACAAAACACATTTAATTCTACACTAAAACATTATTTCTAAATATCATAATCATATGATGTCTTTTATTAATCTCTATTGCATATTTCCCTTCCTTTAAAAAGTTTAAATAATACAAATTTGTAACTTATCCATTAATAATAATTTATTATGATTAATTTGATGTATGTTTTCTATTATTCAATAAATTTGCATAAAATAAATCTAATTATTAATCAAAATTATTTATAAGAGTATTATTCATATTGACATCAACACTTATAGGTAAATTTATAAATTATGCATTTCCAATACTAAAATTCCATGGAAGTAAGTTAACAATAATAAGAAATGGTTTTATTATGACTTTCTAAAAATATTATCCTTTAGGATCTTTTACTAATTCAAATGAAAGAAGCACATTATAAAAATTATTATCTATTTTTACAAAATTAAATGATAAAACAGTCTTTTGTTAAATCACTTCTTTTAAATTAAATTTTATTTCTTATTGATTTTCAGTCACTATAAAAATAAAATCATTATAATACTTAATATTAATGTAATTGTATTTTATTCTGTTAATTTTGTATGAAAAACCTTTTTAGAATTTCCCTCTATTTAAAAACATTCAACACTTCCAGTTTTAAATGTTAATAAATAATCAGATTAATTTTCTATAGTTGGTTCTGCAACTGTCTATAAATCTGTATTTTATCTATCCTATTAAGTTAAAATAAATTCATTATTAACAGCCTTTAGAAAAATATCATGTTCTTGTTGATCTATTTCATCAATTAATACAAATTTATTAAAATATTATTTGGATAAATGAAATGGATAAGCTGAAGACCAAAATTATAAAGATTCATTAATTTCTAAGCCTAATTAGATTTAATATGTAGGATAATCTTTAGGATCTATATAAAATATATAAATATAAATAACCTTAAAGATTGTCATATAATGATGAAAGCAATGTAGAATCTTCAGTTTCAAGTGTGAATGATTATACATTTTTAGTTTAAACATTTATAATCTTAAGTAATATTTTCTTTTTTGTTTTATTTCTAATTACACTAACAACATCTAATCCACTTAATAAATTTATTGTATTTAATATATTTGATATTGTTAATTAAGATAATTTGATTTCAACAGCATTTTAAATCTAAAGAATATTTTAAGAATCTTATTAATTAGAATCAATTATTTTATTCCATAATAATTTACATTTAATAGTCTTAAAATAGATTAATAATATTTACATTAGTAATTTTACAACTTTTTTTCTATAAAGGATGAGTAGTCCATAAATTAAAATTAGATTTCAATTCTAAATGATGTGCATTATTTTCAATTAATAATAATTGTAAATTCAATTATTTAATGTTAAGAGTAATAAAAGATACATAATTATTAATCTTTATACATTATCCAAAATCTATTTAGCATCTCTCCATTAATGCTGTAAATTTAATATTTTTATGATGTTATTAATTATTTTATACTTATTTATTTTAAATTGAATCATTTTATACAAATTTTTCAGTTTCCATAATTTTTTATAATGATATTAATTATGCAAATGTATTTTTTTAGATTCTTATTTAAACTTATGAAAGTTAAATATTTAATTCAATTTATTTGAAATAATCAAAAATAGCATTAAATCCATTTAGAGATACTAAAAGATGCTAATTTTAATCAAATAAATGAAATTATAATTAATTATGTTTCAATTCAATATTTTTAATTTTATCTTTCTTTTAATACATTCCAATATGAGTTTAACTTTGAAATAATAATTAAAATTATGTTATTCCAGATACATTAAGAGTTAATTTATTTTTCATAATATTCATTTTAAATGTTAACTTTTTTTAAAGAGATTTGATATGAGTTTGACTTTTAGTTGATATTTATTATTATTATTGAGGAGGTATAAAACATTAATAACTTTAAATGTGATTTAAGATTGCTTATGAATTTTATAATAAATGTTGAATATCTACTTCAAGATGAATAAATTCTATTTAAAGAAATAACTTTTGCTCTATCAATTTCATTCTATCACTTTAATTTTGTGCGATTTCTATAATAATTTATTACTACAATTAGAAGAATGCTTACTTTATCTGCATCTTGATTGTGCAATTCTGGCCATATACTAAACTCATTACTATCTTATTTAGTCAATTGAACAATCTTAAGTCCATTATATTTAATCTAAATATATATATAATAAATATTATTACATGTATTTCCTCAAAGCTTAATTTATATAACATTTACTATAAAAATGATTTAGCACAAATATTACATTATTAAATAAATAATGTTAATTATTATGATTGAATAAATAGATTATTAGAGAATATAGATAAATGAATTCCCTTACTTACAGTTGTAATATCTCTGAAAATGAAATTCTCATGAATAGGTTGAATTTTGAATTCATTTAACTTATTTTGAACTAATTATTATAATTAAGTATGTTTATCCATAGCATCATTTGCCAATAATACAATGTCTTTATCTAAGATAATATTGAAGTTATTAAATTCAACATGACAATATATAGAATCTTTGGATCTTTCTAGATATGAATTACATTAATCTAAAGCTAATAATTACTAATTTGAAATATCATCATCCTTAAAACGAATCAATTTGATAAAAAATGTCTCCACTTTTAATTCTCTATGAAATTAATCAACATCTTCAGGATTTATTCTTAAATTCTCTTAACATGAAGTACTAAATTATTGACAAACAACTTATAATCTATATTGTTGCTTAATTAGCAACTCAACTTAAATATCTTTAATTTCAAAAGAAAGATTAAGTAATAATTTTTTTACAAATCTTTTTAATACTTATTCATCTATTTCTTTGTGTTTTCGAATCTCATCTTAAATTGATATCTTATTTTCTGTATTTTATTTTTTTGATAAATCCTAGATCAAATTTTCAATGTCTTCTTATTCATTATATTGTATGATTACATTCAAACCACTTATATGTGTTTTGATAGGCTGAGTAGTTAAAGATGCCCAAGGAATATCTATTTTCAGCATTTCAATATCAGCTTTGAGTATTGTAAAAGGAATCAATAATTCTTTAAGTAATTTATTGAGAGTTTACAATTTAAGCTAAACTTTTTAAAGATTCAATGCTCCTTAATACAATTATACCTAAGAGCCTCCAAATCCCTCAATATAAAGATTGAGAAATTTAGCCACGAAAACTTTAAATACATAATTCATATAAATCAAAATTATCTAAGTTTTTCATCAAACTTGGAATATGTTGTATAAAAGGTTTAAAACATCCTTTCATTTATTGATTTATGAATATATCCCTTGTTTTACAATTCCCTTTCAGTTCTCTATTTATGTACATTGATTCTAGGTTTGTATTTAGATTCATAGTTAAAATTTAATACATTTATTCTAATAATCCATTATATACTTGATGAATTAATACAAGGACATATAAATTTATTATTAATTTTACATAATTCTTTAGATGAGATTAATAATTGATTAAAAATATCTAAGGTAATAGTTAATTTTTTTCTTAATTTTAGATGATCTCTTATTTTTTATTCAATTTCATTCTTTGTTTTAATATCATAAAGTTTCATCTATCTTAAATAATTAATAAAATTATTTTACTATGATTTTTGGAGATAAAACTATTATTTATTTTTTTCTTTCCAAACAGAAAATCTTAATTTGTTATTAATTGCATTATCATGTTATGGTAGTAATTGATTTTCAACTTATTTTTCATTTTCATACTCAGTAAATAACTAATTAATTTCTTGAATATTAATTCTATTTCTTCTTCAAATATTATAATGTATTATTTATACTTTATCATTAATATTATTTTAATACATATAACTAAAAAGGCATAAAACCACAGATATATAAAAATATTTACATGTTCACTATCTTAAGTCATATTACTTCAATAAATAGTCAAATCATCTTAATTTGAATAACTTAATTCAATTATGCTAATTATATTAATTATTATAAATATATATAAATTTTAGATTCATTTACTATTAGCATATTTGTCTTATGCAACTTGATTGTATCCATTTTTGATGTTAAGTATTATTAATTTTAAGTATTAATATAAATATATTAAAATTGAATGTTCAAAAAATCTATAGGATGTAATAATCAATAGCATTTAAAGTTTTTAAGAATTTCGATATTTTTGGGCAAAATATCCAATTAAACTTCAATGGGGATGATTCTTATCAAACAGCAATGGGAGGAATTTTTTCGATTACAATAATTGCTGTCATTGCTTTCTTTTTCTAACAAAATATAATAGATTTTATGAATAAGAGTTATGTGAATTTGAATATCCAAACTTTATTTGATGCTAATCCAGATGACATTGTTTTTAATGATGATAATTATATGTTTGCATTAGCCATCGAATAAAGTAAATTTAATACTAATCCTTACTTCAATATCACTTTGAGACAAAGAATCTATACAAGATTAAGCAATGGAACCATTATTAAAAAAGATTCATTTATAGATTTGATACCATGTACAATTGACAGATTTCAAAACATATTTAATAATTAAAATTTCACAGATCAATTTATATCTCTAGGATTGTCAGAATGGCTATGTCCTCAATACAATTATTCAATTAAATTATCAGGAGGATATACAAGTGAAGTATTTTAATTTACTAAAATAACTGTCACTGAATGTTCAAATAAAAGTGAAAGTAATCAATTTCTAACATGGAAACCATAATGTGCTACATAAATTGAAAGAGATAATCATCTTAATAATGATAGATCATTTAGATTAAAAATGTACTTCTTTATTTCTCTAATTTAGGTATATGACTAATACTATTATTAATCCATTACAACCAAAAAATATATCATAAGTTTTCTTAGATGATGAATTATTTTTTTCATTTCTCTTACTCACTGGAACTGAAACTGATGTATTTTATTAAAAGTATAATGTAACAACTAATCATAATATATTCCCATATATTGAAGATAATTAAGAACAATTATTTAATATCAAATAATAAGGAGATTTTAGAGTCAGTAATGTATAAAACAGTGGTTCCTAATATTCTGCTATTTATATGAGAAGAAGTCCATATACTTATTAAGTTAAAAGAGATTTTCAAGATCTAGCTGATTTACTATCATATCTTGGTGGCTTTGCTAATATTGTAGTTATGATTTTTGGATTTTTAGTTACATTTTATAATAAATCCTAATGTAAATTCATATATATATATTTATATATAGTCATGATTGAATTAGCAAATTAAGTTTATGATTTCCCAATTTAAAATGCAAGTAACATAGATACTTAATAAAGAAAGGAAATTAAAAAAACTATTGCTAGAGCCAAAAGTAGAACAATTATTTAAAAACCAAATAATCAACATTTTTAATTGTAGTCACCAAAATATAATCAAAATTAATAATTAATCATGAATGAAACCACTAAATAAGATGAATAATTTATAACTAAATTGAATGAATAGAAAATATTTTAAGAAGAATAAGAAAAGATTATATCCTAATTAGGTATAACTGATAGAAGAAGTTATCTAACTTAATAAATTGAAAAGATTTTAAATAGAAGTTGCCCTATTTTCTTTAATTGTAGATATATTTTGTATTAGATGTTTTGTTAAAGATTCTTCTATGATAGAAATAGTATTTTATTAGAAAAAGCTATGTAAATATTAAACTATATTAAATTTTAGCAAAAATATCAATTAAGACTTAGATCTTTGTGTTATTATCGATAAGGTCAAAGAAATTAATTTGTTGAAAGAATTGCTGTTGACTGAAGATTAACTAGTATTATTTGATTTTGCTCCAAAAGAAGTTATTAATCTAGAAGCAGAGAAAAAGATTACTACTAGAAATTTAGCAAGGAATACTCTAAGAAATTTTAATTAGAAATCAAATTCTTTAAGTAGTAAGGAGGAATAAAATAAGTCTAATCAAACAATAAATACTTATTATAAACTATTCAAGGTGATTGTTCATATTAATATAGGCTTATGATCGCATGCATCAATCATTGTAATAAAATGATAAAATCAATGAAAAATTGATTGGAAAGTTAGGATAAGAAGTTAGGGATATTTTTGAGGTCTCTCAGTTTATTTAATGGGAGAATAATAATAAAAATATGAATAGTGAACCATTAGATGATGAGTTTTAATGTGATTCTGTTAATTCTGATCCTCCTTGTATTACTACTCTAGATCAATTCAAAGTTAATCTGAAATTAAATATTTGATTTAATTATAAATTAATGAAGTCAGTTCATTTTTCATTGCCTGATCCACCATTGCCTTTACCATTTGGATATTCTTATAAAACTAAAATTGATACAATACCATATATTCCAGAATCACTAATAAACTAAAGAGAATAAACTTAAACATCTAAGAATGATTATACTTTCTAAAATCTTCCATATGATTAGGAAATATTAGAATAAAAATAAATAATAGAAGATCCTAAACGAATTTTTCATGTTAGATATTCTATTAGAGATCCACAATTACTGTAAGATAATAGTAGAGAAAATTAGACTATAAAATCTAATTAGATAGATATAGGTTCAATTCAAATTAAATTACAGAAACAAATAGAAATTGCAAAATCTATAAATCAGCCTTGTGGAAAGTAATATTAAGAACTATTATAAAAAGTATTTTATTGATATTATATATATTTAGTTAATATCTATAATATCATAATAATAGTACAAGGGGATAAATGAATTGATTATAAATTCAGAATTTAATGGTATCATTTTTTAAATTAGAGCTTTACCAACCTTAGATATTTTGTATAAAATCTAATTTGAGGAGATAATTAATTGCATTTTTAAGCAAGAAGAGAAATTATTATTTTAAGAATTGGTTAGAGAAATAACTAAAGAATCCTTCATGTATTGGATGGAACCATTGTATTATGAGGCTCAATTAAGATAGATACCTTAATAATAATGGAAATAATTTATTTAAAGTTAAATAACTTTATATAATATGTGATTTCTTATACTATCATTATTATAATTATTAATCTTTTTTTTTAGTTAATACTTTTTTAATTTATTAATGTTAAACTTATTATTTGATTTATTATTAGAATTACTATTTATCATCATTCTCTTCTATCTATTAAGGTAACACTTTTAGACTTTCTTCATCATTTTATTTTTATGGTTATTTTTATTATTCTACTTAAGATTATTAATCAATTTATTAATACAATTAAAATAACTTTTTTATTTATTTTTAAGCCTCATCTTCATTCTATTCAATCAATTCTTCTTTAATTCCTTACAAAGGTTAATTTGTGATTAAATTAGGTTATTCTTAAGCAAGTTTTTATAACAATTCTAATCCTTGAGGAGCTGTTTCTTTATCTTTTGTAATGACTTTTGGTTTAATTTCTACTGGTAATTCAACTAATTGTTTAAATGGATTTTATTCTTTTAATTGATCATTAAATTCAATTGCTCTTGATTTAAAGTCAGGTTTATACACTTTTGTCCATAAATCCCAAAATTCACCTTAATGACACCCTTTCTTAGCAAGATTTAATCTCCAATCTTCATTAGATAGATTAAAGATTTCAGTAAATTTACAGGTTGAACAAGATAATAGATCATATCTTCCACCAAGATTAGTAAAACCTATATACTTTTGATCCCATAATACTTAAACCATAATTTCTTTTTATTCCAATAATCCAACTACAGTACCATATATACCAAAGGGATAATTTAAATTCACTACTCTATCTCCAATTTTATGGATTGTGGGATGTTTAATAAAGAATGGAGGTAAAAAGGTCTAAGTAGTTTATTAAACAGCAAAACCTGGATCTACTTTTTTAGTTGTAATATTAATATTGTTATTTAGAATGGGTTTTTTATGAATCTTAATTTAAGCAACTTTTGATGAACTTCCTTATAATAAATATTAAGATTCAGGTAATTAAAGAATCCATATATAAATTTTAAGGAGATCAATATTAGGATCAGGTGAATTAGGAAATAGATCCTCAACATTTATTGGTTAATTTCTTAAATTTTCATTCAATTAATTTAAATATTATTAAACTCTTGCACATTGATTTCTGTATTTGCATAAAATAGTAACACATTTTTCAGATAATTCTAGATCTAAGAATTTTTGATACTTTGATGATCCAGTTGCATATTAATCAGCTTAAGGTAATCTAACTAATTCAGGAACTAATTAATTATTAGTTCTATTTATAATATTTAATCCAATATCTAATTAATCTGCAATTTTTGATTCCTTATCTTACATATTAACAACAACACTACCTAATAAATTTAACAATGTTTTAACTGAACATTAAAGTTTCTCACTAACAATTTATAAAGAATAATAAATATCTGAGTGAATATAATCATATCCTAATAAGGTTGGATATGCTGTAATTTAAACAGTTAATTTTTTATCTATTTATTTTATGATTCCATTGGCTCCATTTTTCTTTTCATGAAATATCACAACTGGTCTATCTATTTGAAAATCTTCAAAATTTGGTATTGTAAATTTAACTTTTTGATCTGGAAACACAAATTCATATGGATATATTAATTCTCTATATTGATCTTATGGATAACTTAATTGATTATTATTATCTCTGATATAATGTTTATATTGTTTGACAATCAAAAATATTGAACAATCTAATTTCATGAATTTCTCATATTAATTTAAGGTTTTATTTCTTATTTCTTTATATATCTTATTATGATCCTTTTTACTGTAATCTTTAAGTAATTATATTTATTAGAGTTTAATTCCATCAATTAGATTTAAATGATCAGATCTAAGGATTGCAAGAACTTCACATTATTATTGAATAGGGAATCCACAATATACAAAATTCTTATTTTTGATTATATCCTAAATAAATTAATCATAATCAAATTTAGCTTATTATAATTCTAAAAATAAGAATTAATTTTCAAATTTCTTCATATCATCTTCATGTTATTGAATATTAACCAATTTTGATGATTTTATACCTACTATTTTTAATGAAGGAATATAATAAGAATCATCAAATTACTCAAGAATTTATTATTATCCATAAGCAATTTAATATTATTCTTTATCTTCAATATCAATAAACTATTTTTTACAACAAGATTTGAAATTACTAAAATGTTTAGGAAGAGTAGATTCATATATTTATGATTAATTTGAATCATATTAATAGAAAATTGAAAATCCTTATTGATTTCTTGAATCATTTGTATCATGAATTGAATTATATGCCTATTCAACAAGATTGCAATCTAAAAAAGGAATTTTCGTAATATGTTAATGTTCATACATTGTACCATATGAATCAGTTTCAAAATTATCAGGATAATAGTCTATAGGTGTTCTGAGAATGGAATTCTCTTTGTCTGTTAAAAGTTTACCATATGGTTCAGGTAATAACATAGCATTTTCTGGAGTTAAGATACTAAGTAATTATTTAAATGGTGGATATGGTTTACCCTTTGTTAATATAATAGGTTCTTCTTTATCTGATAATAGTTATATTATATGTGATACAACTCCAACAATATCCCCACATAATGGAGCATAATAATATTTATAATACCATTCCCATGAAGGTACTCCTTTGAAATAATATTATAACACAAAGTAAATTCCTTCCATATAATTAATACACATATCTTCTAATTTCTCTAGATCTAATTCATCACCTTAAGTAATTTAACATTTGGCTTTATAATAAAATTTACGTCCTTCAGTTTATTCTTGGAGTGAAAAGTATTTCAAAATATTATCAATCAATTCTTTTTCTTTAGCAATCATTTACTTGTTCTCATGTTTAGTATTTAAATAATTAAGCATTTCTTATTATCTATCATTAATACATAATTTCTCAAATCCTTACAATAATTCTAAAAGACTTAACAATTCTTTGTAATTGATATCTCCTCTTTATACAATGTAATCATTAGCATTAATTAAATGTTTTTTGAATAAGTCAACAAGAGGTTCTATGGTTCCTATTCTAATATCAAAACAATAGATTCTTGGTAGAAAATCATTACCAACAAAAAAACATAGTAAAATAAAATCATCAATAATACGATTGATATCATAAACTACTTTCATTTTATCTTTCAAAACTGTAAATTCCAAATCCAAATATTCTCTTACCATAGAAATATTGATTACTAGAAATTCAGGAATTTTGATAACTCTATTAGCAGCAGCACTAGCAACTTATTTAAATTTTAGATCTTCTCTAATGATGAGAACATTCTTCAATTAAGTAAGTAAACCTAACATAATTAAATCTGCATCTGCTCCATAAATCATATGAACACTATTTGGATCGAATTACATATTACGAATGAAACTAAGAAGTTTATGTTCTCCTTCTCCTGGTACATCACATCCAGAGAAGATGATTTTGAGATTCTTGAATTTTGGATCTTCAGAATATTTTCTCTCAATATAAAATTTAATCTATTGATTTCTTAATATTTGAATATGAATACAATTGAGTCATGAATTCAGTACCAGGACTGAATTGATTGTTTTTATATGTTTCATTCTTTTGAAATAAACCAATTTATTAAAGATGAGCACTTAAATACTTATATCTTTTCTATGACTAAAATCGTCTTTGACGCTATTAATTCATTTTAGCACGTGGTGCAACTCCATCAAATGCCAAAAATAATAATTGTTAAGGATTAACTAAATTTATTATCATATCCAAATAGTTTATTATAGAAACCCAAACATCATCAAAATCTCTTTCTCTTAATTGATCCTTAAATAATACTGTAGGATCAGTTGCACACTTATAAATGATTTAGTTCATATCTAAATAAAAATAATCCACTCTTTATGCTCGAGTGTGTTCATATAGACATAGAGGATACCTTCTCATTAACCATGAATAGAAATTAGGAACACCCATTAATTAAAATATATAAATTTATACAAAAACCAAATGTTTAATTCATACTTGTATGAGAAATTATTTATATTTATCCAAAATGTTTAGAAGAAGAAAGAAAATGAAACTTTATGTATAAATGTATAAATTCAAATTTTTAAATAAAGAATTAAACAATCGATTGGATTAGAAATAAAAAAACAGAATTTAATATTTTTTTATCAATATGTTGACTTCAGATATTTTTATATTCTATTTCATAGATTTATTAGACCCTCAATTCTATTTCAATGATATTAAATACAAAGCTATCATATATGGAAAACCCTCGATAAAAATAAAGGTCTCAATCTTCTACATTATTGATAAATCATTCATTATTTTTATCAAGAAAGAACAGACAATATGCATCATATATTTCAATATAGATTTTAAAACTAGTTTGAAAAGAAATGAACAGTTTCTAAAAGATAACACTAAAACCCATGTTGAAAACTAGAAATTCCAAAAATAGAAATTAATCAATATTGAAACTCTATCAAGATAATATGACTTAATAAGATCATAATGCTAAAATAAATAAATTGATGACTAAAAACCTGTTACCATCTATCTATTTTTAAAAACAAGTTTCTATGCTACTTCCACAATATAAAATAATTTATTATATTAAAAGACTGAAGAGAGTGAACAAAAAGATAACATATCTATTAAAAATAATGTAATTGAAACTTTTAATCTTTTTATATACCTCTAAAATTTTAGAGAGATTTTAAGTTATTAGGAATGAAATCCAAAAATTCATATTAACTATTAATGGGGAGGACATTTGATATCTAGTATTGTTAAATCAATATGAGATGTTTATAAAGATATTTATGGAATAGATTTGAGTGAATCTAAGTGTTATGAAAAGTGACTCAAATATAATATTAAATATTCAACCACTCATTTTATCGATTACTTTAATAATATTTCTGTCTAATCTATGAGATCACTTATAGCATTTTCATAATTATGAAAGAGAATTGCAGTATTTTAAACAGTTGCCTCTTCTAATTATTAATTTTCAATTTTTAATTAATTAATTTATTATTCTAATGACAAAAGTTCTTAGGTCAATTTTGTAATTTCTTATTTTTATGATTAGAGTAAAGTTGGAGATTGATGAGTTAAATTTTCATTTTCATCTGCTTCGAATTCACTAACATCCATTTTTCTTTATAAGGTCCTACAAGATAATTATGATTAGTTTCTAGAATCTTAAGTACATTTATCTACTGATAAATATAAAGATGATCTTTTTTTAGCCATTTAATTTTGATATTATTTTATACCTTCTACTGTTGTTGTCCTGGCTATCACTAATTCTGAATTTTTGGTTTAAAGTTAATGTATATTAATCTAAATGATTACACTAAAGAATTTATCAATATCAGTTGAATCTGTACTTTATATTAGTTTATCTATGATATAGAAGGCACAAGAAAATGTAAGATTAAGAAAGAATTGATTCTTATAATTCATCATAGCTGATTCAATAAATTATTTAGCTGCTATGATTTAATCTTATTCTAATTTGAATCTAAATTTAACATCTTAAATAGCATCATGTTACATATAATCATGATCTTTAATGAATTCTTAAGTTGTTTAGTACTCTGGATAGTATTATTTTGGTATTTTATTATAAATGTCTTCTAGAATTTTTAAGCAAACATAGTCCTTACAAAAACATAACAAAAATATTGTTAATTTGATTAAATTTTAATTGTAGCCTACTTATGGATTACGAGTCACATAAGTATCAATTACATTTGTTATAGTTGTTTCAATGTCTTTATTACTAAATATCAATAAATTCAAAAATTCTTAGATTGAATAATTCATTGGTGTTTATAGAACTGTTTTAACATCTCTAGCTATTTTAGTGTATTTAATTTCTTTGTTTAATTTGTACACTGATTTGATAATTTCAACATCTTTGACCCAATATTTTTTGGCAATCTAACTATTGTGATTCCAAGCTAAAAGTGATTCTGAAATAATCTTTCTAATTGTTTCACAATCTTAATTGTATAAATATTATTGTACCTTGCATACAAACTTTACAGATATTCCTAAATATATCTCTAACCTACTGTAATTTGGAGCAATCAGTACAAATAATTCTATTACAACGTTTACATTTAGTATCTCTCCTCCACAATATATTAAAGGGTTTCTTACAAATATCGCAACTCATTAATTATATTTAATTTATATGATGAATATTGTAAGAAAAGTTTAAACTTAAAATCACACTTAATTATTGATTATTTCATATTTAATTAAACAGGGCAATTATTAACTTCATCCTCATTTCTTCTTTTTCTTTAATTTATCCATTATTATTATTCACATCAATATATATATTGAGAGTATAAAACTTTCTTTATATTCTTTAACTTATTTTTAATTCAGGATATTATTAAATCAATTATTTTTCTCATCGAAATTGAGTCGATTATATATATTATTGACTGTATTAAATAATCAATTCTTTAGTTATTGAATATCAATAAAATTGCACTCATATTTTAATATTAATAACAATAAACTCAAAATCTATTCCTCTAATAATAGATTAATAGAATTAATCATTGATTTATGATTAATCTACTGAAATAACTAATCAACTATATTAATAAGCAAGAAATCTGATAGATTCAATTCCAATTAATAAATGCAGTAGATCATTTTTATTATTTTTTAATAACTATGATTATTATCTGTATTTCCAAAATGAAATTCATCTACTTTCATTGCTACATTAATTAAATTTAGATGATATTAGAAGTCTAATATAAATATATATTTCCTTTTCAAGTGATTTAAACATTTCTTTTAACATATCTATTCAAAATATCCATATTATATAATGTATATTACTATTTTAATTAAAATCTTAAAGTATGTATGTAAATCTAAATTTTATAGCTTTATGCTGATAATAATCTATTCATTTGATTTGCAGCATTATTTCTACATATTCAAAATGTATTTATTCATATATGAATTTAATAAAATAAATCAAATTCTTATTTGCTGGTTACTTTATTGATTTCTCTTAATATTGATCCAAATCAGTAATGTAAATTATGAATTAATTTCAAAACCCTCATCTTTTCAATTATCGGTTAAAGGTTAATATATAACATATTTTATAATAAAATTAATAGATAGTGAAATTAAAAGATTAATTTTAGTGAAATTGACAGTATTTCTATAATTGAAATATTGATGAATCTGATACTCTCTAAAGTATAATAAAATTCAAACTATTTAAAGTAATTTGAAAGTAAATTGAAAATATTTATTTATATTACGAATTACTCATGAAGGTGTTTCTTGAAAAATTTAATGATAATTAGATACATATTCATTATTATTCAAATATTTAAACATTCATTCAATAACATTATAAAGTATTATATATGAATGAATGAAATTTGAGGGACATATATATATATGAACACAACGAGTATTTAAAATAATTAAGATATTTATTTATAATTTGCTTCTTAGAAGTATATGAAATCTTAGAATTCTAAAAAACCTAATCTGAAGCTTACACTCAATAAGAAATCGATGGGATAATTAATTCAATGTGACAAACCTCCAAGTTCAAAATGTTCTTAGAAAACAACATCCTCAAATGGAAAGGTAAGAAATATAATATATATGAATAATTTAGACATCTAATTCATCCAAATAATTGTGTTTCAAATTTCAGGACAACTAATCAACAGCTAATCCATCTTTAATTTCTGAGGGGGACAAGAAATGTAAGTTATTATAATTAATCATAAGTACTTGAACCAGATCAATCATAACTAATATAATTGCTGATTCAAGAAAATTTGTAATTGTAAAAGTAAAATTCAGACAAGGACTCTATAATTTCTAGACTTATTACAAATACAAACAAAAAACCAGTCATTTTATAAAGAGCAAATACTTCTAATACCGAGAGGACTCCTGAAAAACTATTTACAATGTATTATAATTCAATAAGATGATCTAGAAAAAAGTTGCAGCAAAACACTTGTGAAAAGAAATCAAATTCTCCTCTCGGTTTCACATTTTGTAATGTTGATAAAGAAGATGAAGGAAAAGTAATTTAGAGTCAACCAATGACAAGATCTCAAAAGAGACTTCCAAAAGAGTTTTAAATTGTACCAAATCAAAGAAGGTTTTTCATATGATAGAAGAACTTGATAATAGAAAGTTATATGATTTTATATTGTTTCAATTTGATCTAACATATCATTTCCTTATATTTTAAAATATAATATACATTTCTTCAATACAATTTGTGTAAAGACAATAAAATAATTTGAGAAATAATTGCTATAGAACTGAACATTAATAATTATAAAATAATATAATTCGTATTTTAATGTTTTATCAGTGATTTAATTGATATTATTATTATTTACAATAATAAAATCGAATTTTAAAAAAGGTTAATAAGTTTATTTTGAACTTAGTCTGAGAATTCTTTTAAACATTTATTTTTATAATAATCTAATATATATATCATTTAAGAAATCTTTATTATTTCTATACTTAAGTTTGATAATAAGATATTTAAATTAATTTACAATAATTTACATTTAATAACTATTATTTGCTTTAATATATATATAATAATAAATGTAGCATTATTTTGCAACTCTATATTATCTTTATATATTTTTATATAATAGAATTTATATCAAAAACAATGCAAAAATAACAAATAAAATTTATTATAAATAGTTATTATGTCATGAAATATATAATGCATATTTATTATTATATATTAATCAGACTTATATATATTATATTATTTTAAGAGTGTTCAATTTAATTATTATTTATAATTGTTTTTCTAATGGAAGATTAATGAGAATGAAAACAATATTATTTATTCTCAATATTTCATTATAATCTACACTTATTTGTATATGATTATAAATCTTTGATAGGTTAATTCATTAATATAATTTATAAAGAAGTAAATTAATCACTGTGATATGATAATCTTTTGATACACTTATAAATATTTTCTAAGATGCGACAATGAATTATTGCAGACATATATAATCTATGAATTATTTAATAATAATTACATTATATTTTTGAATCAAAAGTTAGATGAATGAATAAAGTCTTTGGAAATAGTTTGAATCTTAATTGCCACAAATATTAACAGTGAAATAAGTAAAGTCATCCTTTTTAATCGAATTGCTGGATAATCCTTAAGAATTCTAGAATTCAATAATGGTATTTAGATTAGCCTTTTTCAGAGAATTAAAGTCGTTTTAATTAGCAGGAACATAACCGTAACAGATATGTTTATCTAATTGATAAATTGATCTCTTAATTTACTCTAATCCTTCACAAAAGACTACTAGGTAATTTTTGTAATAGCCATCTTAAATCATTTATTAATCAACTTACTTGTACTAGTAAGAGTCAGTTACTAGAGTGGACTTGTATAATGTCTTTTGTTGATAAGATGGAACTAATAACGAATTTCTCTTTCTTCCAGAACATTCACAAGTATTCTTAAATAAGATATATCTTCTTTTTGTTTCATGCTGATTCTTCTCTTGAACATTCCTAAATCGTAAGATGATCCAGAAATGAACATTGCGTACTTTTTAGGGTTGTAACACTAAAACAAAATCTTCCTGTGATTCCAGATATCAGTTATAACTAAAAATAACATTTAGAAATACTTATATTTTCAGTTGTTCTCACTATTCGATTGGGACCCATTTCCCATTCAATATTTGAAGGACTATCAAACTCACTAAAGAAGTATTTGTATTCAAAATCTTATTCCTCTAAAGCAGTCATACTTATATCTACTGTTAACATCCATGTGTCTCCCTATTAATTAAAGATGATACGTACTTCACACCATTACATTCTTTTGGCTTACATAGGATTCCAATTGCCCAACTCTTAAAAGTTACCACAAATGTACATTGCTTCACCAAAAGCTAAAGGATATTGTATTTAGAAGGTAAGCATTGCTATAATTTTTTAAATGATAAATCCTATAGATTTGTGTCATCTAATTTGTAATTCATAATAGTTACTATTTTCAATGCTACGTATCAAAATGATAAAATATTATTTTTTTAATTCTCTCTTCTTCATTTCAACTATCTTGATTAATTAATTAATATCAAAAGACTCTTTCCCAAAAATCAAAGGTGAATTATAATACTATCACATTCACCCATTAACCTATGAAATATAAGATAATTCTAATATACATTTTATCAAATGCTGAGTAGACCTAAACAATGATTTTTATAAACAAGCAATTCTTTGTTAAATGCTTCAATGGATTCTCATTTTAAGAAGCCAATCTCAATCATATACCAAATATAATTATCCAAAAATTTGTTTTCTCTTTAAGAAATAGCCTAAAATCAATTTTTAAGTCAATCAAATATAACATCTTCATAACCTTTTGAGATAGTTTTTATGATATAAATACATTGGATCATCTCAGAAGATGTTAATAATATCATTATTCATGTTTATAAGAAAGAGACATAAATTATTGGATCAAATTTATAAGTATCAAAAGTTACCCAAATAAGATGGGTTTAGGTAGGATATCAAAGAAAGTTAATTATCATTTTTATCAAATCATTCATTATCTCTTAGACATAATTCATATATTCATATTGATTTGTTAAATTTTATTTGACAATGTCCATTAATGGATATGATTTATTAATATGAAAGCATTAAATATGATTTCAATCTAAATTTCATAGGATTTTGAACTTCTGAAATAGATGGCTTATATAATTTTGAGAATTTCTATATATATTTGATAAGATAGAATTCAAGTAATATCAATATGAGATTTTACAAGTAGTAATTGAATTTAATGAAGAATATCATTGTTTAGGATTACTTTAAGGGTAAATATTTGAAAAATTAAGAAATTAGTTAGCTGAAATTTAAAATATACTTTTTTAGTAAGTAAACATAAGACTAAATAATTAATAAAAAATTATACTATAATCTGAATTTGAAAATTATTATAAATTGATAATTATTAATCCATCTATTGATTTTATTAACTAATACAATCTAAAATTAATATGAACGATTATATTAATTATGATTATCTTGATACTCTAGATAAAGATGTGCAATGATAATAAAAATTTAATGATATTTATTATATTTGTGGATGAATATCAAACTTTGATGTTTGAGAAATCTACACTTTTAACAAGGGCTAAAGCTTGTTCACTAACTCCTAATTCTCTGGTGAATTCATTCTTAGTGTTAGTATAGATATCAGTTTCTTCAGCATAGGTATTATTCTCTAATTCTAATTCAGCAGTGTATTATTTTTAATCAGCAGCTCTTTAATCTCTGAATTCAGTCATTTAATCAATTTTCTCTATAGAAAATAAATTAAATGTTTTTACCATTAGTGGCAGTCAAATCAACGGTTGCTCTATTAATTTATCTTTAGAATTCACTGTATTCATCATCTAATTATTCAAGATATGCCTCATGATCAACAACATCTTAAGCTTCTTAAGCTGTTAAATCATTGATTTAATCGACTACTGCATTTCTGAATTCATTAAGAGCATCAACTATATTCTTCAATACATCTTAGTTTGAGAAATTTTGATTTGAAGCTAAATTAATCAAAGCTTTGATCATTGGTGCCATTCTTGATCTTGATCTAATCTTGTTTTCAATATTTTTGAGTGTATTTTAGAATCTTCTGATTTATAATAATGATGGATTTGTAAGTGAAGCAAGAAGAGCTAAAGCATCATCAACTGAAGCAGTAGCATCATTTAATTCAGCAACTTATGCTTCAAATGCTTCATGTTCTTATTCTCTAACTAAAATTGCTTCATCATAATTCTTTCTATTTTCTTCTTGATATCCAACAACTGAATCAATCTTGCTTTAGATTTAAGCTCTTCTTGGATAGAGAAGATTGTCTAAAGTATCTTATGTATTATTGACATCTAAATTATTATAAATTATTATTTACCAATTACAGCATCTTGAATGTCTTATTCTAAACTGGTTACTAAGGCATTATGTTCATTTGTTCTCACTTTGAAATTGAATTCTAATTCTTCTAATTCTTCTTCTAAATCATTGATAAGTTCTTCAATAGCATCAATCAATTCCTAAACTGGTCCTCCAGCCATAGAGTGTAATTCAACCAAATGAAGTAAAGCTTTTCCATATGTGCTTTTAGCTAAATCAGCTTAAACTTTGGCCATATTTCTCTCTTAGACTCTGGCTGTAAAGGCTACAGCAATGAGGGCAATCAGAATAATTGATTTCATTTATTTAATTATTAATCATATAAAAACGAATTCTTTGAATTATCAACCAAAAATTAATCAAAGTCATTAGCTTTTTATATAGTTTTGAAATTATTGAAATTTTAGAGACTTCCTAAATAAACAAAATTTGATATCCATAAATTTAAATAGGAATTTATTATTTTATATTTTACTTCTTTTCTTTAATAACCTAATATTTATGATTTTAACATAATTGCCATTCTACTTTAATATCTAAAGATATTTTCAAAATTAATATTATAATAGATATAACAATAAATTAGAAATCGATCTTACTATGCACATAAACCTGAGAATACCAAAAAATGGTTTATTTATGATTATAAATATCAAGTAAACTCTTTTTATTTTCATAAGATGAATTCTAAAGCCAATTATATCTAATGACTATGTTTGGATTTAGAATTGAAAAGATTTCTCATCTCTTACAATGAATTAAGTAATTTCTTTTAATCACTTTTAAGCAAATGTTTATGATCAATAACTTACCATTCACTTACATCAGTCTCTTCCTCTATTGTTTATATCATATAATCTGAATCAGAATTTTGACTAATCACTCTCTCTACTTAATTTTCATCTATTAAAAAAGTGATCTCTTCATCAACTGAATACATAAGAACCTTCTTTTCAGGTATTCTTATTTAATCTGAATTAAATCTCACTAATCTATTATTCTATTTTGGGATCATAGTCTATTCCTAAAATGATAAAGATCTTGGTTTTCCTACTTCTTCAATCAAATTCAAATATTAATGGAAACGAGCAATTATTGATATATTCTCCTTTATATTTAAATGATAGCATTTATATAATTCTAAATTCTAGTTTTTACTATTATGATCAATAACTATTTAAAGTAAATAGTTTTAATAACACTCTTATTTGTTCAAGAAATTTTAATACAATGAGCTCTTAGTGAATATACAGCAAAGTGATTTTTTTTCAAATATGCATTGTTTGCCACATTGCATATTTCTGTTATTCTGACTTTTAAATGATAGTATCCATTATTCTGCTAAAATCTTTCTATGACTGATGTTATGTTCTAAGTAAATAGATATACTCAAACTAACTTCATCAGACTTTGAGTTTAGTGTATAATTAAAAATATGCTCATTTTTAGCATTTTAATTTAAGCATACTCTTTTGTTTAGTATGATTTACATGTATTCATTAAGAATAAATCTATGGTTTTGCATTTTTTAAATGAGTTAGTCCTTTTTTTAAATTGTTATAATTTATAAATTAGACTTTCTTTTCAGAACCCATTTTTACTTAACTCATCAGTATTTTTCTGATTAATTTTGAGCAACATAAGACATAAATAAATTATAATGAAAGAACAATACTATTTATGGTTATCTTGGCTATCAATATCTGTCTGAGTCATGAACTTTAAATTTTATATACTATACTATGTAATTATAATAAATAAAATAAATAAAATTAATATGTAATATGAATTAAAAATAATCAATAATTATAGGTATTATAATTAATTATATGTATAATTTATTAGATATCATGAAGGTTAACTATATTTAAAATTCTCTTTAAATTCAAATATATATGATATTTTAGAAAAATAAATTATTAATTCAAATTTTGAATTACCAATTATTCAAATAACCAGAGTTTAAAATTATACTATATTAAATACAACTTTTTTGGATTTTCTTAAGATATTTGAAAGATAAAATATATAATAACAATTTATATTTATTTTCTAAAGTGATATAATAAGTAAATTTGCAATTTTTTAAAATATATAAACAAAAATTAAATTGTTTATTAAATCAATCTTTTGATTTCTTATTGGAATTTTGATTATTAAGTCTGATTATCAAGATTATTAGTGATTTAAAAATCAAATCATATATAAAACTAATATTAAAAGAATATTTATGTATAATAACTGTTGATATGTTAATTAAATTAATCTAAATATATCAGTTCTAATTACGTAACTTCCAATACTTATATATCAAATATGTTCCTATTCCAAACCCAACTAAACCACCAACAACTATTGGGTTAGATGCTTAGGTTATCAAAAATTATTTAACAATTGGAATTTTAGCACAAACACTTTCATATAGAATGCCAGCTCCAGTTTTAATTTTTTTTATAAAAGAATTACTATTTGATTCTGTTGAAATAGTTTTTACAACTTTACTATTACAGATTTTTTCGTATAAGCCAGAAAAAAATGGTTAAGTTTCTTTTGATTCTATCAAGGTACATATTTAATCTGAATATAGTTTATTTGATGAAGAAACTGAACATAATTCAGTAGCATATGCACAACCCGAAATACATACTTGTTCTCTACCGCTAATGTATGCTGCTGTTATTTCTACTGCAGGCTTAAGATATTAACAATTATTCTGTAAAGTTGCAATTTAATTTGATAAACTAGTTATTGGATTAGGCATATATCCATATTTAATAAAAGCTCCTCCAATAACTCCAGTAATGGTACAACCTCCTATAAATAATGTTTCCCTAGTTCCAATTTTTATAATTTATAATTTTTTGCAAAGATCTGAGATGAAATCACAAAGATATCTCAATAATGGCATGCCTATCAAAGAAAAAAATAGTAAATGTAATGATTTAACGCATTTTTAAAAAATACTTTCATCAGATTAACTCCAAATAAAATATAAACCAAAAGTTATCATCAATACACTTAGGGGTTTAATTAAATTTGTTAACTCATTCAATATTTAGGCAATTGCAATAATTACGCAATTACCAAATATTTACATTTTATTTTAATTTTTTGAAGATCTAATTAATTCATATAACATTTCATTGTGTAAAGTTGGATTTTTCAATTTTTATTTCAATGTTTCTTTTATTTTTTACTACTTAACAGCCTAATAAGCGTTTTAAATAAAAGTTCTAGCCATAGCAATTAAATTTTTTTATTCTATTCTTTCTAATACATGTGTATTTACATCCTTAAGATTTTGATTTATCAAATCTATAACACGATTTACATAATGAATACAACTATTACTAACTACAGAATATTCTTATGGATTCTAGTCTTATAGTTCTTTCACAGTAAACTATTTTACCAATTAAGATGAATCATAGGATCCATAAACTGTATAATATTCTTTTTGTCTTTGTTCATCCGTAATTTCTTTACTAGTGAATCCTTCTTTTAATTAATGTAATATAAATTATCCATTTTATATCGTATTCAAAATTATCGCATAATGATGAAAAAAAGCTTGCCTAAACCATTCCTTGAACTTATTAATAAGAGGAATTCCATTTTATTTAATCTCTAAACTTTCTCCAGATGCTAATGGTCTTTAAACAATTTCAATTTTTGTTACAATTTGAGAAAGTTATTATTCATTGAGATAGTTTTATTATTTGAGCTAGTTTTATTAATTGAGCGTACTTGATTAACTGATCTTTGTTAACATTTAAATAAAATTAAATTTAATAGAATTATATAATTAATAAATTTCTATTATATTTTTTAATTTACAGTGTGGTAATTCTATTAAAAATTAAAGTATTATAAGTATTTTAATCAATAATAAAATATATAAAGCATTACATATAATAAAAATCATAGAATTAATAATTAAAAGTTTTATAATTAATTTGGAATAATAGAAATAATGGAAAATAATTACAATATAAATTTTGATAACAGAAAATTAACTATTCTTTAAATTATTGTATTTCTCTAATTTTGCTCACCTTTTATTATGAAAAGTAAAAATAGTAAATCTATATCGAAGAAATTAATGAGTCTACAAAAATAATCAAAAGTGTTTGATTTTTTTGAATTATTATAATATTAATCCTACAATGAACTCCTAATTTTATAAGTATGTCTATTACTATCAAATTAGACAATATAAATTTCATCAAATTATTTAATAAATTTTTATATATGGTAAATCATTATAATATATATATATATCATTACAATAATAGATGAATAATTATCAATGATGATAATAAAATCTCATAGCTTGTATCATCTGTATTGTCTTCATTTGGACATACTGTACATTTATCATCTAACCAATAAAATCCACCATCTGTTAATAGTGAACATTAATTTTATGTTAATTCTGTTATATCTGATCTCTCTTCACACTTTTATGTAGTTGTATTCCATTTACAAAGTGTTTTGGCACCAAAATATCCATCATTTGCTAGAATACAAGTATTAACAGTTAAATTGGATCCACAAGTATAAGCCTTGCATTCTGTACCTGAAGCATCACATCCTAAATTGGAACAAATTTCAAGAGGAATTCCAGAACAAGTATTTGGATCATAACTCTAACATTTTCCTTATTAATTAAGCCAACAAAATGAATTCTCATTTTCAAAACTATTTTTACAATTCTCTGAAGTTTATGAAGCACAAGTAACTGCAGTATATGATCTACATTTATAAACACCATTAGTTTAGATGGCTTCAGCTGCACAATTACCTCTTTTAAACATACAATCTATTTAAGTTGTAGCTGTGTATTTTGAACAATCTCCAGTAGATTCACATTATCCATCTTAGTTAATAGAACATCTGAAAAAGGTTTCACATCTTTCAAGAATAATATTAGCACAATTCTTTAAGCCACAAGCTCCATTACTCCAAGAACAATAAGGTACATTTTCACATTCAGTTTAATTGCTAAACAATACACAATCACATCTATTTTTAGTTGAAAGAGTCTGATAAGCACTTAAGAATACTAAGCAAAGTATAATTGTTTTTGACATTTAAAATAATAATGAATATCATTAAATAAGTTCAAGGCTTTAATAAACAATAGATTATGGCATATTATATTACAGAATGATGATATAAATTCAAATAAATAAATCTCAAAATTTAAAAATTAATCAATTAAATATAATAATATATGTTTTTATGTTTATTTCATTTAATATTTATAATCAACAATTTCTATATTACTTTTATTATCAACGCATTAAATGAATAGATAATTTAATATTATAAATTAATAATTATATGATGAACCTTTTATTTTCTGAATTTATAATAATTAATATAAATAAAATGTAATAAAATTCATAATAACTAATTCGAAATTAAACTCCTGAGGACTTAATTTATTCATAATTAAATTCAAAAAGAGAAAATGTATCCACAAATTCTTAGATGTAAACTTAAATAAAAGTAAACGATATTTAATAATAATGAGCATTCAATTGAATTTCTAAAAAAAAATTTAATAAATCGTTAAATTTCAAATCATTATTCTAATTCTAATCAAGATTAATTAGTTTACTAATTATTTTAACTTCAATAAAAAGTAAGAAATTCTGAAAAATTATTTACTAAAAAAGAGTTGTATTTATAAGAGTAGATATTAAAAACATAAAAAAATTTTGAAAAAACAATGAATTTAATGAAATTCAAATATTAGATGTAAATAGAAGATTTATATTCTGAATTAAAAATCAAAGATGAAGAAATCTACAGTCTTAATTTATAATTATAATAAAATAATCTAAAAAAAATAGGCAAAAGATTGTTTTCATCATAATAATAATAGAAAAAATAATCAATTAATGAATAACAAAATTCTGATAGTTCTAGAAAATACTGTCAATTTAAAATGCCCACTAGATCCTAAAATTCAAGTAGAAAGAATGATTCAAACATATATTAGAAATAATTAAGAAGGATTAGAATTTAAACATCAGAATTTGCTTAAAAAGTAGAAAATGAGAAAAATCTAATTCAATCTGATATTGCAATATTAAAAGATTAGAAACAAATTATTAAAGGTTATTTGAAATTAAATAAAGTTTAAAATAGTGATCGATCATAATATAATTCTCCAATAAAATCTAATAATAATGAGATAAATAAATAGAGCAGCTCTTCCTTTGGAGTCAAGGAATACTTCTCTTAAAAATAATGATATTTAATTAAATCTTTTGTATTTGTATATATTCAATAGCAATAAATTATTCTAATCAATATTTTGTGAGTAGTTCCTCCATATATAAAATTTAATCAAAGAGTTACCAATAGCCAATATTTTCTTCTCCCAATAACTAAATAAGTTGTTTTCTTAAGTCTTAAGTAGAGAGTTCTTAAAATGATACCTTTATAATTTTACATTTAGTCTTCATTAATTGTAAAGCCTTTTCTACAAGATTATTACCTAATCCACCTTCGCATCTATGTCTTAATAATTTGATTCTATCCTATATTCTAGCCACTATAGAATTAATCGGTTTTGTTTCATCTTGATCCACTTCATCATAGTCTCCTTATTCATCATCCTCCAAATCTTCATTCTCCAATTCTTCTTCAACTAATGGAATGACTTATCCAGCTACAATTATAGAATGTTCTTACTTTCTAATGCTTTGATTTACATATTTTATACTTATCTATTTTATTAAAGAGATTAACTAATTTCTTATATTTTTAAAGTTTTATCTTTAAGTTTAGTTTTCATTAAATCAAGTCTTTATTCAACATCCCCTTCTTCTTCATATTCTTCTTCATTTTCAATCTCTTGAATAGCCATAACCCCATCACTATCTTCAGAATCATCATATTCTTCCTAAACTTTTAATGAACTATCTTTTGATTAACGATATTAAGCTTATTTACGTTCTTAAGCTAATTTTCTATTTTAATAACTTTCTTTATAAATTTATTATCTTTCCTTTTCTTCTTGTATAGTTTTTTCTTCATCTCTTTTTTATTTCTTTTAAATCACTCTTTCCTTAGCACTTATAGTACTATCATCTCTTAATCTATCTTTTTCAAGGGATAAACTTCTTTCTTTTTATTTTTATCTAATTTCATTAGGTCTTTTATCTCTTTCCAATGATACCTTTCTTTAATTAACTCTATGATAATCTGGTCTTTATTGAGTTTCTGTTTTTTAAGTATTTTCTGATTTATTTGTTATATTTTCTGTTGTATTTTTAGAATTTGAATTAGTCTCAGTATATTTAGTATTTTGTATAGGTACTTTTTATTATTTCTTTTATTCTAATCTTTTAATTTCTTCTTCTAATTTCTTTTTTTCAATTTATTCTTTTTTTAATTATTTTAATTTCAATGCTTCTTATTCTTATATTTAAATTAACATTCTTTATTCTGCTCTTCCTCCTTTTTCTAATTCATTTTTTATATCTGCTATTGTTGCACCTTATGCAATTTATTTTTGATAATGTTAAATAAGTGGTAAGACTCCAATCTATTCAGCCTATTCATATAATGTATCCACATACATATCATCTAAATCAGCTGATTATGGTTCTATGAAGATTGATTATAAAAAATACCACAAAAGACTTCAAGCATGTAATAAATAATCCTTAATTTAATAATTGGTTTATGAACTATCTCCTATATAGTAGGTCTAGCCTTAGGATTAGTATTAAGCATCTTATTAATGATATCTCTTAATGCCTTAGAATAGGTTGGACTGATAGATGAATAAGAACCTTTTAAAATTTTCAATGCCAATCCATTCATTGATTATGCATCAAAAGCATGTCTCAGATTACACATTTCATATAGACAACATCCAAGTGCCCATACATCACTCTTATATGAATATGGTTTATATTTAAATAACTCTGGACTCATATAATATGGAGTTCCTATGCAAGTGTTAGCCAAATCACGAGTTGAATCAAGTACTTTTGCAATTCCAAAATCACCTAATCTAACTCTGCCATTTTTTAGAAATATATTTTATGTCTTTAAATCTCTATGTAAAATCTTTTGTTCATGTAAATAACACAAAGCTAATGTCATTTATGCAAACCAATCCAAAATTTGAGATTCAGGAAAACTTTTTTTGTTTCGAATTTTTTAATAAATATCTCCACCTTCACAATGAATCATTACAATATTTAAGTATTATTCTCTATCTAAATATGAATCCTTATAGGCTACAATATTAGGATGCCTCAATTTCTATAATAACCTGACTTCATTTTCTGTATTTTCACGATCCTTCTAATTCATGTCTCTAATTTTAATACGCTTAATGACATAAAGACGATCTTCTCTTTTATTCCTAGCTAAGTATACCTAACCAAATGAACCAGAGCCAATAGATTTGACTATTTCATAAAATTCCATTATTTTAAATATTCATAATAATATGGTTAATTAATATGAATTATTTTAAATTACAATTATATTAAAAATAATAGATTTACTAAATAATCTTTCAATGACAGTTACACAAATTTAAAGTATTAAAGAAGTGCTATTGTTATTAAACACCATAGATGTTTAATAAAATAATAATAATTAGTTATTAAATTATATAATTTGACTTTTACTATTTTACATAATAGAACTCCAATTAATTATCATGTTTTATGATAATCAAATATATTATTTAAAATTAGTAAACTAATTATTTAAAACAACTATTCTTTCTTTATTTAAAATATTGAAATATAAAGAAATTATAAATTTAAATATTAATTGATCATCTTAAGAATGAATAATAAATTGTTGATATTATTGTAATTGTCGCTAAGAGTAAAATAGAAAAGTTTATAATACAATTTAAATTACAATTTTGTTCATTTTCAATTTAAGCTATGTAAGTTATATACATAATTACTTTAATTATTCAATAAAGAACTGCCTTATTCAAACTCTTTGGTAGATATATTTAAATTAATCAAAGGTGAAATTGAACTGTTTTATTGAATAGATAAACCAATTTAAGCTTTTTTAACCACTTTATGTTTAGCATGCTTAAATTAAATTAATAAAAAATTAAAATTACTTTTTAAGGGATTGTTTTTCTTTTAAACTATAATTTAGCTAATTCTTATCTTGCTTTCTCTTATTATTAAATTTGAGTTGCTTTATCAATATAATTCCATTAATTCTACTTGAGCCATTGTCGAATGTCTTCCAAATTTTATTCTTAAATTCTCTTAAATTCATTCTGCACTTATGGATCTAATAAATCTATACCAAACTATTGAGCATATTAATATAATTTCTATATAAATTTAAACTTTACTTTCTTAGGCCTATTAAAATCTAATTGAGATATCTTCTCTAATTATTTCTTGGCTATTAGTGCTTTTTGTAGTTTTTCTTTCAAATCTTATGCTTCTTTCATCTAGCCATTCTGTAAGTAGGTCTTCACCATATCCATTCCTCTTGATTCAATAAATCTTCCTAATTCCTAAACTTCCATAGGGATAGGTTTCTTTGGATCTAATTCATAACTAAGTTCTTAGTCATTATCTTGATATGCAAATTAAGCCATGAAATCTTAAGGTAATTATTGTTCTTCTTAGACATTATATTTATAAGTGTCTTATTCGGTTTCCAATTCTTTATCACTGTCATACTCTTAAAATTTTGATAATTGAATTTAGACCATATCGTAGACTTTGGCTATACTTTCATTGAGAGGATCCAATTACTGAGCAAATTATAGATCTTTACAAATCATTTAGCAATCTATCTATGTCACTTACTCTGATAAAAACCGAGACTTATTGATATAAAAATCTAGTTACCTATGCTCTTAAAATAAAGGCCCCTGCACAGAGAGGATTTAATTATTACCAATAATCACACATTTTTGTGCATGCCTGTTGTTGATGCAAAATATAATAGCATTTACCCATTAATTCAAATAAGTTATTCCAAAGGTCTTAAAAGCAAACTTAATTATAGATGTATACCTTTAATTTATTATTGTTCAGGATAATGTCTACAATTCAAATCTTCAAATTTAGTATCCTCCCATCGTTTTGGTTGTTTGGCTTCTGCAAATACTGACATACATAACTCAAATTAATCAATTGCATTTCGATATTGATCTAGGATATTAAATTTTAGTTTGATACTTTGATAAAAGAATTTCAAACCTCTTTCAAATAATAGTTCATAGATTTTCTTTTTTTATAAGAAAGATTGACGTGATAATTGTTTGAAGGCTAGACGAAGCATAATTAGTTTATTAATTAATTAAAAAATCTGAATTTCTGACCAAGTTTGATATAAAGTACATATTATAAATAAGTATTTCAATGTATAATGACAATAATTAGATGATAAGTTCTTTTAAATAGAAACCTAATGTTTTAATTAAATAACAATAGTGAATAATTATAATTATAAATAATTATGTCAACTAAATTTCGTTAATCGGTGCGATTCTTACTTTGGGTGATTCGTAAAAATGTACCTGGAAGAATTGCATTGTTGAAGTCGTAATGTCCCTCACCTAAATGAGATCCAAATAACGGTCGTAACTTGAAGTTTTACAAGTAAGTGCACTGATGCAACGATTTCAATACTGTAGAGACATGATAACAAAAGAAGGATTCGAGAAATACAATAAATTTTGTGAATTCTTATACACAATATACTGTAGAACAGGAGAGAGAGTAATACGGAAAGGATAATAAGGAGTGCGGTTTTACATGATCTTATAAGGATAAGTTTCATTGGTTAGCTACAAACCTAAGAATCGTAAAGCTTAAATGATGATGGATTAAGAGAAAGTAAGGTAGTCATATTAATTAAAAGGAAACTGTCCCTAATTATGAAGATGATACTTTATTTAGTGCTTTCAGTTTTAAAGAATTAAATCCAGGAGATCATTTTGGTGATATGTCATTGTTAGATAATGGATAAGTGTCATGCACTATTATTTGTAAGACATTTTGTTAGTTTGTTTGTATGGATAAATAATAATTTGTAAAATTTATTGGGAAATCGGTACCAGTGTTATAGAAACTTAAAATATTAGAAGAATAAACAATCTTTAATTGTTGGACAGATGGAGAATTAAGAGCCTTAAGTTATGAATTCAAGAACAGAACATATCATTAGGAAGAGTTCTTATACTAAGAAGGTTAAAGGAATGTATAAGTATTTTTGATAATGGATGGATAAATTGAGATGACTTCAACTCGTGATAATTAAACATATCATCTTAGTTCTTTGGATGTAGGTGCACTCTTTGGAGATGATGCTGACTATCATACTTGTAATGCTAAATGTGTATCAGCCAGAGCAGAAATACTTGTAATTGGAAGATAAGTTTTAAGTCGTATGTTGGATTGGCATCCTGAATCAAAATAATTATATAGATAATAATTATGTATTTTAATCTAATTTATATTTATAGAATAAAAAGCTAATTGGAGATTAGAGAGATTAAATAATCTTATTGAAAGTCATCAGGAGAAAACTAAAGTTAAGAGAACTCAATCAATCAAAATGTAATTATTGGATTTATTGATTAAACCAAAGTATTAAAAGATTCGTCTCTCTCCTTGTGTAAAGAGAGTCACTAATATTCAAGACACTATGGATTTTGAAGAAAAGAAACTTAAACATAAAGAAATATTGGAAAAATAGAATTTAGTCATTTCTTAAAGAAAAATAGAATTCTTTAAATTAGGTCTTACATTTACAGAAAAAAGAAGGAAGAAATAAAAATAATAATAAGCTGAATTGAAATTAAAGAAATAATGTGAAAGTGTTATTATTTCTGAACCTCCTCTTGAGAAACTTAATCGAGCATCTAGCACTATCATGACAAAAACATCATAAACCACTTTTAAATTATCTCCTGCCAAAAAACTTAGAAAAGTGTTCTCAATAGAAGGAACAACCATTAATATTCATAATAGATAATGAATAATCAATATATTTCATATATTTCCAATATTAAAAGATTTTATTATCAATATAGTAATTCCATTACTTAATTTATTGTTTAAATATATGAGCAAAAAAATTAAAATTTCTTAACCTCTACCAAAAGTCAATTGGAAAGATACTGATATTGAAGAAGAACTTACTATCAAAATACCTCATGCTGATTTAATTAATAAAATTATTGACCCTAGATCGAGTCCTTAAGAATTCTTTGTTCCAATAGTATATATTATTTGATCCTAAAGAGATTTCCAGCGCAATAACATATGAAAGATGCTGATGGCTTCTTTATACCCTTACCAAAAGAAGATCCAAAAAAAAAACTATAACAATAACATCAATTTTAAAATGAAAGATATCAAATTCAATTACAGGATTTAATATCTATTGATGATTTGGGTTAAGGTTCAAGTGGAAGAGTGATTAAAGCATTACATAAACCCACTAATTTACTTGTTGCACTTAAAGTATTCATTGTAAATAGTAGACAATACAAATAATAAATGATGAAAAGTTTACTAAACAAATCAATTTAGAACTGGAAACTTTGGTCAGTTGCAATCATTCAAACATTATCAGATGTTATGGAGCTTTTCTAGAAGGAGCTTAAGTAGCCATCGCTTTAGAATTCATGAATCAAGGCACTTTACAAGATGTAATTAAGAGATTAGGAAAAATCCCTGAAGGCATGTTAGGATTAATTGCCTATCAACTTCTTAAAGGTTTGGATTATTTACATCGAACAAAGAAAATCATTCATCGAGATATCAAGCCATCCAATTTATTGATAAATAGTTAAGGAGAAGTTAAAATATCAGATTTTGGTGTTAGTGGTTAATTACTAAATACCTATGATCAGAGATGTACTTGGGTTGGTACAGTTACCTATATGTCACCTGAGAGATTTTTGTGTGAGCCTTACTCTTCAAATACAGATGTCTGGTCTTTAGGACTCTCGTTACTTGAATGTGCTTGGGGAGTTTTCCCTTATCCTCATCCTGGAACCAACGAAACTACTCATTAGTTAGGTTTTTGGGAAATTAAAGAATATATTGTCTCTAGACCAGCTCCTCCATCACCTCCTGATTTTTCATAAATTGGAGCTGATTTCATAGCCAGATGTCTATAAAAGGATCCAAGATAAAGAAAAAGTGCTGCAGAATTGTTGGTATTAAATAAAATATATTAATTTAAAGGAACATCCTTTTATAAAACAATATGAAGATGTGAGTCTATAATATTTAGAAGGTTGGCTTAACATTAATAATGATTTAAAATTATAATACATCATTTGAGATGTTTCAAATCTGAACTTGATTCTATATTCTTGACCATCATACCTAATTGATTGTTAATTTCAATTAATTGAGGCAAGGTGCATTTAAACACAATATCCTTATCTTTAGTGTCTGTAGATTTAGTGTGTAATTATATTTTATATATTTCCTAATACACTTTATTAGCATATTTAGAAGACACAACTATTTCCTATTACCAATCAACATCTACCAAATAATTGAAACCAATTTTTGATTCAAAATTGGCTGCAATTATAGCATTATCAGGATCATTAATAAATTATTTGAACTAAGTAAATTTCTTAATATATCCATCTACTATAGTCTGATCAAATCCATAATCATATAAATTTGTAGTGATTTCAATTTCCATTAATTATAACTTAATACATTGAACTGTGAATAGTAAAATTAAATTGAATAATTCATTAGTTAAAGGTTCTGTATTTAATTGATCCAATATTTTTGTATTATTTTCTTCTCCAGCCAAATTCATAAATACACATTTAGATAATTTATCAAAATTTTATTAAGTAAATGGATCTTTAGCTAATAAGCTCAATCCTTTTGATACTTCTTCAGGTATATTTTTGGTTTCTTAAATATTCATAATTTCTGATTTTAATTATATATTGAATTAATACTATATTTATTTATTAAAGAAGAGAAATAGAGTATAATTAATTATAATTATTATATAATTACTTATATTCTATAATTTAATGCATAACTACATCAAATTATAGTAATTAAATACAATAACATATTAGTTAATTTTAATTGATATAATAAAATACACTACTTTATCATACTTATCGTTAAGATTATTTGTCTAACTCTTCTAATTTCTTTACATCATCATTTAATAAAGCTTCATCCCATGGATCCAATTCACCTTCCTCAGCTTTCCAACCTCCCCATCCCATGTCTTCTATTCCTACACCCAAATCACTGAAAACTATCATTGGAGCACTCTATTCGATATGTATATTTAATAATCTAATTTAAATGTTGAATATACTTTGGTTTAAGATGACGATCATTAGGTAAGGGATAATGTAAAGTTTTAGCAGCAGGTAGAGGAGGATGATGAGGACCTAAATAAAAAGGTGCTCCTCCAATTAATTAAGGTGGAGTATTTATTGTCTTCTTTTATTTGTTTATATTCATATTAATTTTGTAAAAAATAGTTAGATTGAATAATTACATGTTAATTTAAATAAATAATGGGCAATTGTTGTAAATAAACTGGTGAAAAGAACTTTTCTTCAATTCAACTCAATGACCTATTACAAAGAAAATCTCTACTTCTTGAGTAATTGCAAGTAATTGAATACTTAAACTTCAGTAACTTTAAAATCCAGTTTATAATCAGACTTCTCTTTAAATAAAGATGGTTACTTGGATTAAAGATTCTCATGATCTTTTTGATTATGAAAATACTAATCGAATAGCTTAATCTCTAACAATTAATTCTTCTATTAAATTGTATAGAGATAAAACGAGTGGAAAAATACAATCTGTTTAATAAGGAAAAACATTGATTAGAATTGAAAATAGACAAAACTGTTTTTGGATTGAACCAAGAGTAAGTATTTAAATGTAAATGTTAGCAAACAAAAAATGATGATCATAATGTTTGGTTAGTTATAAAATCTATTTAATATAAAGATAATGGTGTAAAATTATAATATAATGATGTCATAAGAGTAGGTAAGGTTGAAATAAAATTAAAGGAACTTCATTTTGATATAGGTGAGAAAAAATTAGATGAAAGAGAAACAATTTTAAGTTAAAGTATTGATGAACAACGTTGTAGAATTTGTCTATTAGGTTCTGAAAGTATAGATGATCCTAAAATTGAACCATGTAATTGTTCAGGAACTATGGCATTGATACATTTGAAGTGTTTATAACATTGGATTATTACTAAATATAATATGGAAAGTAGTAATGCAATTGTATTTCTTTGGGATTTAATGAAATGTGAATTATGTCGTAGTAATTTTAAAAGAAAATTATAATTAAATGGTCAAACGGTTGATTTAGTAGAATTAAGTAAAAGATAATTCTAGAGTTATGCAATATTAGAAATGAAGAAACCATTGATGAAATCAAAGGAAAGATTAACATATATTCTCAATTTGGAAAAACTTGAATAATTTAAAATTGGAAGAGCAAATGATAATCATATTCGATTATGCGATATTAGTGTAAGTAGATTTCATTGTAAATTAATATTGGTAATTGATGTAATTATATTAATTAGCACAATCAAGAATTTTATATTTAAGATAACAATTCTAAATTTGGTACACTCCTTAAATTAAAGTAATCGATGCCATTGTTGAAAGAGTTTTAGAATGTACAAATTTAGGTTGGGCGTACGTTGTTTGAATTCGAGAACGTAAGCAACAGTTACTCCAAATGATTATTAAATTAATTAATGTCATTTTCTGAATAATAAGGTTAAGAGTTGTAAATTAGAAAGGCAGACTTAGATGATTACGATGAGATAATGTAATTGATGTAAGAAGAAGGAGAAGAAGATTTATAATAACTCTATGCATATCCTAAGATTCTTACATTATTTGAAAGATCCTATTTGTCAGTGACAGTTCTTGATTCATAGAATAATATTATAGGAAGTGCAGTATTTGATGATTGTCCATAAGGAGTAACAGGATAAGTTGATTTTAAACATGAAAATTTATGGGAATAATGGATTCATGATGGATGGGACATTGGGTTTCATGTAAGTTCATTCAACTGTCTTTGGATGACATTCTTTTTTCTTGGTAATCTTTTTATATCTAGATCTAGCTAAGAAGAGATTCCAATTGACTGAAGATCAACAGTTACAGATCACTAAACAAATCTTTCAAAAAGTCTATGATTATTTGAATGTTGTAAATGGTATCTTCTTTTTGAGAAGAAGTGAAGCTAATGATGCAACATAATAAGAATTAGATATTGCTTTAGATAATTTATTTGAAATTCTGCCAAAAAGACAAGATTTCAAATTGAAAGTATAGATATAATACACTATTATAGTTTATGTAAGGAGTAAATTAGAATTGTGAGATATATTATTCAGCATCTTCTATGGTAACTGAATTATTAGAAATAAGAATGGCACGTGAAGAGGATCATGATGATTTAGCTGCCATCTTTAATCGTTAATCAGATGTACATACTGAAGAATTTGGTGAATTTTTTATTGCTGATTTAATTGCTACTCAAAATCAAACTAGAAGATAAGCAAGAAATTATAGAAGTGATGGAAAAGCAATTGTTGGATAAGTTGGAGATAAGGCAGTTGGATTAATGAGTATTTCAAGTGATATTGAGTAAGAGCTTAGTCTAAAGTAGTTATCGTCTACTTGGATAGTGTTTCGATTTAGAAGTGTTTGACAATCTTTACAAATCTGAATACATGGAAGCCATTAGAAATAGATTGGATTAGTTGGCACTTGAAGAGTAAATAAATAAGCAGATTATTACTTATAAGAAACATATCGAATTAACTAAAGAAGCTATGAAATGTCATATCATTGGACAAAGACTCTTTTTACAATAGTATTGTTTTGATAGAGATTAAGAGATTAAATAAAAAATTGATGATTATGGGTAAGAAGACTTAGCTAAAACACTTACATAATAGGTTGTTACTAATATGATTAATGGATGGTTAAAGGATTATTAAGTATTTAAACCAAGTGATTTATTTTTGGAATATCCTGATTCATTTAAAGATTTAGAATGTCTCACTATTAAACCTATACAGGTATTATTGGAAGCTCTTGAGTTCTTTGGATTACCAAAAGGATATATGAATGGAGAAGGTCATTGGAAAGATTGGGCCAAAAAGAAAGAAGAAGAATAAAAAGCACTTTCTCTCAAAAGACCAAAGAGATAACAAAAGAAAACTAATAAAAAAGCAAAGAAGGAAGATAAGGATGAAGATATATTCAAACCACCTCCTTATTTTGATTTGGGACCATTTTTATAAGCTTTTACTAAATTTACATCTGTATCAGCTGAAACTAGAACATAATTTAGAAAATAAATTGAATCAAGAGTTAAAGAGTTAATAATGGAATTCTGTACTGAAAATGGAGAAATGGATCCAAGTAGACATATAGATTTAATTGAATTTCCTGATGTTTTAAGAAATAAAGGATTTGATATTGGAGCACCTATGGGAGAAAATTTGGCATTTATATTAGAATGTTTTGGTGAATTAGAAGTAGATAATAGGATAATCTAAAAAATAAAAGAAGAAAAGGATGCTAAAAAAAAGGATGCAAATCTTAAGAAAGTTGGTGATGATGCACCTAAACCTGTTGATGTATTATAGAAAATGACTTCTTATAGTGAATTCATTGGTGCAATTTAAAAATTAAAAATTTATGATTAAATGATGTGTAGATTATAATTAGTTCGATCAAATACATTATAAAATGAAGTAGAAGAAATCATATAAGAAGAATAAAATAAAATTAATAATCTTGAACAAGCTAAGAATGTTTAAAGAAATTAAACTTAATTTGATGAACATGTTTCTTAAATTTAATCAATTGATTAATTACCAGAGGTTCCTAAAGCAGCTCAAAATGCTGTTGTTATCAATCTATTTTGTATTGATGAAAGATTTGAATCAAGATCACTTGATTTTGTAGAAAGAGCCTTTGAACTCTTTCCTGATAGAGAATATCTTATTCTAACATAACCATATACAGTCTAAGAGACTACTCTATTATCACATTTTCTATAGGTATAGAGAAAGAAACATTCTACTTTTGAACATGTTCTTTATATATTCCATAGAAATAGTTTAGATTCTCATTTGATAGAATTAAGAAAGTTGAATTAAAATGAATGGAATTAATGTCAATTTTTAGTAGAAAATTTATTAGGAAAAGATAATATTGAAAAAGATGTTAAAAATGTAAATGATAATGAAACATTTATTGTTTATTGCAAAGATGAAATAATTGGATTATATTGTATGAAAAAGTATGTTAATCTATAATATTTGAAATCTCATTTTTGTATACAAGATCATATACTAATTAAAGAACATCCTAAACATTTACATACAAGATTATTACATGGAATATTGAATCCATTATTTGCTAAATAAACAAGATTTATTTTAAGAGAAATTTGTAGATTGATGGATAAAACATGTATAATGTTAGAAATTCATGATCGTACTCTATTACCTGATATATTCCATGAATTTAATTTTGTAAGAAGTCGTGCATTCCCTCATTTTTTAAAATAGAAATGGGATTGGACACTTGATAATGATTAAAAAGAACGAATGGGTACAATTTTAGATGATCGTGATCCATATGATTAAACTCAATCACCCTTTTCTTTAGCAATGCTTACTAAAAAATAATTATCCAATGTTAAAATCTCTAATAATTCTCGTATTGTTGTTGTTGGAGCATCTGATACTGGATTATCTTTTATAGAATCATTACTTACAATAAAGGATATTCATTTTACTAATATTATTTTATTGGCTCCTGGAGGTTTAATAACAATGCATGTTAAACATGAATTTGAAATGTTAAAAGCAATGAGTACTAATTATACTTTAGAAGAATTAAGAGCTTTGATGATAGATGCTAGAGTGTAAGTAGTAGATGCTAAAATGGTAAAATTAGATAAAAAGGGAAATAGAATTAAAATTGATAAAAATGCATTTATACCTTTTGATTATCTAATTATTACTGTTGGTTTAATTGATACTGAATTATAATCAAGAGAAAAAATAAGTTTTGGTTTATCCAAATCTCCCTATTATAAAAATTCATAATTTATAAATGGAGTGTATAGTATAGATGATCCATATCTATATTCTCATTTCAAAAGAACTGGATTCAAAGGTAGTAATATTGATTTGTTAACCAGAAAGAAAAAACCACAAAATATAACTATTTATGGTAATACTTTAACTACAATTACATTTATGAATGGATTACTTAATAGAGGTGTCCATCCATCCCGTATTCATTATGTTATGCCACCTAAAACATTTTAAAAATAAACTAAATTTGAGAATAATAAACAAAGACTTGAATAAGAGGATAAAATGATATTTGATCCAGATTAATTTGAAAATGAGGAAGTTAAAAATAAAGTATTTGCTATAATGCAGGAATTAGGCATAAAAATACATCAAGGATTCACACTATATGAATTGAAAGTAGGCAAGGAAGGATTTGGATTAAATAGTGAAGATGTATTATAGGAAGTCATCTTTAGGAAATAGGCAGACAATTATGAGGAATTAAAAATTGAAATTTAGAGAAAGGAGCAAGAACTTTAAGAGTTAAAAGATAATTCTGAAAACAATATGAGTAAAGATATGTATGGAGAATAGGAGGAAGGTGAAAATTAGTTAGAAGTACTAGCTAGAGAAATTGAGTAACTTAAGGCAAGTGAATATGATTACTTATAATTGGATTCAAGATTCTTTATTACAAGTGGTTTGATTGATATTGACAAGGAAATCTTCCATATCATTCATGAAAATGGATTAGTATACAATGGTAGATTGATTGTTAAAAGTAATTTTTAAACTACTCAAGAAAATATATTTGCTTGTGGTAAGATTTGTGAATTTTCTCAAAGATATAAACATCATTCAGTTGGTAAGAGTCTAAGATTAGATAAGTATAATGGTAGAGAACTTGGTTAAAAACTTAGTAAATGTATTTTAGAACAATTAAATTTAAGTTATCTAACATCATAAACTTATTCAGTAGATGAATTACCATAATTATATATGCCTATTGGATAAGGTGGGATAGTTCCTTACAAACTTTATTATTATTATATTAAAAAGAATGATTTTTCAAAACCTAAACAATTACAATAATAACCATCTAAACCAATAGTATCTGATAATTTTAACAATTCAAAAGGTCATTTTCTATAATTTGATGTTGATCCAAATGGACTTATTGAAAGTCTAACTTACTTTGGTTCTGAAGCTGTTCACATTCCAAGTTTGATTCACTTCATAGAATTATCAGTAAGATATTTAAACAAATTGGATTAAAGAGGCAAATTAATTAATAATGTGTCTGAATTTCTATCTGAAAATTGGGCCATAGCTCTATATCATGAATGGTTTAGTGAATTTAGACATATTACTAAAAGTGAGATGTTAAAAAATGAACTTATTGATCAAGTACTTGAGAAATCACAAGAATATGCTAGAGATGGTCGTTATATGGATGATAATTTCTTTGAAGAGATTAAAAAACTCATCACAAGAGACATTGTGGAAAATATACAAGTAAATTAATTTTATTCATTTCTTTAGGAAGGTACCATTGAATTTATAAGATAAAATTAGAACCATTTACCTATGTACTTTGTTCCAAAATAGAAACTAAATTGAAATATTAATTGAAATAAAATATTATGAGTAAAATTCAAAGTTTTTATTTCCAAAATATACTATCGTTTTTATTATATTAATGATTCTCCAAATTATGCTATTTAATAATAAGTGGAGAATGAATAAATAAATTGAAAATCAAACAATATATTTGTAAAAGATTATATATTTTGTATAAAATAATAATCAATCTTTTAATATTTAAATATGATTTAATGAAAATTAGAGCTTTTTTAATATCTATAAAACTTTAAAATCTTTTATAATTTATTAAATATCAATTTGATATTTGATGTTTATCAATTTTAATATTATTTTTAATAATAATTTTATTATATCTAAAATGAATTATTATTAAATATTTATTTTAATGATAGAATGCATAACAAATAAACAATAATAATATTCATGATTATTATATTCGTTCTTCTTTTGGAAGATTGGCATGATAGATCTTTTCCCAACTAATAATAGTATTATCAAGATTGGTTATACTCTAATGCAAATAACCATCCTAATAGCTTGTAATATTGAAATATTTACAAAAAATGCATTTAGAGTAAACCATAAAGGTCTTACAATAACTTTAAAGAATCCCATTTCAGATTTGGCCATTATGTATATTTTATCCAAATCTTTTAAGAAAGGTGTTTATGGAATGCCCAATCTACCCTCTTCTTCATATTGAGCACTAAATTCTTTGTTCACTCTTTCAGACCAAATTCTAGAGATTTCAAATACTTTAGCTCCTCCATTGAAATCTGCAGTATGAATTATCATTCCTGTTAATAATTTAAGATCATCATCTCCAGTTCCAAATGGTTTTGAAACATCTTCCTTAATTCTGCTCTCAAAATCTTTCAAGAGTGTAAAATGAACCTTGATATCAGTATAGAGAATATTATCGATTAGTATGCGTCTGAATTGTTGATGCTATTCTTTAGTTAAATTACTCAAAAAATTGAGGGATTAATCTTTAAGCATAAATATTGTAGTGGCTGCATGATGTTATTCAAGAGGCTAAATAATAATAAGATTCTTACACTTGAATCATGATATCTTGTGGCTAATTTAGATTAACTATTAATCATGAACATATTTGTTCTACCTGTATGTGATACATCATGACATAATCCAGATATAATTGTTGCCATCCTTCTGAAATCATCAATAAATTATTTAGCCTTTACACATTATAACATAAAATGAGCACTTTACATAACAGATATTCCATGATCATAATTATGAAATGAATTATTTTTCTTATTATATTTCTTTTATAGAACACTTAAAAATTAAGCTAAACATTAATTATTCATATGATATTAAGTAATAAATCCATTTTTCTCTAAAATACTATAAACTAATCTATGCTTTTCTTGTGAGGAATCCAAAATTAAAATATTAAATTCAAACAAATCTAATTAAGAATCTCTTTCATAAATTTTAAATTAATTTACATCAACTTACTCTAATTATTGCTAATATTTAATATAAACACTTGAACTAATCTTCTTTTTTTTTTATGGAGGTATAATCCATTAATCATTTAATATATCCTTTGTTTATGATTCAGAACCTTTTACATCAGGTTTACGATGTCTAATTTATTATAATTCATTTTCTGGAATGAATAAAGCAATCATTGAATTTGCTACATCTTATGTTTCATCTAATTAATTTAGAAACTTAAATGTTTGATGTTTATTGTATTAAATTAATATTTGTTTTTAAATATCCTCTTCAAATGATTTATTGACTTCAGCTTCTTTCTATACATCATTAGTCATATTGTCAATCTTTAGAGTCATAAAATAATGTTTAAGTCTTCTAGCCTCATTTTCATGGAATATTACTGTGAATCCTTTAAAGTCATTATCAATCACTTTAAGAAATATTTCAAATTAAGGAATTTCAAGGTTGCTTAAATATTGATTGTGTCTATTTTCATGAATATTCTAAATATTCACCTCAATATTGGATATAATACTGTTTTCAGCGAATATATCCTGATAAGTAATTTTATTGTATAGTATAGCTTTTGGATCAAAATTGATATTGTATTTTTATCTATTATATGATATATTAGTTTACTTTAAAGATTTAGATATCGGTCTACTTAAGAAAATTAATTCTCCTTGCTTATTAAAATCAAACAATAAGGAATCAGTAGTTCTAAGGAAATACTTATAAAATGCAGATTTTTCATAACATAATTTTACATAACCATCATACTTCTCTAATGTTTAGATAACCTAAATGATATTATAAATTATATTTACAAGAGAGTATAAATATTGATCTTGTTCATTTTTCAGATCCATATTATTGATATTTAAGGTTACTGGATTTGAATCTTTTAATTCTATTTTTAATGAAGGCAAATCTTTGTCTTTCTTAAGTATTGGTTGATTCTATTAGACTTTTTCAACATCATATTTTAAACTCAAAACCTTTTTTATGCCTTCAATTAACAAAAATCTTGAAATCCTCATAAATGTAATTCCTATATCTTGTACATGATCAGCAAATCGTAAAGGATTGAAAAATTAAACTTTAGCAGTTATGATAGTCTCAACTAAGAATTATGCTAAATGAGTAACATCTGTATTAAAACCATAGATATTTGCATAACTAATTTAAATTAAAATGTTTATTACTTAATAAAATTTCTCTTTATATTCTTTTTATCCTTATCTGTCCAATGCAAACAGAATAGGACTTCATAATTTTTGATCTGCAATTAAAATTTAACAAGGGATGTTTATGCATATGTATTAGTTTTACAAGTCTCCTAAATTCGAGGATATTGATTTTATTTTTAATCTACTCTATGTATATAACATGGTCGAATATATGCCAATTCATCAGTTACTTTTTAAGCATCTTCTGGAGTGATATCTTTTATAGAATCATTGGCTGAAGAATATACTTCCCAATCCTTGTCTCGATGAATGAAAAAAGTAAATTCATCAGCATCGACAAGTATTTTGAGAAGGAATTTCAGCACTTAATATAAATTTTCATAAGAAATGTCTTCTTACATCAGAAGTAAATGTGTATGCAAGTTACCAGTAAAGATATTCTTTAATTCCTTATAGATATCATTGATTTATCTTTTCATTTTCTCATATACATCTTCTTCACTAGAATCAGCATCTTTTTCACTTATTTCTGCTAATTTATTATTGTCACCTGTATTTTATGCATATTATCCATTTGGATCTCCTTATTCAGATGTAAGTTGTAGTATTAAATTGCATAATTACAATAACTTATCTTTGTCTTCAGGTACAAGTAAATTATGTTTGTCAATATGCTTATTCAATAATTCTGTAAGTTGATTAATCATCACTGCACCTACACTTGCTAAAGGCAGAGGGATTTATTAATCTTACTAATTTGCATTCTATTGTTTAGTTTCATCTGTAACATCTTTCATAAAATGTACAGTCTTGGATTTATGTTATCGTCTTCTTTGTATTGCCTTATTCTATTCATCTAAATAATCTAGTAATGCCTATCGTAATTGCATTTCCCTAATTTAATGAGTAGGTTCACGAATACTTTCCAGGACCACTATTTTAAATGAGAACGCGACATATTTTCTCTTCTTTGTGAGTCAGACTAGTTTTTAGGAGAGTCTTCTGTTCAGAAGTGATTTGGTTGGTCTTACAAAGATTGGTGACAACGATGAAGAATTATGTGTAGTGACTCAATTATGGATCCATTTTTATAATTTATAGGGTCGTTTCAAGAAATTTGAACTTCCCTTATAATATGATTGTGAACGAGGTTTCACAATTACTGTGTCTGGAGCCTCGGTAACATGTTTTTTGAACTCTTCCAATCCTAAACGTTGTTTCTATTAGATTAGATTGACATGTTTATGTTTCCCCATGGAAATAAGTTTGGACAATTTGTTATTCAATTTCTCCTCTAATTTTGGAGTATTGTCACTAAATTTAAATGCCTTCAATTCAGGTTTAGGACATCTCTCTCCTGAACACAAAACTAATCCAAAACCTATTGGATAGCAACGAACCTAGAGTGGACGATTGCAACAATAGCTATAAGGTACTTATTTTGAATTCATGAAAAAGATAGTATATGTTTTAGTATACAGATGTTAGCATATGAGGATACTGTGTTATCGAAGTTAGATTTCAGGGAACATCCTCATGATTAGATTTTGAATGTAAATAGATTTCTCATCACTTGGAGAGAGGGACTCTGTTTATGATTCTACATGAACTAAATCACATAATGTAAAAAAAGTCTACTGGCATTGAGTGTCTCTTTTAATGAAGGCTCATAGATATGGTAATAAGGCTTATCATCTAAGTTGGGAAGTAAAGTGTTATTCATTTTAATAAAAATATCATTAGATTTCCATCTTCTATTGAAACAATTTCTCATATACTGCTCCAGGCCCTGATGGATCCTAGAAATGATACAATTTAAGGTTTTCTCTACATTATTAAGATATATAATAAACTTATTGTAATCTCTAACATCTTTGCAACCTTGCATATTTCTTAGGTACTTTAACAAGGATTCCAATTCTTTATCCTCCTTATTATCATAGAATGGGATAATAGGAATCCCGTTTTCTAATTGCCAAGCATAAGAATATGATGCATTGTCAACTAAAACTAATTGACTTAAAGGGCGATCAAAGATTCTTAAATCCTTAGTGTACATACCACCAGTAGTCATTATACAATTATCACGATACAAACTATGAGAGATTAATGTCTTATTAGGATCCAGATATTCAATAACTTTTTAAGCATAACAAGGATGTGATGCAGTGAATACAATCAATTCAAAGTCATTGACTAATAATTCAAGTAATTTAATTGCCCCAGGTCTAATATTGATTCCTGCTTTAATTGTTTCTTGAGGTGATACTTAAATAGTAAGAATTACATCACTAGGAATGGCTAGACTTTCATTACAATGAACCAAAGTCTCATCAAGATCAAAAACAATACTAATTTTATCTATAAATATGTTTAAATAGATTGATACTTTTATAAATATCCTTTTATTTAAGACGTACTTATTTGTTTTTAAGATCTTTAGGATCAGCTGGCTATAAATATGAAGCAACATATATTCCTTAATATGTTTAAAAAAAATGCTCTCTATACATTCTACTAAAATAATCGTCATGAATAGGTTTAGTGAAAGCATTCTTAACTTTAGTTATATAATATTGTGGTTGATCTGATGTTAATTTCTTGGTACTCTCAAAATATTTGTTAACACTTAGACTGCCCTTTCCAGCACTTTTAGGAGTAACCTGTTGTGATTGTGTTTTTGGCTTCTAAAACAAAGCACTCTACAACTTTTTCAGAATAAGATCCTTGCTTTAACCTACAGATTGCTAAGGACGATGATGTGGTTTCTTTTCAGTTGATGGTCGATATGATTAAGTTCCAGTTGGAGTTGGGGGTTTAACAGGTAATTGAATATCTAGTTATGGGGAGACTTTGGTCACAAGTTAGCTTAAAATCTTAGAGGATTGAGTTGGAGTGATTATTGGATGCTAAACTTTTCCCTCTTTCTTTTTGAGTAATTAAAAGTATTTTTGCATAGCAGCATTCACTTCTGAGTTGCTGAGTTTTTTGGCTGATGAATCACGATTCATTTGTATTTTCTATGGCATATATGACTTTGAGAGATTAAAATCCATTTAATATCGTTGTGGTTTCATATATATTAAATTTATGGTAACCTGATTGACAGGTTCCCCTATGATTTATGAATTATATTGCTCAATTTTTATACATTTGGATCCATTCTAATTTCATCCATCTATTACATCATACGATCATGTAATTTTCTAATTCTACTAGTTGGAAAATGTAGTGTAGCATTTGGAAGTTTAGTAAATTTAGTTTCTGCAATTACTTATGGAGGTTCCTACATACTTTCAGCCTTTCTCTTTGGTTTTTTTGGTTTAATAAATAATTTGAATTCATCATCTTTAAATTTCCTAACACTCTTTACTTTCTCTATTACAATAGAATTTTCTCTATCATTTCTAGGAGATCCTACTTATAATAATTGCAGCATAAAATTAAACTTCTCCTTGTTTGTGATGTTATCATCATTCAGTTTCTCTTACAATCTTTTCCTCTCTATCTATTCTCCTATTCTTTTAAATAATCCATCTAATGTTGGAGGTGTATTTACAGTTTCATCCTTCTTTGGTTTATAAATCATCTGTATATCATGATTATGAAGTAATTGATGGAATGCTAACTCATTTAAATGATTCTTTGCATTTTGATGACATGCTTAATTAGCCTTTCTAAGCAATTTACATAAATTGGAGAATGGTACATCATATTAATATGTCTAATATATATATTGTAAGTATTAATACTCTCAATAATTTAAAGATTCTTTCTAATGTTATGAACTCTTCTCCTTCACGTATTTGATTATAAAGATCTTGTAATTAGTTCTAACATTCTAGTGGATAACCATGTAAGTAACATTATGATTTCATTTAATTTATATAACTAAATTCATTAATTTTTCCTTTTTAGTTTATCAATCAATTATGAAATGGCTAATTGAATCTTATTCTTTATTTCATCAATCTTAGCATAAAATTCTTTAATTGTTTGTAGATGATCAGTACGATAACTAAAAATATTAATATTATTTTCAATTACCTGATTGTTCGATAGACTTCTTATAAGACTGCATTCACTAAAACTGTTGCTCCATAAGTATAAGTAACAAATACTAATGATGTTATAATAATCATTGTTTAAACTTCATAATCCACTATTTTAAACCAAATTTTAAAATTTCCAAGAAAGAACATACCACAAGTAGATATAAATGATCTATAATAAGTTGTAAATTCATCAAATCTTTATGAAAATAATTAATAAAAGATGAATGCATAAGAAGCTAAAATAGTTATTGCAAAAATGACTATATTAATAAAATATAATTTTACTAATCATAATGATATTTTCTGCTCCTTTTGCAGCCATAGCTTAAACAAATGCAACTGATTCTGAAATTTAAAATAATTTAAGAGTGTTAAAACCTACTAAAATTATTAGAACTCCTCTGATTATTAATCCATCATTAAATTAATTTGCATAATACATTATTGAAGATTCTGCAGAATTTTATAATATATTCAATGAATCAGAAGGGATTGATGAAAACATTAAGAAACTTACCAATTATAAAATAAATATAGTTAATTAATACATTATACCAACTTATATAAAGGCAGTAAAATCTCTTCTAATTTAAAAGTCTTAATATTTCTTTTTAATTTAATTTAAAGTCTCTTTAACAGCAACAAATATCATAATAGAATTTAAAATTCCTGATATAGTTAACATAATATATTCAGTAAGCCAGAAATTAGCTGATTCTTCTGGTTTCAGACATCTGAAACTCTACATGTGTAATTATTGAACAATCTCATAACTAGGAGCAATTTCAAAGAAATAATAAATAACATAAAATTATTCTCTACTATCATCATATATTACAATATTGAAAAGTACCATTTTGGTTGTATAAATATTAAACATACCTTAAGATTTATGCATTTAGACTTTATCATCAACATATTCATAAGAATCATAAGATTCATCAAAACCACCTCCATCATAATTTGAGAGAATTCCACTAAAAGGAAATACACCAGAATCTTCTGCTGTTTTATATTCACCCCAAGGATATGTATTACCATCAGTAGATTTTATTTAAGATTTTAAAGCATTTTTGTCACTATATATAGAATAATAACATTCATTATATCCAGATGCAAGTTCAATTTCATTACAAGTATAATTACTACTTTATACCTAAAATACTTTAAATTTAGGTCCCATTTAAATAAATTAGAATTAAATTTTAATTTCTTCTTAAATAGATCCATCTGATTAAGTCACATTAAACTTATCCACTATTGTAATCAAATTAATCTTTTTATACAGATCATCTATAGTAGATACAGTATTTAAACCATTTTTAACTTCAAGTAGATAATTATGTAATGTTAATCTAACTTAAGAAGTTGTTTCATAATCCATAATATTTTTGGAATTCAAATATATTAAGATAAGAAGAGTAGCTGATAAGATCAATAGAAATATTTTCCAACCTATACTGATATTAGTACTTTCATTATTTTCTTCTTAATCTTGTTTTTCATAAAGTTTTAAACCAGGTTAAACATCTACAAAATCATCTAATTCTTTTCTTATTTATTTAATATTTTCATCATCCTAACTAGTTTATTAATTTCTATTTGGAAGTGAAATATTAATTTTTTATTCATCAAGTAAAAAGTTTGTAGCCAATTATTTACGATATACATATAGACATGCAAATTAGACTTGTTCTTTATGAGCAGAGAAGAAATTTTCAGCTGAATAATTCATTAATAGATCCATACAATTACAATTTTTATCAACCATTGTATATTCAGTTCTAGACAATTCCCAATATTAAACACTCCATTCAAATATTTATTATAATGTTGTTGTTTTTTTAATTAAAAATGTTACACATCTATAAATTACAGAAAATCCATCATTAAAATCTTAAGTTTCATCTTCACTCCATTTGGTTAATACAAATTTATGAGGATTTTCTAATAAAAATACTGCTACAGAATTAACATCCATTTTTTAGTTTGATTTATTAGCTAATAAATACATTCTAGTTTTCTATTGAGTAAAGAAATTTTAAAATGTTTTTCTTAGTTTAACATCAGTTTATTCTTAACTCTTCTTTAAAACTACTTATTCTTGTTCTAATTGTTCTTTAATTTTATCTGTTCCTAATTCTTTTCTTTATTTTAAAGATTTTGAAAGACCTTCAATTTAAGTATTCAAATGAAAAAGCTAATGACTTTTATCTGCATAATATTTATCTAATCCTTCAATTTCATCTATCATCTTACTAATCTTTTTTACTAAGTTTCATAAAGTACCTTCGATTCAAGAGATTTGACTTCTTCCTCCAAAGACTTTGTAGACATATGATAATTATATATTAATAACCTTGATAAGAATTTACATTTATTCAAATAAACTTCTTTATATACTCACAATTCAACCAAATCTCTTGTTTTATCCACATATCCATTCTCATCAGGCATAAAATATTATCCATCCATGTAAACAGGTTATTTTTATTAATGCATTTTCTTTCTATATTCTTATACTTCTAATGGATTGATTTCAAAACAAGCCTTTGTATATTCTACACAAAATTAATCTTCAATTGTTTCATTTGATTCTCTTTCCATTAGATATTCAGATAATTTGTCTCTCCAACCTCCTATAAATACATTACATCCAGATTGAACTGTTCTACTTATATATGCATAACCTATGAATTCCTTGTCACAAACTGTACTCAAAGCATCTTCAATCAAAATTTCACTTCTGCTTTATTTAATTTCTTTAAGTGTCTCTCTTATAATAGCCTAACATCCCATACAATAGATATGTTTATCGAAAGTTCTAGGTCTCACAGAGAGAGGGTCGAACTTCTTTTTAGCATTTATTGTGAGTATTAATGTTATATACAATAAAATTATCATTGTATAATTCCTGCAAATTGTCCAACTCTTGTAATCCATCTTGTAAATGTAAAATAAGCAAATCGCACTAAGAAATAATCCAAATATGGAAGTCTTAGATTTTCCTACATTACTTAAGGTACATATTCAGGATGTTTATCAAAAAAATCGTTTTCTACTAATTGAGTTCTCTTCTAATCTTAAACTTTCTGTAAATAAATATTAATGATATAAATTTACTTCATTATTTATTACTCTTAATGCATAAAACATGTTATTTAATTCACTATCTGATTCATCTTTACGATTTCTTATTAGATTTTAAATTTGCGTTAATTATTAATATAGATTAGATTTCTAATCTACTTATTATAGATGTCTCATTGCCCAAGGTAAAGAAAAAGTCACTCCAATAAAACTCCCAACAGTAAAGAAATGATTTATCCAGTATATATACAAAAAACCAAAAGTTAATTTGCTCTTAACACCATTTGCCTTCAAACAATAATATGTTAATGATCCAAAAGTTGTCATCTAAGCACCATATCCCCATCTATTATAAGTTCTCATCAATCTCTAAAATATTAAAATTTATTTGCCTCATAAACATCATATTTCAGATTGAATTCTTCATCAGTATGGGACACTGACTTACATAAGGCATGTAAAAGCGTCTAGAGAGCAGCAGCATTATTATATATTTCAGAAGTGTTCAAATTATTACTCATTAAAATTATCTTAAAAAATATATTTATATATATATCAATAATTATAACTTAAATTATTAATAAAAGTTTGAAAAACTTATCTGATTGAAATAAATGTCAAATTCTACAATTCCTCTCAGAATCAAACACTTCATTTACTTATAAGCATTTTAATATAGATTTAATTGTGATTGAAAAATTCTAATACTCAAATTATCTATTGATTTAATATATGCCCCCTTAAAAAAAAGTATGACTGAATTATTGATTTTGAATTATTCAATCAATGGCTTCTTTACATTCTCTCTCAATTCATCCACCATAATTTGATCTTTTACTTTTTAAATTAAACTTTAATATCTATATATAGTTTTCATCAATAGTTTAAATGGCTATTAACACCTTTTATGTATTCTTCTAATTGGTTATAGTAAAGTATCATTATTTAAAATGATACTAAGATAATAAAAATTGTAATATATTATTACATATTACAAAATCAAAAATAATTGTAAATATCAAATTTTAATAATATCAAATCGTATATATGATTCATAATCACCTTATTCAACTATTCTGCAATCTTCTTCATTATACTTTTGCAATTTAGGCTTAAATTCATTTTCATAACTTTGATATGTAGTCTACTTATTATCATATTTATTTTGATCTTAAGAGTTTTAAACTTAAATTTATTAGGTTCCATGATTACTGCTAGGACATTAAGAATTGTTTTGATCATCTGAATTTATTTGTAGATTCTATTATTCTGAAGGAGATTAATTCAATTATTCCTCTTCTATTGACTCTTTACTTTGAAATTATTTAAACATATTAAACGGCTTCTCTTACTTTAATATATTATTGTTTAGATTTTTGTTTTGAAATTCATTTACCTCAAGAGTTTATAACACCATTTAAAGCAAATATTTGATCAATAACATACTCTTATTTTTGGAATAGTTTTAATCCAATTCTGGGAATGTTTATATCCGCTAAATTATCTCAGGTATTAAATAAAACCTTTTTTAGATATCTACTGATGAAAACAAATTTTTATATTCTTTATCTAATTTTTGTTTTTTTTTTATTAATTTTTCTAATGGTTTTTATATATTGCTAAGTTCGATATCTTTATCAATTTAATATTAATTAATTTATTATTGAATTAAATTTATTAATTCTGGATTTTATTCATCTATTAGATTCCCTTTTTGTAAATTTAAATGTTTTTCTTGTCCAATTAATTCTTCTAATTATTTATCAAATATTTAATATTCTTCAAATATTTTCTTATTTTGAATCTTTACAAACTCCTTCCTTACCTTCTCAATTTCAAACTTTATATATGGTAATCTAGGTAATTACTACCATTCAACTATTTTAGGTGATAATTTTGAAAATTCTTCTATTCTAAGAAATTCTTCTGCTTTTTTAAATATTTTTGACAATTAAGAATTATATTATTATATTTCAGAAATCATTCCTTTAATTATTTTTACTAATTCAGATATTTCTTAAGATATTTATTTTAAAACTTTTTGAGCAAGCTCTTTATTTTCAGGGTCTGCTTTTAAAAAGTTATTATATTCTTTTTTGTTAATATAAAAATCTTTAGGTTTTCTCTTATCATTTTAACTTTTTTTCCTAAGAATTTAAAATATAGTATTCATTGCTTTTTTTGAAACTTCAGTTTATTCTTACTTTTTACAGTATGAAATAATTCTTGAGAAAACAAAAGAGAGCTTTTCTTTTGTGAATACTTCAAGTTAAGTAAGAATAGCTTATATACTTCTTTTGTTAAGTGTAGAAACAAGAAATACGTTCTTAATATCAGTTAAATATCTCCTTCTTTAGATACTAATAAATAATTTTTCTTTGTTTATCTCAGCTAAGCTTTCATTATTTTTAATTGATTTTTATATTGAATTAGTTCTTCCTTTGTCTTTTATATTTTCAACTTTTTCCATTTATTTACCCATTTGTTATTATATTTTATAATTTATTTTATACTTTCATTCGTATATATAATATTAAAATTTTCTAGCCTCGAAAAATATCAATTAAAATTATTAAATATATAAATTTAATTCGATATATCACTCCCTTAGCTATATTCAATTATTTATTATTTGCTATTTAAACTATATTCAAAGGAGAGTATACCAAAAACTACTTTCCTTATAAATTTTTAATATCATAATTGAGATAAAAAATATTTAGTATTTAAAATTGATTTACTATAAAAAATAATGTAAATATATTAACATTTAATGATATTATGCATAAAATTGATAAGTAGAAGAGTTAACTTTATAAAAAAATAAATTAAAATTATAATCACATTTTATATTAAACTACAATATATTTAAATTTATAAGAAATTAGAATTTAGGGCAAATTAATTATAAAGTAATTTTAATGTTTGAATCTATTTCTAAATTTACTAATATTTTTTAATTCATTTAAGTACAAACAGTTATATATACTACTATAAATAAGTTTTATTTCTTTAAATTAAATTTAATGGTATTGATTTATGTTGGTATAAGATTTAAATACAAATATTTATAAATAATGAGTGAAAAAAAACAAAAAAGAAAATAGAATGATAAAGAGGATGGAGAATGGAAGTGCTTAGAGTGTTGCAAATCCTATCTTTCCTATCCAGCATTCTATACTCATTGTAAAACTAAGCATGATTCTAAATGGCCAAAATAATACAGTACACCAAGACCATTGGAAGAAATTAAGCGTGATAAAACCAAACCTAGAGTATTTTTTAATTGAAAAATAATAGACTAATATGGATGAGTAAAAATAACATGAAAAGGAGGATTAAATCTTTGAATTTTTGGGTAAATTAGGATAAAGTAATGAAGAGGAGGATTCTTCAAATAATTGTATAAGACATTATTTAAAATAACCTATTGACCCAATTAAATCATTAAATGATGATCTATTTTAAGGAACAAATTATTTAAATATTCATTAACAAGTGTTGAAGGAATTAGAAGAATTAAATAAAAAAGTAATAGATTAGGAAGCAATATGGGATTTCAAAGATCCTCTTACATTAACAAATGAATTAGAAGAATTCACATTTTCTAATCTTAAGGGTATATTTCATTAACTTGATGGTTAATTAAATGTCATTAATGTAATAGCTATTTTTATGGGTTGGTTAAGTAGACATTTAAAAAAGAATGCTTATTAGGATATATCAATAATTAGTATTATTACAGCATATTTCTTTTAAAATTACTAATCTTTGAAATCTCAAGAGGTTAACACAGAAGGAAAGTTAGATTTGATGTCATTAGATTAAAATGAAGTTTAACATGATGATTAACGTAAAAAACAATAAGAATATTGTAAAATTGATAAATAGAATGATACTGATCTAAAGAAGGAAGTCTTATCTTAAATGAATAGTTATTTGGTATTACACTCAGTATTATAATGATAGAAAAAAGAGTACCATCAATTTTAGAATTAAGTATCTTATATAAGAACACCTGACATTGCCTAAGCATTCTTTTGTTTATTAATAGATTGGATTGAAGCATATACTGATCTTGAAGATTATATTGAAAAAGGAAAAGAAGTTCAATAGGAAAAATAATAATTATAAAAGAAAGATGAAAAAGGAGAATGATCTATTAAAAAATCATATAACATAATATATTTCTCTATTATGATGTTTGATTTATATAATACTTTTTAATATGAATATAGTAATAATATATGAATTCATAATTTCTTCCTTAACACTTTTTGTAAGTTGGCCTTGATATGCTTTAATTATTCTATAAAATTATCATTTAATGGTTAAAGTTACAGTGGTGTCCTAACACATTTCTTATTATTATATATAAAATATAAATACAGGATTGTCTCTCATGTCTTAATCTACTTCTTCATCAACCTCTTTGAGAAGCATTTCCAATATAGTAAATTTCTATGAGTATTTTTTATGACTTTTTTAGATATTTATCTTCTCATTAGAGACATCATGTAGAGTTGGTATTTTAGTGACACTTCTTAATCTAGTTACTTTTGGATTTGAGTAAATGCTTTAAAGATTTGGAGAGTAATAGCCAACTCCAGGATTTTGAGGGATAACTGGTAAAACAAGACGTTTGTGATTGATTTTTGGTATCGATTTAATTTTAAGTTAGGGCTAATTTAAACTCCATAGTGAAGGTTGTGATTAATGTCTTTTGTCATTTTTATAATAATTCATTAAATTAAATGTGGATTTCCTTCTAAACAATTATCTATATCTGTAATATAATAATCTCCAATTCTTTCAAACCATTTACGCCCAGCTAGAGTCTCAATTTACAAGACATGACGACGATATCCATCTTCAAGATTACCTTCTAATTGTGGAAATCTATTTGAAATAAATTCAATTTGATGCTACATGAAAGTTTGACTTGGTGGAGCTTCAGGAATATGTTTGGCCTAATTTATTATTGACAATTTACTGAGAATTTATAAGTGAAATTTGTTTTTTCTTATATCATAGAGTAATTCTTTTTTTCAAGATTTTTTGAACGATCTATACAAACTCCAGATATGAGATTAGTACTAATAATATTCAAATGGATATTTTAATCATTGTAGATCCATCCAATATTATCATCATCTGGAAAAAAGTATTTAATAATAGGATTCTCATTCTAATCCTATATATTGAGTTTAACTTTAGGTAGATTTTAGTACCTCATATATTCAGCCCATTCTTGAATTTTATCTAAGAGTCTTCCTCAATTCATAGGTGTAATAATTACCTTCCACTTAAATACTATATTTAGAGTAGTAATCTTTTGGACTTTATTGAGTGAATCCAAATATAAAATGTCCATATATTCTAAATAATATCTAGTTTCTAGCTTTGTTTGTGTTGAACAATTATGAATTTGGAAATTTTACTGAAGCAGAAGCTAATTTTATAGGGCATTCAATGTGTTTCATAAAATTTAAGTTATATAAAATAATTTAAGAAAATGCATATATTTATATGAATATACTTCAACAAACATCTTAAATAAGGTTATCCTTCCAAAAACCTTATGTGACTTGATTTCTATTATATAAAGAACCTGGACCATTTCTTTTCCCATTTTTGAAGAAGCCATAAAATTTAAATGTTTTACTTTCTTCAATGGCTTCTCCATTAACCAAACCTTCTTGAAAATAACCTTTGTATCTGATATTACCTTTATTTAATATTCCTAGTCCATGATATTTATCATCTTTCCATTCCCCAATATAAATTAAATGATTGTCAGAATTGTATAGTGTACCTTTGCCATGTCTCATTTAATCCTTAATTTCACCATAATATATGGATCCATCAATATAGATGATCTTATAAGTAATGGAGATATCTTGATCTTTTTTTGGACTTGTGGTGTGTTTAATATTTGTGTTTGGTTTCGAAAAATAACTCTTTTGTTAAACTATATTAGATTATTCAGGAAAGTAAGAACTATTGACAGGTTCATTGGATTTAACTAGAAGGAATTAATTTAAATATCTACAGTAAATATTTGAATCTCGTGGATTTTAAGAAGAATATCGATCATTGAATTATGGTGAAGTGGGAGAACCTTAGGCGAAGAGATACGAATTGGCAGGAGATAAATTTCTCATTGAGGAATAGTTGGGTACAAACATTGAAGGAGGGGATTAAATCATAGGGGTCTGAATAAACAGATTTCTATACATATTAAATTAAATAATAAATGGGGAATACATGTTGTAGTAATCAGCCAATTGATGCAGGTATTTATAGGGATTATAAATTTTATAGAAAAGTAAATAGATGAGAGACCTGAAGATCCAGGGAAAAAAACTGATTAAGAGCCAAATAATGTTGAGGAGCCTATTGACTAAATAATAAGTAAGTTAGATGAATTTAGTATAGAATATCCAACATTGTCAGTGTAGCCTTCTTTATTCATTCAAATGAAAAGAGAGACAATCTATAGTACATATTAAGTAGGGAAGTTATTGGGAGAAGGTTAGAATTCTATAATATTCTCATCTTTAGGTGCTTATGGATAGGTTTCAATTGTTACACATAGAGTGACTGGTATGTAAAGAGCAATGAAAGCAATAAGGAAGGATTGTCTATTTGAAGAAGAATAAGCAAAACTATTTTCAGAAATGACAATTTTGAAAAATCTTAATCATCCTCATATTGTTAATCTTTTTGAGTTATTTGAAGATGAGAAGTTTTATTATTTAATAACAGAGTAATATTATAAATATATATATTTTAGATATTTAAGAGGAGGTGAACTCTTTGATCGTATTTAGAAAGCCAAGAGTTTTAGTGAGGCAGATGCTGTTCGATATATGAAACAAGTGATTTCTGCAGTTGCATATTGTCATTCAAACAATATTGTACATAGAGATTTAAAACCAGAAAATATCATTTTTGCATCTGAAGATCAATATTCAACTTTGAAAGTCATTGATTTTGGTACATCACGGAAATTTGATAAAAATTAAAATATGTCAAAACGATTAGGAACTGTAATATACATATATATATATTTAATAGCCATATTATATTGCACCTGAAGTCTTATAAAAGAAATATAATGAAAAATGTGATGTGTGGTCTTGTGGTGTTATTCTCTACATTCTCTTAGCTGGATATCCACCTTTCTATGGTAGAAATGAAACTGAAATTTTTGATAAAATTTTAAAGGGTAAAATACCATTTCATACTACTGAATGGAATAAGATATCTAAGGAGGCTAAAAACTTAATTACTAATATGTTATGTTAGGATGTAGAGAAGAGGTATTCAGCTTAATAAGTTTTGGATGATCCTTGGATGTAATAAGGATAGGAATAAAATTTATTTGATGATAATTTTTTAAAGAATCTTACAGAATTTAGTGCAAAGAGTAAACTTAAATAAGCTTTGTTAACTTTTATGGCAAGTCAAATGATTTAACCAAAAGAAGTTGAATAAATATAAGAATTTTTTAAATAATTAGATAAAAATAATGATGGAAAATTATCTAAGGAAGAATTAGTAGCTGCATTTTAATAAAAAGTTTAAAGTAAGGATAGATTGATTGAAAATATGGAAACAAAAATAAATAAGATTGTAACTGAAATTGATGTTAATTAATCTGGTTATATTGATTATACAGAATTTATAATGGCGTGTTTAAAATATGAGAAATTATTGACAATTGACAAAATTAAATAAACCTTTAGAATATTCGATCTTGTAATTTATATAATAATAATTTTAGGATGGAGATAAATACATTTCTAAGGAAGAATTATCATAGATTATGGAAGGAGTGGATGATGATATTTGGAAGTAATTTTTAACTGAATGTGATTAAGATAATGATGGTAAGATTTCAGAAGAAGAATTCATTAATCTTTTATAAGATAAATTTTGATATTCAAACAAATTATTATAAATCTCTAATTATTAATTATTTCTGCCATCTATAATTTAATAATTAAATATCAATCTACTTTTGTTATTAATACTAATTTTATATTCATAAATTAAGTTATAGGGGCTAATTCAAAAATTTCTTTAAGTTTTCTACTCCAGAAGATTCAACATAAGTCTCCATCATAAACTCTTCATCATTAATTTATTATTGCCAATATTATAAATTTTCATGGATCTATGATATACATATTGAATTCACTTTCTCACTAAATACAATATATCATAAAAATACTTTTATAATAAATTAGCAAAAGCATTAAACATTGGTAAAACAATTGCCTTTAAAAAACCTTCCTATGACTTTACTACACTTTATTTTCTATCACACATTGGAGAAATAGGAACTTTTAAATAATCTTCCAAATCTCCCTATAAAAAGAATTCTTCAATAATTCTACGACTCCATTATTTATGCATTTTAAGTTATTTAGCTCCATGACCAACATCTTAAATTTAAATAATAAAAAAATACCTGCACATTTTATACAAATAGACATCACTAATGTTTTATCATTAACTTAAGATTCAGATAAATCTAAATAATTCTAAAATCTATTCATTAATTAAAAATGTTTTGTTAAATCTGTATCTAAAATTAAATTTAAACAATATTTTCTAAATCCTTTCTATTCTGGTAATCCAAGATTTTAAATTAAATTAAATTATTCTTATTGTAAGATTTAAAACAAAAGAAATGAATGGTAATTTTCCAATACACTCTAATCATTATCTATATTTGTTTAAGTATATTCATACATAATAATGCTAATTTACATTTATTGGTTGTCATAAATCCATTATTTAATCCAGGATGTCCTAAATCATGAGCAAGTGAAGAAACTATTAAACAAGCTTATTCAAATTCATCTAATTATTCATTTAAACCATTTTTCAAAAAGAAAGCAGTAGAATTAGCAACATCTAATGCATGCAATGAATTATGGTACAAATTGTTATGATATTACATAAATAATTTAAGAGCAAAATCACCAATCATATCTTATTTTTATATCTTTAATGTTTAAGCAATTCTAAATCTTTTAAATAAATTAATAGATGTTTCTATAAATACTCTTGTTTAAATATTATCCTATAATTTCCAATATTATAAATAATCGATATTAAAATCAATTTCCTCAAAAATATCATCTGAATCAAAATCATCTACAACATCAATAAATTAAAATGAAGGTTATCTTTATGTAAAATGAGACAATAGAAATCTATAATTATAAATCAAAAATATTACTATTTTGCATCTATTGTAAAACCTTCCTATTCATTTATTAATTGATTACTTCTTAAAAATTTAGGAAGCCAAATAGTATCTTTTTTACTTGATAATAAATTCAATAAATCATCTATATCCTCAATTGTTATTTAAACTTCTTCTTAATTTTTCTCTTAAAATGATGCACTTTATGAATTTTCATTATTTCTATATTACATTTAATCTGTTGCACTTGTCATCATTCTTTAAGATTTTCTTATAAATATTGGAGGATTATTATTATTTATATCATTATTATCCTAATTTTTATTTTATTTATCAACATCCTCTATTAAACTCTCTTCTATTGAACTACGATCATCTTCATGTTAATCAGGTAATTATCTAGCAGAAAATGAATTTTTATGAATTTCAGAATTTAATTTATTAGGTTTACGTGTTATTCCTTTCTGTATATTATTACTTTTAATTAATAATTACTGGTATTTTAATAATCTCAGTTTTCTTAATAAATCATTAGCCCTAGATGAAATTTGTTCTTATATTGGAGATTCTACCTTTTCATTTATTTTATTAATTTATTCAATGTAATCACCTTTTAAATATTCTAATTCTCTTCCAAAATCATTCAATTTCTTATTTTATTCTTTATTCCAATAATGCATTTTCCATATCGAACCTTCAATTCCTATTATTGCCAGAGTACAATACTTAAGAATTATAAAGATTTGACTTTATAATAGTACCTGAATAATTAATGAAAATAATGAAATTGAATAAGAGATGATTCGCACATTTGTCAAAGAAAATCGATTACAAATAAACAACAAGAAACCAACTGTAACAAGGTAATTTTGGCAATGCTCATTGCTTTAGATAATAATATTATATTTATTTACCTTTATTTGTGATATATATAAAGGACGCTACTCAATATTTGTATAAAAATCCCCAAATACATCACTACATTACCATGTATTTAAATTTTTTTCTTTGATTTCTTTAGTATCCCCATTAATGATGATAGAAGTAAGACTCTGATTGTCAGATGAACTTCTTAATGTTATTGGGTCTCCATTAATGGCCAAACCACTAACAAGAATAGAATGGCAAATGCTTCAAAAGGATGTGCTTGATTAATGGCTGATTCTCTTTTGAAAACTTCAGAAAATTTATCTCTAATTTGATCATGAACTTCAGAACTCATAATAATTTAAGTTATTATTTTTTAAACATTAATACTATAAACAGAGAATGAAAATATACTCTTATATATCTATATATAATAATAAATTTTTCTTAATTGCGATTTTTCTCTAAGTTAGACTTCTCTTATTTCAATACATTCTGTCCAGATACGAAAGACTGTCCTTTAAAATTAAAACTATTTTATCAATATTTGGTCTTAATTTAGGATCAGGTTGTAAACAAAGTAAACATAGTCTACCTAAATATTTCATTAATTTTTAAGGTCCTAATTTTTTCTCGTATTTTTCATTATATCTTACTGTATAATTTGACCTTAAATACTTTTCTTCTAACATTCTTATATTTTGTCTTCTAAAATCCTAAATATTATTTATTTAATCATACAATTGGTTGCCTATCAAACAATAACTCAAATAGTAAAAAACCAAATGAGAATATATCATAGGCAGATGTGAATTCACTTTTATCTGATGGATTTCTTTACATTTCTGGAGCACAATAGGGTAAGGTTTTTCCAACAGATTGGAATTATTCTTTGCCATTATTATGGATTGCCTCACCAAAATCAGTAATTTTAGCTATTAAAGATTTTGATATTAGAATATTAGCTGGTTTGATATCCATATGAATTATATCATATTGATGACAGTATCTTAGACCCATAGCTATACTATGAGCTATGAATATTTTTGAAGAAAGACTTAAACAATCTTCCATTTTTTTATGGAAACTGTCTAAGGATGAATAAAAATATCTTTCCATTAATAGAATATCATCTCTTTCTTGTATATAATAATATTAAGAAATATATGGACACGTTCCTGTGAATTTGAAATATTCTTATCCTTCCTTTTAATTTTTTTTTTTAATTTAGTATTTATCATTTGTAAGAATTTGAAGTATTTAAATTTCTCTTTTAATTTTCTAACTTTCTGGATTTTTATCTGCTTTAATTGCAAAATGCCTTTTTAAATTATTTTATTGATTATTTTTCTCAATTGTAAATGAGATATCCTTTCCATAGATAATACTAAATCCTCCAGAATTAATTTCATGAGCTACATCTAAATGCAAGTCATTTGGAGAATTGACTTTAATTTAATTGATGATCTTATTATCACTTAGTATTTGTTTTTAAATAATAGGGCCGTATTATTGATATTATTCTTTTGTGAATGGTTCATTCAAATTACTTTGATAGATTAATCATTTACGTTTCTATTGTATTATTTATTCTTTTTAAAAGAGTAATTATGTCTGGAGGGAACTTCCTCCAATTCTTATTTTCATTTTCTTAATACCTATTATTTTACATATACTTGTCATATATGTCGATCTCCATAATGTTGATACGATTTATTAGAATTAATATTCTAAGAAAATGAAATCGCAATGAATAAATTGCTGTCTAAACTAAGCTATCTAAATATTGAGTGAATTCTTCGAAATCTTTATCTGTCATGTAAATTTAGTTTTCCTTTCCATTATAACATTATAATTTTAGACCTATATAACCATCTAGAGGGTGCACAAAAAAACTACCTACTCTTAAATTACTATTTAAACGAAGCATATATCTACATAATTATATTCTGATATTCTAGTTAAAATATATTTAAAATTACCTTTTCGTTAACCAAAATTCTACCATTTTAATCAAAAAGCAACACTCTAAAATTAGTTTAAAGCTCTTTAAAGTTTAATAGAATTTCAAATTGTAGAATGCATAAAGAACTATGAACTTCTAATGGAAAGGTGATTAGATATAGGAATTCTTCTACTTCAATATAATGTACAACGCTTTAGTATTTCATTTTTAAATGGTTAACCAAATCCTTAATCTTTTATAATTAATCAGCGTAAGTAAATATAATTTTTTCTTCTTCATTTATCTATTCTTGAATTTCCAATAATTCAAATATGCTTTTCTACATTTCAATTTACATTTTATAATTTTATTTTATTATTACTTCTTGATAAATTAACAAGCATACATATTTATATTATTCTAATAGAATTAAATCTATATTATAATAATATACATTAATATTCTAATTCTCATATTATAAATTAAATAAGCTTAGAGATTTATACTGGTGTGTTAATTCTATTAAAATCCTAAATCCTTATGAATTCACAGAATATGATCCTACATAATCTTAACAGCTAGTTGATTAATGCCATACATATTAAAAAATATTAATTTTCTGTTTAAAGTAAAAATAAAATACATTAATAAAAAGATATTTTAAAATGACCACACCAGAATCATTAAACCCAGCTCCTCTTACTGGTCTTGGAGATTATTCTTACAAAAAGGTATTGGAAGACGACTATTCAACTGGAAAGTTGAATCTTAAATTTAAGGGAAATACTAAGTCTTCTGGTATAGCAAATTACAAAGGATGGTTGGATATGAGCAAATAATAATCTTAGTAAGAGACTAAGTTCCAATTCCCATATAAGAAGTATGAATTCATAAAATTATCAAAGCTATTTCTTATAAATTGCCACAAGAGAAGATGGAGCAAAAGTCCATATTGACTTTGGAGAAGTAGCCAAATTAGGAAATAATGGAAGTGTTAATCTATTTGCCAATGCCAAATTGGGCAGCTCTCACTTAAGTTAAGCAGTAATTAGATTTGGTGGTGTGACCTAATGGAGATCAATTACTCATCATTTACGTAAATATTAATAAAAATACAATTAGGTTTCGAATACAATCCAGCAAATGCTGTGAGTACATTAAGTAGAGCATTCTGGAAAAATAAAGATTGGGTAGTTGTTGCAGCTGAAGATTTTCAAGTCACAAATGGATTTGGAGTGAAAAGACTTGATTTGATTGTTGGATATCTTTCATAAAATTATGATATTTTCTTCAGACACTTGACTGAGGCACCAAATAAAAAAAAAGAATTTTCACAATTAAAAAATGGAAGACTTATTTTGGATTTTGTTTACAGAAAGAATAAATACACTTTTGGATTAGAGACAGAGTATAACTTAGCAAAATCTTAATTGAATGCTTTGGTTGGAGCTTCCACAAAGATTGAAAAAGTTGATGTCAAAGCAAGAATCAATGTGACATAATAGAGACTTGGCTTAAGTGGAAAAGGTAAATTAAATGATAGGTATAAGATTATTGTTTATATATAGATTCAATTGGGCCCTATCAACTGAATTACCACTTGATGGATCATTACCAAATAAATAAGGTTTCCTCCCACTTCCAATTGGGTTCACATTGGATACATCATTATGATAAATATAAATAAATGTAAAGAAATAAAATTTAAATTTAATTGTGATTAATTTATATTAAATATTTTTAATATATATTTTGTTATATAAAAATTAATTCTAATCAATAATGGTTAGATTTAATATATTTGTTAATTATATTAACCCATTGTTGAGCTGGAACATGATTATCTCTTTATTTGAAAATGTATTTCTTTTTGTTTCTATCTCCAACAATGAATTTCCCTTTCCCTAATAATTTACATGATGTAAATTAATTTAAAGGGATTATTGTCTATAAATTTACATATTATTAATACTTTTTTGTTATTTAATTAAGGATTAATATAGATAAAATTAGCTATTCCATCTTAACATACAATACTAGCATGTCTAAGAGAGAATTGAGTCATAAATAGAACTCCATGTTCTTTATCTAATTAACCTTATATAATTATTTAATCTGCTTTGTTTTTAGTAACAGAAATTCCTCGTATATCACATTTATCACGTTAATTGTTTTCAATAAATGTAGTTTGAATTCTACTCATTTTCCTTTTGTGTGTGTTAATAGTATTTATATAAGGGACATCTTATAACCACATTTATTTAAAGTTAATTCCTCTAAAGAATTGATGTTACTTTATACTATCATAATTATATTAGGAATCTATTTATGATAATTAAAATTACCATCAAATTCTTAAAGAAATCTCTTAATGGGATCCTTATCAAGTAATATTTTGATTAGATCCAAAGCATCATTTGGTATTCTTTAATCTTATGACCATGAACATTGACTTATATTATTAAACAATTCAAATTCATTATCTGAATAGAATGGTGTTTTATTTGTATATAATTGATAAATAAAACATCCTAATGCCCATAAATCAGCTTATGGACCAATAACATTATAATCAATTAATTCTGGACATAAATATTCAGATGTGCCAACAAAACTAGAATCTCTACAATATTTTATTTATGGTTTTTCAAAATCATTTAAAGAAGGAGATCTTTATTTTTAATATTAAATTCTGATATCTTCTAATTTATTTCCAATATCAATTTTATTATGATCATAAACAAATAATGTTCCAAAATCTATAAGTTTTAAATGTTTATCTTTGGTTAAAAGAATGTTTTCAGGTTTGACATCTCTATGTACTAATCCATTTTAATGTAAATATTCAAGTATTAATAACAATTCTGCTGCATAGAATTTGATTATTGAATCATTCAAAATATGTCCTATATATAATCAATATCAAATACTGTTCATATATTCTAACAAATTACCATCAGTTAACACTTCAAGAGAATAATATAGTTTATCATTTTCTTCAAATGAATTGAATAACTTAATGATTCCTTTGTGTCTTAAATTACTCAATACTTCTCTCTCAATACATGCATGATGCATCTTTTTCTCCTATAATATTACTATCAAATTTTTACTTTAAGCAAGAAATTCTTGTCTACAATCTTAAGTGCTGATTCATGTCCAGTGAGTTTGTTCTTAACTAATACAACTTCACTGTATGCACCTTTCCCTAAAGGTTTAATTATGTCAAAATCATCTAATTTGAGATCTATTAAAAATATGGAATTTTTTAATTACTTTACACATGAACAGGCATATCTGGATTCATAAATATTATTATTTAACTTATTTATTCATAATTTATAAAAATGTAGTAATAATCAGTATTATTAATATAAAAATTCCTCATTTAATGAATACCATTTATTTGTTCATAACTATCAAGATTTTATTCATAAATATTTTACATGATTACAATGTTAATCTACTTCAAATATATATTCTAAAAAATTATTTGATTTTAATAAACCTTAAAATATGGATAGATCTAATATTTATGAATATATAGGAAACTTCTCTATTATTATATATTAATTTTCTACTTTCATGTTATAATTGATTATAAAATTTAATAAGATTATTATAAACAATTAAATGAATTATTTTAAATAGAAATTTATAAAAACAGATTTTATGTCAATAATGAAAATCTTATCAAATAAATCATAAAATATTTCACCCCTAGAAAATATTAATTCTATTATTTTTGTGTTTATTATAATAATAATAAATAATTGATAGATTTTAATTGGATAAGATTAAAAAAGAAAATATATTTAGAAGTAGAAAAATGAATTGCATTTATAAATGAAGTTAGAATAGATTTAATATATTTCATCATTAAAAATATCATAAGTATGTACTTTTTATTTTAGTGATGGATTTACAACTTCAATTAAGATATGATTCAGATAAGTTTGTTTATGGTTTGCATGTAAAGTAAATAAATTAATTTATAACTTATATTCATATATAATTAATAAAGAGGTAGTGAATTAGAGTAAATATAATCTTAAAGATTGTTGTTTTTATTTAGTTATTAAAGAAATGATGAATGAATATAAATGATTATACTGGTGTTAGACAATTTAATTAAATAATTAATTAAAATGTCTAACATGAATAAGCCTCCTCTTGTAATTATTCATCCACTTGTTTTGATCTCAGTAGTAGATCACTATAATCGTATAATATCAAAAACACAACAACCTAGAGTAGTTGGTGCATTGTTGGGTACATTATACAATTTGAATCTTAGGTGAAAGAAAGGCTGATGGTGTTATTGATATTACCAATAGTTATGCATTACCTTTTGAAGAGGATCCAAAGGATTAGAATATATGGTATTTAGATCACATTTACAATGAAACACTATTTGAATTACATAGAAAAGTATCAATATTATCTAATAATTAGATTAATATCAATGAAAAGATAGTTGGATGGTATTCTACAGGATCAAGATTCAAACCAAATGATATTCAAATCAATCAAATATTTTACAAGTATACAACTACTCCAATTTTTGTGATTATCGATGTTCATCAATTTGATCCATTATCACTTCCAACTGAAGCTTATACATCAGTTGATGAAATCTCTAAATCAGGAGAAATAGTCTAAAACTTTGTGCATATTCCTTCTACTGTATAAGCATTTGAACCTGAAGAAATTGGAGTTGAATAACTATTAAGAGAAATTAATAATGTAGATACATAATCACTTTCAGCTAAAGCCGAATAAAAGATAAATGGAGTCAAAGGAATGAATAAGAAGATTGCTCAAATTTAATAATACTTAAATCTTATATAATAAGGTAAAGTGAAACCTAATTAACTTATTATAAACAATTTACAAGTAACTACTAATAATAAGTCTAGGAAATTCTGAATTACTTACCAAATTTAGGTTCTTAAGATGTGGTTTAAGCATTCACTACCAAAAATAATGATAATATGTTGACCATATATTTGGCATCATTAATGAGAAGTATTATTGCCTATCACAATTTAATAAATAATTAAGCTTAATAAGAAAAAAAAGTAAAGTGATATTTAGTTCATATATATATTCCCATAAATCAATAGGTTCAACCAAATGTTTCAAAATTAGCATATTTTATATATAAATGTTTATCTTCTGTATTTTTATATGTTTCATAAATACTACCTACAGTTATATCAGCTAATAATATATATGAAATATTTACATCTCATCATTAGTAATTAATTATTGCAATATAAAAATATACTTGCTGAAACATCAATTCCAACATTTTATTTTACATAATGCATTAATTCAACCAAAGTTTTATTTTTATTTATAGCAAATCTATAATATACATATATATTATATTTATACAATTAATATTGATTCGATTTACCATTTTATTTCTAAATCTATGCTTTTTTATGTTTTTCCAAAACAACCAAGATTCTCTCACATGAATTATTTATAACTTTCTAATATTTTCCCTACCTTTATTCTAGAGTAAATTTACTCTTATATTCAAATTCATTATCATTTACTAATCCCAAAACATTAAGTTTCTTTTAAATCATTCTTATAGAATTATAAATATATAAAAATTATTATTATTCAAAAGTAAAAAAAAATTAGATTTTATTCTATCATTCTCATAGAGCATTATTAAATTTCTATGAAATTTCAGCAAATTTATCTTCATCCTCTAATTCTTTTAATTTACTACATATAATATTATAAAAAATACTTTAATAAATAAATTGATGAAGAATATTTCAAATTAGATAATTCTCCTAATTATAATAGATTATTCTTTTCAAATTTTGATCTTGAAATATTTAAATAAGCTCTCAATTATTCTTATTCATCCTTACTCTTTTTTAGTTTACTTTATACAAATTAATGTTTCTCAACATATTTCATTTAATCTTTTTCCTATAAAATAGATAAATAAAATAAAACTTAGCTTTTTCTATTAAATTACATATTCTCTAAATGTTCCTTAAAACTTTAAGATCTTTATTCTTTTAAAGTCTTTTATTCTTCATTCTTTTTTAATTTAAATTTTTCAATTCTTTCTTAAATACTATTAACTTTTTATATCCATTCTGCCATTTTCTCTTATTAACGTTCTTCAGATTCTTAATATCTTTTCTTATGTCTTGAGAATCGTTGTTCTAATTGCCTTCTTTTATGAAATTACAATTTCGATAGATATTTATCATGTTCCTCTTATTATTTTTCTGCTTTTTCCATTCTTTATCCAACCTTATTGAATAATTCAAATTCTTTTTCTTCTTAATGTTATTTTATCTTTTAATTAATCTAATTAAGTTTTTATTCAAAAAGTTATTATTTTTCAATTTTATTTTTTTCCATTTATTCAGCTGTCATTTATCTATAATCAAAAGATTGATCCATTTCTTATTATTTTTTATAGAGTTCTTCTACCATACGATTTTCAAAATCATCCTTAACATTATTTATTTTCTCTTCTAATTTACGATTTCTATTAGCAATTTCAGATACTTATTTAGCTCTTTATTTTTATATCAAAATATCTCTATTATTAATAATCAAAAATTACCTAGCTTCTAATTTCTCTTAGAATGATTTTGATTTTCTCAAACCTTCCTCTAATTTATCACTCATATTATTTCGATAATTCATTAATTTCTAAGATACTTTATTATTTTCAATAGCTGCCTTCTTTCTTAATTCCTAAAACATCTTCTTTCTACTAGCTAAACTCTTCTCCTCTTTAATATGATACTATTATATTGATAATCTTCTTTCTAATTCCAATCTTATAGCTTCTTTTGTAAAACAATCTTATATTTTTTGTTCTTTATTTCTTTCCTCTTCAATTTATTACAATTTTTAATCATATGTTAACGCTTAATTTCGAAATTATTTTTTCTTTTAAGTTTATTCTGACCACTTACTTAAAGAATTATAATTATAATTATTACTATCCTCTAAGTTCATCTTCCTCTCTTTAACGCTTTTGAAGTTCCACTTTAATTCGTTTTCTTTCTATATACAAATTCTAAAAATCATCTAAAAATTCAATTTATAATTTACTAATAAGTTCAATTAGATAATTCTGATATGCTTTTTGGAGATCACTTTCACTATAGGATTGTTTTTGACTCTCAAAGTTAAATCGCATCTCAAATTAATTCCTACTCATTAAAGTGCTATGTGAAACTTTCTTCTAAAGTGATAACGATCTTGTCCTAAACTTTCCATTGCTTTTTATGTCAATGGAGATTCTGGACGATACTTCAATTCGTAACCTTGGACTAGGGCGATCAATTTACGAATTTCTGGAATGTTGTTAAATTTTGGTTCTGTAAAGAACATTTATAAAGAAATGTTATAAATATAAATATAATTTTTATTTACTAAAAATGTTCTCATGTGATATCGTAGCTATGCCAAATAAGTATTCACGTTATTTAGGATCTAGTGTAAGGTAAATTTTATTAGTATCTTTATTATTAGTCAACCTGATTAACCAAGCTCTAGTCGTATCAAGAAACCTAATAGTAAATTTAAACTATTGAGTGTAATAACATTTATATGATTATTAGTTACATACAATTAAAAAGGATGAGATCAAGAACTTTTATCATCATAGTTCCATATACAATATAAAAGAATATAAAGATTTAATAAAATCACCTGTCTTTTTGTATCACTGATTCTAAACTAAGTTTAGCTTTGAAAGCAATACCACTAAATTAACAGATTTATAGACCAGAGTCTTAATTACAGATTTTTAAAGGAAAGTTGCTGCCTATCTCCTTAATAAAAAATTATCCAATAGTAAAAATATGAGAAAGTATTATGCTGAACTTAAGGCAGCATGTTAATAGAAAGAATTTGAATCTTAGTAAATTATACTCCATACTTAACCATAAGATAATCATAACAAGGTTGAATGTAAAATATTATTATAAATTAATAAATAGAATAAGAAATTGGTATTGAAATTATGTTGATGGATAATAATAAGATAATTGGTAAATAAGTTATTCCAAATGAAAGAATTTAAAATAGATTATTAAAATATATGGATAAATATTTGAATGATGATCAAATTGATTATGAAACAAAGTATTAAATATACTTATATTTATAAGAATACATTTTATGACTCAATAATACTCTGAAATTGTTAAGAAGATTAAAACTAAAGCATTCAAAATAAAAGTACCTGAAAATTATACTTAATAAATGATTGATGAATATGCTCAAATAAGTGATAAAAAAAAGAGAGAATAATTTGATCAATAATTTGATTAATTAGCTGATCAAATTATACAAACTATTCATTAAAGTTCTGAAACTATATCATCTTAAAAGGTGTCTTAAACAGATCTATAAAATTTAGATGAAGATATATAAATAAATATGAAAACATAAGTATTAACAGAATAATTATAATAATCTGTTGAATATTAGGAAGATTTTGAAGAAGAATTAAATAAAAATCAAAGGAAATTTAAAAAGATTATCAAATATGATACTTCAAATAAAAATTCAATAAAAAAATAATCTATTAGAATATAAAATTAATCAGATCCTGATTTAATTTCATCATTACTTGATTAAAAAGGTTCCAATCCATCAGATATGTCATAAGAATTAATAAGATCTAAAAATAAATATAAAGGATATTTGGATAATAATAAAAATAATTTAAATACTGATTATGATAATTTAGTAAATGAATAAAATTAAAAATTAACTAATTTTGTTGATGAGAGATATAGAATAAGAAACATTTCTCGAAATTAATCAGGTTAAGTTGAATAAAAAGATTTAATAGATCTCGATAATTAATAAATCAAAACTGATTATTTATAATAAAAAGATAATAAAATTCCAAGAAGAATTTCATAATTTGATAGTAATGGTGTTAAAAACAATTCAAATAATTATTCTCATTAATAAAATTCATCCTTAAATATTTATTCAAATTAAGAAAACTCAAAAAATAAAAAAAACACTATTTAAGATGAAATAAGCTAAAAAATTGAATAATAATTATAATAGGTTTAATCAGTAATACAAAAAAAGAAATTTGGAGTACTTGATAAATTATTAGATGCTCAATCAGTTTTTGATGTAGATATATGTGTAAATTATATTTAATTTATTAAGAGTTAGCTGATTTCCCTTTGAATAAATCAACTTCTAATAATGGATAAGAAGATAAATAAATTTTTCAATAATTGTAACTTTTTATAATATTTAATTAGATTTGCTTGGTAAAAAGAAATAACTTAGATAATACCTATTCTTAATTAATTGAATAGAAAATCAATGGAAAATGAAAGCATCTATGAGACTAAATCAGGAAGTAGTGATGATAATAATTGATAATATTTTATTAATTAAATGTCGTTACTTTAAAAGTTTACAAAGTTATTCAAGTCTAAAGATGAAATGTAAGAATCATTGGGTATTTTATTGAAACCTAAGTCTCAAAAGGATTTTGATGTAGCATGTGAATATTTTGGTTCTTTAATGAAGAGATATCCAGCAGTAGTATTCAATCTTTTAAGATCAAAAGAAAATGTTGAGAATTTCTAACCTAAAGCTGAACATCTCTTAAATCTATTATTTGTAATACACGCAAATATATCTGATGATACAATTTGTGCTTAATTAAGAGGATCTCCAATTTATTGGTTAGATAAATTAATGACTGAAAATAAGGAGAGTTTCATACTTATTGAAAGAATGATATGTGAAGCTAGTACATCTAGTTTCTTTCCATAATAATCTCCTTTAACTTAACCATCTTAATTTTAAGGAAAGAATGATTAAGTAAAAGAGAAAAGAAAAACAAGAATTGAAATGAATGAATAACTTAAGAATCCTATTTAAAAAACAGAAGCTTAATTGATTACATGTTAATTAAAGGCTAAAATCTTTTGTATCATTTATTACTCATTCTTATAAAAATTATCAGTTAATTTATTGGTTTATTAATCTTGTAAGGATTTGAAATATCCATTTGAAGAACCAGAAGATGTAAAATTAAGATATATATGGATATATAAGATTTAGAATGTAATGTTAATGGGTTTGAAATTATTGGAATGCTAGAATAATAAATATAAAATATATTAAGATTTAGTATATTAGGATTTATTTAGATTTCAGGTATTTGTAAGATAAGAAATTGAATAATTGATAGATCAATATGCTACAATACCAAATTTAGATTGTTTATCATTATATGAGATTTTTTCAGAATTTCAAAGAGCAAGAATAATTCTAGAAAACTATAATCAAGATATTGATCTTAAATTGAGAGTCAGTACAAGATAGATTGAAGAATTTTTGAGTTTCTCAGTTAGAATTAAAGTATTGAATTAATTTGCATTCAAAAAAAGCCTTAAGGTTCCAAATCGATAATAACCAAATATTTCTATTGTTTAATAATCCTAGTCTGATCGTAAAGTATTTTATATTATAATAAATCTCTTTTTAGCATCATAAAGCTGTTAGTGATATAAATAAGGAAAATCTTTAACCTCTAAATTAATAAGATTTTTAATTTGAATACACTTATGAAAGAGGAGTAATGGAAAAGAAATTTTATAATCAATCTACTGAAAATAGTATGGATGATATTGAAGAGAATATTTAATTTGATATAGTTTAACATAGACCTTAACATCTTAAGGGATTAAGCACATTTCAATAATATTGATTAGTTAATTATTATAACAAAAATAATTTATATAAAGATTATAATTCTTAATAGGAACAAAGGTCTTCGAATCATATTTAGATTCTAAAAAAAGTGAAAATTTAACTTAACTTTTACTGAATATATTTAATTCTAACTTTTATAAATTGGTGATGTGATTCTGTCCATTTTAAAATTTATGTAAAGTGTTTCTTAAGAACATTTTATTAATATATAAACAAATATTAAGAAAAGTTAATTAAGTGTTGAAGACCAAATTCAAGTATTTTGAGTTTATCTATTAAAAAAGATTTCTAAAAAATACAGCCGTTTATCAATATATTTTGTATTAGAAAGCAAGGTTGAATAAGAATTTTAAGATAATTCAGCATTATTTTATTATTATTTATTAATAACTCATTATCAAATTAGACTTTGCAAATATGAGCTTAATAAATATATCCGTCTTTATACTTTATACATTTTGATTTTAAAGATAATTTAGAGAAGTATGTAAAAACAGGAATTGTATTAATGATATCCATCTTGATTTTAAAGAGTTTAATTCTAACGACCTTAAGTTATTCCTCAAAGAATCTAACAAAAGAATAATCAAAAATAAACCATACTTATAATTTACTAGAACACAAAAATAGATGGATTTTATAGATGAAAAAGATAATAATGGATTTTTAACTCTGTTTTCTGATAATGTAAATGCAAAACACATTAAATAATAGAATTGATAATAGAATAATCAATAATATCACTTATAAAATGATATTAATGTATGTAAATACTATAATAATTATTTTATATAGAAATAATAGATTTTACATTGTCTTATTAATTTAATAAGAAGAATTCTAAATTACAATTATCAAAGTATTCAAAATCTGGTTTTTTATTTTCTGTGATTGTTGTGAAAATAGAAATACTTATAATATGTAGTTATTCGAATACACTTTCAATTAGCAAAAACATAAATAAAATATTTGATTACTTGGATAAGGTATTCTTGCCTTGATTTATTATATAATATTAATAATAAATAAAATGGAAGAATAAGGTATGCGTCCTGAAACATCTAAATGCTCACGAATGGAAAAACGTAGATTAGTATCTTAAAGTCATCAAAGACAAGAATCAAGTTAAGCTCAAAGAATCAATGGAATTACTTTATAATAATACTTTCAAGGAAACAACTTTAGAGTACTGGAAATCAATGAAGATGAATGTGATAATCTATAAGTTGCATAGCCACGTGCTCCTCCACTTCAAAATAATAATTTTCGTATTAAAACAGATAAGAAGATAAACAATAATAAACTACTAGAACGATCGCCTGCTTAAAACTTAACAATGAGCAAAGACTTTAATCAACGTAAAATTAATAGAGTATGTAAAATTAACGATTTTTTTGCTAGCCTCACATAACATCAAATGAATTCTTTCAAAATGAAGATGAACTTAGAAAAACAAAGATAGAACTCAAATATGGTCGCATGAAAGAAGATGTGATCAATCGCTTTGGTAATCCTGATTAGGATCTAATTAATAAATATGCAGAAAAATTTAATATAAATAGAGAGCCTCCAAAATTGACATTAGCTCCTAGAGAACTATTAACAAAAATAAAGTGAACAATAATTCTTTTTTTGTTTTCATTGCCACTGCAAATTTAAATTACTATTTGTTATTTATAATTTATTATTTGTATCCTATTAACATAATATTATTAATTTTACCAAAATATATATATATATATATATATAATCATAAAAATAAGTAATCATATTATTCTATTATTAAATAACTTCAAATATAGATCATTTTCTTTATTCATTTTCTGAATTTCAATTAATTTAATATTAATAATCAAATAATCAAATAATTTAAATTTAAATTAATCAGTTCATTTTACACTATTCATTCCTCTAAATTATTTCTGAATCCCATTTAAGTGAATTTTCATATTTCCTTAAGATATCAGCCATATCTTTTGAAAAAGATGAATATTTGCAATATAATCTAATTATAGGTTAGAATTGCCTAAAGTTTAGACTATTTTTCTAAGAGATTAATTTATTAGATTTTAATTATTTTTCTTATTAAAATAAATATTATATTTTGTATGTATAAATTTAATCTAAATACTTATAATATTAAATTGAAGTTTCAATTAATCATCCCTAATCTTTGTTTTTTCTTCTGATTCTAAGTATTTTATTAAAGAAGCAATAAATGCACATGGAAAATCAAAAAAATAATGAATCAATAAAACCAATAGTAAAATTATATCTGATAATGGTGAATAAATTCAATTAATAGTTAATTTAATCAATTTACTCTTTCTAAGACTTTTTAATCATCTTCTCTTTAATGTTTTTCACTAATTGGCATTTATGGATAGAATATAAAACTTCCTATTCCGAAACCAAGAGCCATTGCAAGAAAAACCCAACCTTTTTTATTTTCTTAATATTTACCATTCACTGTCATCAATAAAAACATTGTAATAGATGACTATGTTGCAGCTAGTAATTACCATACAATCTTCAAAAATAGAGATCTTGTTATATGAATGTGTACTTCTATTTATCTGCAAATCCTTTGAGAACTGGTAGTAAACAAAGGAAAACACAGAAAAACATTGTGACAAATAATCCACCAACAAATTCACCATGAGTAGTTGATTTCCAACTTAGTGTAATAAAAATAAATGATATACTTATTAAATACAAATCTAACTTTATAATCCCAATTTATAATCATATACATTCTCATATCCATCATTTGCATTCCAGGATGCATTTCTGATTATTCATTATGTGACATAATATAAAAATTAATTAAAATATTTAATAATTTATATATTATAAAATCAGATACATTATTGAAATAGATTGTCATTGGAAATGAGTATTTGTTAAATATTTTTAAAAATATACATTAATTTCATTGCTGATTATATGTTTTATCTCTAAGGCCAACAATATAATTTCTTGGCCTTAATGGATTCAATCCTTTATTTTATCCTGTTGAAGTAGATTAATCTTTCATTTCATAAACTTATGCCTATTAAGATAAAATAAATAGAATTTACTTCACTATCAACTTTGAAATTACTTAATATAGTTTAAGATGCTTTAGTCTATCTTTTTCTTATATTAGCCATTTATATAGCCTAATAATATTTATATTAAATACTTTTCTTCTTAATTCCCATTCATTCCAACAATAATTTGGATCAAGATTCTTTTCAATAAAATGAACAGGTGTTTATACATCTTTATCAACCATTAATTTATTAGATAATAAACTTCCACTTTCAAATGTTAATTTTAAATTGAGATTCTTAAAATTCTCTTCTACTCTAAATAATCTAATTAGATGTGGTTTCTGTCTACATATATCAATCACTCCTGTTAAATATCTCTATGGTTCTGACAAGAATTCATTAATAGCTATTTCATTGCTAAATACACAATTCTTATCTCTATATCTAAAAACACCCAATGATGGTTTACCAGGAATTAATAAACCATTCTTTTTTACAACAGACCAAATACAAAATCCAAAATAATCTAATTAGGTTTACATAAAATCAGGGGTGTTTTAAGGTAATAATCTTTACACTCCTGATTCTGGTTGATAATTAATTAAAGCTAAATTATCAGGTTAAGTGGATTCCATTTATTTACATTATTTTTATATTGCTAAGGGCATAGATAGTTTCATCATTTTTCTTAGATCTACTAATAATCTAAATAATTCCACTCTCTCTATTGATATTTATTTATCTTCAAATAGACCAATATGACTTTGAGCTAATAATGCAAATTTAGGATAAACTTATTCTTTTGGAGCAGATGATTTATGTTCTAATAATTTCTTTAAGTCTTCCATTTCTTTAATGAATCTAATTCTATTTTGTTCAATCATGGCTTCACTTTATTCAATATCTTCTTGTAATGATAAGATATAAGATAAATATTATCTGAGAAAAGCTAATTCATCCTTATATTTTTCAATATCTTCATTACTCATTTGAAATTTGTCTTAATTAATGAAGAATGTAGTGTATATTTCACATTATTCTATAGTTTCAAGTGCTATTTATTTAATTTAATCAGATAATTCTCTAGCATTATATTTAGTAAGATCTTCTAAAGAACTTAATGATACTCCTCCTTTTCCAATTTTCTTATTGAATAATCTAATACCAATGACTAAATTGGCCAATTCAACTAATTGTGTAACTTTTTCTGAGGGATTCAAAGATACAAAAGGTCCTAAGGCAGCTCTTGGAATAACACTTTCTAAAGCAGCTCCAACTTCTAAAGTGGAATAGTAATAATATTACCTTTATCCATATTGAATTGAGCTTAAGCATCAAAATTAATAGGATCTTCAATCAATTCTTTATTCTTATATATCAAATAATGAAACATTTTAGTATATAATGTAGTTAAGCCTTCAAAATCTTTGGCATTCTTAATTTCTAAAGTTACAACATCATCAATGTATTTTCCAGTTTCATTAGATTGTTTTTTGATTTTCTCTTGTCTTTATAATTCCATTTCAACATAAGCACTATCATATTCTTAATAATTATTATAGATTGTTACATATTTGTAATTGTATAGTTTTTAAATCTGGAGCATTTTAATTACTGAGTTTATTAAGTGTTTCATTTTTCAATTCATTCAATTCACTTTCATTGAGTTTTTCTTCCAGATAAAATTTATTTGTTCCTTTTTGAATATTATGAAAATATACTTTTATTGAGAATAGTCTATGCAACATAAGATGCAAGAGTTTCAGTAATAGGATTGTTTCTAGCTCTACATTAATAGAGGGCAAACTTGACTACTTCATCTAATTAATTCATTTTTTGGGTATTAGTTTTTATAATTAATTTAATTGATGAAATAAGCCTTCAATCAACTTTACAGATAACACACCATATCAAATAACAAAAGCTTCACTATACCAACTAAATAGTCATTAGAATAATCTTATTAGGATGTAAAGTTTTAATTTGTGATGCAATTCTCTAAAAATACAACTTAAGAATAGCTTGAATAGATTGTTAATATATTATTGAATCATGGATTTTAATCTTATAAGACAAGAAATCTATAAAATGATAAGATACTTTTATTTATATGTATTGGGGATCCTAAGATAATATTGGAATAAGCAGAATAAATGCAATTATATAAAGTATATACTAAAATACATTATATAGTTAGTGATTGATCGTTCAAATATTTAAATGCATGATGTATATAAAAAGATAGCTGAAAAAATAAATGTTAAGAAGATATTAGATGAAAGATTAGTTATTGCTTTAAATTAGATTGATTAGAGAATAGTGAAGTTTGAAAATTATTAAAAATTTAAATATGACTTAAAAAGTGATTTCTGTTTACAAAATGATGATGCAGAAATCATTAAAATATTTAGTCCTTCAGAGACATTACTAATAATATACAATTACTTACATACTATTAAAATAGGTGATTTAGATATGATTCATTTTCTAAAAACGGAAGAATATTTATTATAAGTAACTCCAATTCATGATGAAATTGTCTAACTTAATTCAGTATCAGATATAGAAAGATATTTTGGAGGCAATTTAGCTGTCTATTTTGAGTTTATGAATTTCTATTAATCTATGCTTAAATATTTAGCTATTGCAGCTATAATCACTTTAGTCATAGATCATTAAAGTAGTCTCTTTAAAATTACTAATGTGGCTAGTTTCTATGCAGTAGTGACAATGGTATGGTCAACATTCTTCATCATTGCTTGGCGTAGAAAAGAAAATGAATTAAGTGTTGAATGGGGAGTTTTTGGTTAATAACACATCAAAAGATTAGATCTGAATCCTGAATATAAAGGAAAACCTAAGATGAATTATATTACAGGATTGGTTAAGAATAGTTATCCTACAAGTAGTAGGATATTTTATTATATGGTATCATTATTTGAAGCCATTCCAATACTCATTATTGCTGGTTTGATTAAGATTGTAGTATTCAATATCAATGGACTAATCAGGAACGAAAGTAGTATCTTTTATATTAGAGTGGCTGCTAAATTAAATCAAGAGGGTGGACTCTTATATTACAAATATACTACCAATATTTTAGATATTTTCACAATCTTATTAATATTCTATATCAACACTTTATATACAAAGGTTTGTATTAATTCAACCAAAAGAGAAAATCATAGAACCAATTTGAGGTTTTATAACTCTTTGATTCTTAAACGTTTCTCTTTTGAATTAATTAATAGATTCTTTCATTTATTTTATATTGCATTCATTGAATTCGATATTCCAACTCTAAGGAGTCTCTTAATTAAGTTGTTTGTAATGGATCAAATAAGAAGAGTCTTATTGGAATCTCTTTTACCCATGTTAATGAAGTAGAAATATGAAAAATAAAAGGAATAGTACTGCTTGAATTTATAAAAGAAGGAAGATATTAATGAAAAGATTGTTGATAGAATTGTAAGTCTTAATTTATCTATTATTTTAGGCAGAACTTGAATTGTGGGAATATGATGATTTCGATGATTATATAGAAGTTATATTTCAATATGGATACATAGTATTGTTTGCAGCTATTTTTCCTTTGGCTGCAGCTTTAACATATATTTTCAACTTTATTGAAATATGGAGTGACAAATTCAAATTAGCGTATAAATTTAAATTATATAAAGAAATAAATTATACTAAAGAAACTTACCTAAAAAGGCTTATAGTATAGGTGAATGGAGAACCGTTTTGATGACATTATCAGTGTTATCAATATACACAAATACAGCATTTATTGCTTTAGCTTATTTCAATGTATTCGATACTTGTTAAAAATCTGGATGCGATTGGGAAAACATTCTTCTTCTATTATTTATTATAGAACATTTTTCATTAGGTTTAAAATATATTGTATAATAAACAATCAATTCAAAACCTAAATGGGTTAGGATTGTATTGAGAAGAATGAAAAGGAAGAGAAGAAATTTTCATAATTGATATATATTTATTATATAATTTAATTATTAACGATAAATGGATGATCAACTTAGTACTTTAATATTAAGTCAAAAACATATTTAAGAATTATTCACTTTAAATTAGAGATTAGAAAAGAAATTAGAATTGTAGGATAACAAAATTTCATAAATTTAATTGTTGGTTGCTTAAAGAAATGAGGATTTGTTGTTGACCATAGAAAAATATACACCTCTTAAAATATTCAGAGAAGAAACAACCTATTTGAGGAATTTCTTAGAACAAAAAACTAAAGCCTTTTAAAATCAATTCGATTAATTACAATAGTATTAAATCTTCTAAAATATGAAAGATAATAAACAAGATAGATGTAAATTTTGAAGGAAGAAAATCAACAACATCATTAAACTGCAATAGAGAAAGTCTCAAGAACAACTAATACAGTTTTATTTCAGATGGAATAAATTGAAAAGAAAATTCATTCAGAAACTATAATAATGGTTGAAGAATTAACAAGGAAATCAGCTGAAATGGAATAAAATATTATGAAATTATTCTAACAAAAATAAAAACTATTAGAAAAATTAGCATTAAGTTAAGAAACATCAATTGCAAAAATAAATGTATTTGAAAATACATTAAATTAATAACTTACAACCATATCTAAAATACAATAAACAGCCTAAAAATAAACTCCAAATCATAGTGTTAGAAAATTAACTTTTGATAATGCTGAAGTCCCTATTGAATATTTAAAAAGATAAGAAGATGCTCTAAACTATATGACAGCAAGTATTAGAAATATTGAAAAAAAATTGGCAGAAACTGAATAAAAACCTAAATTAAAAAGAGAATTAAGTTTTGATTAATTTTAAGTTTAATGGTCATAACAAAAACCTAATCATTAATAACATTCTTCATTACCTGCTAGTTCAATTAAACCTATATTAATTAAAGAAGAATAAAACAGTGAATTGGCTTATAATAAATCATCAAGAAGTGAATATGAAAAATCTGCAAGAACTGAATTAGCATAAAATGTTGCAGACCCATTAACATCAGAATTAAAATCACCTGCTATGTAATAAAATAGAGACATTTCAAAAATGCCTCTATTAATAAAAACATCACCTAATCCAATTACAGCAAGTCCAATACCTAATTTTTATGATGATGTTAGAATGAAGTAAGAATATGAGAATAAAATGTAATAAATAAAAAGTTAAGAAGAATAACAAAGATAATCAAGAATTAAATAATAATAGGAATATGAGAAATAATTATAAAATTTAAAGAAATCTTAATCTTAAATATCAAATGATAGTTCAATGATAAAAAATGATAGTTATTTTTTTAAATAAGATCAATAACTCAATAGAAATGATAGTTAAGAAATAATTAAAGTATATAAAATTTATATTATAGTCTTAAGGTGGTTTAAGATCATTGATGTAAAAATCAAAAGAAAGAGATACATAATTATAAACATCTCAATCAAAATAAAATTTAAATCTTTCAAATTAATAGAAGAAATATTAATAATAATAATAATCTAAAGATCAATTAGGTCCACTTAAAAATTAAAATGTAGCAACAGGTGGTAGAAAATCTCGAAGTATATAATATACATTTAAATTTGTTAGCCAGTCAAATGAAAAATTTAGCTTAACAATAGAAATATCATTAAGATTAAAGTGCTGAAGAAATAGTTTATTAATTAGATGAAGATGGGTATCTTATGGATGAAAATGGAAATTATTTATTGGATGAAAAAGGAAATTATATATAAATATCTGATAAGGATTTAGAAGAATTAAAGAAATAGAACTTAGTTATTGAATAAGAATGATTCTATTATTTAGTTATTATTATATTTCCAATTATATTAAACATACTAATAAAGAGCATTTCATTTAATTATTGAAGATATTAATATTATGAATAAATTTTTAATTACATTAGCAAGAATACCAAAATGTCAACCAAGATTTGGATTTGCAGACGTTTTGAAAGATAAAGATAAAGGAGATGAGAAAGTATATTTTACTAAAGAAGATTGTATATAATTAACAAAATTTATTAGAAAAGTTAATGTAAAAGTTACTTAAGAAAATGAAAGAAAATAATGAAAAGCCAAAATCATCAGGAAGTAACGACAAAGAAGACAAGGAAGATTTGCAAGTATACATATTAAATTAATCTAGAAAATATTTTCCAGATATAGGATTAATTACACTGATGCATTGATTGAAGAAGTCTTAAATTGGAAGAGAGGAGATTGATATATAATAAATATAAAAAATATAAAGAATAATCATCTTCATTATCATTATTATAGATAGATATATAAGGTATTCAAAAATTATACACTTAATCTTCATCTTTCTTCCTACACTTAAATGATAACATATCTAAGTAAACTCTATAACGTATACACCATGATTTATTCAAAAGATTTCAAAAAATAACTATGTTTATATAGATTTTGATAATCATAATTTAATTTTCTTTTAAATATTATTATTTATGTATATGAGTGATTAATTATTTTGTGTTGATGAAAGATGCAACCTATCATAGAAATTAATATCTAAATGGATTCATTTCATTCAACATTAAGAATTAGAACATAAAATGTTAACAATACAATAATTTAAAGCATATTTGATTCAAAAAAAAATTAATAATGGACCTTAATTTTCAGATCAAAGAAAAAATTAATTCTTTTCTTAAGCAAAAGAAAATTTAAATGTATATTTTGATTAAATTGAAACCAGAATATAATAATTTGTTAAATAGGAATTTGAAGAAATATATTAGTAAATTATAATTTTTATTTAGTTTATGTTTAAAAGATATAGAAATACAAATTGATGATTGTATATAAAATGATATTATTGATTTGAATAATTTTGAAACATATTTCTAATTTGAAGAGTATTAAAGTAAATGCTTGAATTTTTATAACAATAATATCTAAATTTAAATTCAAGAAATAATTAATTAATTTTGTAGATAAAAGGATACTTAATTTGAAGATATTTTTAAATCCTTAACAAAATTATTTATTCATCAAAAAAATATGTTCATATAAATTGAAGAATCCAAAATTACCACTATTCAACCTTAAATTTAATAATAAAAAAAAGAAAATATAGAAGAATTCCAATCTTTAAAAGGGTATTAATAAATTGAAAAATTACAATAAAACTATTTTTAGAGTAAAGAATACACTTAAGAATCTAAACCAGAACCTCTCCTTTCTATAGGAGGATAGAAGTAAAAAGATTAAATCAACTAAGATTATTTTTAATTTAAAGAATATACTTAAGAATCTTATCTAGAATCTTCCAATTCTTTAAAAGGACATAAATAAATTGAAAAATTACAATAAGATTATTTTTAGAATAGAGACTACACTTAAGAATCTAATGCAGAATCTCTCCTTCCTTTAAAAGGATATAAATAAGTTGATTAAAAACAATAAGATTATTTTTAATATAAGGAATATACTTAAGCAGAACCATATAAATAAGTTGAAAAAATACAATAAGATTATTCTTAAAATAAGTAATATATTTAAGAATCTAAATCAGATCCAAAAATTACAAAGAATTAAACAATAATTTAGGATCCACAATAATAAAATAATAATTAAAGGCCAAAAAAGAAATTGAATGTCAATTAAAAATAAAATACAGGAAATTAGATTTAATAAACGTAAAATTAAATTTCATAAAATTAAAATGAAGCCAAAATTCCATTATTCAAATAAATAAATGGAAAGGTTGAATATTTTACTCCTTAATTAATGAATGGAGTTGTATAATTACTAGATAATTTCAAAACAGCAAAATCATAATCTGGATTTATTTTGTTTGATGGATTCTTTACAAAAAGTTCAACAATTAAATTAGAGTTACTAATTTTAGAAATTGATAAATAATCAGTATATAATATTTATTAATATAATAGGAAATAGAAATAGGTTTAGTTGATTGGAGTATCTTTAAACTTCCAAGAGAAACTGGAAAACCATAAAAAGGAGTTTATAGTTTGAATAACAAAGGATGTAAATTTTTAATTATAAATGAAAGGTGTTTTTAAAGATGGAAAATAAAAAAATAAAGACAAAATATTTAAAAATCAAACTAAACTTAAACTTAATATAATTAATAACTAACAATAATTTATAGGAGAAAAGACTGTAAATTTATTTTATATTAATATAGATTGGATTTGATATTTCTTAATTGAAAGGAAATCTATCATTATTTGCATTTTTACAAAATGGTTAAATTTAAATAGTCTCATGATGTTAAATAATCTATATTATATTAAATATAAAAATAATTTTGATTTCAATTATATTATAATAAATTGATCATTTAGATTAATCTAAAAGATAATAATAATGATTAAAACTTTAAATTATGAATGCACTATAAAATGAATATAATTCAATTTTCATAGTTTATAAATATAAACAATTTATTTATAATCATTTATTTATTTTATTAAAACTCTTGGTCTTTTGATTGAAGTTAGTAGATTATCAATTTCATCTTCTGTTTATTAATATCTTTTAATGCCAGACACAAATATTTAGATATTTTAGTTTTATTCATTGAAATATTTGATAGTCTCATATAGTGGTATAATAGATTGAGGCCAAAAAATAATATCAGCTCCAATTATAATATCAATATCTTTAAATAGTTTACTATTTTCATATCCCCATTAGAATAATGATCCTTAAACATTCTTTAATTTGAGATGTTCAATATTTTTAGTAATGAGATCTTAAACAATTTGGTTACCATCTGTAATGATTACATTTTTTGCATATTTTGCTGCAACAAAGCCACATAATCCTGCACCAGCTCCTAATTCAAGGACATTCTTTTCTTTAAATAATTGATTGTTATCTATAATAAATTTGGTTAATTCAATGGAAGCAGGCCAAATGATTTAACCAGTAAGATCGAAATCAGTTGATCCACTATTGAGTGAATAAAGTTATATTTGAACATCTTGATATTAAAAATCAGTTAAGGTATAATCATTTGGAATAAATATTTCACCAAGATTGATATCCATTAATTATGTATTAATAATAATAATAATAAGTGACTATTGAATTAGGTAATAAACGTAACTAGACAAGACTACTTGAGTCAATAAATGATCTTACAATGTAATAGCATTAATAGCTTTTAATAAATATATTATAATGTCCAATTTAAGAGAGAAAAGCAGAGATTATATAGTTAATGAGAATCATTATGTCGAAAGTTGATTTCTTCCATTAATTTTAAGTTGAGAATATAGATTATGAAGCATATGATTATTGTTTAAAGCATCTGACATTTGAAACCTTTTCTAAAGTAAAAAATTCATTATCTTTTATAGAATACAGTTATATTCGAGAAGGGAGAATAACCTCATAATATGTATGTAGTAATAAGAGGATAAGTTTCCCTTTACTCAAATGATCATTTAGTAGATTAAACAACAACAAGAAAGCATTCTGTAAGTGTAGACTATGGTAGAGAATCTCCTTATGTAAATAGAATCAAGTTTTCTGATTTTAAAGTGAAAAGGTATATATATATAAAATTATGTCTATTTTTAGTTTAGTTCGTTTAACTGAGTTCAAAGATTGGAAGACTTTTGGTGAATAAGCTATTTTAGATTAGAGACTACGAACTAATATTGCAGTTTGTGATATTGATTCTACATTGGCAATATTGAGTAGAGAAAATTATACTACAGCAGTTTAAATTTTAGAGAAAAAGAAAGAATAACATAGGATGAATAATTTTAAATTGAATCCAAGTTTTTAAGGTTTAAATAAGAAATTAATTAATTTAATGCTATTTACTTATTAATCATCTGATTATAAATTTAGAGATATTATTTATAAGTAAGGTTAAGTTGATTCTGATATTATATACATTATAAAATAAGGAGAATTTTTAATGTATTAGGAATAAAGAATGAATGAGTAATAGTAAAATAAAGTAAGAAAATAAATAGCAATAATGACAACTGGTGAAATGTTTGGAGATTATGAAGCATTTGAAAGAATACCTCGTTAATTTAATGTATAATGCAATTCACACACAGCAAGTTTAATAATAATTCCTTTATAATCATTATAATAAAAATTATCTTAATTTAATGAATAACATTATGTATAATAATTAAGATCTTTATGTTTAAGAAAACATAAATGGTATCATGATTTTAAAAGTAATATTGAATAAACTTAAGAAAAATATTAACATTTTTTAACTATTTAAGATTAAAAATAAAATAATAATAATTTAAGTAATTCCTCTAAAAAAATAGATTCACCTATTAAAACAAATAATGATATTAAATAAATGGCTGATACACTTATATGTATTAGTCCAATTACAGAATTAAAAAATACATTAAATTATCTTACATCATTAGATGATACTACTCCATAAATAAATGAATAATAATAAGTAGATTTTAATACAAGCATAAATATTTCAAAAATAAAAAATAAAAATACTATTTATGTTGCATCTCCTGATAAATTAAAACCATTACCAAAAATAAAATTAGTTTCTAATAGATAATAAGAAAGAAATTAATTATCTACACCAGAAAGATTCAATCAAGTAATAAGACATAAAATGACAATTTTAAAAAGAATGCATAATCTATCACCAGAAGATTCTGTAAATATTAATACTATGTAATAAAAAACAATATATGTTTAATTACCAAAGTAAGTTAAATTAGAATAAAATATTGAGAAATAATGGCCAATTAAAGCTACTCTTTATTTAAATGATTTAGATGATAGAATAAGATATCATAGTAATAATTCAAAGATGTAAAATTGTAATAGTAGTCGTGACTCTAGTGTTGTTTATGAATAATTAAGTTTAAGAATGGATGGTAGTGAATAAAATTCACAAAGAACAAGTAGGATGGGCATATTAAATAATATATTATAACATTCGGTAACAAAGAGAGGTAAAAATAAAAAGAAAAGAGCTTTGACTTTAAAATATAGGGAGTATTTGGAATCACAATTTTAACAAAAAACTTAAAATTCATTGCTATATTCTTGATGATTATATCATGATTCAGTTTTATAAATTGATGAAATGAAATATGCTTTTTCTTTCTGTTTCTATTCTTAACATTAATTGGTTTATAATTAATATTATCAAATTTATAATATTGATTCTGTTTTTTTTTCATTTAATCTATTTTTCAATTAAATTAATTGAACAAAATATTTAAAAATCACAAATTTTTATTTAAAGAAATCAATATTAATATATATTAATTAATATTATGATAGTAATGAACTTTCAATATTTTATATATATATATTTATAATTTGTTTAAAATGTTAATAATTACAATATTTTATAATCAATTTAATATTTCTAATAACTTTTATAATGAATATCTATTTTCATATTCTTTAGTTGCTCCTTAATAGAATTCTTAAGGACAACTATCTATTTCAGATGCAATAATTCCTAACGAATAGATATCTACTTTATCTTATTCAACATCATTTTCTGGGTAATATTTATTTGTTAATCCTTTTCCTCTTAACCATTTTTATAATTTAGGTACCCAAAAATAAGAACAATCAAAATCAATGATTACAGGATTACCATTTTACATTAAAATATTATTAGGTTTAAGATCTCTATGAATAATTTAATTATTATTAAGAGTCTTAATTGATAGAGTCAAATCTTTTAATTATTTGATATTCATCTTTGCTAAAGGTTCATAATATGGAAAGATCATATAAAATTTTAGATTACTTGCATATGCTTAACAGATATTAAATTAATATTATAAAGAGATTAAATGAGCAAATCCTCTATTATTTAAATTATTTACAACTATCTATGCTAAAATTTCTATCAAAATATCTTTAAGTTTATTTTTTAATTTATCTAATTGTATTTCAGTAACCTCTTTTATTTTCATTACTACCTTTTCATTATCATTAATAAACAAAATAACATTATCTTAAATTCTTTCATTCTTTGGATATCTATTTTAAAATTTATTTGAATCAAATTATTCTACATTTTTAAAATCATCTTCTATTCTTTCTATTAATTCAGTTATCTCTTAATCATTTAAGATTTATAATAATTCTTATAAAGTATAATTCATATAATCTTGAACTAATGAATAGGTTCTAGAACACTAAGATAATGATTTTGATTCTACTAAATAATTAAAACTCTTTTTTTATTCTGATTAAAATGATTATCTTTAATATTCTATATATAATGTATTTCTTCGAGACTAAATTAATATAAGTCTATCGAAATCAATTTATTTGATAATTTCATTAATATTATCTTTAAATAATCCTGAATTAATAACTTATAAATCTTCTCTTGATTATTAAACTAATTTTAATAGATGAGATGTGCATAAATCCTTAAATACTGGATCTAATGCAGCCTTCTTTAAATATTCAACACCTTCTCTATATCTTCCATCTTACAAATACCTAACACCTATAATGTATTATGCTTCTTTAGAATTAGATATAGGTAAGACAAGTTCTAACAGTGTTTCTTCTCTATTTTATTATATTGAACATCTATAATTATCTATTATTCTTTTAAATGATAAAGATTCCTCATTATTATATTTTTTCCTATTTTCTTTCTTTGATTTTTCATACTATATTAAACGATTGTTACATTAATCATACATTGATATATATTGATAAAAATGACACATTAGTAAATTTTCATAGCAATCTTATGGAAATGGAAATTAATCAATTACATTATGTAAAGTACTATATAATTTATAATCAATATATCTTATAAACTACTCCAACATATCCTACTATTCATAATAATATTTTGAACTTAATTGATCATTCCTTATATGACATACAAGATTTAAATAAAATTGTAGAATTTAGAAATAAGAATTCAATTTAAATTAATATTCAATCTTCTATTTTATAATAGCTTTAGGAATATCTTTATCCTTCAATTCAATTACATTAGAAATTTATTTTATATCATCATTAGGAATTTAAATACTACTCAAATTACTTCTAACTATTTTTGATAGATGTTTTAAAAACTAATCACATTTTCTATATCTCTATGAATCATTATATCTTGAAATATCATCTAAATATTTCTTAAAATAATTAATAAAGATATTAATATGATAAGGCATACCAATTTCATCAGATTATAATTCCTTTACTATTTCAATAGCTTTATCTGATTTCTATAGAAATAAGGATAAGATCATTATTTTATATTTTAATTTCTAACTAAACTTCCTCTTATCTTTACTTTCAATATATATTTAATTATTATTCTTTAACTTTTCATAAGCTTTCAAATAATTTTAATAGCCTTCATTAAATTATCCCAAATAAAGACATATCTTAGCAATCTGATCATATAAGAATGGAAGATATGCATTAAAATTAAATTACTTTTGAAAGACTATTGTAACTTTTCTAAAGAAACTAAATATCACTAAAGACAACCAATATTCTTTAAATCTTTTTAAACCTTTTCCAAGTTTAAGTACACAAATAAGATAGGAATCATCATATTATTTATTTAAATAATATACTAAACTAGTAATATGAGAAAGTCTTTATTCTCCATTTAATTTATTAAAAAATATTTCCCATAATTTTGTAGATTAAGATAATCCAGTAAACAAGATGGCACCAATTTGATTAATATGTGTGTCATCTTATAGAAATCTCTAATATATTGGAGTAAATAAAGCATCTTCAGTGAAATTACCACTTAAACATGCTAATTGTACTTAAGATCTATGTAATTTATATTTTCTATCTTATGTTAATTATAGAGAATTTTCGTTGAATGTTTAAATAGAACATTAAAAACTTTCAATACTTTATAGTATTTATTAACATCTTTATAGCATAAACTATTTAATTTTAGGATTATCAATAGTTTCAAGCTTTTGGTAACTTGATTTTAGTATATTAAGAAGTCCATCACATACATCATTAAAATATTTGTTATTAAATCTTGAATATACAGGTATCTACCTATTGAAAATAGATTAAGTGAACTAATTTATTTTATCAAAGATCTCAAAATGCTCATTTGCTTCAGGAAATTAGTTCTCTATTAATAATTAACAACCTTATATAAAAAAATCAAATCCATATAGAACATCAATGTCAATAGGAAATGCTTGATTAAAATGATCATAATGATGAAACTAAAGATTTTGTATACATTTTTGTTTTGTCATAAAATTTTAATCTTCTATTGTGAATTTATACACATATATGATAGGGTTAAGTACATATTCTAAAAAAGTGGATGATAGATTAGAATCTGCAAATTAAATCATGCTAATAGTCTGACAATATTGTGATTAATTGCATAATGGACAGAGATAGTGTAATTATTGCATTTATTTAATATTTAATAGTGCCTTATAAAATAACCTATAAAGAAGATAAAAATTGTTATCATGTAAGTTGAATCGATTCAATTTTTTCAATGATTTTCTCATTTTATGTTTCCTAAATGATTTGAATTAGTTAATTAAACTTCTATTAGTTCAAATGAGCCAATTTCTCTTGATCCATTTAAGCCAATCTCAAAACTTGATTTTCTTTAGCTAAACTCTTATACATTTCCTATAAATTATCTCTAAATAAATAAATATAATCTTAAATTACCTTGTAAATATAGATGAAGGATGTATCCCATAAACATCATTATATTCAGGAGAATAATTAAGAAAATATTCTTACCAGAATTTCACAGATTTCCCTGTAAATTATTCAGGAATAATAACTTCTTATTCAATTGAAGCAGGATTCAAATAAAATGCATTTTTATATTTATCTTTATATTTCATCATCCAAGACCAAATGGATACTGTTGATTCCATTACTTTTTATTTTTGAATTTCCTAAAATTAATTCATAAAATGAGAATCAATACCAAATAAGAGTCACATATGAAATTTCCAAAAAGAGAAGACATATTATGATATGCTAAATCTAGTAATAATTTAACATTAAATTCGAAAGATAATGGATATAATTATTACATTTAATAAACACAATCTAAAAACTAAAAGAATATTGGTGATCGACAATCATCACTATGTTATTTATTACCAATTGCAGATCTCTAACAAAATTAATGTCCATTATTAATCCATTCCTTTTATATTAATATCATAAATCCATCAAATGTTCTGTAATATCCATCTATCATTATCTATACTAATGATATTAATTAAGGTGTTTTATCCCATCCATCATTACAATGAACTAACACATTCAATTTCTCTCTTGTTAAACTTAATGCTATTCTAACAGCACCTTATATAAGAGATACTATATGTTCATACCAAATAGATATTTCTAATTATGAAATAAATTAAATAGTCTCACTATTATAATTATACAAACTTTTTACCTAAATGAATTTTTCAATAACTTCATTTAAGATTCTCTAACTTTATGTATACTCTATATTTCTAGAAATTCAAGACTGCAACTTTTATAATAAATTGGAATCTCAAAACCCTTACCAGCAACTTATTATCCTATAGAATTAACATCTGAACGAGCATCATATATTTTTAATCGAATTTCTTCTTATTAATTATCTTGTTCATCAACCATTTATTAAGACATCTATTTTAAATATAATTCATCTTCTAATGATCTTATTTAACCTATTCCTATTCTACATTATGCACTTCTCCACAATGACACAATCTTTCCATTTACTTAAAATGCATATGATAAAATTGGTATTCTCTCCTTTGATCTAAATTTAGCTGTCTTCTATATACAATCCATATCAACTTTAGAAGGTACAATTAATCTATTGTAATATGTTGCACATATCTATCCACCTTCATTATTCAAATATTTAAATAATCCATTAATTTATTATTGCTGATTTTCTTATTATACTATAATTCCCATTCTCTCAAAGTCTTTTTCAATATTATATATTTTCCATCCTTAAAATTCATTCTCCAAATTCTACATTTCTTTATAATATGTAAATGCAAATAATGTTGTCTTCTATAAAGTATAAGCATTTTTATTAATCAAATTAAATAGACATGCACAATCATCACTTTGCTCTCTCTAAAATCTATATCTAAAGTATCTACCATCTTTTGATGATATCTCAATTAAATTTGAATCATTTTACTTCTTATCAATAGTTCTATCCACTTTTATCAAAAATGTATAAGGTACTTAAAAGTAATTCTTTTTGAACTCCATAGGAAATCTTTAAGGCAAGAAAACAATCTTTTATTAATAAAAATATTACCTAATAATTTGTAGCTACCAATAATCCCTAGAATTGTTATACACCATTATAACACACAACATTTACCTATTATAATGCTACTTCTCCGGCTTATACAAAATCTAATCCTAATTAATTTAAGTCTTTTGTTTAATTTATAGGTAAAACATTTGTCTCTTGATTTGATTATTCATCAACTTATTTTATAACATTGGATTATTAGGGCTGGTTAGAAGTATTTCTAAAAAATAATTTCTATTATTTTATTATTCATTACTCTTGGAGCGTCTGACATTAAACAGATTATTAATAATCTTAACTAATATATTTATTAAAGTATAATTAACAACAATTAAAAACTTTTTTTATTATATAAAATCATTAATAATTTATTTAATCTATTATTGTTTTACTCATATTTCTACATAGACTTTTGATATTATAATTATTCTTATTAAAATGATAATTCAAAATAATTATATTGATTTAAATGTTATTATTGAATAATTTTATGATAATATACACACACTAGAGAATATTAATTAATAATTTTTTAATTAAATAGTAAACTTTAATCTCTTTAAAGAGTAATTTCTAAATCATAAATTAATTAACTGAATATTATATTTCAAAAATAATTCTTTAAAATAAGTTGTTGAGTATTATTTATTAGTTATAAATTAATTAATAATATTACTCACTTTCTTCATAAAATCAATTTAGAAACATTAATTTTATTATCCAGTTTTAATAATTTTATTTGAATGATTAACAAAATTATATATTTTTATTAAATATTTTTATATTAAAATGAAAGGAAGAAAAAACTCATAAAGTGGGAAAGTTAGTGTAAGTATATAAAATAAGATAGGAAAGAAGCAGTAGAAGATAATTGGAAAATGAATAATTGGTTAAGAAACCGGAGTTTTTGAAAGCAGCAACTTTAGGATAAATATTTTTAGTTTGTACTCAACAATTGGGAGGATTAGAGGATGGTAAGTGAAATAAATACAATATAGGAAAAATCACTAAGCTGTAATTTAGAAAGTTTCTGATGACTGAATAGATTTGTTTTGTTTTCAATTTAATGGGTTTAGGTTTGAGTGTAATGCAATATGATTTAGAATTTGAAGAAGAGGATGAGGATGTACTTAGTATAATATAGTAATTAGATTTCAAGTTGGTTATTATGGATCATATTTATCTCTACATTGGCATTATTAGTTTTAACAGTCTTACGTTATTAATAACATATGAATTGGTTAAAATCAAGAAAACAAATTAGTTAAAATGATAAAATATGGTAAACTGAATAATGGTATCCAATGCTTATAGAATTGATTATTTATTGTATAGTTCCTTATCCTTTTACTATTGGGATGAGAGTATACTTTTACAATAGTTTTCAAGATGCAATGGCTTATTATCATGTCAATGAAATTCTTGCATTGATTATGATAACCAGAACAGTGTTTATATTCAGAACTATTTTGGCATAGACATTTTGGTACAGTAACAGAACTCAAAGAGTATGCAATCTATATGCATGTGAAGGTAATTATATGTTTGTGGCAAAATCATTAATGAGAACTTCCCCATACACTTCATAATTCATAGCTCTTGTGTCTTTGATTGGTATATTTGGTTATGGAATAAGAATATGTGAAAATCCATTGGCTAGGAATGACCCAGCTAATAATAATTTAGGTAGATATGCTAATGCTTTATGGAATATTATTATTACAATAACAACAGTAGGATATGGAGATTTCTATACAAGAACAGATTTAGGAAGATTTGTTATCTTTGTTGTTTGTATTTTAGGAATATTTGTAATATCTGTTATGGTTGTAACTCTTATTAATTCTTTGGTTATTTCAACTTTAGAATCACATGCAATAACTGTATTAGAGAGAATTCAATTAAGATAGAACTTAACAGAATCAGCATCATAAGTAGTGCTATATTCACTAAAAATCTATGTTGCACTAAAGTACAATTATATTTTTATAATTTAGAAAGGGAAACTTAAGTAAAGTCTAACTTAAAATATTATTGATTAAATTAAGGAAGAATTTGAATGATTTTAAAATTTCAAGAAGATAATATAGAAATAAATAAGATGTAGGTAATATGAATGAAGAAATTACTAATTAATTTAGTCTCTTAAAATCAGATTTTAGTGAAGTTATTGAAAAATAAAAAGGATTATTGTTATAAAATTAAGATATAATGAATAAATTAGGAGTAGAGGCTAAACCCTATATATCAAGTCCTTAATTATGATCTATATATATATATATATATTAATAATAATAATAATTATTATTATTTCTATGTCAAATAAAATATTTTTACAAATCCCAATAACTTCATTTAACTATTTTTAAATACAATCCAAATTTTTAAACAAAAACAAAAATCAGATTGAATTACTTTGTTATGAAAATCAATTATATAGAAAGGTATTTTCTAATTATTTACTAAGTCATAAAAATCCCTTAAATATGCCATTCTAAATAGTACTCTCAGATTTTAAATTAAGCATGAACAAGCTTCTATCATATTAAGATTAGAGAAAGATGAATGCAATTTCAAAGAATATGTATTTCTTGATAAAGCTGAGCCTTGGGAAAAGAAATTAAAATCTAAAATACCTTAATTGGATTATCAAACCTATTATGAATTGGAAAAATTAGTTGGTAATGGTAGTTTTGCTTCTGTATATATTGCTAAGAAGAAATTAGATGGTTCTAAAGTGGCTATTAAGGCATTTCTTAAGAAAATGTTAATACAAAAAAATCCAAATTCATGGAGAGTATTATTTGTATTCTAATTTTAGTTAACAATAGAAAATGAGATAAAGGTAATGAAATCATTAGATCATCCAAGTATTCTTAAATTTTATGATCACTTTGAAAATAGGGCTTAATCATATATTGTGATGAGTCTGGCAAGAGGAGGAACTCTTGAATAAGGATTAAAGAAATTAGAAGAACCTTTACCATTTTTAACTGTTAAAGTTATTTTTAGGTAAATTGTAGATGCAATTAAATATATTCATTAATGTGGATTTATACATAGAGATTTGAAACCAAGTAATATTTTGTTGAAAAAACCAATGGCTTTAAAATAATTTTCTCTTATAGCCTAATAAGAACCTAATATAGTTGTAAGTGACTTTGGGGTGAGTTCAGAAATAAAAGATGATATGGATATAGGTAAATATTGTGGTTCTGTTGGATTCATGGCACCTGAAATATTTATATGTGAAGAAGATAAGAATGCTACGTATAATGAAAAATGTGATATCTTTAGTCTTGGTTGTATTCTTTATAGATTGTAATGATTTAATATAAATTAGAATTACTAATAAACCATTATTTAATGCTTAAAATTAAATTGCTTTGAAATAGTTGAATAAGGAATGTAATTTTGATTGGAATAAAATTAATGAAGAATTATATAATAGTAAATAGTTGACACATTTATTGAAGAAAATGTTGTCTATAGATCCAAATAAAAGGCCAACATGTTCAGATATACTTAAAGCCAAGATCTTAGATGTAGAATATGATAATGAAGGATGTCCCTTATTTATTAATTACAAGAACCCTAAATCTTAATCTATTTAATAAGTAAAAACCTCTAGACCTTCTATAAAATCAATAAGTAACAATAGATTACCATTGGTATCTTCTAATCTCTATTATAATATCCAATAACATAAAAATCCTTAGACCAAAAGATCAGGAAATCTTTTATTACCTTCTATCAATAAGAGATTACAAACGGAATAATGTTAATATTGATAATACTCTATATTGTAACAAAATTTTCAACAATGTGAAAGTATAAAAATCAGTAAACTTAAGTTGTAGTTGGTCTATCTAATTCTTTATACAATCCTTATTATTATAGTCTGACCTCTTTATTTTTGATACTATTATATTTCAATTTCTAATTATGTTATTACAAAAGATTACTTAATTCTCATTTATTAAAAGAGTCTCAGATCCAATAATACTTTCTCTAATTTCTACAGTTCCTATTTAATCAATCAATCTTTCATCTCTTGTAAACAAAACAGTAGTTTTATTATTGCCCATTATTCCTCTTACAGTTTAGGTTAAAGTAGATAAATTCAAATAGCCCTTATAATAATAAATGAATTAATTTACTTGATACATAATATTATCATCAATTGAGATTTCACATTCCTTTACTCCTCTGACAGGTGTTTTACTATAATTGTAAAATGATATGGCAGATATTTATTAAGGAGTATCAAATAGTAATATTAATTTGTTGACTTAATAACTAATTTGATCAAAAATACTCGAATTTATATTCGTTTTTAATCTATCTGTATATGAATTAACGAAAGGAGATAACCACATTTACTTAGCATCTAAAGTAATATTAACATTATTTAATAATTTATCTGGAGTTCGAACATCCATTTCCATTTAAGGTAATTCTTTAACTGAAAATGGTTTTGCAAATAATTTTGGATAAAGCTATTCTCCATTAGGATCAAATATTTCAATTCCATTCAATCCAATATAATGTAAGTCACCCCAAGTAGATAACAATTTAATAACTAATTTTGTGCCTTAAGGTAATTGTGTAGTTTCATAATCTTAATATATATTTCTTTCAAATTAGTAATTTACCATAACTGTATCTATTCTTTTTTAATATGGTAATTCAATTAATTGAGGTTCATTAACATCACTTAATCCATGTCCTTTTCTCAAATAGATACCTTACTTAGTATTTAGAATTTGATTATCTCCTTTTATGTTAATCATTTATACTCCTTTTTCTAATTCATCCTCTTTATTATAATTCCAAATTGCAACTCTACTAATTTAAGTTGGTTAAATAAAAACAAATTAAATCTTTATTTTTCCATTATTTAATTACCATCTTTCATCACTATTTACAACAGTCTCAGATTAAGAAGTAATAACTTTATATTTCTTTATTTTCATTGATTATCCAAATTTATCATGAATATCAATTTTATCAAGTCCAATAAATTTATCACCCCAATTTCTTATTAAATATAATGTTAATACTTTTATATTTACTGTTGGTAAAGTTTTAACATTAATTTAATTTTGAGATGAGAATAATCTTTTAGGATGTTATTGTAATTTAGATTCAGATTCCTATCTTATTATTTATGGAATTGAATCTGATTTTTAATGTTAATAATCTTTATTAAATTAAGAATTAAGATTATTATTTGCAAACTTTTAAGCTGTAATTTCACCTTTTGGTTTATTAAATGTTGCTGTATCTGGTCTACTTAATTTGACAGTATTTTCTAGAATATGTTTCTACTATTATATTTAACTCTCATGTAATTTATTAAGCCAATCCTATTCTTAAATTTTTTCCATAATCTATGGATTATTAGTAAACATTATATATTCAGCATTATCTATACCACATGTACCATTAGCTTATTTAATTTCTCCACTAAATATTGAATCTGTATCCAATACTATTTCAATATTACGAACACATTTAGCTCTATATGTTCTACCTTTATTATAATTCCAAATTCTAATCATTGATAATTTAGTCTCATTAAACTTTATTGTAATTTCCATACTTTTATCTATTCTTTCTATACACATATTTTTATCATCTTAAGTTAAATAATTATCATCAAATAAAACAGCAGCATTTCTGAAAAATCCAGATACTGAATTTATTTTAACTTTTTTTCCATTATAATCAAAGATTTCAATACCTGTTAATCCAATTGAATAAAGATCTCCCCAATTTTTTAGAAATTTAATAATTAATTTAGATCCAAAAGGACATTCAGGAATTGATATATTTTTAGTACGAGTAGATATAGTTCCTGCTGCAATATGAGCAACTCCTCTTTTAAAATTTAGTTATGGACTAGTTGAATCATCTTCAGTCAATTATTTTTAAGAGAATAAATTAATAGATTTCTTGAAGAATCTCTATTAATGAATAGTTTATTTTGTTTTGACTGAAGATGGTTCTTATTTTTATTCAAATTTTTTAAATTTCTTATCATCATCAAAAGGATCAAATATTAATTTAGGTTTTGCATGTTTTTATTAACTAGAAGCTTTGGATAAATTAATTCTAAATATAAATATAATTATTATTACTCTTTATTTTCATCAGATTTCTTAGAATTAATGGATTGGGATGATTAATTGAATGGTTGAGTAGAATCATTTTGATTCTTATTAATTCTAATTTCATTTTCTTTTATTGTATTAATAATTTATTAAGGTTATGATTCTAATTCAATAGTTTAAGCATATTCTGAAAATGTATTGGCTACTCCTCTAGCTATTTAACCTGACCATAATATTTAATCATTCTAAAGGATTTCTAATTCACAAACACACTTATCCAACTCTTTTCTATTTTTATTAAAATTCCATATTTTAACAGATGTAAGAAATTCAGATTCTTCTTAAAGTAGATAACATATTGTAATTGTGATTGGGAATTATTTAAAATTAGTAATCCACATCTATTCAGGATATATAGTTAAATTGTGTCCATTGATCAAATTATTAATAGTTTTATGTGAATCATCATCAGAATATATGCAGTTAATTTTGACATATTTTCTGTTATTATTAAACAATTCAATACTAGTTAATCCAACCTATGTTTTATTACCATAGTTCGAATGGATTTTAAGATGTATTCTTTTACTTTTGAAGAAAGAGATAAGTTCTTCATGTTTAGGTTAACCATTTTCAATGGATGCTAGAATTTGTAGTACCAATTCTTATTCATATTGTGGGAGTTTTTGTATTCTATTAAGTTCTTGTTAGTATGAAAAAAGAATACCTTGTTTCCAGATTATTTAAAATTTATCTCTCTACGTTAGATGTTGGAATTGTTTTTTATTAGGCAATGTAGGTTCTAGGTTTAATTAAAGGTTTCTAATTAAAATATCAAGTAGTTCTTACATGTAGTTTTTCACCATCTCTTATTGATCTATTGAGAATACCTGCCTATTTACCATCTAAAGATTTCATAAATGATAGGATTGTATTATCTGGATTCATTTCTTGCTGAACCAGAGGTGGCTTAGTAATTGTTCTTGCAGTACTTGAGATCTGTTGAATTGGTTTTGAACTGTTATTACGTGGAGTAGCCTATTTTTCGAGAGGCAGTCTTTAAACACTCATATTTTATTATTTATTAACTAAGTATTGGGATTTTTACATTACCAAATTTTAATTAATGGGTGAGATTGTGTCTAATCAGCTGTTCGTAGCTGGATATAGTCGAAGTAAGGTGGCTGATGAGAAAGATGTGAGAGAAATCTTTAGAAAGTATGGGTCAGTAAAAGAAGTGGCATACAAGGGTTCTTACTCTTTTATAGTAACTCTTTTCAATTTAAGTTCATTAGACTTTCGGTAATGAAGATGAAGCAAAGGAGGCTCTTACAGAAATGAATGGGGCATCTCACAATGGATAGAAATTAAAAGTGGATGTTGTTGACAATCGTAAATAGAGAAGAATAGGACCTAATGAAAGTGATGAATGCTTTAAATGTGGAAAAGGAGGACACTGGTATTTAGTTCATTTATTCTTAATAGGGCCAGAGATTGTCCTAAAGGAAGATCTCCTCATAGAAGTAGAAGATACTCAAATTCTAGATCTAGGTTGTTAAGACATTCTATTATAGACATCACAAAAGAAGATCTGGTTCAAGATCCCGTTCTTCTTATTCATCCTCACGTTCCAGAAGAAGAAACAGAGATCACCGTAATAGACATAGGTATAGCAATAGTCCAAAGAGGGGTGAAGAATAAAAAAAGGGAAATTACAACAAGAGAAGATCACCTTCAGACTCTTAACATCATTCCACATCTTGAATAAACATGGGCAAAAACAAAAACACATTTTATTATTCAACATTATTCTAATTTAAAAAATAAGCTCTTTTTCCGAATTGATTTACAATATTCCCTGAACATATATAATAATAATCATTCATCAAATTTTGCTCACTAATTTATTTGTTAATTCTCTTACTTTCTTAAGCACCCATTCTTGAAATCTATGATAATTCCTCACTAACTTCTAAAAAGTGTGAAAATGCAAATGGAGCAATTAAAAATATTAATCCTTATTTCTTTATTACAATTTTATACCTGTTGTTCCAACCCATAAAAATCTTCTTGATTATTTATATAAATATCTTGGATTCAACCATCCTGTTTAGAAAAATCTAATTAACTTTCCCCATAATCCCTTGGCAGGCTTCTATTAGTTTTGGCTTTAAGAAGCATTTGATCTATTTCCAACACCATATCTAGATGAATTCATTAAAATATTTAATTATTTATTGCCTTAATTATTTTTAATTAATCTTTACTTTTTATTAAAAAAATTAAGAAAAAAACTCCGAAAAGGCGGATTTGAACCACCGACCTGGGGATAACTGGATAACACTACAGTCCCTCGCTCTACCAACTGAGCTATTTTCGGATGTTAACATTTCCATCCCATTTCTATTTATTACTATCAAGACAATTTATTAAGTTCAAATATTATTATGCAAATCATTTTAGGATTATAAAATTCTATTAGCATTAATAAGATAATTGATTATTTATATGATCAAGGTAATCACTATTGTTTAAAAGCATCATGGCAATTTTATAAATTTTTAAATGAAATCTCAAATACTGAATTTTAAGAGTGTTCTATATTTTGAATTAAATCAGATTCCTTAATTAAATCAATCAAAGACTGATCATTATGATGATATTATTAAAATGATTGATTACTTTTTGTTCTTGTATGTTATGCCTATGGAGTAATTGAACTACTAATTAGAACTTTAAATATCTACAATAATAAATGATAAATACCTTAATACATTCCATATTCTCTTCTCCTAATATTTCATTAACCAATTCTTTCTCTTAATCTAACATCTTAATAGGATTATTAGATGATTCTAGAAGTGTCTTCATTTATTGAAATTTCTCTTCTCCTATCTTTCTCTTAAGGAAATCTGTTAATAAAATAGATCTCTAAGGAGAAGTAGGAGCATTAGGATTTAAGAACTAGCCTGCAAATGAAAATGTTTTAGGATTCTTTAGTAATGTTGGTTGATTTTCATTTTCATATTCATTTAAGCCTCTTTTAGTTGTTTCATCAATTTGAGTATTGATTGATATTGATTTTTAATATCTTAATTATTTTTAAGCCATAACAGCAGAATTTTATTAAATGGATTCATTGATAACATCAGGAAGAGTATGCAAATTAAATGATAATGGTTTATTCTTATTTGCATTATCAGCAGTAGCTAATTATTTAAATGTAGGTGAATTCTAATTTGAAGTATCTTAAATTAATTATTGTAAAGAGACTTTTCTTTTTTTCTAATTACAAACCTATGGTGATTATTATTATTATTATTATTATTATTGTTATTATTGTAATTATTTAGATTATTCAACAAGAAAATGAATAGAATTTTTATGCATTTTCTTTTATGAAGATTTATTGGATTGCATAGGTGAAACAGGTAATATGTAATTAAATTAAGTCTTATAAAGTCCTTGTAGCTTATATAATTCTGATTAAATTTATGGATATTAAATAATAGTCGAGATATCAGGTCTTTTTTCTGGATTCTTTTCTAACATTTCATCTATTAATTATGAAATGAAATCTGAATAATTTCTATGAATCTTAGGATGAGGTTCATTAATAATCTTAAAAGCTATTTCACTAATAGATTCTCCTTTAAATGGTTTTTGGAGAGAACACAATTCGTATAGTGTGCATCCTAGCATCCAGATATCTATTTTATGATTATATTATTGATTTTAACAGATTTCAGGAGAGAGATAGAATGGAGTTCCTTTGATATAAAAATAGTATAATACCAATTGATGTTTAAGCTAGATCTAAGGTATTGTCTAATGTTCTAGATATTCCAAAATCTCCCAATTTGACCTTTAAATTAAATAAGAAATGTTACAATTCCATTGGTACAGAGGAAGATGTTTTATAATTTGATATCTCTATGTATTATCTTCAATTAATGGAGGTATTGAATAGCTATGGAGATCTAAGAAAACCAGCCAAGAATCTATAATATTGCATAAATCAAATACTAAACTGTATTTTCATCTATGTATGTTTATGTTTGTTTAGCTTAATTGGTCATCATACTAAGATCAGCTATAAGAATTTTATTAGAATTTGATACCATTTTCAGCATATTCCATTACAATACATAATTTATTATTATGAGTAAAGGAATCATAATGCGAAATAATGTTAGGATGATCTAGACTGCGTAACAATTTAACTTCATTAAGTGGATCAACAACATAGCTTTCTCTAAAACTTAAATCTACTCTCTTTATAGCAAATAACTGAAAGGATAAATAATAAGAGTACCTTATCATCTGATTTTCTTTGCACTAACAATACATCTCCATAATTGCCTTTGCCTATTTTCTTGATTCTTTTAAATTGATCCATGGACTATGAAAAATTCGTTAATAATAATAATTATTCAATTTCCCACAAAATTTATATTTAACATAATTATATAGATTATGTAGATATCAAAATGTAATTTTCAACCTAACTATTATCTACAAATTGGACAACTAGTTGATACCTATTTTAATTAAGATTAAATATTTACATTAAACCAATTCCTAATACATCCTTCATGAAATTAGTGTTATCCACTGCAAGGTAATTGTAATATGCTTTCTTATTGAACATATTCCTACATACATATACAACAAGTCTTATCCTCTTTTACCCAAGTATCATCTAAACCTGTGTATTTATGAGGAGGTATCGAATCCAATTATTTCTTTAATCTACGAATGGAATATAATTATTTCCCTTTCCTATATATTGATAAACAACAAAGTAATCTAAATTATTATTGAATATATATATATATACGGTAATGCAATCACCAACATAAACACCAAACAATATAGAAAAATGAACTCTAGAAACATCGATAAAACCACTATAAACATTACATTCAATAAATCTGCATCACAAGTCTCTTCAAAGTATTGAAACATATTAAAATTAAATGGTGAATTCAACATCAATATAAAAAACCTAATTATAATCACCTAAGCTAAAAAGTTCAAATATTTTTATTCTCTCTATTTAAATATTACTACCAATTACATTCAAATCAGGACATTAAGAAAATATTAATTTCTTTACAGTCATCATCAATTTATTAAATGATTGTCTATCTAGAATCTATTCTAAATTCATTCCTTATTATTCCAAAGCAAATTGAATTAAATTCAATTTGTCAACATTTTCTAATTCCATCTTGTACTTGAACTCGTGGTATAACAGGAAAATACAGTGCAATATTACTGTCATAGCTGTTGAATGTGATTCTGAAAGCTCACATTTTAAAGCATCTCCTAAAAATATTAATGCAATCAACAATTTTGATATTGTAAAATAAATGTAAATCTAAACATTCCTTGACAATTAGCTAAACACTTCTCTTAAAACAATTGGGTAAATTCCATATCTTTCTCTTGAATGAGGAATTAATAAATATTTTATATTTTCCAACATTTTATATATAATTAACAATCATATATATAATTATTTATACTTCTCATTTACAATATGTTAAGTGATAATAAATTAATATTATGCTTCCTTTATTGAATTCATGAATTAATTAAAATATAAAAAATACTGTTATCATAGAATTAATCTCATTTTTTTCATTATAGAATATTTATGCATAAAAGTGTAATATTAATTATAATCATGCTTTTAATATTGTATATAGAATATATAAATTAAATATATAATAGACTATTAATTTTTGAATGAAAGCAGAACTATTTCTAAGTAAACTTATTTTGAATGAAGACAAAATAAAAATATTTTATATTAAAATCCTATCTCTCAAAGAATTGTTATTAAATTTACATGTATCCATTTTTAAGAAAATTAATTTGACAATAAATTGAATTATTCAATAACAACAAAATAAATTTAGAATATAATTATGTAAATTTTGTAATGATAACATAAGATTTAATTGAATTAATTTAAATATAAAAAAACAGAGTAATACTTAACATTAACATTGCATGTTAAATTGATGTACATATATTTATGTGTTTAACAATAGTATATTTATTTATGAATTGAATTCAAGAATATATAGTATTGATAGTTTTGCTGTCATATATCGAAGTATTGAAAATTAGGATTGTTACAATTTAATAACAAAATATATGAAAATTTAAAGGAACAATATTACCATCTGGCACAGTTAATAAGTTGAAAAAATTACACTTAATAATTTATATTTTGAGGCAATTATGAATTAAATTATTCAGAAATTATATGAGTGTATCATAGATATTAATATGACAGAGATATATTAAGAAACAATACCTATTAATTATGATAAGTCTTTGTGTAATATAAGTTAATCAATAAACTAATAAAAAATAAAGATGTTGATGATTTATCTTTATTTCGTTTTTGTTTTAAGGATATTTATTAATTAATGTCATATACATCAAGATATTCATCAGCAAGACCATAGACTGTTAAAAGTACGATAGAGACTAAGACAACAACAACTACTACTTCTTAAGTTACCAAGCAAGCAGAGTAATCACCTTAACCAGTTCAAAGAACAGATGTGAGAAGATCAAGTCAACTTAGAGCAAGTGGATAATCTACAGTTATTAATGTGTAAATATAATTCATAATATTTTAGACCTCCTCCTACAACTGAAAGAAAGTGGTTAGGTAAAAATCCAGAAGTTGTGTGCTTTTTATTAGCTTTGGAAAATGATCGAATAATGAGAGAGAACAATGCATAATTCAATAGGATTAAAGAGTTAGAAGGTGTTAATGAGTAATAAGAAATAAGAATTAGAGAACTCTAAACTAAGTTAGATTCATAAACTACAGAAATATCTAATTACAAGTTAAATTATTTATATATTTTAGATCTGAGATTGAGAAACATATTATAAGAATTAAATAATTAGAATCTGAATTAAATGAATATAAATCTAAATTAGGAAATGTAGATTAAAGTCTTGCTGGTAGATTGAAAGAAACAGAAAGGAAATTATAAGACAGTGAAAAAGAATTGACTAATTGGAAAAATAAATATAATACAGATAAAACTAATTGGGATAATGAAATTAGAAGATTAAATGATTTACTCACTTAAAAATAAAAAGAATTAGATGATTATAAAAATAATTAAGGTAAAAATTATGAACAATTATAATTATAATTGAGACAATATGAAACTAAAATTAGAGAATATGAAAGTTAAATTAGTACATATAAAAGTGATATTGATCGTTTGAATAAATTATTATTAGAAAGAAATTCAGAAATTGATAGATTAAAAAATGAATTAAAAACAAGATTATAAGAATTAGATGATTGGAGAAGTAAATTTACTAATCTTTAAAATTAATTTAATACAATGAAATCATAATATGAATCTAAAATTAATGATTTAACTAATACATTATAAAATAGAGATAGAGATTTAAATGATTGGAAAAATAAATATGCTAAATTAGAAGGATAATTTAATAATCTTGGAAGTCTTCAATCAGGAAATGAATCTAAAATTACTGATTTATAAAATAGAATTTCATAATTATAATCAGATTTTGATAGATAAGCTACTTAATTAAGAGATAGAGATGCATAAATTTAAGCATTAAAAGAAAAACTTTAGAGATTAGAATAAGATAATTTTACATTAAATAATCAATTATAAGATTTATAATCTAGATATAATAATTTAATGAAGGAAAATGAGAAATTATAAAATGAATTAAGAAATAGAAAGAATGAATTAGATTTCATGAAATAATAATTATAATAAGCTAATGATCAACTTAAGAGATATGAAGATTAAATTAATTAATTAAATGAATAAATTATGGAATGTAAAGATTAAATTATGTCACTCTAAAATTCAAAAGAAATGTTGGAAAGATAACTTTAAGATTTATATTCAAAATCAAATGACAATGTAGGTGAACTTAAAAGTGCTAATGATTAATTAGAAGGAAAAGATAAAGATATTGCAGATCTTAGAGATTAATTAAATTAATTTTAAGTGGATAGATAAATTATGGAATCTATGATTAATACTTTGAATAATTAATTAGCCAATAAAAATGATGAAATCTAAAGATTATTAGCTTAAAATAAATTAAGATTATAATAATTATTAGAATTGCAAAGTAGATATGCATAATTAGATTATCTTCTTAGTGATCTAAAAGGAGTTGAATTATAAAATAAATAACTAATTGCTAGAATTAATGAATTAACATAATTAGTAGATGATCTTAAGAGAAAACTGGCATAATAAGAATTATAATTATTATAATCTAAATCAAATGAATTTAAAATTTAAGAATTAGAAAATATAATTAAAGAATTAGCTAAGGAAATACAAAGATTAAATGAATTCTTGAATTAGAAACTATCTGAAAATGATAAATTGAATATGTAAATAATTTCAATGGAAAATGAAATTAATAAACTTAAAAATCTAGAACCACTGTTAAGAGAATTAGAAAAGAAATTATAAACTCATTTAGATGATATTGCAAGATTAAGATAATTGTTGGATTCAAGAACAAATGAATTGAATGAATGGAGATTGAAATACTCAAAACTAGAACCAATAGTTGATGAAAAAAGATAATTAGAAGAAAAGAATAGATTATTAGAAAATAGAATTTAAGGATTATAATAAGATATTGAAAGATTAACTAAATAATTGAGATAGAAATAATTGGATATTGATTAATTAAATTGGATATTGAATTAGACAGAAGGATTATTAAGAAATAGAGATGATAGTATAAATTCACTTGAAACTAGATTACATAATTTATAAAGATCATATGATAATGAAAGATAGAAAACTTTAAATTTTGAGTAAATTTAAAGTTAATTACAATAATCATTAGATAAAATTAATCAATTAGAAACCTAAATCAAAGGATTATAAAATGATTTAAATAGAGCTAAAAAGGAAGTCACTTATTAATAAAATGAAAATGATTAGATGAGACAACAGATTGCTAAATCAGAAATTACAATTTTAGATTTGAAATAAAACGAAGCTAGATACAAGGAAGTTGAAAATAGATTAAATTAAAGTTAAAAAGAAGTTGAAAAATTAACTAGATAATTAAATGATAAATTATAGGCATATGAAGAATTGAAACAAAATAATGGTTTATTGGATACTAAATACAAGAATCTATAATAATAATATTAAGAATCATTATAGAGATTAAATTAATTAGAATAAATAAATAATTAATATTAAATCTTAAAGGCTAAAATTTTAGAATTAGAAAATAACAATAAATAATATAAAATTGATTAAGATAGATTAAATTCTACTTTGAATCAAAAACTTTAAGAATTAAATGAATTGTAAAATCTACTTCCATAATTAGAGAACAAGATCCATCAATTAATTCCATTTGAAGAAAAAGTATTAATAATTTATATTTTAAAGTACGCAATTGTATAACCTAAATATGAACAGGAATTGAATAGATCAGATGAATTACAAAAGAAAATTAGAGATTAAGAATAAAATTTATAAGAATTAGAGAAAGTGAAGAAAATGTAATAATGTATAATTATAATATAGAGTACAAGATCAAACAGTGATGTTGACAGTATTATTTGGAGAATGTGAAGGATTACGACAATAATGTATGGATAAAGATGGAGAGATATAAGATCTAAGATTTAATGTAGCCTAATTATCAGATTAATGATATAATATACAATAATAAACAGTATTGAACTCAAGATTAAATATTTCGATAATAAATTAACAATTAATTATACTAGTTAATTTAAATTCAAAAATAAACAATGTCATAGAATGAAAATGAGATTTATAGAAGAATCAAATTACTGGGAGAAGGTTCTTTTGGAAAGGCATATTTGGTGGAATGCATTCAAGATGGAACTCTTTGTGTCATCAAATAAGTAGATTTAAATTAAATGAAAGAAGATGAAAGAAGAGAAACAATTAAAGAAGCAAGAATATTAGAAGCTTTAAGACATCCTAATATAGTTAAATTTAGGGAAGTCTATAAAACAAAAAAAGGTAGGTTATGCATTGTAATGGATTATGCAGATGGTGGTGATTTAAGCAATAAAATCAAATAAACAGGATCCTGTCTATTTAGTGAAGTATAAATACTAGATTGGTTCACTTAAATATGTTTAGCTATCAAACATGTTCATGATAGAAAAATCATCCATAGAGATTTAAAAACCTAAAATATATTTTTGACTCAAGATGGTATTATTAAACTTGGAGATTTTGGAATAGCTAGAGTTTTAAATCACACAAGAGAAAAATGCAAAACAATTGTAGGAACTCCTTATTATTTATCCCCTGAAATTATTGAAAGTAAAGATTATTCATTCAAAACTGATATTTGGTCTTTGGGAATTATACTCTATGAACTCTGTGCACTTAAACCTCCATTTAATGCAGAATCCTTACATGGATTAGCCCTTAAAATTGTTAGAGGTCAATATAATCCTATTCCTGATAAATTTTCCACTAATATGAGATAATTAATCTCCTCTTTACTCTAAGTTGATCCAAACAGAAGACCAAATATTCATGAAGTTTTAAAGATGTATATTTCATTTATTAATTTAGGCCAATAATAGTTAACAGAATCAGAAGTGTCTTATCTGAAAGTATAAGAAATGTTGAGTTTTCACATACTATTTTACACAAATAAAATTTTGTTAATCATAATTTGATAGTTCCATATGATACAGAGTTGAGAAGTGTATGTTCATAACCGAATCTTGGCAAAATTTAATAACAATAACCAGTATAATAATATTAATAATAATAATAATAACCTAGCAATTATTTATTAGCATTTAATGCAAGAGGATAGCCATAAAATAATTTATTAAAACAGAAATAATTATATTAATAGCATTTACCATAAGTAAATATTTTATTAAATTAATTTAGAATTACGATTACATATCTAAACCAACATAATAAAATTATAATCCATATATGAATTATTAGAAATACCAATATAATAAATAGCAATAATAACAATAATAATAATAATAATAATAATAATAATAATAAATTTAACCATTATAAATTAATAATAGACCTAATATTTCACCATTAAATCCTTAAAGAAATGAGAAGTCACCTTATTATGAAGATAGATCACCATTAAACAAATCTCCATTTAATAAAGATAATAGAGACAAATCTCCATTTGAAATATAAAGAGAATAAGTCAGATAATAAATTAAAAGAAATGAAGAAAAATTTTAATAACTTTAAGAAAATAAATTAAAATACTTATAACCAGATAAGTATGAATTACCTAAATTATCTAGAGAACCGTATTCATAACCATAAATACAATATAAATTTTAAAAATAATAATCTGATCCTGTGTCAATCAAAGACCCAATTAGATTAGAACCAATTAATAATAATTAATAATAACAATAATAATAATAGTAACAATAATAACAATTATAATAATAATAATAATAATAATAATAATAATAATAATAATAATAATAATAATAATAATCATAAAAATTTGATTTGCAATAAAAAATAGAACAATAATTATAATCATAATATCCTTCATCCTCTAGAGATCAAAAAGAATAAAGAGACAGTGTATATTAAGCACCTTAAACTGAAAGAGTACAAGTAGCATAATATATTTCCCAACCTCCTCCTACTTAATAATAAAGCGATCCAATCTAAAAAACTGAATCAGTCAAACCAAGTAAATAATAATTAAAGGAAAGTTAACTTATATTATAAGAAATAAGAGAAATAAAAAATGATAATAAAGATGATAGAGAAAAGATGAAATAATTAATGGAAATGAAGAGATAAAGAAATAGTAATACATAATCTGAAATTTAAGAAATTATTAAAGAAGCATCAAAAAATTCTGATGAATAAGAAGATGAAGCATCACAATTATTAGCAGAATTAGAAGATATAGTTATAGCCGCAGAAGGTGGAGATGTTAAACATTCATAAGTAATTAATGTAGGTGATTGTGATTTAATCAATATATAACAATCAGTTAGAGAAAGTGTAGATAGAGAAGATGATGATAGTTTAGAATAGAAATCGAATGCATCAAATGAAAATGGAGAAAGAGAAAGTTTTCAAGATGATGAAGATATTATTTGTGAAACACCAAAAGAATTGCTTTATCAATTACTATTAAAATAAATTGGTTAAGAATAATTGACTAAAGCATTGAATAAAATATAAAATGCATACTCCCAAGATTATATCAATCTAATGCAAAATGGTTTAGATGAATTGTAATAATATAAAGCATTAATATTCATGTATGAATGCATGTGATTTTATATTTAATCATATTTTATATCTACATTTATCATGTAAAATAATAATCATTTAACACTTATAACATTTAGTATTCAAAAATATTTTTTGATTCAAAACCTTAAAAAATACGACTTTCATATATCATAGTTCCACAGAATACCTAAAACTATAAACTTAATATATTACTTCACTCATATCTAATATTTGTTATTCTCTTTTTTTCATTTAATAAATGTCATTTTTATGCTTTAATTTCTTGTTGATATTTTCCAGTAGTTTAATTTCTCCAAATATTATTAAAATTGGAATTGTGAATTCAAATAAAAATTTAACATATTTTTGAAATTTAGGGGAATTTAACTATAATATATAAATTCCTAAATTAATATAATCTTATTGATCGATTAATTTTTATAAATAAACTTCTTCATCAATTATTTCAAAATTATTTAAGTAAAATAATGTATTTTGCATTTTTGCTATTGATTCTTGATATTTTTGTATTTCACTTAAACTAAATAAATCTTAAAATTATTCTAAGATTTACAAAATAAACTCACTACTTTCTTTATTTTCTATTAAAAATGTTAATTTATTTGTGATAATTCTTTTATGTATTTTTATATTAGCTTTATCATAATTATAAATTAATATTTCTAAAAATAAAGACATTTAATTATGATTTTTATTTAAATAATTATAGATCTTCTCTAAAGATCGATTAAACTTTGAATATAATAAGTACATGAGTGAAGCTAATTCAGTAGATTAAATTTCACATTACTCCAATAAATTTAATAAACCTAACCACCATTCTTATGAATATTAGACAGCATTTTGTTAAACTTTCCATTCAAATATCATACTAATCCAATCATCCACTTTAAATGGTAAATTAATCTCTTGTGAAGGTAGAGAAGATAAAAATTATAAAATTTATTATTATTTCTAAGTTTAATTTAAAACATTTTTATTCTTTATTTCTTTTATAACTTTTTCTGTGTATGAACTATCAGTTTAGTCTTTTATTCTAGAGGCTAAAATTTATTCTAAATATAAAACTAAACTTAATCCTTATTAAAATTAATTAGGTCTCTAAAATTATTCTATATCTGAAAAATCAAATTAACCAGGATGCTATTCCAAAAATTCAATATAATCCTGAAGTTGTATAAGTGAATTCCCAAATAATATATTATAATACTACAATCTCTATCCTAGTAATCTCTTTTCATTAATAACTAAATTAGATTATTTATCTTTTCTTAATGTGAATAAACATTTCAATAATTTGATACAAAATATATTTTCCATAGGAATTTCTTTTTAAATTTCAAATCCTTAAATGAAAAATTGACATATCTGATAATCAATATTAATTATTTCTTTATTACTTACACAAATCTAAAAATCTTACACTAATTCTATATTTTATCTTTTTGTTTAATTTATTTTTTAAATCTTTAAATTAGTAGATTATTTTGTTAAACTGCTAATTTCATTAACTTATTGTAAGAATAGTGCATGATTCTCATAAAATTCTAAATTTTTAATATTCTCTGTGTTATCAATTAATTATTATTATTAATTATTATTTTAATTTGATGTTTATTATTATTATTATTATTATTATTATTATTATTGTTATTCTTCATTTTCATCATGTACAAATGTATATATGGAGAAATGATCAACTCTAACTACAAATTATTATTTTATTTAATCTATTTCTACTAATTCAATATTTTATTCTTTGCATTTTTATTAAAGAAATTTATGCTCCTTTTCATAATTCTCTTGATTAATTGGGACTGGAACCTTCAAAGTAATTAAACATGATTTATTTAATTTTTTATTAACTTTTGGTTTTAGGTATTCATGAATTTGATCTAAATCATATACTTCTACTTTTGAATCTTATATATCAACTATTCTATCTAAATTTAAATATAATAAATTTGTTGGAGTATCCCATCTCAATGATCCAAATTCATTATAAATTGTGAAATCTTCAACATGTTTTAATTGATTGATAGATAATTAATTGATATCAGGTAATGTGTAATATCCTAATTTTGTTAAGATAGGCCTATAAGTTTATTATATTCGAAATGATAAGGTTTGATGATTATCTTAATTATTGTTTTCATCTATAATAAACTCACTATTTGCAAAATAAGCAGCTTTATCATTTTTAAAGACTTACATTGAATCAATTTTTTAAAGAATTTGTTCTTTAAAATCATTTTTTGATTTAATATCTTTAAATTCTTCATTGAATGTGATAAAATTTTCACTTTCTTCAAAATAGATTTCAATAATATATTCTTTTTTGGTCTTGATTGATTTTTATTAAATTTTGCTTACATTATTACCACAATTAACTTATGATTATTATTATATGCTAATTCTTGAACTTTTTTAACTAATGGGTATAGTGATATTATTAGAAGAGGGAATGATTCTAAAGAGATTTTGTGAATCATTTTTCTTTTTAGGTAATAAATTGATTTCTTATTATTTTTTTTATCTTTCAATTCTTTTTTTTAATTCAAGTTAATTAATAAGGTATTCTTATTCTAAATATTTATCTTCTTCTAATTTATACAATTTCTCCATTTCTTAGATAGAGTTATTTAATGTGGTTGTGAAAGTGTTTATCATATCTACTGATTATTTAATAAATTAAATAGGATTCATTTAATTTTAATATGATATCATTTGTAAATCATTAGATAAAAAATTGATGTTATTTATATTTTAAAATGGTTGATATAGTTATGTAGACATCTGTAAAGGAATCATTTACAATTATTATTAAAATTATGATTATTATTATTATTATTATTATTAATAAAATAATAATTATTATTATTATTATTATTAGAAAAATGGTGATTATATATTATTCATTTATTATAATTATTATGGTTAAGAAAATATTGAATTAATAGATTGATTATTATTAAATTATATAGCATCATTATTTGAATTAAATGATTATTAATTAGGAATTTAAATTTGTAATTAGGGTTTGTTTTATTAAAATATATTCTATGTTTATTACATCCAAGGAAGATTTTATTCTTTTGATTAATAATTATTGTATTCTGATTGAGATTTGTTATTATTATTAAAAACATTTTAATTGAATATATTTGATTATAATTAATCTTATCTAGAATTAGAGAATATATTGAATGAATTAGTATTGGTTGGAGCAGTATTAAATATATTTTCAAATTACTTTTATTACTAATTATTTTAGTTGTTAATTGAACTAAAAAAATTATTTTATTATCTATTATCATTGAAAGAAGAACTAGTTGTATTAAATATATTTTGTTATAATTAAGATTGATTATTGGATTCCCATATTGAATTGGTACATTTTTATATTTGAAATACAGGTACTTTGATTACTAATGTAGAATGTAGATTTACTTTAACCAGCCACTTTGGAAATTATAGAAGAATTAAATCTTTTTTAATGAATTGCATTTTGGATAGTAGTTATATGATAATCATCTATTTATTAAGCTCTAATCAAGTAATAATCCTCTAATCTAATCATTATTATTGTCTAGAATTAATAGGTAAGATTACCATTTTTTCATATTAAGGTTAAAAGATAATTGAAGTAGATAATACATTTTTATCATCCACAACCTGAATTTTTATTTATTCAAATTTGGCTCTATATGAACCTTGGACATCACGTTTTCTTTATGTTCTTAAAATGAGTATATAATATACTAAGGAATATTCCAGGAATTAGAATTAGGTATGCTTGTTTAAAAAATATTCGTATTGCTATTTCTTTGAAAGAGAGTGTTTGACATTATTTACTTAAAAAATTATTTTACTTTACATTACAAAATGTTCAAGTAAAATATTGAGTAAAAAAATAATATGATTATTATAATTAAAAAATAGATTAATATGAGGATTGAGATAAATTCTCATCCAAAGAAGATTTTATTTTTCTTCCTTTCTTATTGATATCATTAATATTCAATTTCTTAAAATTTTCTTCCTTTCTCTTCTATTTAACTAATTCATTTTTCTTCTATTTATCTTATTTAATTGCCTAAAAACTGGATTCAAAATTTCTAGTTTCCTACCTATTATTTTTATTATAAGTATGGATTTTATTCTAACTTTCATCAAAAGAAACCTTTCTTTATAAACCTTCACGTGCTATGGAATTTGATCTCTTCTTTAAACTAGATGTTATAGAAATTTCATCAAAATCTGTTTAATTTTGAGTAATCTTTGATTTCAATTATTTACCAATGTCAAAACAAGAATCTTCCTTACTTAATATAAATAATTCGTCAATTAAAGCAGCTTCCTTTCTTGGCAGTATGGGCGAATCTATATATTTTATTTGTTTTAGAATTATTTCTTATTGAGGCTGCGAAGGAATCTTTCTTCTTGAATATAGATGTTAAATAACAACCAAAATAAGAGAAATCATAATCCATTAGATTGTTTATATTGTTAGTTTAATATTAAGAGTACCTTCATTTATATCAAATTTGGAACTAAACCTAATAAATAGATGATTAATTTATACAAAAAAGATAATAGGACACCTATTGTAAAAATTACAGAATGTTATTTTTCCATTTGATTTTTATTAATATCAATAATACATGAGTAGAAGAAAAACTAATACTAAAGAAGTTCATAATGATATAGATGATGAAATCACATCTAAAGAATTGATGTATGCTGTAATAATAAAACTAATATTATCAGCCTGTTATTTAGATTTATACAGATAATCAATATATGACAGAAATGTAAATTGATTCTATATCTGGAATAATGTAAAATATAGAAATATTTAAAACATGGTGTCCAGAAACAAGCACATTATTTGAATTCACAAGGTTAATATCATAAAATTTGTAATATGAGAAATATCAAAAATATAATGCTGTATTTAATTTAGGTATCTCATCAATCTATACTAGGTGATCAAGGAGACAAATTTTATATTATTCTAACAGGAACAGCTGCAGTATATATTAAAAGATAATAATAATAAATTGAAACTGAAGAATAAGAGATCTTACCTAAAATTTAATAGTATTTAGATAAAATGCAACTTAATTCCATTTCAGAAATTGAACTAGAATCAAGATACTCTTTTTATGAAAAATTAATTAAAAAATAAACTAAACCACTTAAACAAATTGAATCTGAATTATTATTATTAAATACAGGTAATTTTGATATGTATTTTACAATATATGGAATTTGTAAATTCTAATAAATCTCTTAACTTCATTCTGGTTAATACTTTGGTGATATGGCATTAACTACTGATAAACCTAGAGCTGCTAGTATAATAACTATTACTGATATTTAAGTATTAACATTAAATAAATCTAATTTTAAAGTAAATTGTATAATATTATTTAATTAGAAAATATTTGAAAAATAAATCAAATCATAATAAGAGAAAATTGAATATTTTCTTAAAATGTTTCCTTCTATGACTAAATTTAAAATTAGTAAATTGATAATGTATTTTTCATAATACAAATATCCACCAAATTATAAAATTTGGAAACAAAATGATTTTGTAGATGGATTCTTCTTACTGAAAGAAGGAGAAATTCTATTATAAAAAACTATTGATTTTCATCCTTATTTAAAACAAGAATAAAATCAATTAATTATTGAACCTAAAAAAGAGAAGACTTCTTAAATAGATATTGTTACTGTAATATTTTCAAATTTTAATATTTTAGTTAGCTAATTTAACTGATGGATGTTTTATTGGAGAAACTGATATATATCTTTAAAATGATAAAAGAGATTATACAATTAAAACAGTTACTTAATGTAATGTATATGTTTTAAATCTTGATAATTATTTGATAGTTAAAAGATAATTCCCTGAATTCATTAACCCTCTTTCATTACTTTCTTAGAAAAATCTAAATTTATATAAAAAAAGATTAAATGAAATTATTTAAACTAAAGTTTTAAATCTTAATTTTAATAAGAAAGAAGACAATAATGTTATTGAAAGAAGATATTTAAATGACATTGAAATTAATTAATAACCAAAATTAATTAAATCATCTAAAATATCATCTCCTATATTAAGATCTTCAATTCATCCAAAAATGACTAAACAATAAATGGTTGAATAAAATCAATCTATTGCATTATAACATTCTAAAAATGATAAGATTTCTAATAAATAAGAAGAATTTAATATGTTAAAAATGGCTGGTGATAATTTCTAAAAATGCTTATTAATTAGAGTTGAAAAGTAATTTGAATAATTTTAACCTAAAAAACCTAAGTATATATAATTTATATTAAAATTAGAGGAAAGACTCCTTTTTTTAGTAAATATTAAAAAGATAGTAAAGATTTACTAGATTAAATTAAACGTACTTTTATACCTAAAGAAACTAATAATTAATATGAAGAAACAGATTAAAATAGTTTACCATTTCTTACTATGAGTAAAAGATAATTGCGTGTTATAAGTCCTTAAATTTAATAGAAAATGGAAATATTAAAATAATGTTTAAGTACTCCTATGACTTCTCATTCTAAATCAGTTTCTTAGAGTGTCGACTAATTCTATAAAATTAAAGCATAATAAGGATTTGTATTATGTGATTCTCTTCATCCTATACCAGATCATGGTAATACTTAATCAAGATTTGATAAATTGTTTACTAATGTTAAGATTACTTCAAGAAATAATAAAATAATTAAATAATGTTGGAATTCATAAAAATTATCATTAGATGTTATTGATACAAATTTTTTTAGTTCTTAACCTACAGTACAATACATATGATCATTTATTGAAAACAGCAATAATAATAAAATGAATATAATCAATTAAACCAATCATTAATTTCATTAAACTGAGATTGCTCCTTGATAGATTCATTTTTATTCTATTAAGTTTGGATGATCTCTTCAAGAAGTCTAAATTATAATATAAATTAATACTTTTTGTCATCTATTAATTATTAAATCATTTAATTTTGAATTTCAATCTCTTTCTATAAATCCAAAATTTCATTCTATTATTTTTAAATATCAATCTCTGTATTTTCATTATTTTAATATTATTCTTTGAATTTATTTAATTATTCTTATAGATCTATAATATCTTTTTCTTTTTATTATAATTCCTTTTAATAATGAATTTTTAAATTTTGTAATTATAATTCTAATTGAATGATTTTATCATTATTATCTTTAATTACTTTTTGTAATTATAATTTCTCAATTATTAAATCTTCTTCATTTGATTCAACAGAAACATCATGTTCATCAAGATCTGCAAATTATTCAAATTTTACAATATTTTAACTCCTTTTAGATCCATTACTAATTACAGATTTATTCATTCTTTATTCTACTTTTTTTTGAAGATTTTTTAATTCCTCTTATAAATTTAAAATCTCTTAATCTTTTTAAGATATCAATTCTTTAAATATTAGTTATTCTTCATTTGATTATTATATAGTTCCTAACATTTTTACTTTACTTTCTTATTCTTACAATTCTATTTATAATTCTTCAACTTAATTTTATAAACTTTCAATTATCTTTTATTAATTAGATATCTTTTATTAATAATGATTAATATCTTTATTTAATTGATCTAAATTTTATAATTCTTATTTCAAATTTAATATTTCATTCTCTAATTCATTAATCTTTTCAATTGATTTATTCAAACTATTCTCTAATTATGATTTCTATTCATTTAACTCATTAATCATTACATCTTTCTCTTCTAAACTTTCATTCTATTATTTTATTTGTTACTATAATAATTGGACCTACTATGATAAAATAGAAATCTACTCTTCCGATTAGTTTGTTTCAGGCAATTAAACAGTTCCTATTTGTTGACCTCTTGGAGATTATTAAACATCGAATAGATCCATTAAATCTTAATTAGGTTAAGAAGAACTCTTATTTTCAGATATGCTTGATAACTATTTCATTAGCAACTGAGATTTAAGTTATTCTTCATGTAATTATTATTATATCTATTCTAATTTTTTTAATGTTTCTTATAGCTTTTCATTTAGTTATCTTTAAAAATTTTAATTTTCCTTTGATTCATATTCATACTATTATATTTTTAATTATTATTATTCTATTTCTTAAATATAAGCATTTTATTACAACTACCATTTTTCTTATTCTTATTCTAAATGTTTGGTTTGATTTTCATATTCCTTTATCACTTAAGCAAACCCAGTTGATGATTCATTTTAATGATTGTCTTTTTACTCAGATTTCTCATTGTTAAGTTACTAATTTAATATTTATATTTTTTATTTAAATTGACATATTTAAACATCCTTTTATTTTGAATCAATTTAATATTTTTTAGTTTCCTCAATTAATTATTAATTTCTATCTATTTCTTCTTCTAATTTCTATTCTAATTCTAAAACCCTTTCACATAACTCTTTATTTTCTTAAAGTGCATTTTTTAGATTTTAGTCAGATTAATTATATTTTTTAGATAGCATATTGAATTAATTTTGCCATTCATTAGCTTATTGATCTTATTAATTTAAATTATTCTAAATTACTTCCTCCATTTATTTTAGTAATTCTTAATTATTTTTTTATTATTTATCTAATTATTATTCTATTTATGTTTTTTATTGTTGATATAATATAATATCATTTTATAAATTAACTATTTAAGTTTTGAGTTATTATTAATTTAATTACTCTTATTTAATTTACTTTGTTAATTCAGAATTCTCTATTTAAAGTGTTTTAATTTCAGATTGTTTATCTTCAGTTATAATATTTCTTTCTTACACTTATTGATTTTATGAAATTTGTTTTAATTCAATAATTTATTATTCTAATATCTTTTTTTCAGATGCATTTTTGTTAATCATATTTTCATAAGATTAATTTTATTAAATTAAATTTTAAATGGTTTAATTTTATTTATTAATTTTAATTTAAAATTATTATATTTAATCTATTTAATCTTTAAATTTATTTGTTTCATTTTAAGATTATTTTAATAGATTTTCTAGTTCTTATTTTTATTTTTATAATGTATTATAATTGTCTTATAATTTATTTAATTTTGATTCATTAATTTTTAATTTTTCTTATAATGTATAATTTTATTATTACGATTAATTGTTCAATGAATCTAGTTAGATTTAATGATTTTCATTTAATAATTATTATTATTTCATTAATTCCATAATTTCTATTTGTTAATTTTCAAATAATGTTTGAAAATATTATTTATCTTTTTATAATTTTTATATTTCAAATTGTTATTTTTCAAAATCATTTAATAGACTATTACAATTTTATTTTAATAATACAATTTAATCATTTAGATTAACTTATATATTCATATTTTCTTATAATTTATGTGTTAATTACTATATTTCTTCTTATTTTTAAATCTAAATATAATAATAAATTTACTTGAAGTACTTTTGATTGATTCAAGTCATTTAAATCAGATATCAGTTATTCTTTTTTCTAATTTTCATCTAATAATATACTAAGTTCTTATTCTAATTTTTGTATCCTTATTTAAAATTCCTTTTTTAGTTATGTTTCTTATTCATATGCAATTTCTTTCTCCTATTCCAGATTATTTATAATAGATTAATGATGTTTTTTGAATTCATTAAATTATTCTTCAAGTTAATTAGATATTTGATCAGTAGATTTCTTATGAACAAATTTCAATTAAACTTCTTAAGATTTGATTTTACTTAAGAGATTATTATTTGTCTATTATAAATCATTAATAATTGATTTATGATCATATCCTTTTTATTTTTATATAATTTAATTCAACTTAATAATGATTTTGTTAAGTTATTATTATTTCAATTGAATTTTTTAATTTGTTTAGTTTTAATATTCATAAATGAATTGAAATATCTCTGATTAAAATTGATATAAAGCCTATTAGATATTAGGATTATTATTAAAATCAATCTAATCAAAAGAATTATTTAATTCTTCAAGATCTGTTTATTAATAAATCCTTTGCATAATTTATCTAGCATCAGAAAGTTATTGAGTTAATCCTTTAATAGAATTAGATAAACTGATATTTTCAATTTTTAATTAGTCTTGAGTGTTTTAAAGATTATGAATTTAAGATTAATAAAACTATTTAACTTTTTCATTTTGTAGTTTAATGTCAGATATTTCTTATAATAATGAATTTACTCTTGCTGTTTGAATAAATAATTATTTATTATCAGATGGTATATCTATTTTTGTAGTATTTTAATTTGATGGACTTAAATATTTCAAATTTTGAGTTGAGAATTTTGTTGTTAATGTAGATAATTTCTGTGTTTTTATTAATTTTTCAGTGCTTTATAAATTATTTAAATAACTTAGATGAGGATCATGTTAAGAGGATTAATTTTTGTTAGGTATTTAAGATTCGAATGTCTTTTTTGAATTATTTCCTTATAATAAAAACGATTATGATTCTGTTTTATTAATATTTTGTGCATTCTTCAGAAATGATTTTGCATTAACACTTCCACCTCTTGGTCTTTCTTATTATAGAATAGTAGCATTTCTAAAAGACTACATCAATTGTTAATTTTTATTAATAAAATAAAATAAGAATTTATTCAATATCATTAATTTCATTAATTCTCACCAATATCCTCTTCTATAATATCCATCATAATATTTATTAGCATAATAAGATGAATATTGTGTTGGATAATCCAAGATTTTAGATTAAGGTGATTGTTAACTAATATAAAAATAATAATTACAATTAAATAGGTTAAGAAGCATGTAATGGATGATTTAAAGATCTACTTAATGGTAAAACCTAAGGATCTGGAATTAATGGAGGAGGAGTATAAGAAGGAGGTAATAAATATGCAAGTATATGATGTTCAGGAGATCTTAATTCTAATAAATAATCATCGGCATATAAAAATGAATGAGATACAAATGAACCTATTGAATATATTAAAATTGAAAAACATCGACCTTAGTAATAAATTTATTAATTACCATATTTCTCTTCTAGATTATGTCTTATATAATCAGTTTTATGTGCATAATGTTCTTAATGTAATGATCTATTATAAAAGTCCATAATATCTATTTTCATTTCATTACTAATTTAATATCCTTATTTAATGCATTCTATTTTAACTTTTGATGCCATGAAACTCTTTAATATAATTAAATAAATTTATTTATTTTTTTAAAAACAATTATTTTCAATAAATTTTATTATATAATTATATGCAAGAAAGCATTTATAACTTAATACCAAAAGAGAAAACTCCTCCTAAGAAAATTACTAAATTATATAAGTCTACAATTCCAGGAACTATTGCTCCAACTGGTAGTACATTTGGAACTCAATCTTTAATTATTCCAGTCACAAATATAAATGGATCATATGTTATTCAATAAAATAGATATAGATCAGAAAGTGGTATCTTGGGTAAATCTAAAAATTGTAATAATCATATTAAATTCTAGAAAAATTAGAACCAATTAAACATAAACATATGGGAAATAATAGTCTAGATATATGGGCAGAAAAGGGATCAATTCATAGAAGTATTGATCTTGGTTATTAACATTCTGATACTAAACCTTAAATACCAAAATTGGATGATAAACCAATTATGGGATTAAAATAAAATAAAAATTTCATTGCCACTAATGCAATAGATGTCATTTTAGCTAGTTATTATTTTATTACTATTTAGATCCTAAAAGAAAACAATAAGAACCAGATTGGACTAAGAAATCTACTTATGGAAAAGTTCCAACTTATTTAACCTAAATTAAAGATACTCTTAAAGAATAATTTTATGAAGAACAATACAGAAAATAATTAGAATAATAAGAATAAGATAATAAATTGTATATTTTCTCATTTTTACTAGATAATAAATGCCAGAAGAAGAATTGGAATAAATAAGATAAGGATTAAAAAAGAAATATGATGAATTGAATTATTAATATTAATAATAAACACATTGTAGAGTATTTGGAACTATTGGAGTCAAAAGAAGAAAAGAAAATTATGAAAAAGAGTTAATATAATTAGAATAAGACATTGAAAAATTGAATAAGAAATATATATTTGTTTAGCATTGATGTTTTATATTCAAAATTCTTAATAAGATCCATAATTAAAAAGAATTCTTGTAAATAGTGTATCACTATTCATACCAAATTAAACATCAGAATCAATTAATTCTTATGCTTTTTTTGATCCTTTCATTTTCAAGATCTCAAAACATTTAGAACAATATTCTACATAACCCTATCATTTTATAATTTAATTTGTACATCCATTTAATATTTACCAGGTTTTACATTAGCTGCTATGTATCTAAATCCAATTGAACCCTCATAACAACCACTACATGTCATAATTTATGAGTAATTTTAGTTTCCTTTTTCTCCTTCTTTAAGTTAAACATTACGACCTATCTTATGTTCATCTATATCTGATAATACTGATAAGTCATTTAAAGGCCCATTGATAAACATCAGAGTATCATGATATTTGAATCTTTCCATTCCAACTTTACTTTAATCATCAAACTCAGCACAGATCATACATACATGTTCATTCTTAAAAGGACAATAATATTGTTAATATTCATTTGAAATATCTTTATTACAAACAATACAGTATTTCCCAGGATATTAAACAGATATTGTTTTTGAAACTGTTTTTGTTATTATCCATTTATCTTAAGGTATGATTTCAAATATTTCATTCAAAATCAATTAAAATACTTCTTATTATGAGTCTCTAATAAAATAATTAAGTTTTGGATTATGTACAAGTATATTATTTTAATATTATTGTTTTGTTTAATCTATATTGATTTCTATCACCTTTTATTTATCAATTTTGGACAATAATTATAATATATGTTCTTTTTAAAGAATATTTATAATTTATTCAATTTCATTTGATTATTCAATGTCTGCAATTTCTAATTATTTGTAAACGAATATTTCTTATTTCTTTAGACAATTAATCAACTCATTAATAATTTATTTAAAGCATTAATGAGCTTCAGGATAATTCATATATAAAGCCTCATATTTTAACAATTATTTCTTAGCTTTTTATAATATATCTTCATTCAAATTCTACTACTGAATCCAAAAATCATTACTTCTTTTAACAGCAAATGGTGGATCAAGTTACAAAGAATAATTAAAACTTATCTCTTTTGAGTTATTATATTCTAGTTTAACCCCAAAACCTTAAAAAATATCCTGGAATAATTTTTTCATTTCTTTACTAATTGTTTAAGGATCCCTAATTCTTGAGAAGGTTACTTCTTTTAAATTCTCAGGTATATTATTCCAATAAGTATCTAGAAATTATTATAGAGATTCTTCATCTTATTTTAATATATCATAAACTAAACTAAGTTTAGATCTTATATGTGTCTTCTTAATACCATCCTAGTTCCAATAATTTACTTTTTTTAATTAAAATTCAACATAATTTTAAAATTATAATATTTCTAGTTGTTCCTAGATGGATTTTATTTTATTTTTTAATAATTTAAAATCCTCTTTCTTTAATGATTATGTTATTTCTTAACAATTAGTATTATCTTATTCAAGATCAATATCTTGTTCAGCTTAAATTAATTAATTTATTTTAGTTTCAATATCGACATTTTATAATCCCCCTTTATAAACTATCTTACCCCATTTATTTATTAAAACAACAAATGGAATATATTAAAGTTATAACAATTTAGTTAATTAAGATTCATGTCCATTTATTACTCTATAATGTTCAATCAATCCCCATTATTTTTATTTCACTCTTTCAATAACATTTTGTGAATCTTCATCAAGTGAAATAGCAATTATTTTAACTTTGTTTTTCCAATGTTCATTTTGCTAAAGCATTTATTAATTGTGATTCATTGGAATTTGACAAGGTCCACACCAAGTAGCCTCATATATATTATTATATTTTTAATTACCCAAATATCTAAAAGATATACTATACCTTCTTCTACTTTAAATGTTGAATTAGTTTAGAAACAATCATAATTATCTGAAAATGATAAATTTTCTAATCCATCAAAGTCCATCAATTTATCCCCTATCTAATAAAATGGAATTAAAGATTAAATAAGTTATCTATATTATTCTTAACATTTTTGAGTCATGGTAGGTAATAATTCTTTTACTTGTTTTTCTAAATTAATGAATAAGGATAATTATGAGATGTCAAATCTATTCATACTTTTTAAAGTACTTATAGATTATAGACTTATAAATGATATAATATATTTATACTTTTTTGATGAATAGGTAGCTATTAAGGATTTAGTTTATTAAATGATTATATTGTTTGGAAGATATTTCAATATTGATTATAGTATTTGAATCTCTTAATGTTATTGCATATTTAAATAATTATTATATATTAAAATGATGATAATAAGAATAGGATTGCATATTTAATACGTATTTATTATTGATCAACCCATTTTATATAGTAATATTGCCATTTATCCTTCATAAAAAAACATATATCGTTTGCTTTCGTATGATGAATAGGAATTAAAATGTTTTCCTTTGAATTTAATTGATGTAAGTACCAACAACGCAATGCCAATTTGGACCATATTTCTCATCAAAAAACTTCTTAATGTAATTAGATATTTATGATTCCACTTTAAAATGTTCAACTGCATATTTAGCCTTGAAGTAGATATATATTATACTTAAGTTCTTGCATCATTGATCATGTCTGATTGCTCTGGCATATCAATTATTTATTCTAAATTTTCATCTGCCATTTGAAACTGAAATTAATTATATTTATATATTAATTAAAACTTTAGGATTCATTCAAACATTTCATTAAATTTCTATTATGCTATTGTTTACAAATCTAAAACTGGTTTATTAGCTAATCCATCAAATTATTCATAAATATTCACTTTCTATTAAATTTAAAAATAATATTACCCCATGTTTATTATAAATTTTATCATATTTACTGCAATCAATTAAATGTATTTATAATTAGAAATAATGTTTATTAATATTCTTTTTTTTTTAATCATCATATTCTTGATTTGCATTAACTTAATGAGTCTATTCCATTAATTTGAATACAAAATCATTAAGAACTTCTTAAAAAATTGAATTAAATTAATATGAAATCTCTTTAGAAATTTCTGAATGCCAATCTTATTTATTTTAAAATAACTTTGGCTAAAGTCTAATAATATAATATATAAAAGATACTATAATGATTCTGCAAAATAAGTAACATAATCTTTAGCAAATGTAGTTTCTTCTACAATTTATTATATAAACTTTTAGAAATGTTGATGTGCATAAACTTTTATTAATATCCGCTCATTAATTTAGAATATATTATCCTTCTCTAATAAAGTCTTAGTTAATCGTTCATTTAAAATATAAATCTTTTTAGCCAACATAAGACAAAGTAAACAACATTAATCTAATCCAAGATTTTCAAATGCTTCATTTAAAGTTCTTGATACATATACGATTTCATCTCTCAATCTCATATATTTATCAATATATTATTCAACTAATTTATCTTCTTATATTTATTGTTCCATATTTAATTATAATTATTCAACCTATTTAATATTGTCTTCCATTTAACCAGGAGTTCCGTCATCTTCAATTAATTATTAAGACACAACCCTAACAAATTCTTATTATTTATTAATATTTAATCTAGAAAGAATGTCTTAAGGCTTCTCCACCATTTTATTTTAATCTTTATCCTTATAAAATTGTTCTATTTCTTTTGTATTAATTAAGTCTGCTTGTATAGCATTCAAAGATAATTAAGCATATCCTTATATAGATTACATACCTACTTAAATCTTTTTATTGCATCAATGGATGGGAATAAAGTTCACTCCATTTCAATCTCCGATTTGGATCCTTAATTAACATTCTCTCTAATAACCATTCCAATTCTTAAGAAATTGCTAATCCATTTCTTCTGAAATTTGGTTTGTCTTTAATATATTTAGAAATATTTTACTGTTTTTTATATCTTCTAAGAATTTTTGTTAATTTTAATTAGTAAATGGAAATTATCCAAATATAAGTTGATAAAACATACTGCCAATTGAAAACATATCTGCTGCCATTCCATAAGGTTATTATTCTACTACTTCTGGTGCCATATTTCCTAATGATCCTAGACTTAATTTCTCTTATTAATTTGGATCACTCAATTATTTACAGAATCCTAGATCTGCAATTTTTAAAGTAGAATTATGTATTAATATATTTGCTAACTTGAGATCTCTATGCAATATGTTTTTCTCATGTAAGGCCTACATACCAGCCAATACTTATTTCATATAATTTATAGCATCATTCTCTGGAATTCGTTTATTTCTACTTTACCACAACTATTCAAAATCACCAGCTGATTTATTAATCAGATATTATTACAATTACAATATTCTAATACTATATAACACTAATTTGCAGATTCCAAATATTACACTAATCTAACAACATGTTAATTATGGATTTATCTTAACACTTCTACTTCACTTTGAATTAATTGTCCAACTATTCCTCCATGATCACTTAGCTTTGATCTTGCTATACATTTTATGGCAACCACCTCATTTGTTAACATATTTTTTGCTTGAAATACCTATCCTAATTCAAAATTAATACTTATCCAAAGGCTCCTTTACCTATCTCTTTGATAAATAGGTAATCAGCTACTCTTTTACCTGGACAGTTTATTATCTTTCCACCAAGAGGAGGATTCATTATAATTTAAATTAATATAATTATATATGGGATCTTTATAATAATATTTATTCTTTATTTATATTTTTCATTTATTTTCAATCATCATCTCCACCTTCATCACCACCTTCTTCTAAATCACCATATGTTTTCTATTCAAATTTTGGATCATGATAATCTTACCAATCAAATCTTGGTTTTGTATATAAACAACTAAATAACCAACAAGCAGTCAAAAATAATCCACATCTAGTGAACATAGCTATAATTTTAATCTCTATATACTTCTAGTCCAATAATCATTGAAATCTCTATGTGATTTACTTAAAACATATCCCCATTTATTTGGATTGTATTCTACTATACCTTCTCTTAACATCCATGATGCTGTCTCATAACTTATTGCCATATTTTTCACTTTATATTAAAACTCAGATGGCTTCTCAAATAAATTCTCTTTAAAAGCAGCAGGCATTGTTGATCGTTATCCTGCTTTCTGAAATACTTTCCATAAAGCCATTTTAATTAAATTATTATTACATATAATTAGTAATAATTATTAACTATAAATGTAATTTAAAAAAAAATAAACCAGAATGCCTTAATTAAACAACTAAAATGAATAATTTATTTGTTTTTGTAATATTTAATCTTATTCATATTGCAATAATTTAAGTTGCAAATAAATTTGTATTAGGCAAATACAATCTTTATCTGATAACTTCAAATTCTTATTATAATTATGGAATTTCTAGACCCTAATCTTATTATAAATATAATTTCAATTGATTATTCATATTACTTGTAATTAATTGTTCTCTTGTCTCTTCTATATGAAGATATGTTTATTATAAGAAATGTTATTAGTTGTTTATGTAATCATCTGCTAATTATAAAATTGTTTCTAATCTGTTATTTTTTTCATTATTTAACATATTCTTCAAAAATCTTAATTTTTCTTTGTAAATTGCTTCCTACCTTTTTCTTTGTTATCTATCTATATCAATTGTTAAAGAATTTAGTAGTTAACTTTATTCCTATTCAATAGTTGTTAATATTTAATCAGGTAAATTTATTTCTTCTAAAATTAACCTTAATTCCTTGCCTTCTCTAATTCTTTCATCTCCTACAAGAGTGCTCCAAAAAATAGTGTTTGCATAGAATAGTTCATCTTGATTTTCATCGACTTCACAAATTGAAAAATAATTTTCTAAACATGGTAGTAATTCAACTAAACTAATTTTAATCTAGTTCTTTGTATATTATAATTCATTTTCTATTTACCTTCTATGTCTAAATGCATCTTGATTGATAATTGAAATTCTATTAGCATTAGTTTAGATAAGATTGATTATTGCATTTTTGGCAACATTCACAGTTTCAAAACGCGAAGCTCCTGCATCACCTTCAAAAGGAGTTGTTAATGAATTTACAAACAATATTTTTGGATTTGGCATTAAATCATATATTTAATTTATATTATTTAAACCTTAAGCCAATAATTCTATAATTTGATTACCAAGATCATAATTAGTATTTACTAAAAAACATTTGTTTATATATCCTTATCCAAAAATCTCAGCCAAATGGCAAATAATCTATTTTTCTTTTGTGTTTAAAGCTTAATTGCCAAATCTCCTACAAATAACTATACAATCTATTTAAACATTATTTTTTTGAAGATGCTCATATGTCTATAACATAATATTATGATTCTATTTAAGATCTTATCCATAACCAAGTACTTCCAAAAATTTAAATTTTATATCTAATACATCTAAATCACACTCTTATATAAATCCATTAAAATCATAATCAGATATATGATATCTATACTTATCTGCATAACCCAAAAGAAGAGAATTCCCAATTGCATTTATCAAAGTAGATTTACCAGAACCTTTTTCTCCAATAACTAAAACATTCCTACCATCTATTAATCTATTTTATAGTTCTAATCTATAGGTGTATCCAGAATTTTCATAAGGCAATTACGATAATGGTTCTTACCTTTAATTATTTCTATATCTGTAGGCTAAGTGAAACTATTCAACTTCCACCTCAGACATTATCATCATTAAAACATTTTAATTGTTAGCTAATTAATCGATAGTATATATTCCTTTATTTAACAAATACTTTTTGTTTGTTGGATATTTGTTCCTAAGGTTTTATGGATTTGATGAAACAACTAGATTATTTGGATGTTAATTTTCAGGAAATTCCTGCCTTAGAAAATTGATTAATTCGTTAGATAATGGACGAGGCCAACACATGCCAATAATTTATTATATTAAATTCAATACATATTTATATTTGGCTTAAAAAATAAAATTTATAAAAAAAATACATAAAATGGAATCGAATTATTCGAATAATTATAAGAAAAGCTCCATATCTTTATTGAAAATGAAAAAACTTATAAGTCACTAAATTTAATGGATTTGATTGTTGTTATTATAACTTTATATAGTATTGCCATAAGGCTTAAACATTATATATATTTTTTGTTAGATTTTACCTTGTAATAAGCAAAAGTACATAATATTAACTGATAAATTAATTAAAAGCTAGTAAATTATTTATAATTGATCAAATCACATTTACAAAGAATAATATTTTATATCTTTATGATAAAATATAATTATATTAGTTAGCAATTTTTGAACTTTGACTTCTTTTTTAAAAAACCTATAATCTTCTATCATTATTCAAAAGTAGATATTTTATTTTGAATTATAATAAAAGATTCATTATAAAGTTTCTTGTTTCTATCATCATAATATTTAATTAATACATTTTATTATTCGAATAAATTACAAAAATTTATAGATTATCAAATACAATCATAAATTATAATGATTAAATTGACTCAATATATACTTTTATTTTATAACTCTAATATTTTTTAATATTTAATAATAAAATTGAGACAAATTAATTATTTTAAATTGAGAGACATTAATTGTATTTTTTCTTAACAAAATCTTTATTGTAATAATTTTTAATTAAATTGTATTAAAATTCTGTATATTTATAAAACCAATTTTTTACAAATTTGTTTTCAAATTAACTAATTAACTTGATATTATATCAATTAATATTTTATCTTTACTTCTAATAATTAAATAGTCTCAAAATCAAAAACGAGGAATATTTTTATGTCAAAAATCCCAAGAAAAGCTTTAAAGGTGATAAGCAGTTTAATTTATAAAAAATTATATTATAAAATACTTATAAACTATCATTATGGTTTTTGTATAAAAATTGATTAATCTTGCTCTTATAAGATTTAGATTATAAATACTGAAACTTATTAAGTAATTGAAAAAGAAGAAATTATTTAAAAATAAGCATTTAATGGTAATTTTATTTACTGTTATGCAATTTCATTTTTTATGATAACATTAAAATGAGTATGAAAAAAAATTGTTAAATAATTTATATTTAATTAAATAATTAAAATTTAAAGATAATAGATATGAAATTTATTCCTTTTAAAGATTTTATAGAGTTTATATATAATTTTTTAAAAATAATAGATATCTAATCAAATTTATAAAATTATATCCATTTGCAAAGCCTTTATATAACTCTTTAACTTAATTGAATTAAAATACATTATGTTATTTATAATGGATTTGTATAATTTTATATTATAAATGACAAATAATGTAAATTTAATCAATTTTTTTTGAATAAAATAATCTGATATTTTTTACTTTGATATAATTTTATCTAAACATTATAATAATTAAATTGAAATGAACAATCCATTTAAAAAATTTTTAATAACCTTTTATTAATATTGTAACTAAATTAACTTACAATATATATAAATCTATTTAAAAAGCATTTAGATAATTATAAATTTAAAATTTACCTTAATGAACATAAAATATAAATTAATCTATTTTTAAAGCATTTATATTTTATTTTTATAAAGAATTTATCATAATTAACATAAAAATTTATATTCATCCATTTTTATAGCATTTATAAATTTTTTGTATTAAAAATTTAACATAATTAACATAAAATATATATTCATCCATTTTTAAAGCATTTATATATTTCTGTATTAAGAATTTAACATAATTAACTTAAAAATTTATATTCATCTATTTTTATAGCATTTATATATTTTTCTGTATTAAGATATCAACAAAATTAACATAAAATTTAAATTCATCCATTTTTAAAGCATTTATATATTTTTCTGTATTAAGATATCAACAAAATTAACATAAAATTTAAATTCATCCATTTTTAAAGCATTTATATATTTCTGTATTAAGAATTTAACATAATTAACTTAAAAATTTATATTCATCTATTTTTATAGCATTTATATATTTTTCTGTATTAAGATATCAACAAAATTAACATAAAATTTAAATTCATCCATTTTTAAAGCATTTATATATTTCTGTATTAAGAATTTAACATAATTAACTTAAAATATATATTCCATCTATTTTTAAAGCATTTATAAATATTTTGTGTTAAGAATTTAACATAATTAACTAAAAATATAAAAAATATATATATTTTAAAAATGGATTTATTTATATTTTAAGTTAATTATGTTGATATCTTAATACAAGAAATATATAAATGCTTTAAAAATGGATGAATTTAAATTTTATGTTAATTTTGTTGATATCTTAATACAGAAAAATATATAAATGCTATAAAAATAGATGAATATAAATTTTTAAGTTAATTATGTTAAATTCTTAATACAGAAATATATAAATGCTTTAAAAATGGATGAATTTAAATTTTATGTTAATTTTGTTGATATCTTAATACAGAAAAATATATAAATGCTATAAAAATAGATGAATATATATTTTATGTTAATTACATTAAATTCTTAATACAAAAAATATAAATGCTATAAAAATGGATGAGTTAAAATTTTATGTTAATTATATTAAATTCTTAATTCAAAAAATATAAATGCTTTAAAAATGGATGAATTTAAATTTTATGTTAATTTTGTTGATATTTTAATACAGAAAATATATAAATGAATTAAAAATGGATGAATGTAAATTTTTATGTTAATTATATTAAATTCTTAATACAGAAATATATAAATGCTTTAAAAATGGATGAATTTAAATTTTATGTTAATTTTGTTGATATTTTAATACAGAAAATATATAAATGAATTAAAAATGGATGAATGTAAATTTTTATGTTAATTATATTAAATTCTTAATACAGAAAATATATATGCTTTAAAAATAGATGGAATGTATAATTTAAGTTAATTATGTTACATTTTTATTAAAGAAAATATATAAATGCTTAAAAAATTGATTTATTTATATTTTAAGTTAATTATGTTAAATTCTAAATACAAAAAATATATAAATGCTTTAAAAATAGATTTATATATATTTTAAGTTAATTATGTTGATATCTTAATACAGAAAATATATAAATGCTTTAAAAATGGATGAATTTAAATTTTATGTTAATTTTGTTGATATCTTAATACAGAAAAATATATAAATGCTATAAAAATAGATGAATATAAATTTTTAAGTTAATTATGTTCAATTTTTAATATAAAAAATATATAAATGCTTTAAAAATAGATTTATTTATATTTTATGTTAATTATGTTAAATTCTAAATACAAAAAATATATAAATGCTTTAAAAATAGATTTATTTATATTTTATGTTAATTATGTTAAATTCTTAATTCAAAAAATACATATGCTTTAAAAATGATGAATGTAAATTTTAAGTTAATCATGTTGAATTCTTAATATAAATAATATATAAATGAATTAAAAATGGATGAATGTAAATTTTTATGTTAATTATATTAAATTCTTAATACAGAAAATATATATGCTTTAAAAATAGATGGAATGTATAATTTAAGTTAATTATGTTACATTTTTATTAAAGAAAATATATAAATGCTTAAAAAATTGATTTATTTATATTTTTAAGTTAATTATGTTGATATCTTAATACAAGAAATATATAAATGCTTAAAAAATTGATTTATTTATATTTTAAGTTAATTATGTTAAATTCTAAATACAAAAAATATATAAATGCTTAAAAAATTGATTTATTTATATTTTTAAGTTAATTATGTTGATATCTTAATACAAGAAATATATAAATGCTTAAAAAATTGATTTATTTATACTTTAAGTTAATTATGTTGATATCTTAATACAGAAAATATATAAATGCTTTAAAAATGGATGAATTAAAATTTAATATTAATTATGTTAAATTCTTAATATAAAAAATATATAAATGCTATAAAAATGGATGAATGTAAATTTTAAGTTAATCATGTTGAATTCTTAATATAAATAATATATAAATGAATTAAAAATGGATGAATGTAAATTTTTATGTTAATTATATTAAATTCTTAATTCAAAAAATATATATGCTTTAAAAATAGATGGAATGTATAATTTAAGTTAATTATGTTACATTTTTATTAAAGAAAATATATAAATGCTTTAAAAATTGATTCATTTATATTTTTATGTTAATTATGTTAAATTCTTAATTCAAAAAATATAAATGCTTTAAATAATGATTTATTAATGTATATTAAGTTAATTATGTTGATATCTTAATAAAGGAAATATATAAATGCTTTAAAAAATGATTTATTTATATTTTTAGGTTAATTTTGTTGAAATCTTAATACAATAAATATATAAATGCTTTTAAAATTGATTTATTTATATTTTTAAGATAATTATGTTGTTATCTTTATACAAAAAATATATAAATGCTTTAAAAATAGATGTAATTTATGTTTTAAGTTAATTATGTTAAATTCTTAATACAAGAAATATATAAATGCTTTTAAAATTGATTTATTTATATTTTATGTTAATTATGTTGATATCTTAATACAAGAAATATATAAATGCTTTAAAAATAGATGTAATGTATATTTTAAGTGAATTATGTTAAATTTTTATTACATAAAATATATAAATGCTTTAAAAATTGATTTATTTATATTTTTAAGTTAATTATGTTGATATCTTAATACAGAAAAATATATAAATGCTTTAAAAATAGATTTAATTTATGTTTTAAGTTAATTATGTTAAATTTTTAAAACAACAAATATATAAAAGCTTTAAAAATTGATTTATTTATATTTTTAGGTTAATTTTGTTGAAATCTTAATACAATAAATATATAAATGCTTTTAAAATGGATTTATTTATATTTAATGTTAATTATGTTAAATTCTTAATTCAAAAAATATAAATGCTTTAAATAATGATTTATTAATGTATATTAAGTTAATTATGTTGATATCTTAATAAAGGAAATATATAAATGCTTTAAAAAATGATTTATTTATATTTTAAGTGAATTATGTTAAATTTTTATTACATAAAATATATAAATGCTTTAAAAATTGATTTATTTATATTTTTATGTTAATTATGTTAAATTCTAAATACAAAAAATATATAAATGCTTAAAAAATTGATTTATTTATATTTTAAGTTAATTATGTTGATATCTTAATACAGAAAATATATAAATGCTTTAAAAATGGATGAATTAAAATTTAATATTAATTATGTTAAATTCTTAATATAAAAAATATATAAATGCTTTAAATGCTTTAAAAATGGATGAATTAAAATTTTTAAGTTAATTATGTTGATATCTTAATACAAAAAATATATAAATGCTTTAAAAATTGATTTATTTATATTTTTAAGTTAATCATGTTGATATCTTAATACAGGAAATATATAAATGCTTTAAAAATGGATTTATTTATATTTTAAGTTAATTATGTTAAATTCTTAATACAAAAATTATAAAAATGCTTTAAAAATGGATTTATTTATATTTTAAGTTAATTATGTTAAATACTGAACACAAAAAATATATAAATGCTTTAAAAAATGGATTTATTTATGTTTTAAGTTAATTATGTTAAATTCTGAAATTAAGAAATATATAAATTTTTTAAAAATGGATGTATATATTTAGTTTAAGTTTTTTAAAAGCATTTAGATAATTTTATATTAACAAATTAACATAATTAACATAAAATATAAATAAATCCATTTTTAAAGCATTTATATATTTTTTGTGTTAAGAATTTAACATAATTAACTTAAAAATATAAATAAATCAATTTTTAAAGCATTTATATATTTTTGTATTAAAAATTTAACATAATTAACTTAAAATATATAATTATTTTATTTAAAAACTTATATATATTTACACAATAACATTAAATCAAATATTAATAAATCCGTTTTAAAAGCTTTAAGATTAATCAATATTTATTTAAATAGAATATTTAAAATTCACATTTTAAAATACAATATATTATATCAAATTTAAGACAAAATAATATATTTTTTATACTTTAATATAATTTTATAACATTTATTCTAATTTAATTCTAAAAAATTAATCCATTTTCTGCTTTTATAATATATTATAATTCATTTCCAAAATAATGTAAATTTATTAAAATCTAATTAATTTTTGCACATCTTTATCCGAGGGATTACCCTCAACCAGGTCTTTTTTTCGAGGTGTCCTTGTAACGAGTCCTTAAATTTCACCCTCCTGATTTAATTCTGATTTCCTTGATGATCATGGTCAGCTCTCGTCCCTAACGCTACCATCATGTAAAGGTATCGAAGGAAACAGCTCCTTGGATGACCCCAATTATAACATCATCAGAAATAAAAGTTAATTAAATTTAATCTTATTAAATAATAAACAATGTTTTCAAAATAAATGCTATGTTTATTTTGAATTCCAATTTCTTAAATAAATTGTATTTTTTCAATTAAAATTTATATACATTTGTAAGAAAAGCTTAAGAAAGTGAGGGTTTTGTGTGATTTTACATATGTGTTGATTAAGACGCAAAAGTATTTATTCTGCTAAATGGAGGCACATTTTCAGGTTGATGAAACTTTTAAATAAAATTTGCAACAGCAATACTTTATAAAATCCTATAATAAAAAACATATTATGCAGTTAAAATAAATCTAGTATTAAATCTTTAATGTAATGTATTAAAATACATGTAGAAACCAAATTTCGATAAATTGAATTTTTCAATTTATGACTATATCAATATAATTCAATTCTTAAATATATAATTTCGTTTATCTTATAAATATCATATTTTATTCAAAAAAAAAATATAAAGGACTCAGTATTTTATCTAATTTCAAAACATGTTGAAAATAAATTGTATTAAATAAAAGAAAAAATCTATCTCTTTTAAATATTAAAAATAAATTAATTAACAAAATATATATACATATGATTATTTAATTCTATAAATTTACACTAATCCTCAATATTTTTATTTATTGTGATGTATTATATAGTGTTTATCAGGAAACCTCTATTTTTTTTTTGTTTGAATTTTCCATTCAATAGTCTTAATTGTTAGGTATATAATTTCAAGGCTGAAATGTAATAGAATTTGAATATATAAATATATAAAACTTACTATTTTCTAATAGGAATAATTATCTTTGAAGCTAAACGAAGAGTAAAACAAAATATTAAGACAATAATAATAATAGTTTAAGCAAGCAGATAAGTTTATCGAGATATTATAGAAAGAATATTAGGATTGGGAGACCCTTTAAAGTTCAATTTAAGTGTATTTAAGTTAATAAGAGTATATTGATATTGTCAAAGATCTTAAAAAAAGAAAAATTATTAATGATGAAGAAGCATCTTAAATAATAATATATATTTTAAGAAATCAATCTCTTTCTTGATAATTTGATAAGGTTTTTCGGTTAGGATTTTATTCATTTGGAGAATTTTTACAACTAATATAATCCAAACCTATTCTTTTTTTTTATTATAATAAACTTATACCCAAAATAAATTAAATAATACCTTAAATAATATTATAATAAATTAGATTAAGAGCAGCATTGTTTTTTAAGACAACAATTTAGAATTACTTTGTCTAAATAATTCTATCCACTATAATTTAGCTCACATTTCTAAATGAATGAGATACTAAAAAATACTTTTCTTTGCTATGAGACTATGCCATCCGCATCTTATTGGCTCCATATATAAATTCTTCATCTTATTCGTTTGTAAAATCTCTAAAGTAATAAACTAATTATTACTTTCCATAATTTGAATACAAAACTATCAAATTATCAATTTTACTTTCTTATTTACTATTAATTTCCCTTTTCACTTATATATTTCAACAAATGATAAATTGTCTTTGATTAATAATTAGGATGACTAAATTACATTTTGATATATTTTTTCAATTTTTACTACTTCACAATAATTTATGACAAGAACTTTCTTATTGCCTAGTTTTTTTTTCCTTCTAACCATATTCCTTCCTTCTTTCCTTTTTTATATGCTTTTTGATTATTTATTGAATCACTTTTTCATTTTAAATAATACTCCACTTTATATTAACTTTAATTTTTTTTTCAATTATTGCATCATAACTTATTATGATTAATAATTTATTGTTAAAAATTGTTTTAATTCCTTTATTTTCCTTTATTATCAACATTACATAATTCTCCCTTAGTTAATCTTTATATTTACTCTCCAATTACCTAATCTCCTTTTGATAATTTAAATTCAAAGAACATTAGAAATATCTGGATAAGGAATTATTGTATACTTTGATATTAATAATTATAATTCAAATTATTTATTTGAAGATTGAAAAGGAAGTAGAGAGAAGTTATTAGCAGAATTTAGAATATTAAATGTAAATTTAAATTAGTTAGAATACAAATAAAACCATATTCTATTTACACAAAAGAAATAATCTTTTTTTGAAAATTAATATAATACTTAAACTAAGAAGATGAAATTAATAAACAAAAATTAATCTACGTATTTTTCTTTAATCTCTTCCTTTCCTATATATTGCATAATATTCAAATATATTAAAACTAAATACTAATAAAAATAGGTTTAACTTTTTCCATTTAATTCTCTGCATTTATAAATCTTTGTTCTATGTTACCTAAACTAAAGTATTCAAATATATAATAAATTTAATTAACAATAGCAAGTAGTTTGTGCAAAATTCAAAATAAATGGACGATATTATTTTAATCCGAAAATGATATGGAATAATCATTTAAACAATCTTGATACAGTAATTAATAATTGTTGAAATTTAGAATATTTCAATTAGAAAAATACATTTTTTCTAATTGAAATAGTTACTTTTTAATTCTAAATGTTGTTAATTCTTACGTAAATTGTTAATACATATAAATTATATTAATTTTAATTAATTACCAATTCATATCTAGAAAATATGGAATTTATTTTACATTATTAAAAATATATACAATAAGATGTATATATACACTAGTTATGAGAAAAATCAACCTAATTAGCCTTTACATTACATCGATGATAGTCTAGAGTCAAACTAAACTCAATATACTTAATAATTTGAAGTTGAATCAATAGAAAGTAATTGATATTTTAAAAATATAAAAGATGATCAAAAACTAAATGATTCTTTGAAAAGAGCAGATTATATAAGTAGTGTATACGCAGCATTAGTCATTGAAAATTTTATCATTCCTGCAGTAATTCTCCTTGGTCTTTTCTCTGAATTATAATTTTGGTTGATTACCAAATCTCCGAATATTAAAGACTTTTGTTATTGTGAAACAAAAAAAGCATTAGAATGTGAGAAGGGTTGTCTTGTTTCTCAAATAGATAGTTATGATATTAAACCAACCTATTTATTTTACTGTTTTTTTATAATCGGAGTAATTCTATAAATTTGGTTGAATTTAGGAATAACTTATATTCGAAAAGTAAATTTATTATAATTATTTTATTAGCAATTTTGGGTTTCACAATTAGTGTTATTAATAGTAATATTTTCTTGTTATGCATTGACGATCTCAACAATATGTATATTGATTGCCTATAATTTTGGAATTGGTTTGATTTTAGTTGGATGGGTAAATGCATTTGTGATTATTTTTTGTTTTGCATTTTATTCAATGAAAACAAAAAGTGAAATCAATTATGGAAGTATAATAAATTCTTAACATTTAAGTTGGAGCAACATTTATATTAATTCCAACTCTTTTATTCTTAATAACTTATATCAAAATGTCGCCCAATTATGCTATTTATTTTAGTTTAAATAGCATAATTTTAATCACTTTTGGTTTCTTTTTGATTTGGGAATCAAAGAAAATACTAAGTTAACAAAAAGTAATTAAAAACATTGATAATATAGATTATTCGATTATCAATTATTGAAATACTAATTGGATCAGAATTACTAATCGCTTGTATAAACTAGGTTATTTTTAGGGCAATTGAATTTTGTAAAAATAGTAAGAAAAAAAAATGATATAAAAATAAAATTCTTTTTAGATTAATGATAATTTAAAGAGTCTAAATACAAAATTTATTATTATCTATTTAAGAGAATATATATTATATATATATCTTATTAATTATTTATACATAAAGTTTCATAAATAAAATACTTAAATATGTTTCAAATATAATTATTAATCTACTTTCTCTATAATTAATTATAAATATAGATAATTTGATTATATAACATTATTCATTAATACACAGTTTATGATTTCCATAATAATTATAGACAAATAAATTTATCATAGATTAGATTATTAACTTATATATTTTATTTATTTGTACAATAAACATTGTAATCAATCAACTAAATATATGATGATACTTATTATTTAGTAATGAAAATTATCCTAACTTATAAATCTAATACAGATGAAAATTATTATGTTAACCTTGGAGACGATATAAATCGAAGAAATTAAGAATTATTACAGAATTTAATAATGATGGAAACCGAATAATAAATTAATAATTCAACTAAATATTATTGCAAATATTCTATAGATGGTTTATCTAAAATAAAATGAATTTAAATTAAAATAGTTTTTAAGATTATTAAATAGTTGTATATTTTATTAATAAATGAAAAGGAAAGTGAATAAATATTTACTGCATTATTTGATTTTATAGTAAATAAATAAAAAAAAAATATAAATATAAATTCAATAATTAATGATGGATTGTTGATATAAATCATAATTCAATTTCGGTATTTATATATCCTGCATCTCTTGTACTGATTCTAACTTAACAATAAAAAGCTATCAAAAGTAAAATTATTATTGAAATCAGAGAATAAATCCACTTTCGGTGTTCTTTCTCTATTTCAAGTAGATAGAATGTAATGTTATAAATACCATTTGAAAATGCATTTTAACAATAAATAGAAACATTCATCATTTTATTCTTCTGAAAAAAATAACAGGTTACATTCCATGTAGAATAAAGTTAAAATCTCCAATTGTACTTATAGAATTATTTAATATTTAATCGTTTAAAAAATATAAACATGTTCCTGTTCCCTACAATCAAGTAAACTAAATAAATAAATTTATATGGTATATCTTTTTATCTTTTTTTGATAATTTTATACCAAATATAAAAATATTTTGAATGAGTTTTTCATAACCTGTATTTTTTGTTTACAATCATTCCATATTAATTAGATAATGTCTTAAATGAACCATACATCAAAATAGGTATAGTCACATCAATATTTTCTGCTAGGTTGTTCAAGTAATAAGTTCCAACAATATATTTATTTTCGTTGTTTTATTATTCTTTTAATTTGAATTACTGCATCAGTACACCATTTTAATAAACAGAATTCCCTAAATTATCTGAATTACCATAATTTGGAAGAGTTTTTATAACTGCTCCAAAAGATTACTAATAAGTATAAAAGGAATTCTAAAAATTAAAAAACTCTTAATAATTAAAAGAGTTCTAAAAGTTTACATTAACAATGTAACTAAACTCAATATACTCAAATTTAGTTTAAGGATTTATTAAATTTTGCTGACAAAATCACTCAAAAAAATTATAACATTTAAATAATATACTTAAATAATTAGAATCCAAAGAGGATGAGAAGATAAAATAAAATATTCATCTTGTGTACATTTTTAATTAAAGCAGTCAGGCAAGATAACTTCATTGGGATTAATTATGAATATGGTTGAATTTCCAAAAACTAACATTTGTCTATGGAAAACCTTCATTTCTACAATATAGAAAATAATGATTGAGTCTTATTTTTATTACAAATTATCTTATAGAAATTAGGCACCAGAAAAATCTTTACACCCATAATTCGATGGGTCTTTATTTATTTACTAAAATATGTTATTAGATTAGTTAAACCAATACAATTATTGCCTTTATTAATTTAAGGATCCTAAGACAAGCATTTGATCTAAAATACAATGTATTTTTGAAATATTTGAAAAAGTTTGATTAAGTTTTTTTAAATTTGTTAATATAATTAAAGTACCATTTTAATTAATCTGAAAAATCAGCCAATACTAAGTAGAATCATTTTAACAAATTGAATACAATGTGTAATCATAAGATGTAGATTTTATACAATCGCTCAAATTTAGATTAGAATATGTATAATTTGCAACTTTTGTCAGATTGTCATAGAAAATTGAAATGTATTAATTATTCTAAAAGGCAAAAAATTGATTATTTATTGAAGTAATTAGTTAGTAATTTTACGAATATGGTATTTTGCTAGAATTAGAAGCAAAATAACTTAAACTGCAAAGTTCGCTTAACTTATAGGTTTCATTATCAATTGTTGATCCACAATAATCAATTTATCTATTAAGTATTAAACTCATAGGATAAGTGAAATTGTTTTCTTGAAAATTCAAATTTTCTTTGGTGAGAATAACTGTTTTAAAATTTTAAGGCTAAAATATTGTGAAGTTTGAAAATAAAGTAACACTTTAATTAGGAGTAATATGTATTTGATTTTTTTTTTTAAACCTAAATTCTTCTATTAATTATAACTAACATTTGAATTAATTATGGAGGTAACACTATAATTATAAATAATTTATGGATAATGAGTTGAATTACTAAAGATTTAATCTTCATTTTGAAAAAAAATTTCAATAGCCTAATTTTCAGAAAGTAGATAAAAACTATTATTGTTAAGTATTATAGATTAATCAAAGTAGTTTTGCCAGTTATAGTGGTCATAAAATGCCCAATTACATTTAATTGGTGATGTTAACTCTACCATATAATATAAACTCATATGTTATGGTAATATAGGATTATAGATATATAATGTGTGATTGCTAAAAGTAATATAGAAAAACAAGTTATCAGATGATATCAATATATGATTATCATAATTTACACTATATAAACTTTTTACATAATAGAATTTGGGTAAATTTTAAACATTCAAAACAGATTTTCTGATTATTGTTACAAAGATCAGACAAAATTAGTTATTAGTTTACTAAATTAATTTATTTAATTTCTATGCCAGCTGAAAGTAGACTAATAGGTATTGGCAAGTTATTTTTATCTATTGAAACTATAATAACAGAATGAACATTATTGATAAATAAAAAAGATGATAAAGTTTATGTATTTATAACAATCTATGTAGGTTAGAACTCAATATTTTAAAAATGTTAATTTATATACTATTAATTTATAGTAAATTTATTTGTAAAATTTAATGACATTATTTAAACTTCTTATTTTTGAATTAATATTATTATGTTTTAATAAGTTACTTGAAAATCTGAAAATTCTTGTTCAAAAGTAAAATTTAATTAATTATAAATATTGTTATTTTAGTTTTGTTTAAATAAGTAGATGGTATTATTGTCTTTGAGTCCTATTACAATAATTTCAGGATAAATGCTTTAGGCAGTTTTTAAAGATAAAGCATTTATTTAAATTTCTATTGAATTTTATGTAATGCATAAATAACTTCTATCAAATTCACCAATCTCGCATAGTAAAATACTGAGCTAATAATTATTATATCCTACTATATATATATTTTGAGTATTGGTTAACACCCCTTAAATGAATTAAACTAATTTAAATTTTTCACTAATTTCACCAATTTTTTTAAAAGTTGCTTATTTATAATTTAACAAGTTTTTATCTTAATTAGGTGAATAATTTAATAATTATCCAGAAAAACTAAAAAAATTTATCAAAACATCAGGTTAAAGTATATCCTATGGAAAATCTTAATTAAACATTACATAAATATTTGTATCATTTTAAAGCAAAATTTAAAGGTTAATTTATAGATTAATATGTATATATTCAAAGTATGTGAAGAAATGTTCAATTATTTCTTCAAATAAAGTATTTCTTATATTATTACACAATAGAGAGAAATCATAATTATATTGTTCAATAATTTAGTTTGTTAAATTAATTTTTAATTTGGGCTATGAAATGTAATAAACAACTATATCTTAATCAAATTAAAATATAACGAATACTTTTTTTGAATTATAATTCATTATCTACATTGATATATAATTAGGATTAATGATTTATTTCTAGATAAAGTTAGAAAATAAAATCATCTATTGAACTCAATTTTACTATATCCATATTTAACTAGTATATTATAAATTGCTTATTTGATATTATCTTTTCAATAGATGAATCAAGATCATCGTTAAATCCTATATTATTGTAGATTATTGAGTATTCACACCCAAAATACTAATTAACATCTTTATAACCAAAAGGAGAGCTTAACTATAGCAAAACCAAAATATAATCACAGTATTATTTAGAATTTTCATAAACTATAATATTAGTAAATTACTCATTATCATTATTAGTGGTAAAGTTGAAAGTTAATTGAAACTCAAAGTCAGATGATATGAAAAACTAAAAAATCTCTTTTGAAGTAATTACATAAATATAAGGATTTATTTAATTAGGAGTATCAAAATCATTAAATTAATTAGAGTAGCAACTTAAATTTTTAAAATTATCTGAAATTAGTGTGAGAATCGAATAATTCTGAAAATATTAAGCGTATATTAAAAAAGTTTTTGAATCATTAACTATTGATTTTATTTTTGTTGATATTGGTAAAAAGGATTAGGACTAATTAGCAATTTTTGGTTATGAGTCTATTATTTAAAAAAAAAATAATTAGTTATTCTTGTAACAATCAAGTAAAATTTCAAAACCTAAAAATTAATTTATGTTTAAGCATTTAAATGAAGGATCAATAGGAATAGGTTTTTCAACTTAATAAATATTTTAATTCTTCCATTCATAAATAAAAACTTCGTTATCTTATGATAGAGCGAAAAAATGTGTATTATTTGATGCTAATGATAAAAATTCTAATATAGATCTTTAATATTTACATCTCCCTTTTGTACGATAAATTTCTTAATGCTTATTTATTAATTCAACATATGGAACTTAAGGATGAATTTTGCAGGTAAAGCTACGGTCACTAAAAATTTCAGATAAGTCAAATTAAAAAATTTCACCTTCTGTTGGGAATAATGAGAATTAATTATTAAAGTCTGTTAACCCATATATAAGCATATATGGTAAGATGAATTATAATAATTTAGAGATCCTATTTCTAATTAATTTTCAGATCTTAAATCTTATGAATTTTTCTTAATTTTTTTTATAAATTTGAATATTTAACAAAACCCTTAGAGATTAAAGAAAGGGATGAAAAAATTATTTATTTTTAAATAGAAATATAAACCATTAAAATATTTTTTTTTTTAAATGGATTCTAATATTAAGCTATTTTTATTTGTTTTTTATTATTTCTTAATCTTAAATGGATAATTAACAATGAAATTAATTGCAATTAGATGGCATCTTTTTTAATATACGATAACAATTTTTCTAAGATTTCTATGAAACTAATCATGCACTGTTTCTTTAAGATCTCAATCTGAAAACATTAAATATTTTATTTTAATAATTTTCCTCAGTTATGATCTGTTACTCCTTATTTAATTTTTAAGTATACTATTCTATTTTTTATTTTATTATTATTGTAATTATAATGTTATGTTTACATCAATATTCATATATAAATTTATTAATACAACCAATTTTTGCCTAAATGTAGAAATTTACAAGAAAATCAATAATTTAACTCTATTATTTATTTATTTTCATTTCCATTTTTGTATTTATACCTTTTTTAACTGTTTATATAAGAATACTTTAATAAGATTTATTAACTTGGAGTTGTGATCAAGGATAATCTTAAGCTAATGACTTATGAGTGCGTTTTTCATATAACTGTATTGCCTATACTGAGCTTCAATTTGTGATAAATGTAAGCCAAGTTTTTCTGTTGTTGCAGTAAATTCTATATGTGTTACTTGTGAAAATGGATGCAAATTATTAAGTATATTATATTGTCTCACACAAATAAGATCAAATATATAAACATCATCAATTGTTTCATCAGAAGTATTTATGTAATTATTAACAAGAGTTCATCTATAAATTTCCATCACCAAGTTTGCTTTTTATTTCGACTAAAATTAAAATCTGATTATAATAAGTACTACTTTTTAGAATATAAATATTTTTATGAAAGTCTTAGAATAATATTTTATATAGTTAAAAAAATATTTAATTTTATTCAGAATCAAACAATTAATAGAGTCTAAATTTTAATATAAACTTTTAATTGGATTCTCAATCTAATTAATTATCATTTGAAGATTGAATAAATATGTTAGATTAAATGCGTAATTAGATCCTTTGCATCCATATATTCAATATATTATTTTTGAATTAATTTAGTGAAAATAAGGTTTATAATAATAAATGAAGTTGCTTTCCAAATACATTGTAAAAGCTATCCCTTGTTCATACATGTTATAAAGGATAATAAATATTCAATATCTGGATCATCATTTCATTGTTCAGATATAAATTTCATTCAATTTTTTCAAAATAACTTCTCACTCTTAGATTGTATTCAAGAGGAGCATCCAATTAGTGTTTTATCTAGAGCTCCTAATATATGAAACAACCTTTTGTCTAATTGATCAATTATTAATAAATTTTCTATTAAGTAAAATATCAACAGCAATTATTCAAAATAATATTATTATCTTAATTATTTATTATTTACTGTAAAAACATATTCTTTTGTTGTTTAAATTTAAGATAAATAGATATTATATTGTCATATGCAGAAATTGATCACTCTTTTGAGCTTTCCAATATTTATTTATATTTAATTATATTAATTCAGTAGAAGTATTAAAAATATTGAAACTGAGAGATCATTAAAATTTAATCCACTTGGTACACTAATAACCATTAATTGCCAAAACTATTAAGTAAGCACAACTATTAATAAAAAAATCAGATAATTTTTAATATTTCAAAATCTTCAATTTACTTAGATATTATTTGTTGAACAAAATAGAATTAAAATTAGTTATTCTAACAATAGAAATGAAAGTTAAATCAAAATCAGCATTCTAAAAGTTGAAGCTTGAATTCAGTTTTCGGTTCAATTATTTTATGTTTTAAATATCCTTGTAATTGATTATAGAATCTGAATATGGCTCCCTCCAGACTAATTTTCTCTTTTAGAAATTAAAATATTTTATTTCACAAATACTTCATGTAGAAAGAAGAAATAGGTTTGTTTTCTTATATATTGAAAAGCATTTTTTTTAGGGTACCAGCAATCACAATCTTAGAATTTCATCTTTCCCATTAAACCTGTATTGAGAGGAAGTAATCTCATTTTCTATTGGTTAAAAAGGAATAAAAAAGTAAAAATGAATAAGCTTAATGAATGTTATTTTAATATGGAAATGATGATTATTAAAACCAATTAACAGGATATTAATTAAGAATTAAAAGATATGTATAAAAAAAATCCTTTTATATAATAATTACTATTTGCAGAATTTTGAAAATTCAAAAATTGCTTATAATTTTATAAATACAATATCTTCACATATTTATTACATTTTGGATAATTAAAGTTTAAAATAAGTATTTATCATTAAATCTTGTTAAATACTAATTAATATATCTTGACATAATTATTTTATTTATTATAATTTCATTAGCTTCTATTTCCACAAGTTTCTTTTAAAAGTTCAAATATTCTTACTAATGGTTATACCATAAGACCATAAAGTAACAAAGATCCAGCCAAATAGTCATCAATTTACAAAATTAATCCCTTTATGTTATTAAATAAATTCTTACTCCTTTCCTCATTATTGATCTTGTTTCCAACATCAAATAGAATCCGTACATTATACTGACTAATCCATAAAAAAATCCCATCCATGCATAATGAAAATTATACATTATCAAAAAGAATACGAAAGGAATGGCTATACAAAAAATGATAATGGCACTAACTATAAAATATGGAATGATATTTACTTGACTAAGAAATCTCTCTCTTTTAAAGTACCCATAAATTGTAAATGTTAATATTATTAGCAAATCAACAGTCCAAGTAATCCAAACAGCTAATTTTCCTTAACTTATTGCCATAAAAATAGATATAGCTGATAATGTAAATCCATAGAAAACTAAGTACAAAATGAATATAATGTAATTTACAGGAGTCTATGATTTACATTATATATTGTTACCTTTCTCACTATTGTTCCTCCAAAGTATAATGTGAATTACAAGATTATTGAAATAATCAAAGAAACATAGAATAACCAAGCTGGTGAATTATGGTAATCACAAATGATATAATTCTGTTATTCGTAGCATTGATAATAGGTATGTATTAGCAATTCTTTCAAGTCAGTGTCAAATCCTAAAGCAATCATTCCAAAATTAAAAAGAAACTCAAATGTCAAAAAACTATACATTTTCTTGAAAAAATCAACTCTTATTTAAGAATCCTTTTAGTAATCTTAAACTAAGAAAATAGTATGTTAAATACATTCAAATTAATTCATCTTCTAAACTCTTCCATCTAATGTTTCAAAAGTCTATGGATTGAGGTATTTTTGTTGATTATTCTAATCTAACAAATAATTGTTCATTAAAATGAAGCTAATGATAATATTAAGTAATTTTTATGGCTTTATGGGTTAAATTCATAAAAATTATTGAACATTAAATCATTCCATATTTTATTTGAAAACAATTTTATCTCAATAAATAATAATAATTAAAATTTTGATAATAAATGTGATTCATCGACTATATATTATTAACAATCAGCTATAGATTAGATTATTTAGAGATTTCAAATTTTATTTGAAACCTTTTGGATAAAACTTAGACCTATAGTAATATATCCTTCTATAAGTTCCATATATATCCATATTTATAGAATACAGATTTTTAGTCTCTAATCACAATTATTAGTATATTACCTATAATTATTAACATTCATATATTATAGGGGATATCTATATAAAAAAATGTTATAAGGCTAGTCAAGAAATTTCATTATATTAAAATTTTTATAAAATTAAACAATTTTAATTTACATATTCTTTTGTTCAATATATAAACATCCCATGTTTTGAATTCCGTTTATTCTGAAAATATAAACGGTTTTTCAAGTCTATATATTCTTTATATCAACTTTTTTGTCTATTCAAAATGAAAGCCAATAATTGATCAATATAAATAATTTTATGGAATTAAGAATAACCTAATTGTTTGAATTTTGTATTTCTATGCTGTAAAAAAAATATAGGTAGGATTATTAACAGATTAGTAAGCCAACTATAAATGGGCAGAGTGAGACTCTAAGCAATTGCAGAGATAAGGATATTTAATATTATATATAATATGCTCTGATTGTAGAATGAATTAAGGATAATCCGCTTTAATATTTATTTAATAGCAAAGCAAAGTATAAGAGGTTAAGAATACTTGAATTGATAAAGTATAGAAACTTGGAAATAATGAATGTAAATTATTAATCGTAAGGTGAAAGTAAAATGGGGAAAATATAACTAAAAAAAGCAAGCTGTGAAGTTAGTAATTGGATTGAAGTAAGTGATGAATTTTTTACTTCATAGTACATCATATTTTAAGGGCTAATTAACAAAGGTTGTAATTGAGACATTTTGTATTATCACAAAGATAAAAAATTAGAATTGATGCAAATTAAAAGTAGAAAATTTTTAGATGTGATATATAAAGTATTGAAGAATTCAATAATTGATGTGAGTAATGATAATTGCCTAAATTCATATATCCTGTAGTATATGTAAATAGTAAAAAATATTGTAAATGTTATATTTTGTATAGTAAGAGTTATGATAAACCTATTAATGGATGTAAATTTATTAAAGAATATGTTAAAAGGTTGAGTTCACACTATAGAATAAAAATATGAAAAAGTATAATATTGAATTAAGGATTTTAGAAAGTCTCTAATTTACTCATTAGTATTGATTGTTGGCTTGTTTTATTAAAAATTTCTTGGGTTTTTTCAAAAAATATGAATACAACGAAAATATGAAAATCAATTTCCTAGTATTTTAGGATAAGACAATTAAGTAATAACAAAATAGAGTAGATTTAATTAATTTTAAGATTTAGTCATTTAAAAAAGAGAGTATCAAATAGATGAAAGTGTTGGATATTTAATAAAAAATTTGAGAACATCAGATGGCAAATATCAAATTATAAAATATATGTTAATATTAAAATAATTTCTGAAATAAATTTAATATTCTTATAAATATATGTCAAGTTCAAAATATTAATAATTCTTATTCGAAAACCCTAATATCCAGATTTCTGAAAGAAATAATTTTCGATAACGAAGGAGTTAAATATTGGAATTTACAAAATAACATTAAAATAATAATTATATGTTATTAATATAAAATGATAGAGATATTATAGCAAGTTGTTGAGTTGGTGGAATAATTATTGTATTTAAAAAAAAACTGTATTTCTTGAATGGATTGAATATTAGAAAATAAAACAAAATAATTGAATATCATCAGAATGATGTCTTCACTTTCTAATCAATTTTCAAGGAAAAAGGAAATAAGCACTTTATAAATAAATGAAATCAAAATTTAGAAGGAATTCAAAAATTGACTAAAATATCAATTTTGATATATTTTATTAGGTAGATGCTGTTGTCAACAGTGGAGATATCATAATAAATATTAAGAGATAATAGAGGAAGATTTAAATTTAGAAATATATTGAATTGACAAAAGGAGAGTGAGTTATAAAAATTAATTAAATTTTAATCTTAAAATGAGCTTTTCTTAAAATTATTACAATTTTTATCATTATTAAAAAAAGGTAATGGTTTTCTAGGGTTATTAAATGTATTAAGTTTAAATTTATTAGATTCATATAATTTACCATTTGAATTGTATCCTAATTCTTCTCTAAAATTATTAAGTAAATCATATACGATTTATCTTCATAATATATCTATTTATATTAGTTATAACTCAAATATAACCTAAGCAATTGTAAAAGTTTGGCATAAAAGTTAACAACCGTATTATGATTAAGACTTAGAGTATTAAAATTTTATATATATTAATAAATATACAATAATATTAGAATTAATAATATTTATTGCCATTACACTTAAAAAATTCATATATTTATTTTAATTATCCCTTCGTTTTTCTTAATATATGGGCATTCCCATTAATAATGCAATCATTTTTTACATAATTTGTATACCTGTTGAAAATTACTAAAATATTTGACAGAATATATATAATTAGGATAAGTTAATAAAATAAATAAATTAACATCTTTATCAAGTGCAATTTGTTTCATTTTGAAACACTTTTTTTAAGACTACCTCTAAATCATCTTTTTTTACAGGTTTTTGAAGAAAAGTAGTAATTCCCAACTTTTGACCTTATATAAGATTTTCTTAAGTGTCATATGCTGAACAAATTACTATAATTTACTTATTAGAAATCAATTCAAGGATCTAATAATGATATATATTTTTACTTATTTACTAGTTTAAAAGCCATCTATTCCTGGCATTTCAATATCCATAAAAATTAATTTATATGTTGAACAATGTTATAACATCTTTTATTTTACTTTTTCAATTGCTTAAAATCCATCAAATGCTTAATCAGCTTCAATTTGATGATTATTTAGTATCATTTTTAATGCAATTTGATTAAATGGAATATCATCAACAATTAATACATGACAACATTTTTGGCAGATAGAACCATATCTTTTTGAGAAAAATGAATCTTTTTACTTTAATAGATTTTAGTTAAAATCTATAAATTTATCAGAAAAATATTCAGGACTTATAGGCAAAAAGATTTCAGGTTATTTTTCTAAATCATTTAATCTAGATGTGTTTTTATAAGTCTCTGAATTTTAATCTTAGTATTCTCTATCAATTTCAAGTCTAGAATTATCTGACTTGATTAATTTGCTATCATCAATTTTAGGTTCTTTTAATTCAAATTAATCAACTGATTGATTAAATTTTCCACTTTATAAAGTGAATAAATGAGTTTATAATAAATTATTCTATAATAGATTTTAAACTTTAAATTAAACTACAGTTCCTTAGTTTTTTCTGGAACTTATAATTAATTAATTATCCTAAGATTCTATTAAACCTTAAACCAATTTTGCTGCTATATTTAACCCTAATCCTTATTATCTTGTTCCTTAATGTGATTTCAATACAGCTCCAAATTCAATAGTATCATGTATACTATTTTAAATTTAACTTAATTTTGGTTCTTCTATGCCAATTCCATTATCTTTAACTTTAAAAATAATGCTAAAGAGATCACCTTCTGTAATTTTTAAACTAATACAACCTCCTTCCTATGTAAATTTTAAGGCATTATTTAAAATATTGACTAATAATTATATAATCCTCTATTTATCATTTTAAACAAGCTTACCATTCAAATTTTCAGCAATCTTAATATTGAATTCTATCTTTTTTTATTTCATTTAAAGTTTGTACAAATGTTCTATTTCTTCGCTAATTTCGTGTATTCCGAATAAGGTGACATGATATGAAAATTAATATGACTAAATTGAAGCATAATCTAATATATCATTAATTTAATGAATTAATAATGAAATAGAACATTAAGCTATGTCTATATATTCTTAAAACATAGAAGTTGAATCTTAAATTTTCATAAGACTTAACATTTATTAGCAACTATTTAATGGAGTTCTCAATTCATGAGAAAAGGATTTAATAAGACTATGATGAATTATTTATTCATCTTTCATTTATTAACATTTAAATTTATTAGTAATGTTTTTGATTATGATAAGCAATACAGAATTCTCTAAATCATTACTAAATTAGAAGTGACTTTTGCTAGAGGATTTAACTTAGGAAGAGGCTGAGAAGTAATCCTATTATTAATTAGTCATTGTAGTTGGTATGATTATTAATTTTAGTTTCTTCTATTAATTGATTTGCATAATCTCAGATTTCATCAGCCATTCATAAATAAATATCTTCTGATGGAATACTTGTTATTAATGTTTACTTTTCTACATATCATATTAATCTAAAATAGCAAGATATTTTGAAGGTGACAATATGATATCCAATATGTCAATAGGAAATTCTCTATCTGATAGTTTCTTTACTATTTATTATAGAGTTCTATAATGAAGTTGGTTCATCCCTTATTTATTTGTTGATTAACTTTCATCATCTGGGATCTTTGCATTGTTTACACACGTTTTAACTTTCTCTAATACCAATTAAGCTCCTTAACATTCCAGTATTTTTTCACATTTATTATTGATATAATTAACTTATTAAGCCTAATTTAATATTAATATTCCAAAAGGGAATAAATTGATTAGATTTTAATATAATTAAAGTTTTGAATTATCAATGCTGCTTAAACTTTTGTAAAATTTCTAAGATTTTGAAAAACTTGTTAGATTTGAATATTATTTCAATTTCTCTTCATTTGGAAGATCTTTTAATAAAGTAGTGAAACACTATTTAGGTGTTTATATGAATGAATTTCTTGGTTAAGATTTAGCTTAAGAATGCATCAAGTAATTTTCAGTAAGAGGAGAGGCTTGATTATCACATTTTTTAGTTACTTATTATTCGGTTATATGATTAAATTGAATTGAATTAAATTAACAATAATTTGCTATTATTTAGTGTATGAATATAACAAATATTATGATAATGTTTTCTATTGTTTTTGAGCTTGGTAAACTTATAATTTAAATGGTACTTTTTACTAAAAGATAAAAAGGAAGTCCTATTTTACATATGAAACTATATTTCTGAACTGCAATCTTCAAATAATCAATATAAGCAATAGTTATTATTAAACTATTTGATAAAATGCTTAATGAATTACAAATCTCATTTATCAATATCGTTTCAAAATAACCTACATAATATAAAAGAGACACTATGTGCATAAATAAATTGAGTCCATAACTTTTTTCCATTAAATAATACTAAAGAATCCTCAAAATTAAGCATATTACCTCAATAATTAAAAGCGTATAATTTATTTATCCTTCTAGAAATAATCCTTAGAAAAACCACCATAATCCTTTAATCAAATTAGTTATCAAAATTAAAATTCTAGAATATTTTTCTAAGAAATTCTTCTGTTCAACTTTCATTAAATAAATTAAATCGAATATAAATAGAGTATTATTAATTAATAATATTTTATGTGAAAATATAACTACAGATACTGTCTATCTGTGAAGAATTAAAAATTTGCATTCAAAAGTATTTCTCTTATCCCTTTCTTAAACTATATATTTTTTAAGATCACAATTATTTTCCTTATATTTTGTTTAAATTTTTATAACACATATATGATTTGTATATTATAACAAACAATTACATCATATAAATAATTTTTAATGAATTCTTATTTTTATTTACTCAGTAAAATAATTTAATAACAAAAAACACTTGATATTTAGATTTCTAAATTTAAGAGTATATTGATAGATAAAAAACTATAACCAGAAGATATAACTTTTTAAATAACTTAATACTTTTTGGAATTTAATTAGACTATAATCTCATATGATTGAATAAATTTTCATATCATATGATTTGTTACGCACTTTAATAATCAAAACTTAATTTTAAGGTACTTTCTAATTGCTTTGTTAGAATTATAAAAAACTGCTAAATCCTTAAAATATAACTGATTAAGTAATTGGCCATTTTCTTAAAATTATAATATTGTATTTTTTCTTTTATTTTACAATATATTGATGGATAACTCTTAAATTCGAATGTTTATTATTTTAATTACTTTTTCTTAATATTCAAAATAATTTTGTCAATAGTATACCTTACTTATTTTTATTTTTATCTTATGTAAAATTAATTTTTGATAAGACTTAATTTATTTTGTTTTTTTAATTCTTACTAATGTCACTCAAGTTGACAAATTAAGTATAATTCTAAAAAAAATTCAAAAATTAAAGAAATCGATTGACTATTCAATTATTTGGAAAAAGATTCTGTAATATTGTATTTAAGAATAACATATGCATACTTTGATAATCTCCTAAATATGTGTTTCATATATTTTATTTGAGTTTTTAATCCAATGATTAATATCAATGAATTTAATTTAGATAATATATTTAAAAGATATAAGAAAACCTATATTAATAAATAAAGTAATTATTATAATACACCAATACTCATAGTCTAATCAAATGATTGTTATTTAATTTGATAGGGGATCTTAGGCTCACTGGATTTTTTATTATCATTGTCAAAAGAATTAATAAAAGAATATGCTTGACTTCTCCTATAATTAAAAATATCGTCTAAATAAATTGTCATACTTGAATATTCTAAACAGTTAGCCTAAACACATTTTGGATAGCTTATTTTTTTACCTCTATTGAGACTTTAAGTTATTAGTTATAATGATATGCTGGAGAGCTTTTGATTACCTTGTAAAATTATTAAAGAAAAACTCAAAGGTAAATTATGATTAAAAAAATAACAATATTTATAAAATAGAATTATAACATTATTTGAAATTTGAGTTTTAGCATTGATCTTAAGTAGCTTCAACTTTAGGAAGTTAAATATTACAGTTTTGAGTTAAACTGCGTCTCCCTCTTTCTAAAATGTGGAGTTAGATATATTTTTAGTTTTTCTACGAATTTTTTTAATTTTTATATCACAATTCTATTAAATGATGACATCTTTGTTAAATATATATATTAAAAATAAATTATCCAATAAGATTTCTACGATAATGTAGGTAAATAATAAAAAGGATCTAGATCATAGATCTCTTATAATCTAATTGAATTAATTGTTAATGCAAAAGTATTTAGTAGGTTCAATTTTTTGAAGTTGAATCGAATATTGTAAAAAATTTTAAACTTACTTGATTGTATATTTATGACTTGAAAAACATACTAAGGGATATAAATTAATTAAAATTGAATTAAGAAAATTCTAAATGTCAGATCTACTTAGTACTGATANTAGTATACCTTACTTATTTTTATTTTTATCTTATGTAAAATTAATTTTTGATAAGACTTAATTTATTTTGTTTTTTTAATTCTTACTAATGTCACTCAAGTTGACAAATTAAGTATAATTCTAAAAAAAATTCAAAAATTAAAGAAATCGATTGACTATTCAATTATTTGGAAAAAGATTCTGTAATATTGTATTTAAGAATAACATATGCATACTTTGATAATCTCCTAAATATGTGTTTCATATATTTTATTTGAGTTTTTAATCCAATGATTAATATCAATGAATTTAATTTAGATAATATATTTAAAAGATATAAGAAAACCTATATTAATAAATAAAGTAATTATTATAATACACCAATACTCATAGTCTAATCAAATGATTGTTATTTAATTTGATAGGGGATCTTAGGCTCACTGGATTTTTTATTATCATTGTCAAAAGAATTAATAAAAGAATATGCTTGACTTCTCCTATAATTAAAAATATCGTCTAAATAAATTGTCATACTTGAATATTCTAAACAGTTAGCCTAAACACATTTTGGATAGCTTATTTTTTTACCTCTATTGAGACTTTAAGTTATTAGTTATAATGATATGCTGGAGAGCTTTTGATTACCTTGTAAAATTATTAAAGAAAAACTCAAAGGTAAATTATGATTAAAAAAATAACAATATTTATAAAATAGAATTATAACATTATTTGAAATTTGAGTTTTAGCATTGATCTTAAGTAGCTTCAACTTTAGGAAGTTAAATATTACAGTTTTGAGTTAAACTGCGTCTCCCTCTTTCTAAAATGTGGAGTTAGATATATTTTTAGTTTTTCTACGAATTTTTTTAATTTTTATATCACAATTCTATTAAATGATGACATCTTTGTTAAATATATATATTAAAAATAAATTATCCAATAAGATTTCTACGATAATGTAGGTAAATAATAAAAAGGATCTAGATCATAGATCTCTTATAATCTAATTGAATTAATTGTTAATGCAAAAGTATTTAGTAGGTTCAATTTTTTGAAGTTGAATCGAATATTGTAAAAAATTTTAAACTTACTTGATTGTATATTTATGACTTGAAAAACATACTAAGGGATATAAATTAATTAAAATTGAATTAAGAAAATTCTAAATGTCAGATCTACTTAGTACTGATATTATTTCCTTAGCTGACCAAAAAATGAAGGAATTAGAAAGGATAAAGTAGTATTTTAGTGTTTTAAAATTTTCCAATTTCTTAGATAAAGTTATTTATTAGTCCGTAGTATATTAATAAAACTAATATTTATAAAGTATATTAAAAAAATTGATATTTATAAGTAGATGGAACTCCATACTAAAATTATTTTAATGAATTATTGTTATTTATCTTAATTTAAATTTATTGTATGAAGGATATACTTTAGAAATATCTCCTTATATATATTATTTTTAGATGAATATTTTTTGAATATTTATAATAATTTTTCCTATATAAAATTATGAATCAACTCATCAATACATTAAATATCCTAAAAGAACTGCTACACCAAGAACATATCCTGAGTCAGTTGTGGTTGAACCATTATTATCTGTATTATTGCCATTTGTAGAATTGTTTGGAGTAACAATAGTGGTACCACATTAAGAGCATGCATTAGTCTTAGAGTTCCAAGAATACATGTAAGCTGATTAGGTGTAACATTCTGTTTCAAGTAAGGTCTTAGGATCTGCAGCTGTACATTTACCAGCAACATTACGGCAAATATTATACTTGGTGGAATCCCAATTAGGGAAATAAGAGCATCTTCCTGATGCAGCATTATAAGATTCACAAGTATGATCGACACATGAACTAGCAGCAGTTGCTGTAGCAGAAGTCCATTTACATCTATTGGATGCTTATTGACAAGCATTTTAATCTTTAGATCCAGCTGCGCAATTTGTCATCAATGAGCATTTTCCTGTAGTTGTAGTTCCAGTTGTAGTTTCAGTCCAAACACAAATTCCATCAGTTCCTCTGGAATTGCATCCAGTCTTGGTTGTATATTTATCACATGTGCCTTTAGTAATACACTTGATTCCATCAGTAGTACATGTACTAATAATACTACAAGCAGCTATAGTAGTACCAGCAGTAATGTCATCACATGTCTTAACTCTACAAGTTCCAGCTGCTCCACCTGTACCTTCTACCCATTAACATAAACCTTCAGTTCCAACTGAATTAATGCAGGCACTGTTTGTTGTGTACTTAACACATGAATCCTTGGTAATACAATTTGTACCATCAGTTGTGCATGTAATTAATTGAGCTGAGCATCCTGAATGGGTTGTAGTATTTAGTTTAAGATCAGAACAATTTTCATCTCTACATGCGTTAGTAGTTTCATCCCAACTACATATACCTGTTGAGGTGATTTATCCATTTGAATTTCTTTATACACCATCTTTATTTTTTTTACAAGCTTCTCTTACATATGTTGAGCATGCAGCTAATTCAATACATGATGATGTTCCATTGGTAGTGCATTTAGGATTGGCATCCTAGCATTCATTATGAGTTGTAAATAAGGCTGAATTACAACTAGCATATTTAGTACAAACTTTATTGGGAGATCCTAAGGCTTAAACAGTTGTAATGCATTCTCCATCTGTACCTGTCACACATCCTCCATCAACATTAGTTTTGGCACATGATGTAATACCAATACATTATTTTCCATTTGTGGTGCATTTATCTGAAATCCATTTACATTGTGAATCTTTACCCCAATCAAGACTTCTACATGAATCATAAAGGAAACATGCTCCTTTAGTACCATCATTATTAGAATAATCAGGTATCCATATGCATGGTCCATCAGTTCCTTAAACACAAGCAGCTTCAACAGTGGTCAAAACACATTTTTGAATGACGGCACATTTACCACCTTTACCAGCAGTACATTTACCTTTAAAGTTCTTATCAGTTGGATTCTAACAAGCAGCATGGGTTGTACCAGTTATATCTTTACATTCTTAGTTTCTACAAGTGGATGTGTCTGCATCCCAAGCACAGATAAATCCATTTGCATCTGTATTACAAGCAGCCTAAACTTTAGCTGCTGAACAAGTACTTCTTTAAACACAACCACCACCTTATTGAGTATTGCATGTGGATCCTGTTTTTGGTGTGAAGTATTGTAAGCATTAACTTTCAGTAGCGTAATCTTTAGGTGCTGTATTGCATGTTTTAGTAACACAATAAGCTGGTTTAGTGGTATCAGTAGGAACAATCCATTCACATGCATTAAGACTTGAATCTGTAACGCATCCCTTTTGACTTAAAGCCTATGCGCATGTTCCTCTGTTAACACAGAATTTTCCATTTGTAGTGCATTTTCTTGAGTTATTAAAGAGAGCAGCACAAGCTGCATCCTCAGTAAAGTTGTAATCTTCACATGTCTTAGTCTTGCACTTATTTCCAGTATCAATCATTGTGCAATAGAAGAGGTGATTTGAACAATCAGCAGCAGTTGCAGGGCTTACTGCATTCTCACAAGTTCTAGTAGCACATGATCCAGTACCAGAAACTTCCAACCAAATACATTTATTTGATTTTGCGTCAACATCAACACATTATCCTTTACTCATTCCCTCACAGGTTTCTGGAACAGTAACACATCCTTTATCATCCAAATCGACTGTACATTTAAGACCGGCAGTAGTTCCATATGTAACACAAGCATCATGAGTGGTATATGTATCATCAGCGTTTAAACAACTTGCATCTCCACATTTCTTGGTTGTATCATTCCAATAGCAATTTAATAAGTTACCATCATTATCCTTATTCTTACTCTTTTTACATTAATTAGCTGTATTGTATTCTGTACAAAGTGCAAGTGGCATACATCCACCTTCAGTATATGTTCCATCTTCATTTTTCTTAGCTGCCAATGTACAATTACCATCTGTGATATAAGCTGAGCATTTTTCATAATCAGTGTTTGTAGCAGGATCAGCAGATGTGCAAGTCTTATCAACACATTTATTAGGTGTTTCTGCTAAACTCCATTCACAGTCTTTCTTTGAAGCATTTATTTTACACTGATCAGCTACTTTATAATCTGAGCAAGCACCCAAATTAATACATCCTGCCAATGTTGTTAAATCTTCGCTTACTTTAACTGTACAATTACCAACACCTTAACATTTTCCGTGATCATTATAAGTTGAATCAGCATTAGTACAAGTTTTATCAAAACATTTACCTGGATTAGTGTTAGTGTTCCAAATGCATTTACCTCCTGATAAATTCTCTACACATTAATCTTTAGTTGTATAAATTGTGCATGCAACTCTCTTCATACATCCTCCAGTTCTAACAGTACAACTTTATTATTTAGCTGAGCATGTATCTATAGATGGAACTGCAACGTCAGTTGTAGTTATAGCATCACAAGATTTTGGTTTGCATACTCCTGGGCTAACAGTAGAATCCCAAACACATGGTCCATCAGTAGTAGCATATCCACAATCTTCGCTTGCCTCATATAAGTCACATGTTGCTTAGGAAGTAATGCATGCAGTTCCAGCAGAATTAACAGTACAAGTATTCAAGAAATGGAAACAATTGAAGAAATTGAAGGTTCCTTTAAAATCACCACAGGCTGGAGGATCTGCTGTGTAATCTTTGCATTTTGTTCCATCAACAGTACAGGCCTTGCTAAACTCTTAACAAATATTATGATTTAAAGTAGGCGCACTTGCTCCTCCTAAAATAATTTCTGCGCAAGTAGTAGTTCCAGCTACATATGCTTTACAAGTAGTATCTAGATAACAATATCCTGCCTTTGATAAATAGCACAAGTCAAGATTGTTATTGTCTGTTGAATAATCTGTACATGCATCAGCAATGGCAGCACATGCTGATTAATCAGGTTTTGCTGTACATACGTTTGAACTAATTTATTTACAATATGTTGCAGTTATTTTAGCTGCACCTTATGATGTAGCAGCAACATCACCACAATTAGCCACATTTGAGATAGATTTCAAAGCACAGTTTGATACACCCCTTTAGCAAAATCCGTCCTTTCCTTTTGTACATGTATTCGTGGTTAACAAAGAACAATTTTTATCAATATAATAACATGTTTTTCCATCATTTTGAACTGAACATTCTGAATCAAAATTTTAGCATGAATCGTAAGTCTATGGATCTGGAAGACTTGCACAGTTAGGTTTGCATTTACCAGATGCTCCAAATATGCAACTACTCTTTAAAGTTCTACATTCTGCATCAGTTAATCCACTAAGTTCACTACATTTTAATGTAGAAACAGCCTTGCAAGCACCACCAGTATAGAAGCAATCTAATTCTTTTTTTGACCATTTACAAGAAGAAGGGTCAGTATAAGTACCACAGGTATCTTATGCATCAATGCATGCAGTTCTGGCTGCATTAACTGAACATTTAACATTTAAAGAGTTACAATACTTTCCTGTTAGATTGGCCCCTTTAACATTTGCACAAACAAAATTGGCATCAATTACATCCTCACAAGTGCCAGAATTCCATGCACATTATTTTTTATCTCCAAGCAGTCCACCTAAACATGCTTTTTCATTTCCATAATCAGCACAACTAGCTTTTTTTAGTCCACATGGTAAATTAGTAAGAGTGCATTAATTTGATTTCGTTGTACATTCGTCATGGGTTATAAAACTTTTTGAATCTTCAGCTGTATTCAAACATAAAGTATCACTACACTTTTTGGTTGCCTCAGTCCATGAACATGGAGAATCATTTTTATCTTTTTTACATTAAATATCTTATTTATATACACTGCATGCTTATCTATCGACACATTTGGATCCATCAGCACTAACTGTACATTTCTTTTTGGATGCACTTGTGCAATCATCATGACTAGTCTTATCTATATTTGCACATACATTTCCATCTACACATTTTGAAGTTGTAACATTCCAAAAGCAATTTAAGTATTCTACAGGACTTGAATTAGGAACTTTCAAAACATTAGCAACAACACAGGAATTCTTGCCTAAACCACTGCAATTTATTGGTAAAGGAGCACAAACATTATTTGCTGTTCCAACAACACATAGAGGATTTTTGTCCTTATCTTCCAACCATGCTTTACAATCATTATGAGTTACTTCATCAGATGTTACTTTTACACTATTAGCATACCCTTCTTTAGTTGCATTAGCACATGTTTTTTCATAACATTTGTTATTAATTGTATCCCATAAACATGTTTTACCTCCATTAGTTGCTGTACCTGCCACATTACATTATTCTATTATGGTACGTGACTCACATTTAGCAACTAATTCCATGCATCCTTTTTTGCTTTAATTTGGTACACAATTAGAATTTGGTTTATAGTTTTCACATAATTCTACAGTATAATCATCATCAGTCTTAGTTGGGGCAGTAGTACAAACGATATCAACACAAGCAGATCCAGTCCAACCACATTTCTCGCCATTAGCTTTCAATTCACAATTCTCCTTAATTAATGCTGAACATGTTAATGGAATATCCATACAGCCTTTCTTTGTATTTGCCAAAGTACATGTCTCTAGGTAATCTTAGCATTCTGCATGAGTTATTAGTGATTGAGATGCAGCAGAACATTGTTTTTAGAAACAAGATCCATAGTAAATGCAATCAGCTCCGTCCTTGTCTTTAACACAATTGTCTTTATCAACTACATTTTCACATATTAAATCAACACAAGTTCCAGATGAGCTAACAGTACAGGTAGTAATTTCTCCATTACAAGCTGAATGACTATTAAGTCTAGTAGGTAAAGTTGCACAAGTCTTATCTAAACAATTACCTGCTACACTATCCCAATAACAGTCTTTTTTATTAATATCTTTGACACAGGCATCTCTGATTAATATATCTGAACAATTTTTATTGGTTACACATCCACCATCTTTTTTTGTGATACAATTCTTACCTGGAAGATATTCTTCACATCCAGGATTTGTAGAAATGGTAGTGGGAGCATTTTCACAAGTTCTATTTTAGCATCCAGTAGCATTATTAGCTTTACCAGTACAAAGTTTTGAGTAAGTTGAACATTAATCATGACCAACATTTTCAGGTCCTGCATTTTCACATGTTTTGTCTTTACAAGTAACATTCCATGTACACTATCTATTATTGAATCTATTAACAGCACATTATTCTGGAACAGTAGAACTTGAACAACTTGTATCGTCAACACATCCAGCACCATTTGTTATGCATTTTGCCAAAAATTGTTTTTGACAATCAGAATTTGTTGTCAATGTATTTGGTGCATTTACACAAACTTTATCTTTGCATTTTTTCTCTGTAGTGGACCAATAACAATCCTTTCCTGCACTATCAATTTTACATCCTTCACTTATTTTACCATCTGCACATGTCTTAAGATCAACACAACCTCCGCCTTCATTAGCTGTACATTTTTCAGAGAATATTTAACAATCAGCATGAGTGTTAATACTTTTTTTAGCAAACTCACATTTCTTCTCAGTACATTTGTTATCCAAATCATTCCAATAACATGTAACTGATCTAGCCTTATTTGTCACACATCCTTCTATAGAAGTTTGATCTTCACAATTAGTTCCTGATTCTACACATCCTCCTCCAGGTTTAGCTGTGCATTCTTTCTTTAAGTACAATCTACATTCTGAATCTTTAGTAAGAGCTATTGGTAATTAACCACATTCAGTCACATCAGAGCATTTTTTAGTAGGTTCATCCCAAACACAGTATGTTGTCTTACTTTAATAACAAGATGTTGATGTTAAGTATGTAGAACATAAGTCTATTTCAACACAAATTTATCCATCTGTTATACATCTTTTTGATATTTCTTAACATTCATCTTTGTTGGCTTTCTCATAAGGGGTGCAACTTGTGAAAAATGTACATTTATTATCTATCCAAGCACATTCATTTAATTTAAGACAATCTGTTTGTGCTTATCCTTCACAATAGAGTGATTTTCCATAATTCTTGGTCACAGTCACAGGTCCTGTACTTTAAGGAACTTCACAAGCTAATTTGGTTGTATTCCATGAACAGCCTGGGTTTCTTCCACAATCAGCAAGTGTCAAAAGTTATGTACAAGTACAAGCTTCACTTTTATTTACAACTTGGCATGTTGCTATGCTTATTAAAGCAATAATTAATAAAGTTCTCTTCATTTTAAGTATTAATATTTAAAAATGTATTGAAGGTGTTTTTTAAATTAATCAAAATTTAATTATTTTCCATTTCTTCACACGTCAGTTTAATATTAAAATACTATCATCAAATTTTCTATTTAATTTAAATGATCATCATTAATTATATTATCTTATAATCATGAGGAGAAAAGCCTTAAGGACCCAACTATTCATTAAACTATTTTACAAAAATGAAGGGCTATGTATTTGTTTTCAATCAAAAGTAATTCGGACAGATTTTATATATATGAAAGTTATATTATAAATATTGNCAATAACAATCCTTTCCTGCACTATCAATTTTACATCCTTCACTTATTTTACCATCTGCACATGTCTTAAGATCAACACAACCTCCGCCTTCATTAGCTGTACATTTTTCAGAGAATATTTAACAATCAGCATGAGTGTTAATACTTTTTTTAGCAAACTCACATTTCTTCTCAGTACATTTGTTATCCAAATCATTCCAATAACATGTAACTGATCTAGCCTTATTTGTCACACATCCTTCTATAGAAGTTTGATCTTCACAATTAGTTCCTGATTCTACACATCCTCCTCCAGGTTTAGCTGTGCATTCTTTCTTTAAGTACAATCTACATTCTGAATCTTTAGTAAGAGCTATTGGTAATTAACCACATTCAGTCACATCAGAGCATTTTTTAGTAGGTTCATCCCAAACACAGTATGTTGTCTTACTTTAATAACAAGATGTTGATGTTAAGTATGTAGAACATAAGTCTATTTCAACACAAATTTATCCATCTGTTATACATCTTTTTGATATTTCTTAACATTCATCTTTGTTGGCTTTCTCATAAGGGGTGCAACTTGTGAAAAATGTACATTTATTATCTATCCAAGCACATTCATTTAATTTAAGACAATCTGTTTGTGCTTATCCTTCACAATAGAGTGATTTTCCATAATTCTTGGTCACAGTCACAGGTCCTGTACTTTAAGGAACTTCACAAGCTAATTTGGTTGTATTCCATGAACAGCCTGGGTTTCTTCCACAATCAGCAAGTGTCAAAAGTTATGTACAAGTACAAGCTTCACTTTTATTTACAACTTGGCATGTTGCTATGCTTATTAAAGCAATAATTAATAAAGTTCTCTTCATTTTAAGTATTAATATTTAAAAATGTATTGAAGGTGTTTTTTAAATTAATCAAAATTTAATTATTTTCCATTTCTTCACACGTCAGTTTAATATTAAAATACTATCATCAAATTTTCTATTTAATTTAAATGATCATCATTAATTATATTATCTTATAATCATGAGGAGAAAAGCCTTAAGGACCCAACTATTCATTAAACTATTTTACAAAAATGAAGGGCTATGTATTTGTTTTCAATCAAAAGTAATTCGGACAGATTTTATATATATGAAAGTTATATTATAAATATTGTACAATATAAAATAAAAAATTAATACGTAATACTTAATATAATAAATTAATATAATATAGTATAATTAAACAAATTAAAATTTATTATTAATATTTTTTACATTATTTTTAATGATATTCAATAGATTATACAACAATTTTGTCTATTTCCTCCAGCTGATTAAACTTCCATATCGTATAATTTGATTAATCCTTCATATAATCTTTTTGTTACAATAGCCTCTGTCACTCCAAATCTTGCAGATGGTGATATATCAGCAGTACCTTCCTTATCCATATTTGAATGTTCACCTCCTACACCTCTTGCTTATAATCCTAATGATCTAGCAACTTCTTTCAATTTTTTTTCATCTGTTCCTCCTTTTGTAATATTTGGGAATTTGCCTAAAATTGATTATCTCTTTCCTGTTCCCATATTAGTTGGACAAGTAGTAATAACACCATAAATAGGATGTTCAGCAAATTCTAATCCACTCTTCTCAATACCAGTCAATAATTCATGGAGTGATTAATCTACTTTACCTAGATCATTTCCTTAGACTATTGAGATGATTCTTAATTGATCTTCTTCACCAATCCAAATCATTTTGGTTTCATCCTCACTAATCCAAATTCCTCTTCCATGAGGCCAATCTGATGCAACACCTGAAGATGTTAAATGATTATCAGTTGTCATATCATTAAATAAATAATGCTTATTTCTCAATTCATCTGCTTATTAATTAGTAATGAAATTCTTATGACCTGGAGTCAAACTGTGATACTTTCCTTAAATTCCGAAACTGTCAAATACTTCCACCATCTTATTCTCAAATCTAATTCTCTCATCTTTATCCATAGATGGTGGTAAATTCCATCCCTTAACATTTCGTGCCACTCTTGCTCTCATTGAAACTTTTTCTAATCTTGAATCTATTTTTGTAAGAACATATTCTCCAACAGGGATGTTCCAATCATGCTCCTATTTTGTTTAACCCTCTATTTTATGGTATTCTCTAATAAGTGGTTCTAAGTAGAAAGAAAAGACATCATAATCTTCTGGTCTAGTAGCATAGACTCCAACAGAGCTATCATTATTAGATAAACCTCCCATCATCACATCCAAGAATCTTTATTAATCAGAATCAGAAAGACTCTTCACTTTCTCCACAACTGCAGGTGTGAAATACTTATTTCCAAGACTGACTTTAATCTTTCCTAATTCAGTCCATCTGGCCTAGATTTTTGCTAAATCCACCTTTCCTTCTGCATCTAAATAGGCCTTTCTGGCTTCTTCTTTGAAGACACAAGTATGCATTGATATTTAATTTATTTGATGAAATCATAAAATATCTTTTGTCTTTAATTGCCTAATTTATAATAAATCAACACACTTATTAATTATTTATCACAAATAATTTTTTCTATTAGTGTATGATAATAGATCAATATTGATTAGAATCTAACATGAAGGTAAGTTTTATTACAAATTATTATACAAAAAACAATATTTTTATTATATAACTTCTTTTATGATTAATTGCACTATTTGCCATCCTTTGATATTAATATAAACATTAATAATTGATTACATTTCCTTTAATATATGTAGTTCTTTATTTATTTTTCATAATTTTCATACTCTATTCTCAAGACTATGATATTTACTTAAAGAATTATAAAATAAAATAATTCATTAAATTTATGATATAATTAATACCATATTTATTAGTATTCAATTCTTCAAGATAATATCACATAATAGATAATATTAGGTTTGATTTTAATGAATATAAATTAATCAAATAGTATGATCTTGGTTACTATATTAATTGAAGAATATAGAGTTAATTTTTTGTTTTGTAGTATGCGATAATTAATTTGTTTTATGAGGAATGAATTTTTAGAACTTTTAGAGAGGTTGGGAGATAAATTTAATATTTAGAATCACCTCTTAATTTGACAATTAAATTAATTTCAATCTATTAATTATTCAGTCAATAGAGATTGTATGGGAATATTTAAAATGTCAATATAGTACAATACAATATGTATAATATGTCTATCAGATTTGAATCTATCGTTTTAGTTATTTGAGAATATATATATATTAAATTTATAGTTATTTCATCTAAATAATGGGAATTTGCGGAACTTCATCAATGAAATCACATCCTAGTGAGAAATTAATTGAACAGAATAAAGAAAAAAATGGAAACTAAATCTCCTAATCTAAAACAGTTAGATTGTTTGATTACAATCAAAATAAGATAGTTCAAGTACCAGTTTTAAAACCAGCTACTTAGAATAATTTATATTTTAAGCGATAAGCACAAAGTCCTAATCAAAATCAAGATACTGTTCAATTACTAACATAATCTTGAATATTGTGAATTAGTCATATAAATATATATGAATACTGTTATTCAGTTCAAGTAATTGGAATCTGTATATAAAACATTTAATATGAATATTATTCATTTAGTTAACTTGTTACTTCTTATAATATCGTAAAATTTGGTTAGTTCTTCCTCTTAAACTTTTCTAAACTCTCTTGCAATCTAAATTATTAATCAATAATTATACTAGTCCTTAAGTATTCATGCAATTCATTACAAGTTCTTCAGATTCTTCAATTGATGTCATTAACCAATGATAATCATCTGAAGTAGGTTTAATTTTATCTTATTCTAAATCATATTTGATTTCTCTCCATATTTCTCCTATTTTAAAATGAGGATATAATTATATAACTTCTACCATCTATTTCTCATTAGGTAACAATTCATTCTTATCAAATCCTGTTCTATATAAGATAGCAAATACTATTGCTCTTAAATCATATTCAGCTGATTTTTCAGTTATTCTTCTCACTAAATATGCTTCACTACCAACATCTGATTCTAAATCTTCCTATTAAGTTCTAAGAGATTTCATATGTTTTGATTTCTAATCTCCATGTTAATTAGATATTCTAAGACTTGGATCATTTTATGGATTTAATGGTCTAAGTTTATTAGTAACAATTCCATCTGAATATTTAACTCCATATCTTTGATCTTCACCAACATAAATCTTGACAAGTAATTATGTACTATTAATCATTGTTTTTGGAGAATTCCAATCACAAAAGTATGGAATAGCTTTAGGATTTTCCATCAAATAACTTAAACAAGATAGAGTAAGTTTTTTATGCATATCATCACAAGTTTCCAAGAATTCCAATAATACATAGAGTCCTTCCGAATCTAAAAAGATAGCTTCAGATTTTCTATTGCCTAAAATAGTGTTCCATAAGCAATCAAGAACACTTACTGCATAGAGAGCATATCTTGCACTTGTACCTAAATTAGGATTCTTTAATGCATTAACCATTAATTCAACAGCACCTTTTTATCTAAATAATTTTTTATTTTTATTGCATTCTTTACATAAATTGGAGATAATAGAGAAACATAATTCTTTAATTTTTAATGGATTATCATTATCATTTTCATTTTACAAAAATTCAATAAGATTATCCATTACACCTTCATCACAAATTTTGATTTTATAATTCTATTCAAATTCTGATGCATTATTGAATGCCTTTAAACATCTTTCTTTATGATCCAATTCTTATGTGTTAGTGAGAAACTTGGTTAAACAAAATAGACCATTCTTTTCATAAAAACTAGTTGAAAAATATTTTCATTTATTACTCATCTTTTAAATAAACAATTGCATTTCCCAATATTCCTAAACAATGTAATTATATTTCTTTTTTCTATGGAGGTGACCATCTATTAACAGCATAACTATTTGCAAGTGGATCTATATATAATAATAAAGTAATAATGAAAGGAGACTCTTTAACAGCTTCTAAAACAGCTTAATTTCCTGATTAAACAGCAGTCAGAATTCCACTCCAAATTAATTTCTTAAATTCTAAATCTTCACTAGTAGTACCAAAGAATGCTTTCAATTAATTAGTTCTGATTGGTTCATTATAAAATGTAACTTCATCAATTGTAGCATAAAATAATAAGACTTCTAAGAAATTGGTCTATGATTAAATTGTATGTGCTTAAGGTTTATCAACAAAATATTATAATGCCTAAAATAATAGAATTGTCATATTTTACTTTCTCATCTCTCATTAAATAATTTAATAATATTAAGATTTCATTTCTTAAACATTTATCTTCTAATTTATATCCTTATTTCATTATATTTTCAAATAGTTTCTTCAATCCTGAAATGATGTCTTCAACTGCAAATAATTTAATGGATGCTACTCCAACTGCCTATTCATTTAATAAATTCATATTACTTCAATTGTATTCCATATAATCTCAAAGCATGATTTCACTATATAAGATCTGAAATCTTCACATTCAAATATCACATACACAATATCCTTAAGAATACCAAAATTTGAAAATTTAGCTGCTAAATCTCTATAGAGAATACAACTAGAAATCAATTCAAGCAAAGGTAATAAATATTCATACTATTTTGAATAATGTTGCATAGTAAAGATGATATTTTCAATTAAATTGGATTGATTTAATGCTCTTAGATTCTAATAAATTACAAATATATAAATACTCTTGTTCCATTCTTCAAGAGATGTTACAAGGGTGATAATTCTGTTTATTTCTTTTATTGTTCAAATGATGCTTCTTCTTTCATTATTTCACTAATTCCTTCTTCTGCAAAACATTTCAAAAACTTAATAACTGGCATTCGTAATTCAGGCTATTAACTACCTGATTCCTGTTATGGACTATAAAGTACAGGTTTCAAAGTATCTAAGAATTCACTTAATTTTGGAACAAATTTCAATTAATCTGATGTCCTTAATTTAATGAATGGAACAGAAGCAGTTTCGCAAATTTTTTATATGGCTGGTTACATCAATGCATTGTTTTCTGCAATAGATAATCTTAAAATCTCTATCAATTCTTGAATTTCCTCTAACAAGAATCCTCCTGATCTTTGTCTACAAAATCTTACTATTGCTTCACTCTTTCGATCTGTCAATTATTCAGTATAAGGAGAATGAAACATTTCCAACACTTATTGAATAGATAGACTTTCTTTTTGAGGTGGTGATGTATCCTTTAATGATCTACTCAAACCAAGTTTCATATGTGTACTCATTCAAAATTATATTTATTATTATTTTAATTAATTCACTTTGTATATTTTTAATTAAAATGATATTATATTAATATATTGAATATTTATATTATCAAAATTGATTCAAATTAAACTTAGACAATTTTTGTGATTAAAAAAGAGTATAAAAGACTAAAGGATATTTTTAATTATAATCAATCTGATTAGGAAATTAATTATCATCATCATTTGAAATATATTAATATAATATAATAAGATGAATCTCAAATAAGCACTTCTTAAGAAAGATAATAAAAACATACTATAAATCTTCAAGATATAGTAGAATTACTAATACTTTAATTTAATTTAACCTTAAATTTGATAATTTTATAAGTCTTTCATATATTTACTAATTTATGATGTCTAACAATAAACATAATATATGTAATATACAATATTATTATTCATTTTTTATTCTTTTTAACAACTTAAGGATTACCATCACTGTCAATAATGATTTCTGTATCCAAATCATCTTTCTTTTAATCATTCTACTTAACTGCTTCCTCTCTATATGCTCCTACTTCTTCAATAATGGGTGTATTACTAATATTGAATTATATATATACATTTCAGATGTTAATAAGACATTCAAAATTTTATGTTATCTTTCCACAACTTCCTTTGGGTCTCTTAACAATCCAGAAGACAAGAGACAACCATCTAAAATCTATTTACTAGCTAATGATGCAATAATTCTATTTGATTTTCTAACTTTATTTAAATTAACAATTATTGGATTATTTACATTGATTTCAAGAGTTAAATTTTTTAAGTCATCCTAAGAAATATATATAAATATATAAATACAGTTGATTATCCCATGGCATGCATGACTTGTCTCATTCCTGATGAAATTGCAGATACAATGATTGCAGGAGAAGTCTTTAATCTTTTTGAGATCTAAACTTAAGAGATAATGGGATTCAATTCATTCTTTAACCATAAACAGAAAGGTGTAATTTCATCATTAGGTATAGTTGTTTCAACATTTGATTCTTCCTTTTTTTCACTTTCTTCAGTTGATTTTTAAGCAACCTTGTCAACTTCAGCTTAATCACTTTCTATATTAACAAATTTTTTTGATGAATATTCATTAATCTATTTGAATACAACTTCATCCATATGATTCATAGTTAAAATGACAGGAATTTCTGAATTAGTAAAAGGTTCCATATATGGTGATGTTAAAGCTTATTATCTTGTTGGAGCAAGATAATAATATATATTGTTGATGCCTTAAGGTAATTTGGAAATATAATCATCTAAAGAAATGAAATCTTCAGATTTGTTTGTTTAGAATCTTAATAATTTGGTCATTGAGTTTCTATGCTCATCATCCATAGCAACTCCTTCTTTAATGAAATTTTAAAAGTCTTAATACCAAGAAAGGTAATTGGCAGGATCTCTAATAGCTTCTGATTCAATTTCCTTGATAATTCTTTTGGCAACTACAGATTTGAGTTTAGCAATCAAAGCTGTATCTTGATAGCCTTCTCTTGAAATATTTAAAGGAAGATCTTCACAATCCACAACTCCTTTTACAAATCTAAGGAAATGTGGTAAAAGTTCTCTGCAGTTCTTCTTTATCAAAATCTTCTTACAATAAAGACTGATATCAAATTCCTCCATTTACATACCATATCTAAATATAATAATTGAATATATACTTCTCCATATGTGTTTATGGAATATACAACAAGGCTTTAATGGATAGAGGGGCATCTGTAGAATAATGGAGTTTATATTTGTATGCAAGTTTAGAATTGGAAATATACTCATAGAATTTATTATAATCTTCTGGAGTGATTTCATTTTTGCTTCTTACCCAAATAGCTGACACAATATTTTATCTTTCTCCATTCACAATTATTGGATAATTAATGAAATTTGAATATCTCTAGATTGTCTTAAGTACTTCAGTTTTCTTACTGAAAATAGCTTAATCTGGTTTAAGATGAATAGTTATTTTAGTTCCTCTACCTTAGAAATAATCTTTGGCTTCTGAAATTTCAAATGTTCCTGTTCCATCTGATATCCAAACATAAGTTTTATCTGATCTTTCACTCTTACTCACTACTTCTACAGTGTCTCCAACAATAAATGAGGAATAGAATCCAACACCAAATTAACCAATAATTTTATCATTCATTTATGTACCCACTTATTCTAAGAATTATTTTGAACCACTTCTTGCAATAGTACCAAGATTATCAATCATTTCTTATTTTGTCATACCTATACCAGAGTCCTTTTAAATAGTATATAATTATTTACTTCAATTGTGATTGTTCTCTTTTATTCATCTAATTCAATTTTTATTTCTAGATCTGATGGAACTTACTCACCCTTTTAAGTTGCCAAAAATCTTTGTTTTTCCAAAGCATCTGAGGCATTGGAGAGTAATTCTCTCAAAAAAACATCTTTATCAGTGTAAATGGACTTAGCAACAATATCAAGCAATTTCTTAGTTTCTGCTTTGAATTCATGTTTTTCTTGTTTTGCTGAGCAAAATCTAAAGACTATTTGATTTTTTGTGTTAAATAACTTAGATTGTCTTAATAAATAGCTTGAAGAGAGACGGATGAGTCCTTTTTTCATAAATTAAAATTATTTGTGGTTCATAAATATTATGGTATATATATATAATAAATGGAATATTTAAGAAACTCATGATTTAATTTTCTCTTTTATTTCATTTTTCTTATCAAAAACAATACAACCATATTTCTTTCTATATATAAACAGTTTCTTATTATCCTTAGAAAACAGTATTTAATGTGCCTCAAATTTAGAAGAGAAGTAAGTCTTATCCTTCAACCATACATTATTTTCATATTTGTAACACTCAACCTACAAAGAAGGCATTTAGATAAGCACAATAGATCCTATAAACAAACATTATTGAGGTTCCTTTGTGAAAAACCCTGATATTATCTACTTCTCTATTGAAAAATGGAATGAATCATCCATCTTATACATAAATAAATCATAAATGGACATTATTATTAATCTATTTTTGAAGAATTGCATAAAGAATTCTTATTCCCCCTTTATACTCTGATATTTAACCCATATATGATTGACTTTTTTGATCAGAACAACATGTTATTTAGATTTAGCAGCAATAACACAATCATTATCATTAAAACAAGCCGTATTGGCCTCCAAAGGCACAGATTACACTCTAACAAGTTTTGTTTAAGGTGGATTGTAATCCCAAATTATTATGGTCTTTAAATGATCGACCATGAGCATACTTCCAATTAAATTTATAGATAGGAACTTACTACGAGAATTTAATTTAAGACTCTATTGAAATGTCCAATTAAATTTGTGTCTTCTTTACCAAATCTATATCTTAAACTCATATCTCTGATCCACTTACATAAAGATAAACCTTCGACCATTTCCATTCAATTGTAAACTGTAATCATTTTATTTTATAATTGCTATTTATGGAATCACCTTCAATGATGATGTCTATTACCATTATTTCTCCTAAACCAATTCGTAAGTAATTATTTCTCCATTACAAAATATTAATACAATCTGACCTGAATAATCAGTTGCTAATAAAACCTATCATAATGTATATATATTAACACATTTCCAAAGTATTGGCAGATTTCTTGCTTATTGAAAAAATTATTTTAAAACAAAGATTCATCCATTTATATTAAATAAAATAATCTATATGGGAAACATAATTTAAAATGAACAATTCAAAGAAAGACTTTAAGAATTACTTTAAAATAAGAAATTTAAGAGAACTCTGAAAATTATTTACAAGGAAAACCAAAAGCAATTATTAAGTGTATAATCATGTCAAATTATTGATCAACTTACTCTTTAGCAATGTCTAGATCTTAAGAAAGGAATACCTTTTGTTTTAGAACATCAATGCAAAATCCTCTTAGATATTAAAGAAAAACAAAGATATTGTTATTTATGCACTTTATGTAATAAAAAAGTGAAACGAGATCGAGGCAACTCATTCTGTCCCACCTGCAATGAATAAACCTAATATAAATTGGGTTATTGTCTCAAGGTCAAAATAGTTGATGCAATTTCAGAAGATAATTAAAATACCCATAAAGCGATCATGTTCGAAGAAACAGCTAATAATTATTTGGGTATTTAATAATTAATTATGTTCAGGTATTGAAGCTAATGATTTTTCAAATCAGAGTCATGATTCCCAAAACGAACATTTCATAAGTATAAATGATTAGAAATCTCATATTGTACATTTACTTAAATTATAATACAACCTATAGAACGAAAATTTCATCATTAACAAAATTCTACCCTTAATCACCGAATGAGTTCTATCATAAGATTTGAATTATTAATATAATCAAATTTGATAAATATCTATTTATATATTTATAATTATTTAGAATGATAATAATTTTATAACAGTCCTATATTAAATGTTATAAAATCATGCTTTAGCAATTCTTCCATTTAAGAAATCTAAGAATGGTGGAGTTTGAACCACTTATAATGCTTTAGCTAAGACTGCTAATTCTTATTAAACAGATGACTATATAAATTTGATATGAATACCACAATATCATCATGTATTTTAAGATTGGCTGAATAATTATTATTTTCAGTTCTTAATCTATCTTAATAAGCTTTAAGATCAGCTTCTCT